TTCTTTATGAAAATTTAATTGTTCAATAAAATATTTATTTTTATAGTTAAATCATTGAATTCTCGTAGAATTTTCTAATAAATATTGATTTAAAAATAAATTTCAAATTAAAATCTTTGAAAATTTGAACTTTTCATACTTTTAATTAAGAATTCTTTAAAATTAATTTTTCTTAATAAGTTTAATGGATTTTTTTTTAATTATTTGAAATTATTATTAAAATTAATAATAATAATAATTATTAAAATTTTTTAAAATGTTCGAATCCAGCTTATTATTAAATGTTTTTGGAGCAGCCTTACCGAATTACTTAAAACCTCAAAATTATTTAAAACTTGGTAATTTTACATTTATTTGTATAAAGTTTCAGAAAATCGACTTTTTGAGCCAAAACAATTGTTTATTTACAAGATATTTACTCAATTACTCAAAATTGTTTAATTGATCATATCTTTTAAACCGAGTTAAAGACAGAGTTTTGTTTTTTTGCATTTAATTCAGAAAATAAAACTCTTCGGATAAGTAAAAAAATGTTTACAATATTTTGTTAGTTGACAAAGTTATTTAAATATTTAAATAATTGTTCTTGTTTTTATTAATTTTTTGAATTTAAAGAATGTTGTGGATGCGCGCGCCACTTGTCAGCATGCTATCAGTGCTACCAACTTGTGTCGCGAACAATGTGATGGAAACATAATTTCGATTCTTCGAATCAAGTTGGTAACATTGGCTGAATGCTTATTTCTTATTTGAAGAGTTTTATTTCCTGACTTGAACGCAAAAATGAAAACTTGTTTATATCTTTAAATCGTTTAAAAGATATTATCGAATTAGACAATTTTGAGTAACTGAGTAAATATCTTGTAAATAAACAATTATTTTGGTTCAAAAAGTCGATTTTCTGAAACTTTATAAAGAATAAATGTAATATTACCGCAATTTTTAATAGTACTTCGGTGAGGCTGCTCCAAAAATATTTAATAATGAGCTGGATAAAGTAGTAAAATTTTGCTAAGAATTATTGGAGATTAAATAAATTATTTTAATTTAAGACCTCTTTTTTGTCTTAAAATAGGTCCTTCTTTTATTAATAAACAAAATTTTTATATTAAAATTTTACAAAACGCGAACAAAATCTTCCAAAGAATATTATAATTTACAATTTTTTCCCCGCTTAATTATAAATTTACATTAATTTAATCAATTTAATCAATTTTTGAAAATAATATAATTATCCACTACAACGAAGCCCCGGATTTAATTTAATTAATTATCCAATTCAGCTTTCAATACGCCCGAAAATAAGACATTGAACTCTTCGTTTCAATGAAAATTTGCGATTTTTGCACCAAGTTTTATAATATGTGATAAATTTCTATTTACACACGCAGAATTATTTTTGAAAAATCTATTTTATGAATGAGCAGTATGCCTTTGTTGAAGCATTTTATTTACGAGTGCAAAATACAATCTCTAAATATTTATAAGATTTTGCTTGAAATTGCTGTTTACTGATGTTATTCATATATAATTACTGTTAAAATTCTGGCCTTAAAAAAATACATGATTATAAGATTTAGTTTCGCTAATAAATATATAAGGAAAGTTTCTTTGCGCTGTAATATTTGTCTCCATATTTAAGTGTTTTTTCTTTGTAAAATGGAGAACCAATCTAAGCCAGAGCTCTCGAGATTTAGCCAGTTGTAACCAGTTAGCACATTCGATAAACCACCTGTTTCAAAGATATAATTCCTTTGGCTTTTAACTTTAATGTCTTATGCTATAATGTAGATTAAAGGAGTATTTAACCGTGAAAGGATAATAATTTCAGTTCCGTTATTATTATGCACTTTTTAATATTGATGACATTTTTCTTTATATTTGAAATCAAAATATATACTCTATTAGATAAAAAAATGTTGTTATTTAATAAAACAATAATATTAACCGCATGTGCGCTCTAAATTTTAATTAGTAAAAATGTTAAGTAATAAAGTTCTTCTAAGGATATCAAATTGAGACAAAAAATGTAGTAAAATTTTTTTGTCTCAATTTCATATTCTTAGAAGAACTGTGAATTTGAATTAGTAATTGACTTTTTGCTATTGAATTAGTAAATTTTACAAATAAATATAGAAATATCTACATACTAATGGTAAATTTAACTAATAAAAATAGTAATTTCTGCTATGTAATAAATAGTAATTTCTACTAATTTCTTAGCAAAATTTACTAATAAATAGTAATTTCTATTAATTAATAATAGTTTTCTACTAATAAATAGTCAATTTTACTAATAAATACAAATTTCTACTAATAAATAGTAATTTCTACTCATAAATAGACAATTTTACTAATAAATATAGTAATTTTTATAGTAATAAATAGTAAATTCTACAAATAAATACAGTAATTTCTACTAATAAATAGGAATTTCTAGTAATAAATAGTAAATTTTACCAATAAATGGTAATTTCTACCAATTAATAATAAATTTTACAAATAAATAGTAATTTCTACTAATAAATTGATACGCTCCGAAGAAAGGTACCTAAGAAGCGAAAAATTTTAGGTTATGTTTGAAATTTTTATATTAAAAAAACAGAAAAGGATTAACTTGCAATATAAATCACTGTTACTGAAGTCTTCATTTTATATGAAATAATTAATAAAAGCTGATTTTTGTTTTAAATTAAACACAAAAACTTTTAATTTAGATAAAAATAATACGAAAATAACCTTAAAATCAATTTTGCTTCATCTTCTTCTTCTTCTTTCGTACCTTTTTTCAGAGCAAGTCACAAATAGTAAATTTTACTAAGAAATATTCATTTCTTCTATGTAATAAATAGTAATTTCCACTAATTTATTAGCAAAATTTATTAAAAAGAAGTAATTTTTTACTAATTAATTAGCAAAACTTACTAATAAACTAATTAATTAAACTAATTAATTTTTACTTAATACTAATTTCTTAGCAAAATATACTAATAAATAGTATATTTTTACTAATAAATAGCCAATTCCAGTAATAAATACTATCTATTAGTAAAAAGAAAAGAAAAAAAGAAGCTAGTATTTATTAGTGAAATTGACTTTTTTTTAAATAAAAATTACTATTTATCAGTAAAATTTGCTAAAAAAAATTAGTGAAAATTACTATTTATTGGTAAAACTGACTATTTAATAATAGAAATTAGTAGTTATTAGTAAAGAAGGCTATTTATTAGCAAAATTCACAAATAAATATTAATTGTACTAATAAATAGTTATTATTACTAACCTATTAGCAAAATTTACTAATATATAGTAATTTCTAGTAATATTTAGACATTTTACTGATAAATAGTCATTTTTACTAATAAGTAGTCTATTTTACTAATAAATAATAATTTATACTAATAAATAGTCAATTTGACATTATAAATAGTAATTTCTACTAATTTATTAGCAAAATTTACTAATAAATAATAATTTCTACTAATAAATACTCTATTTTAATAATAAACAGTCATTTTTACTAATAAATAGTCAATTTTACTAATAAATAAAAATTTCTACTAATTTATTAGCAAAATTTAACAATATATTTATTATTATTAATTTATTTTTGTACTTAATTGTAGACAAAAATTTTAGGCTGCAATACTAAGTATTTTTTTGATTATTTATTAGTAAAAATTACTATTTATTAGGAAAGTTGATTATTTATTAGCAAAAATTACTATTGATTATTAGAAATTATTACTATTTATTAGTAAATTTTCCTAATAAGTTAGTAATAATTATTATTTATTAGTAGAAAGTAGTATTTATTAGTAAATTTTACTAATAAAAAATCAATTTTACTAATAAATAGTAATTTCTACTAATTAATAGTAATTTGTACTAATAAATAATCAATTTTTCTAATAAATAGTAATTTCTACAAAGAAATAGTCAATTTTACATAATAAATACTAATTTCTAACAATAAATAGTAATTTCTACTAATAAATAGTCAATTTCACTAATAAATACTATTTATTAGTAGCAACTGGTTCTTTAATAATAGAAATGATTATTTATTAGTAAAATATTAGTAAATTTTGCTAATTAATTAATAAAAACTAAACTAAATTAATAAAAACTAAAACTAAAAAAATTAATTACTTCTTTTTAATAAATTTTGCTAATAAATTAATCAAAATTACTTTTTATTAGTAAAATTGACTATTTAATAATTGAAATTACTAGTTATTAGTAAAATAGGCTATTTATTAGCAAAATTTACTAATAAATACTAATTTCTACTAATAAATAATAATTAATACTACTTTATTAGGAAATTTTACTAATAAATAGTAATTTCTACTAATAAATAGTCAATTTTACTAATAAATACTCATTTCTACCAATAAATAGTAACTTCTACTAATAAATAGAGAATTTTACTAATAAATACTAGTTTCTACTAATTTATTAGCAAAAATTACTAATTCAAAAGCATAAAGTTATAGTCAGTAATGCAAATTAGTAAACGATTTTAAACGGAGAAAACGTATTAAAAGTAACTATTACAATTTATTATTTTTTACTATTTGCAAAGTAATAATTACACTGACAAAAACTTCTGCCCATTTTTGATAATTTTTACTATTATTGGAGTAAAAATTGCTTGGATCGAAGTGCATTTTTATAAAAGTTATAGTAAAATTTACCTTGAATGTAGCAAAATTCAAATTGAAAATAGTAAAATTTGCAAGAAAAATTCGCAGAAGTTCCAGACAGTTTTGATTATACTTTCTAAATATAGTAATTAAGTTACTTTATATTTTTCGCCGTATTCAAATTCAAAAAGTATGTTTTTCAAATTTTGAAATGAAATTTTAAAAAAACGTTTCTAGTCCAAAAAAGTGTGAACGTGCCTTAATATGGCACAATCTCAGTTTTTCACCTTCCCATCCCTGCTATAAAACCGGCACGCTACCTGTGTGTACGAGTGTTGATGCACAATTAAATTCAAGATGGCGCAAACTGTCAAAGTTGTCTATAGTCTGCAAAATAATCAATAACTTTTATTGCTTTCATAATTTAAGATTAAGATTTTTACCGATATGAGTTTAAATGCCTGATTTAGTGAATTTATATTGTCGAATTTTAATTTCGAAAACTCATTTATACTTTGTCTTCGCCAATTTTCCACACTGAAAAAATCGAAACATTGTTTTAAGTGGAGCAATTTTAAAAAAAAATTGTCAATGAAAGGAGGATAAACACGTTATGTTTGATTATAAACAATTATGAAGTATTAAAATTATTGTCAGTGGCTAATTTTCAAAAGAGAAATTTTTCACAAGAGGTATCTATTGGTTTTTAGTTGAATTTTTTATTGTTTACCAGTTTCATACATCTGCTTACAATTTTAGCTACTCCTTTCATTACTCGTTTGGTGTTCCAAAAATAGAATTTCAATTTATTGGGAAAATAGGCTACAAATTTTTATTGTTTGCGATTGGTGATTTAGGAACAAATTTAATTTTGTTTGTGCAAATTTTTGCTATTCGAGTTTATTAAAAAATGCTATTGTATTTTTTAATTTAATGTTTTCTTTATTCAAAACAGTAGTCAGATTGCATTAGTGTCTTGTCAATAGTTTTAGGTATTGTTACTTGAATTTTATTTATTGTTGTACTTTTTTTGTTTCAGAGAATGCAGAAGCAAAAGTGTGAAAATAGAGACCGATAGGTTTTATTTGGGAAAAGCAATGCAAAGCATTGTCAGCAGAAATATGCGAGTGTTATTGGCAACCGGTTCCTCGGTATGGCCAGATCATTGAGAACTGAGAATGTCTCAAACGGCAGATGCTGAGAGCGAGGCAGGGTCGATTTGTGACGAAGAACGAGTGAGAAAACTCTTTCAGGCATGTGACGGTGACGGCGACGGTTTTATAACCAGGTAACGAAGCATATTAATCAATTTTTAAAAATTACTGGAAGAAAATTAAAAATAAAATAACATTTAGGGTAACTAAATTAAAAAAAATATTTCCTACCAAAATTCAAATATAAAAAAATCGTTCATTTGAACGAGACATAGTTGAAAACATTATGTTTGATTAAACATTTCTTCGACTCTTTTTAAGTCTTAATAATAATACCTTTCATATACGAATGAATGTTTATGTACCTAATTTTTTCGTATTTTTAAATTCCAGTCAGGATTTACTAATTGTGTGCAGAGAGCTAAATCTAGAGAATTCTGTGGAAGAACTAATGAGAGAGTTAGGCGCTGATGAACATGGTCGAATTTCTTATCAAGAATTTTTTAGACGTCGATTAGCTTTACGACCAGAAATTGAGGCATTGAGAAGAACAAGTCCTCAGACACATACTTCGGAATATCTTCCAACCAGTAGTGATAACAGTCTTGGTAAATGTCTCTACTTTATTAAAAAAAAAAATACAAGTGAAATAGTGTAACTAGTTTTAAAATTACTTTTTTAGTAAATTAATTTTGGGAAATTTAGTTTAAAAATAATTTATTATACCATTTGACATTTTAGGAACTGTATCTGGTAGACATGACAATTGGGAGTTTGACAGTGGCGCCCGGGACCTGTCACCGGAGCCTCACACCTTACAAAAATTGGTAGAAGCAGCTGCTGGTGCAAATAAGGTAAATTCAATATTTGCAAAGTTGCAATAATTCAGGGAAGTCAGGGAATTTGGAGAAAGTAGAATTGGTCAGGGATTTTTATTAAAAGTACTGGAGAAAATTAAATTTTTAGAATTCATAAGAAAATTATGAATTTTGGTTTGTTTTTTGTTTGCCTCATAAACTAGAAACTTACCTGGAATTCGAATACAAGACCTTCAATTTCTTCTATTTCTGACAATAATTTCTTTTCAAATAACTTAATTCTTGAAGAACAATCATAAAATTATCACTTTTTTTTTTTTTGCTTAGGGACTTTTGGGAAATCTGCCTACAGATTAAAAATAATTAATTTATAGAAGAATATTAATTAAAAACACTTTAAAAAAATTGGATTTTAGAGAAATTACAAATTATTGCAAAAATTCAATTATTTTCAAAAGTAATGAAATTTAGTTAAAAAAATTTTTTAAATTCTCGTAAAAATTTCAATTATTTTCAAAAGTAATAAAATTATTCTCTGAAATTAAATTATTTTAAAAAATTTAAATGAAATTCTTGACAAAATTTCAATTATTCTCAAAAAATTTTCCTCAATTCGATGATTTTTAATATCTACTATTTTCATAAAATTTTTCCAAAAGAATTTTTTCACAAGAATTCAATTATTTACAAATTTTTTCTAAATTTCTTCGCAATAATTCAATATTGAAAATTATTAAAATTCTTTGCAGAAATTCAATTATTTTCATAAATAATAAAGTTTTCCTCAATAATTTAATTATTTTTAAAAATTTTAATGAAATTCTTGTAAAAATTTTCATTATAATTTAAAAATTTTCCTTAATTCAATGATTTTCAATATCTACTATTTTCATAAAAATTTTTCAAAAGAATTCAATTATTTACAAGTTTTTTTTTATAAATTTCTTCGCAATAATTCTATTATTTTCATAAATAGTAAAAATTTTTACAGAGATTCAAATTTTTTTATAAATAATTAAATTCTTTTTTAGAATTCAATTATTTACATAAATAATAAAACTTATCGTAGAATTTCAATTACTTTTAATAGAATTTTAATTGAATTCCTCAAAAAATGTTATTAAAATATGCCAAAAGAATTCAATTATTTAAAAAAATTTTTATAAAATTCTTTAATTATGATAATTTAATTTTAAGAAACATTCAAAATTATTCAATAAACTATTTATTTTTATATTAAAAGATTTCAAATTAAAATCTTTGATAATTTGAAGTTTTAATACTTTTAACCATCAATTCTATAGATACAATTAATTGTTTTTAAAAGGTTTAATTGAATTATTTTTGAAACTATTTAAAGTTTATATTTCTTAATATACATTTAATTGAACAAATTTCGAATAATCGATGAAATTTCGTAAACTTGAATTGTAAACAAATAGATTTGAAAATTCTCGAAGAACTTTTTAAAAAAGTATTAAAAATAATTAATGTAAAAGAAGAATTGTAGTTGAAAATTCTAGAAAAGAATAATTGAATTGAAATGATGAAAATAATTTTTGAAGAACTAACAGTAGGAACAATATTTTTATAATATAAAATAATGATTTTATCTCTCGGTCATTTTTATATTATTTTATTATAAAACATGAAGATATCGATTGCTTCGAGTCGAAGACTCGGAGTGATCGATTTCTTCATGTTTTATAACAATTTTTTATAAGTTGTTGAATTTCAAAAACGTTTGAATTGGATATTTTTGAAGGTCTTCATTCTTATTGAAAAATAATGATTAAATATTTATTTTAAATAAAACTATTAATTTCCTCCCTATTTTCGATGAAAACGAAAAAATTAAAAACTTCCAATATCATTAACTTTCAAGTTCAGAGTTTATTCACCGATATAAATATTTTATTTAATAATCATTTTTGTTAATTTAATTTTCTATTTATTGCGCACTTGATTAGTTAAATTATTTTCAAATTATCGAAGACTAGTTTTACTAGTTAAGACAGTGAAAATTTGTAACAAAAAATAAGCGATGATCGAATATGTATTAAAACAAAAGGACTCCAATTTATGATTTTTTACGACCACAAGTCGGTACTGCGTCTTGAGTACAGGTGCCAGTGTTACATCGAGGAGGAGCCATAACACAAGGTCGATTATCAGGACAGGCTGGTGCATCCGCACATGATTTTCCAGGAAGATGAATGTAGTCATCCCAATCATCAGCTGCCAGAATCGTTGAAATGTATAACATGCTCACAAGCAGTGTCAAAAATATCAATTTACACATTTTTGCTGACGATTTCTAGAAATTAAGATAATAGAAATTTAATTATTAAAATTAATTCGGGACGGGAAAATATTTAATGAAAATAGAAACAATTGGATAGAAATAATATACTGTAAAAGAAATTAAAGGCATATTTAAAGTTTAAACATAATTAAGCCCCCGGATAAAAAAATTTGATTTGCGTTCGGACAGAGAATTTTCACGCCAGTGAAAAAATGAAATAAAATAAAATTAAAACATTTTCAAATACGTATCCTTGTATATAATTGCGCAGCTCTTTTTCCTCCGAAGTATTTTTTTTAATTGAATATTTTTTGGATAATTTAAGCCGTCCGAGCAGCAAATCAAATTTTTTGATCAGGAGGATCAATAAGGTTTTTTTTTAAATTTAATCTTTTAGGTTTTTTACTTGCCGTTTTGAAAATCGAAATTTTTATCTTCGTCCTGTGAAGGTGTTACTTTGTCGAGTGTTATGCTTTAAATGATTCTTTATGATAAATCGCATAGTTGTGCAACGGTGAACTTGGCAGATTCATGTGAGTGCGACAGGTTCGTCCGAGGAAGCCACCGTTGCACATCAATTATATCGTGATAAACTGACTTTATTATTTTTTCAAGGTCAAAAGTACGATCTGCGATATGATTTATTTCCTGTTTTTAAATTAATGACAATGTTAAAAAAATTATTTTATTAACTTTTTGCGAATTCGGATTGAATATTGCGATACAGATAAAAAAAGACGGTAATTTATTTAATCGGTTTTAATGTCAATGTCATTTTAAAAATTATTTGAAATTCATCAATTCGGTAATTAATTTCTAATCTCTATTATTTAATTGTGAAAATAGACGCTCTTCAAATTATTGCTTCAATTCTTCTTTAGATAAAAGAAGTTCCATAAAAACTGGTTTCAAAATTATGGAAATAAAAAGGAAAAATCAAATACAATAATTCGTTTGCTTCTTAGGCTCGTGACATATTTTTTAATTAAAGTATTAAAAAAAATAATAATATTTAATTACATACATAATTCAAATTTGTTCTTGTTTCAGTTGCAAATTGCAGCTCTGTCATCATTGCGATCGGAAGTAACGGAACTAAATTCGAGACTCTTGATTGCAAATCGAGCACGAGAAGCTGCGGAGACGGCGTTGATTAAAGCGGAAACGTTGACGGCAAGAGCAGAACAACGAGCGGAGCAACAAAATATTCGACATGAGGAAAGATTGACGGAACTTCACTCTGTGATAGCTGAACTCGGTAGACAATTGGAGCGACAGCGGGCGAATATTATTGCCGAAGAAGATGAATCTGGTAAAAATAAAGTCCTCCTCTAAAAAGTTTAATTTTAAAATTTAATTCAATAACTTTTAATCTTTAAAAAATGTATTTTTTAATTTTCGAGAAATCGAAACGAGTCGAGACGCCGAAGGTTCAGTCACTAATCCTGTTGACGAAAATGAAGCCTTCATTCTAGGAGACGGAGACAGAACTTCTAGTTGCTGCGAAGAAGTGGGACGAAGACTGAATGAAGTACTTTTTTGTTTTTAATATTAAAATTCGTTTTTAGTATTTAAATTCTGACTGTATTAGCTTTTTGGAGATAATAGTTAGAAGGTATTAGAAAATAGAAAATAATTAGAATGTATCATCTTTTTTAGGGGAGAGAACAATTAGACAGTCCTGCAGATTTACCAACGCCGGAAACAACTCAACAGACAGTTTCCTATCAAAATGTAGCAGTCGCAGCTTTACAAGACGAAGTGATAGCTCTTCGGTCGGAAATTTCTTCACTGCATATACAATTAGCGCAGTATAGGAATCAATCGCATGGACAATGTTCGGCTCAACCTACTTGCAGTGATTCACCTCGTCGAGACTTCAGAGTAAGGCTTCTTACGATATAATTTTTTGGAGAATTTTAGACAAATTACAAACAATTGCAGAAATTCAATTATGTTACAAAATTTTTAGAAATAATTAAATTTTGAGAAGGTTACAAATTAAAATCTTTGAAAATCTGAATTTTTCATATGTCTAACTAACAATTCTGTGGAATTAATTTTTTTGAGAAAGTTTAACTGCGGATTTTTTTTTTAAATTATTTGAAGTTTTTATTTTCTAATATATATTTTTAATTGAAAAATTTACGAATAATGTCAGTAAAGTCAGGGAAATGTCAGTGAAATTAAGAAAGTTGAGACTTTTTTCGACTTATTTTCAAAAATTGCTACTTTTTCGACTTTTTTCCAAACATTGCAACAAAATACCACAATTTTTATTAAAAAAGTGCAACTTATTTTGATTTTTATAATGCGAAAAATAACTATAAACAAATCTTTCAAAAATATTTTTAATTACATAGGGTAAATGCACTAGTAGTCGGACACTTAAGGATACAATCTTAAATTATGCTTTTTTTCTTGAAATAACAAATATCTACTGTGTTTATAAGCACATTATTAATTAAAGGAGTTCTTCAGGATTAAAAATCATATAAATTTGTTACAAATAGTTGAGTATTTAATAAAATATAAACATTTTAATAAAAAATTACGAATGCTTTAGTAGTCGGACACTTTTTCCCCTTGTTTCTATAGTCGGACATCTGTCAGATATTTTGAATTTATAAAGTAAAAAAGATAATTTTTTAATTGCTATCTGCTGGAAAATGGAATTAAAGCATATTAGAAGTTATTAATATAATATTTAAACCCTATACGTTTTAATATTTATGATTAATTATCAACAAAACTTTGTGCCACTCATCGCGCTACTCGAAAATGGTTGTATCTATAGTCGGACACCATGATTTTTAAAACATTAAATAAAATATTTCTTGTTTAATTATTTTCGAAAATACCACTATTTTCATAAAATATAAACTTCACACATTCGTCTAGTATACTTTTTAAAGTAATTATCACAATGCATTATTACTTATTTGCCAAAAAACACGAAAGTGTCCGACTACTAGTACTGTCCGACTATACCCGCACTTACCCTATTTCCAAAAATAATAAACATTTTAGAATTATTTTTAACATTTAATTAAAATTCATCAAAAAATTAATTAGTTTTTTAAAATTATACAAAAATTCTTTTAAGAAATACAATTATTTTCTAAAAATTACATTAATAAAATATTTTTTAAAATTAATTATTAGAATTTTTTTGTAATAATTTTTTAAGATTCAAAATTTAGGTACTTTTTGGACTTATTAAAATTTTTGAGAAATCATGGTCTTGTTTATAATTAAAATTCTTCAAAAATTTGATCATTTTTAGGGTTTCGTGGCCCATGGCCGAAAGCCTTATAGTTTCACTTTGGCGTCCGTCCGTCCGTCTGTCCGTCGTAATTTTGGGCACTATAGTTCCCAAATTTGGGGCATTATAGATCCCAAATTTGGGGCACTATAGATCCCAAATCAGTCAGTCAGTCTTAACCACAATGGTTTATGATAACCAAAACAGGATTTTCTTTTTAAATGCAACGAAACCCTAGATGTAGGCGTTTTGCGCCTGCTTCTTTTCCAATTTTTATTTATACTTTCAAAAATTTAATTATTTTTAAAAGATTTTACTAAATTTTAATTGTTTGGAAATTTTTTAAAATTGAAAAACTATTATTCTTCAAAAATTATTTTAAAATATTTTTGTGATCACCCTGATAATTGAAATTTTGTAAAATTGAATTGTAAACAAATAAATTTGAAAATTCACAAAGAACTTTTTCAAAAATTATTAGAAATAATGCATTTATAGAAGAATTTTAATTAAGTACTTATAAACACGAAAAAAAAATTAATTTTGGAAAAGTTACAAATTATTGCAGAAATTCAATTATTGTCAAGAGTAATAATATTCTTCGCAAAAATTAAATATTGTTCAAAAATAATTAAATTCTTCTTAGGGATTCAATTATTTTCACTCATCGCAGAATTTCTATTATTTTTAATACAACTTTAATCGAATTCCTTGAAAAATGTAATTAATTTAAAAATTATATTAAAATATTTCGAAGGAATTCAATTATTTAAATTGATAAAATTTTTTATGAGATTTCAATTTTGGGAAACATTCAAATTATTTTTATTAATTTTTTTTTTTGAGAATTCAATTATTTTCAAAAAAATTGCAATTAAATTTCTTCAAAAATTGCTTTTTAAAAATTGTAATAATAATACTTGAAAAAAATCAGTTATTTTCAATTTTACAAAATTTCAATTATCTATTCAAAATCTTTATAATTTATTGTATATTTCGAAAATTTAATTAGGAAAATGATTCAAAAATAATTTTTGAAAGATTCGTTTATAGTTATTTTTCGCTCTAAAAAAATTGAAATGAGTTACATTTAATACTAAAAAATATGATGTTTTATATCATATTGATTTGTAAATAAATAAAACAAAAATATTTTGTTGCAATATTTGGAAAGAAAGTCGAAAAAGTCGGAATTTTTTAAAATAAGTCGAAAAAAATCTCAATTTTCTAAATTTATTTGCCAAAAAATTGTTTTTTCCTTAGATTTTCCTAACTTTACTGACATGTGACCACACTGATTTTTATTGACTATGCGTTATTGTCATTATATTAATAATTTCTCAATGGTTTTCAGACGAGGGGGAATTTAAGTTCGCCAGAACCTCTAACGGCGCCTTGCTCTCCTCTTCTGCCACCTTTGCAAACAGCTCCCATTTCAAAAAGTGTAACCAGAGAAGATGTGCCAATTTTGAAGATGGCGGAAAGAGTGAGACTGAGAAGAACCGACGAGAGGCATATTACTGGTCCCGACATAGCTAATCTTGGAGTAAGAAAATGATTTTTATTTTAATAATAATAAAAAAAATTTTTATACTATTTTTCACGAAAATCAACCAACAATTCTAAAATACGGCAATTTTTTTTAGGTCTGCTCCACGATGGTTGCCGAGCATTTGGTCTCGGACCTTTTGGAACATTCGAATCTACACGAATTCAATGGATCGGAAAAGCAGTTTGAAGTGGAGAGTGAACGACTAAATAGTAGATTAGAACACGCACGGGCTAATAACGCGGTTCTTGCTTTAACGCTTCACGAAAGTAAAGCACAATGTGATAGGCAAGTTTCTAAACTGATTTTAAATTTCCTTTCTCTAAATGTTCCCCTTTATTTATTTAGTATTTTATCTCCTTTAGACTTAGTCTTCTTGTCGGAAAATATGAATCGAATGCAATAGCGTTGCGACTTGCACTTACGTACAGCGATCGAATGATTGAAGCCTACGACGTGCTCGTGGCACTCCTGGAAAGTGAATTAGCTTCATCTGTCGATAGACGCATCGATAATAGAAGGGTAATTGAAAATGTGGCTCATGTTCTAAATAAACTCGAAAATGACTGCTCTCATCTCAGTGCACCTTGGGAAGACAACTTGATTTTGTCGGATGGGTATGTATCAAATTGTCAGACAAAAAACAACAGTTTTGTCAAGCTATTTGACAAAAAACTTTTTTTACCGTTTACTTTTAACTTGTATTGGCTATCTGCTATGCAAACAACTAAATAAAAACTAATAACTAAATAATAACTAAATAAATAATTAATAACTAATAAAAACTAATAATAATAAATAAACAAAAATCTAACAAACAAATTTCGATTTAGATCCGAAGTGACATGGAGTGAGGACGATGAGCAACGTTTGAAAAATCACATCAGCAGATTAAAGAGGGACCTGTCAATGGTGCAATCGACAGTTGTGGAATTTGAAAGTGTCCACGTCGAGCCACTGAATTCAAAACACACAATATCTTTGGCAGAAGCTCGAAAATTGGATTTGGAAACCGCTGTCCTTATGCAGGTTAGTCTGCACAATATAAATTTTCATCTTTTAACGATTTAATTTTAGATCTTTAGCTTCACGATGAAATTACCACGAATTCTAATACAAAGTCTTCAATTTTTTTCTATTTCTGACATTAATTTGATTTTAAATGACTTAAAGAACTAAGCTTTATAAAGTTATTTAAAACTTATAAATAATTAAATGAATAATTTTATTTGAATATTTCAAAGTTAATTGAATTTTAAAAGAGTCGCGTTTAGAATTTTTATATAAATAGATAAATTTTACAAGGTTTTAATTTTAAATTTTAGAAAATTTCAATTTTCAATGAATTTAATTAGAAATTTTAAAGAACTTGGATTTTTGAAAAATTATAATAATTCAAATTCCTTTGAAATTAGTTAAATTTTCTAATTTATATTTTATTAACTATTAAAAATAATTAATTTATAGAAGAATTTTAGTTGAAAACACTAAAAAAAATTGAATTTTGGAGAATTTAGAAATTATTGGAGAAATTCAATTATTTTCAGAATTAATAAAATTCTTCGCTAAAAATTGAATTTTGTTTGAAAATTTTTTTCAATTCTCGTCAAAATATCAATTACCTTTATAAATAATAAAATTCTTCTCCAAAATTCAATTATTTACAAAAAAATTTCAAAAATTTTTATAAAATTTTTGACAAAATTTCAATTATTTTCAAAATTTTTACTCAACTCAATTATTTTCAACATCTACTATTTTAATAAAATTTTAAAAAAGAATTTTATTATATTTAAAATAAATTTTGATCAAATTCTCCGCAAACATTTAATTCTTTTTATAAATAATAAAAATTTCACTGAAATTCAATTATAATTTACAAATTTTTTTATAAATTTCTTTGCAATAATTCAAATTATTTTCATAAATAATAAAAAATTTTACAGGAATTCAATAATTTTTGAAAATAATAAAAACCTTTTCAGAAATTCAATTATTTTCAAAAATTTTCCTCAATTCAATGATTTTCAATATCTAGTATTTTCATAAAAATTTTCCAACAGAATTCAATTATTTAAATTTTTTTTATAAATTTCAATTATTTGTAATAAAATTAAGTGAATTACTTAATTTTTAAGTAAATTCCTCGAAAAATGTAATTATTCTTAAAAATTTTATTAAAATTCGTCAAAAGGATTCAATTATTCAAAAATTTATTATTAAAATTCTTTATAATAATTCAATTTTAAGAAACATTCAATTATACAATAAACTATTTATTTTTCTATTTAAATAATTGAATTCTCGTAAAATTTTCTAATGAAAATTGATTTAAAAATTAATTTTAGTTAAAATTTTATATATGATAATTGAATATATTAAAAGCATTTTAGAAAGAATTTTTTGAATTGAATTTTTAAAAGGTGTAATTGAATTCTTTTTTGAAATTATTTGAAGTTTTTATCTTCTAATATATATTTAATTGAACAATTTCTGAATAATGGAAATTTCGTAAAATTGAATTGTAAACAAATGGATTTGAAAATTCTCATAGAACTTTTTCAAAAATTATTTAAAATAATTGATAAAATTGTTAATTTATTTCTTTCGAAGAATTTTAATAAAAGTTTTTAATTGCATGTTTCGAAGAATTTACTTAAAATTGTATTAAAAATAATTGAAATCCTGTGAAGAATTTTATTATTTATGAAAATAATTGAATTCTTTTGAGAAATTTTATTAAAATAGTAGATTTTAAAAATATTTGAATTTCAGCGAAGAATTTTATTATTTGTGAAATGTAATTGAATTCTTGCATAAAAGGTTTGAAAATAATTACATTTTTCGAGGAATTTATTTAAAATTGTTTTAAAAATAATTGAAATCCTGTGAAAAATTTTATTAATTTATGAAAATAATTAAAGTCATACAACGAATTTTATTATTTTTTTTTAAATAATCGAATTGATGTGAAAAATTTGTATTACACTTGTAAAAATAATTAAATTAAAAATAATTGAATTTAAATTTTTAAAAATATTAGTTTCTATGGAAAAGTAATAATGACAAAAAATTTATTTAAAAAGAAAGTTATTGATGTTTTCGAATAATTTTACAATTAGATAAATTCGTAAATAAATGTAATAGAACATTTTTTGGAGTGTCTATTAATTCTTAGAGTTGATAAGAATATTCTTTAAGGTCAGGGAAAAAGTGAAAAATTTTTCTGTAAATCAGAAAAAACTCAGGGAAAAACAAAATTAATTTTTTGTAGCAATCCTGATTAAGTAGGCCTATTTAATTTACTTGTCAATTAATTCTTTAACTTTTTTAGGAGTTGATGGCTTTGCGGGAGGATAAGGCTGAACTACGAGCCCGTATATTTTTACTCGAAAAAGAGCGGGCAACAATAGAAATTAAATTAAATGCAAGAGATGCACAAATTCAACATCTTCAAGCCCAACTGTTAATAATGGGAAACAAAGTAATTTCAAGTTAAATTGATACTTTTAGAAATTATTTTAATAAATTTTCTTTTCTATTTTATTTACAATAATACTCGGGTTTCAACTATTTTTGTAATAATATTATTAAATTTATCACAGGATCGAGGTCTCAGTGTCAATGAAAGTGAAGGAATTGAATCCGAATTGTTAGAGGCACTCGGAAGAGAACAACGTTTAAAAGAACGTTTACAAGAGCTCGTGTCAACGTTGGATAAAGTTAACAAAAATTCCGAATTGAGGCATCAACCTGAACTTGTCAACGATTTAAAACGTGCAAATGGGTGAGTTTTTTTTTAGATTACATAATTTTTTCCTCTTTATAGATAAAATACATTCTTACGAATATATTCTCAAGAATAAAAAGAAGAGAGAAAAATGAAAAGTTAAAGAGAACTGAATGATTTTTCTGAATTGTTTCTATACTTATATAAACATTATTTATTATTTGATTAGAGCACTCGTTCAGTCATTGGAAAAGTCAAAGAAAAAACATCAGTCGAGATTAAAAAAAATGGAACAACAAATGGTGACGATGGTGGAAAATCATTCAGCACAAGTAAGTATAAATATACATGAAAAATACACTATAAACACTTTGGTTGTGAGTTTTTGAGGTTATTATTCACATATCTTGACGATTTTACGATTCTACACTATAATGATAGAAACAAAGAAATTTCTTCAAACACAGTTCATTTTATTGAATTATTTTCGCTGTACATTTATTAACACTAGATTTCTAAGTTCTCAGTTTCTTTAATTCTTCCTCCACAAGACTCTCTAGATCATGTAATGGTTTGTAGTGATTGTGAACTAATTGCGAACCACACATTGCTGTAGTCCCTGCTGCAATTAAAAATGTGATGTATCGAGGCCAAGATAGACCGGCAGGCATGTTCAATTTGAAGTTGAAGATTCTTTTAAAAGTCTTTCGTACACGAGTTCTTGCACTTTCCGTTTTTTGAACGTTTTATAAAAGTTAACCTCTCCTACATGCCAATTTATCATGACATACTCCAATCCTGCCCCACCAACAAAAAATAATGGGAGAAATCTATACTCGGCCAAATACTTTTTTCCAGGCACTTTTTGTATTATCCTTGCAATTCGTCTTAACATTTGATAAAACAGTAGTTTTTTATTTTTTTAGGAGTAGAACACAAATATTCCTCTGCGAGCATGCGAGTAACAAGTTATTGCAGATGGAATGTTAATCTGTTAATTCTAAAATGCGCAAGCGTAGCGCGCTATTTTTCGAAATCGATACCTATCCCTTGTTTCCCTTGTTATTTCCTGAAAATTAGCCCGCAGGTCAGGAAAATCAGGGAAAAGTCTCAGGAATTTTTAGTAAAAGTACTGGAAAAAATTAAATTTTTAAAATTCATAAAAAAAACTCTGAATTTTGATGATTTTTTTGTTTGCCTCATAAACTATGAAAATACTACAAATTCTAATACAAAATTACAAAGCCTTCAATTTTCTCTATTTCTGACAACAATTTCTTTTTAAATAACTTAATTTTTCAAGAACAATATCATAAAATTATTACTTATTAATTATAAATTATTTAATGAATAATTTTACATAAATATATCTAAATTAATTGAATTTTACAAGAATTGCGTTTACAATTTTCATAAATAGATAAACTTCAAAAAGTTTTAATTATAAATTTTACAAAATTTCAATTTTGAATGAATTTATGTAATTAGAAATTTTAATGAACTTAGATTTTTCGAAAAATTTTAATAATTCAGATTCTTTTGAAATTAGTTACATTTTTTTTAATCTGTATTTCATTATAATTATTAAAAAATAAGATTCATAGAAGAACTTTAGTTAAAAATACTAAAAAAAAAATTGAAATTTGGAAAAGTTATAAATGGTTTCAGAAATTCAATTATTTTCAAAAGTAATAAATTCTTCGCAGAAATGTCCACAAATTTAAAAAAATTCTTGTCATAATTTCAAATATTTTTATAAAGAATAAAATTCTTCTCTGAAATTCAATCATTTTCAAAAAATTTTAATAAAATTCTTGGGAAAATTTTTAATATTTTTAAAAATTTTCCTCATGCCAATGATTTTCAATATCTATTTTAATAAAATTTTCCAAAAGAATTCAATTATTTTTAAAAAAATCTTTATAAAAATCGTACGCAAAGATTTAATTATTTTCATTAATACATTATAATAATCGTAAGTTTCCTTTCCGTTAGCAAATTATCTGCATTCATTTGTTTGTTTTGAAAATTAAATTTTGTGGGTTAAGTATTGGCATTTTTTATATAAATTTTTTAATGTCAAACTTTTTAATGTGGAAAATACTTAACTTATTAAATTGTCTCGACTCTTTGGTAAAAAATCTAAAATTATCAAAAATTCGAAAAAATTCAAAAATCCGAATATCTTAAAATTCAACATTTTTTCCTCTCTTTTATGGGATTTAGCTTCATTATTTTTGTGCTTTTGAAAAATACTTTACTTATTAAATTGTCTCGACTCTTTGGTAAAAAATCTAAAATTATCGAAAATTATCAAAAATTCAAAAATCCGTTTTTCTTAAAATTCAACATTTTTTCCTCTCTTTTATGGGATTTCGCTTCATTATTTTTGTGCTTTTAGAAAATACTTTACTTATTAAATTGTCTCGACTCTTTGGTCAAAAATCTAAAATTATCAAAAATTCGAAAAAATTCAAAAATCCGAATATCTTAAAATTCAACATTTTTTCCTCTCTTTTATGGGATTTAGCTTTATTATTTTTGTGCTTTTAGAAAATACTTTATTTATTAAATTGTCTCGACTCTTTGGTAAAAAATCTAAAATTATCGAAAATTATCAAAAATTCAAAAATCCGAATTTCTTAAAATTCAACATTTTTCCTTCTCTTTTATGGGATTTAGCTTTATTATTTTTGTGCTTTTAGAAAATACTTTATTTATTAAATTGTCTCGACTCTTTGGTAAAAAATCTAAAATTATCGAAAATTATCAAAAATTCAAAAATCCGAATTTCTTAAAATTCAACATTTTTCCTTCTCTTTTATGGGATTTAGCTTTATTATTTTTGTGCTTTTGGAAAATACTTTATTTATTAAATTGTCTCGACTCTTTGGTAAAAAATCTAAAATTATCGAAAATTATCAAAAATTCAAAAATCCGAATTTCTTAAAATTGAACATTTTTCCTTCTCTTTTATGGGATTTAGCTTTATTATTTTTGTGCTTTTGGAAAATACTTTATTTATTAAATTGTCTCGACTCTTTGGTAAAAAATCTAAAATTATCGAAAATTCGAAAAAATTCAAAAATCCGAATATCTTAAAATTCAACATTTTTTCCTCTCTTTTATGGGATTTAGCTTAATTATTTTTGTGCTTTTGAAAAATACTTTACTTATTAAATTGTTTCGACTCTTTGGTAAAAAATCTAAAATTATCAAAAATTCGAAAAAATTCAAAAATCCGAATTTCTTAAAATTCAACATTTTTCCTTCTCTTTTATGGGATTTAGCTTTATTATTTTTGTGCTTTTAGAAAATACTTTATTTATTAAATTGTCTCGACTCTTTGGTAAAAAATCTAAAATTATCAAAAATTCGAAAAAATTCAAAAATCCGAATTTCTTAAAATTCAACATTTTTTCTTTTTTTTTATGAGATTAAGCTTCATTATTTTTGTGCTTTTGGAAAATACTTTACTTATTAAATTGTCTCGACTCTTTGGTAAAAAATCTAAAATTATCGAAAATTATCAAAAATTCAAAAATCCGTTTTTCTTAAAATTCAACATTTTTTCCTCTCTTTTATGGGATTTCGCTTCATTATTTTTGTGCTTTTGGAAAATACTTTACTTATTAAATTGTCTCGACTCTTTGGTAAAAAATCTAAAATTATCAAAAATTCGAAAAAATTCAAAAATCCGAATTTCTTAAAATTGAACATTTTTCCTTCTCTTTTATGGGATTTAGCTTTATTATTTTTGTGCTTTTAGAAAATACTTTATTTATTAAATTGTCTCGACTCTTTGGTAAAAAATCAAAAATTATTAAAAATTATCAAAAATCGAATTTCTTAAAATTCAACATTTTTTCTTCTCTTTTATGCCATTTAGCTTTATTATTATTTGAATTTTTATTCAAGAGAAAAAATGGAAAACTGAAAAAATTTAGAAACTTTTAAAAATTCTAGGCCTTTTCCATGATTTCCAGAAGCCTTTTAAAAATTCCATACCATTTCCATGATTTCCATGATTTCCAGATTCTGTAGGAACCCTGCTTTTGTCTGACTTTCTTCTAAATTATCGAATTCAGTGATTTCTGGGGTGAATTTGGTTAAGTTGTAAAATGATTAATTTCTATTTGAATTCGTTTTTTTTTTAATGTAGAAAATCTGATGTTAATTTAATTATTTTTTCGTTATGCACGGCAAAAAATATTTAGATGGATGAACTACAGATTTCACTTTAGTAGCGAAATTATTTAGTGCTTCAATTAATACTTTCGTTATTCTAGAGAAACTTATCGCTATTTCAAGTAAAACTTTTTTCAGTGTGTAATAATTATTATTTCTTTGAAAAGTATTTATTTTTAAATGGCTTTATAAAATAAGCAATGCAAAAGATGACTCAGATACTAATTGTAATTGTTCTAGCCATAGTTTAAGTCTAGTAATGTAAATTCTATTTAAATTGAGACCATTGAGTGAAATTATTTGAATTTTAGTTAGTTAAATCTCTTTGTTAGGTTATAATAATTATTTCTTTAAAAATTTTTAAATTGTTTAAAATAAGCAGCCCCATACAACATTCCCGCGCGCTTGCGCGCGGATAGTTTGGCTAGTAATAGAAATAAATTTCACAAGAATTCAATTATTCACAAATTTTTTATAAATTTTGTCGCAATAATTCAATTATTTTCATAAATAATAAATTTATTTGCAGAAATTCAATTATTTTCAAAAATTTTTCTCAATTCAATGATTTTCAATATTTACTATTTTAATAAAATTTTCCAAAAGAATTCAATTATTTACAAACTTTTTATAAATTTCTTTGCAATAATTCCATTATTTATATAAAAAAAATAAATTTTTACACAAATTCAATTATTTTCATAAATTATAAACATCTTTTTAGAAATTCACTTATTTTCATAAACAATAAAATTCATTGCAGAATTTCAATTATTTTTTAATACAATTTTAAAATTTCAATTCTGTTGATATTAGTTGAATTTTTTAATATGTATTTAATATTATTTACAAAATTTTAACACTATTCTTAGAAAGAAATCAATTATCTTGATAAATATCAAAATTTTTCTCAGAAATACAATTGTTTTCAAGAATTTTAATAAAATTCTTTGCAAAATTAAATTATTTTCTAAAATAACAATATTAATCACGAGAATAAAATTATTTTCTAATTATTTTCTATAAAATTCTTTTCAGAAATTCAATTATTTTCAAAAATTAAATAAAAATTCTCGTCATGATTTCCATTATCTGTATAAACATCAATATTAATCGTTGAAATTCAATTATTAAAGATAAATTTTAATAAAATTCTACGCAAACATTTAATTATTTTCATAAACAATAAAAATTTACCAGGATTTCAATTATTTACAAATTTTTAAAAATTTTTTCACAATAATTCAATTATTTTTATATATAATAAAATTGTTCTCAGTAATTTAATTATTTTCATAAAGAATACAACTTGACGCAGGATTTTAATTATTTGCGATACAATTTTAATCGAATTCCTCGTAAAATGTAATTATGCTTAAAAGTTTTATTAAAATTCGTCAAAAGAATTCAATTATTTAAAAATTTGTTGATAAAATTATTAATGAGAATTTTATTTTAACAAAAATTTAATTATTTTTTAATTTAAAAAATTGAATTTTCGTAGAATTTTCTAATAGAAATTGATTTAAAAATGAATTTCCGAACAATCGATTTATTATTTATGAAAATAATTGAATTCTTTTGAGAAATTTTACTACTTGTAAAAATAATTGAATTCTTGCGAAGGATTTTAATAAGGATATTTGTAAATAAATAAATAAATTTTTTTTCACAAATTTTATGGTAATTTAAATTATTATAAAACATGAAGAAATGTTTTGAAAATTTTAATTCTTTTATAAAAATAATAATAATTAAATATTTATTTAAAAAAGAAGTTATTGATGTTTTCGAATAATTTCAGTTTTGAAGAAATTTATAAATAAATGTAATAGAAAATAATTTGTGAGTATCTAATAATTTTTAGAGTGAATAAGAATATTCTTTAGGGTCAGGGAAAAAGTAAAAATTTTTTCTGTAAACCAGGGAAAAAGAAAATTAATTATTTGTGGCTACCCTGTTAATTTTTTTATAGAGCTTAAAATATTGAAGATAATGAGAATTTAACTTTTAGGTGATATCGTTAAAGCAACAAATTACTCTGCTGGAAGAAGGAAAGGGCAGTTTACATCTGCAGTCACAAAGTTCTTTATGACAGAGTGAATGAATGTGATTAGTGACTTGGACTTTTATAATTACAGTCTTTAACATGCGCAGCAAACATTATAAGTGAAATTAACGAACTTAGTAAATATTGAATTTTAACAAAAATATTTACATATGTACATAAGCACAAACGAAGTGATAAAAGTAAGTCAAAAGCAATTGCTTCTTGTCTTTTAAGTGTAAGAAAATTTTTTTACGATAAATGCATTTTGTATATTACGTATTTACATCTCGAATAAACATTTGATGTTGTTTTTAATAATTTTTAGGACTTTTATTGAAGAATTCACTGTTGGTTGAGTAGGTTTATTTTCACAATCAATAAATAACAGAACCATTGCTTCATGGTAAAAGTATTATTAAAAGTCTTTAAGGTAGTAAACGTAGAATTAAAGTATTTAAAGTATAAAATTTTGAATTTAGGAATTGATTTTCATTAATTTTGTCTTATTTCCATTGCCATCGTCTCTGTGGCATTTTGACCAGGAACGGCGGGTTCCTGATCATTTTCAGGTACAGCGGTAAAATCCAAATGTCCATTTTTCATAATTTCCTCTTTCAAGTGTACACAAGCTTGTTCAATTTCATAATTTCTTGACACTAATCCCACCCATTGAGCTTCGAGGGCTCTCAGTTTTTCTCCACCCTGTGTCTGCATTGATTTCCTCTGCCAATTTATTTCCTGAATTTCTTTCTTTAATCCTTGAACTTGCTTTTGAGAGTCATTCAATAACTGAACTAGAACTTCTAAATAAGACTTCCATGCCTCGCATCCATAATCCATCATTTGCTCCAAATTGCAAATTCTAAGTTAAAAAAATTAATGTTTAAATACAAATTATGTTAATATTTTTTTTAGTTTTAAATTTTCTTTATATTTATATTAACAAAATTTTTATTACCTAGTTGCTTGATGCTGCAATTGAGCGTAACTATTTTCTACACTTTCAGTCCAAGCTGAAAGATCGTTCATTTTCCCAGGAGCCGGAGGAGGAAGTTCGTATCGTTTCATTGTGAGAACTTCCATCGTTAAACAATTCTGAAGTCTTTCAAATTCATGTTTCATAACTTCAGTTTCAAATGCATTCATATTCAGAGCTGGAAGGTGTTCTAAGTAATTTTTGGTTGGTCTGTAACGTCGCGTTTCCTCTTCTACCATAGCTAAAGCCTGGAAATATATTACATTTCTTGGAAATTTAATTTTAAAAGAAGGTCTTGTTTTTATAAATGAAAATTGTTCATTTATAAATGAAATTGTTATCTGTCGAAATAGTTTATTAGAACAAACACTTTTACTTACTGCTTCTCTAACTCCTGGTTCGTCGTACCCTTGATCGATATATGGCAAGGCATCTTCAATAACTTCTCCTGCCATTATTAAGAGTAATCTTTTTTTTTTTAATACTTTCTGTTAATTAATAATCCTATTTTTATTTTTATTTTAATTTTTTAATCCAAAACAAGTAGTTTGCTGTCAATTTCGATACATGTTTATTTAATGTGAAAGAACCTTTAAGAACAGGGTTGTGTAGATAGCACACGTTTCCCAAAGAGCATAAAGGCCTTTCTTCAATAGATTTCGCTGTAGGGCATAAGGCTGCGTTCACACAAGTAGAAAAACATGAGAGTGAAAAGAACAACAATATCTCTCTATCTCTTTTGCACCCATGATTCCTCATATGGGATCGCACCTTTAAGCTACCTCGAGTAACCCAACACTGATTATTACGCTGAGAGGTATGAACACACCTAAAGATGGTTTCTTTCTTATTTATTTAAAAAAAAATAAATATCAGTTGTAACTTATAAATTGTAAAAATCAAGAATGAAAGAGGACAGAAACTGTTTCTATCTCGTAAAAGTTTATTTTCTAAATTCTAAATAGATTTGACAGATTGTTGGATGTTGGCTTTTCAGTTTTTTTTGTTGTTATTATTATTACACAGACTGTGTATCTGACTCTCTTACTCCAATGCAAATTTTCCTTTCTGGACAATTTTTACAGAAGGTGTAAACGCTCCATTAGAGAGACGTTATAGAATATTTGCATATGTATTGATATGTGTATTAAATCTATTTTCCGAAAATGTGAAATTATCGTTATCGTTCTGAAATTTTTAAAGTTCTATTTCACTTCATATACAAAGTGTTTGTTTTCAAGTGCATTAACAGGCCTTTAATGTAAAAAGTCATAACAACATAATGTGCGATGCTCCATGTAAATATTTGGGAAAATATTAACAAATCGTGAGGAGAGTGGAATCTGTATACACAGTGAAGCATATTTTAGATAATGGAGTGTCAGTGTTTGCAATCATTGAGAAACATTACTACGAATAACGAAGAAAAAAAGGTAAAATCTATTTATTAGAAAAAATAATCAATTTTTAATAATATTTACTCTTTTCTTTCTCTTAAAAAAAAAAGAATTCCTATTCGATTGAGCCTATTATCTTATTAACAATACTCATTCTTTAAACGATCATTTCTTAATGATTCTTAATAAGATTATTACGAGGTCTGGAATAAAAAAACAGAGAACAATTAGTTAGAGCACCATGGACGATTCCATTTCAAATATTATATTTTGTCCTACTTTTTCCCCTTGACAAATATTAATGTCGAATTGAGTTTATTTTTAAAATCTTTTAAAATAGAGAATTTTTCTTTTTTTAGAACATTGTCTTTTGAAATATTCGGTGACCCTCTTTCAATATTTCGGAATAGGGAATAAGTATTTATTTTTGCCGCAATTATTGATGTTTCAGAAAGCTCCCTCAATCTGTATATTCAACAAGTATTAATACTTGTTACGTAACATGATCAATTTTATTATTTAGAAATATTTTTTTTTAATTAATTGCTGTGACTAAATTTTCGAATTTCTTTAGGTCAAAGGAGAACGGAAGAATTTAGGAGGTAAAATTAAAACAAGACAAGATGTTAAGGAAAAAAGTACGTGAAATTCCAAGGAAAAATTCATAAGCAATGGATGAGATTCGCAGTCGTCTCTCACAAATATCAGATCCAATTAGTCGAATAACTTCGGACTTTGGCTCAAATTCAGCGCCATGCAGTCCACGTCTTCGTGTTCGAGTTCACGACTCATCGCCAGAAGAAGGAGGAGGAGGAGGTGGTGGACGAGGAGGAGTATCGTCCGGTGAATCCGATGGATCACGTGGACGAGCCGAGTTCATTGGCTCAGAGAGTCCGAGATTTAATTCACGGCGAATTTGTCAGGCACCAGTGCCACCGCCTCGACCACGGAATAAAGACATAAATATATCGCCACGCGATTCACCTTACGTTAATGTTCAAAATCTTCTCTTCCATAAAAATGATAATTCAACGCAAGCGGCGCGAAATGCAGGATACGTTGAATTAAAAGACAGCAGTGGTGGTGACAGTGGCAAAAGGTCATTTAAATGCAGTCCCTATACATTCACATCCGAGTCAAGTGGTCAAGTTGAATATGCAGATAAAAGGATATTCGATCAACAAACTGGTTTTGGACAGAAATCCTTTGAGAACAAAGCGAGCGATTTACAGAATTTCAGTTTAAATTCGCCATACGATATTGCATTGTCAACGAGTCGCGGTGGTAATTTTGAACGATCATTTTCGTTTAGCAATAAAAAACATTATCAACAAGATGGAGGGAGTCAACATTATTCGGGAGATAATCAATTATTTGTGGATAAAACACCGTCAAGTGCCAGTGGAACAATGGATGGGAAAAGGGAATCTAGTTTTGTTTACAGTGCCTCGAAAAGTTTCGATGGATTTTCAAATACCGTCGAGGAATTTAATTGGCAGGAACGATGTTTGGAACTTCAATTAGAACTCCATAGGAGTCGGAGTCAGGCGACGAGAATTCGAGATATGCTGCGTGAAAAGGTAGCTTTTCTTTAATTACTGTGGAAATTTTCGACTTTGAAAAAAGAGTTCTAGTGACTTAAAATTCGAAATTTGAAGAATTTTACTTTATTTAATTATTTACTTTATTTATTAACAATACTAATTATTAATAATGTAATAAATTTTTAAATGAGTAGAAAATTCGAAATTTGTAGCATTTTTTTTTTAATGAGTAGAAAATTCTGCAAATTTTGAATCAAAATTTAATCAAAATTGGAAAATTTTGATTACATTTTAATTCGAAATTTGTAGAACTTTTTACTCATTTAAAAATTTATTACATTATTAATAATTAGTATTGTTAATAAATAAAGTAAATAATTAAATAAAGTAAAATTTAAAATTTGTACATATAGAAAGTTTTTCCATAATAGCAAAGGACAATTTTTTGAAAATTGTAAGCTTTTTTTTTAAACACACTGAGAATGAAATTAGTTCTATTTTTAATAATAGATTTAATAAAATCTCTATCTATATTCATTTTTATTTCTTCCAATTGATCTAAATTCATTAATTATTTAAATTTTGAATGTAAATTTAAGTAAATTAAATTTAAATGTAATTTTGAATATAAATTTAAATAATATTTAAATGATTTTAAAACATTTAATAACGATTTTTTATAATTAGATTGTACCTAGATTTTTATTGCTCTAGTAAATGAGTCATTTTATTTTAAATAAGATAAATAATTTTTCGCCAATGAAAAATATTATTAACGTTATAAATTCAATTTTGATAAAATTAAAAAATTTAATAAATTTAAAAAAAATTAAAAAGTAAAAAAAGAAAATTGAGGAAAAAAGTTAGGAAAAAAGAAAATTTAAATAAAATTAGCAAAGGAATTAATTCCTTATTAAAATTGACACTTTATTCTCAATTTAGTGCAAAAAGAAATCATTACTCGCAAAAATTACAAGTCGAGCAATTTTTTTTCTCCACTGTAATCAAAATGACAGATTTTAATTTCATATTTATTTTCAGCTCTCGGAACTTGAACAACGAGTCTTGGAAGCTGAGAGCAGAGCTGACGATGCTGAAGATAAGGTAAAAAAAATCATCTTCGTATATTTAATTAATGATATTGCCATCAATTCGTAATTTTATCAATTATTCCAAAAAGATTAAAAGAGAAATTTTTTCAATTAAAGAGAAATTTTCTCAATCAAAGAGAAATGTTTTCAATCAAAGAAAAAAGTTTTCCACGAAAAGAGAAATATTTTCAATAGTTTTCAATATAAAGACCATTTTTTTTATTTCATATAATTAGAATAAAATTAATAGGGAGATGACAATTTTTTTTCGCACAGGCAAAATAAATATCGATTCGATCATTTGCGGGAGAGCTTTTTTGGACACGAATTTTATCTATATATTCAACAACGATAGTCATGCATTGAAACGCGCATGTTTTACCATTATTTCACTCTGTATTGATTTTTGTTTCTAAAGCTAAAATGGAGGGACCACATCCCGGTGTCGGTGTTTTGTTATGATTTTTCCATTTTTAACAAAGAATTGTCAGTTGGTCATTTTTTGCATTAATAACAATTTCAATGAATCAATTATACCAAATGCTTTATAAATTCAGTGAATTTTAATTTCTCTTAAATTATGATTTTCTACCGGTGACACGATTTTTAAAGGTATTTTCAAAAAAAAAATCTCTAAATAGAAATTCATATTTCATTAAAAATTTCAATTCATTAAAATTTCGAACATAAGTAGTAGTAGAATTTATTTAATATTTATATTATACCTATTTTTCATTCACCCATTTTTTAATTCGATTTTTAATATATTGTATTCGAAAGAATCGATTTTTTCAATTTTGGAAATTCACTTTTGTGAAAGCAAAAATGATTTACGCAGGAAAATTATTTATCAGTCCTGGAAAATCGTGTTTTATCACTATGCTTATCAGAATTTCTGTTGAAAACACTTGAGTTTGTTTGAAGAAAGAATTTTTTTTAATTTTCATTGTTGAAATTTAATTATTATATTTTTCAATTTTTATTAATTTATAATGATAATATTAATAATTTTGAATAATTCTAAATTGAATTATTAAGTAAATAAATATATTGAAATTTTTTGTTTCTCTTTTTTTATTGAGAGGAAAATTTAATTGTATGTAATTTAATAATTGTCTCGGTATAATAACGATAAGAATATACGACCCCCGTTTTTATTTTATATAGTGTTTCGTGTATTGTGTGGTGCTTTGTGCTTTCTGTGTCCAACCCCTCAACATATATTGGCTCCCAGCCAATATGAGTCACCGACTCTAGGAAACTCCACGGTTTAGTTCAGTCTCGTACTGTGAACTCGAGTCGTCGTTTTTCCATGGCTTATATTACTCCAAAACTATAATCAGCTTCTTTGCCCTAAAATCATATTTCTAAATTAAATTCAGTACATTCGAAAATATCATCTCTTTCATTCTCTCTTTCTCTTGATCTCTCTCTTTATCTCTCCTTCTCGTTTGCAGTAATTGCAAAATAAAAATTCCAATTTAAAAAGTGTTCTTTCACTGAAAGTCATGGCTCAACGATTTTCCGGTAACATTTTTCAATATTTTACTGTTTTTATTATTTTTATTTATTATTTTTACTATTTTGTAGATTTATTTTGTAAATAAATTTCTCTGGTTATTAGTACTTGTATCGAATTTTACTTGTTTGTATTTTTATTTTTTAAGGCTTAAATTTTTTTATTTACATTTCTTCAAATATTTTTCCTTTCTTCGATCGTATATTTAGAATCAACTTAATAAATTAAGTTCTATAATTGAAATTTTATTTTTTTAGATTTAAAATTTGTTTTAAAAATTCTTTTTATTTTATATTTTAAATTTTGTGAGTTGACGGGAAAAAATGTTCTAATCTGAATCAATTTAATAAATTAACTTCTATATTTGAAATTATATTTTTTCAAATTTAAAATTTGTTTTGAAAATTCTTTTTATTTTATATTTTAAATTTTGTGAGTTGACGGGAAAAAATGTTCTAAACTGAAATAATGTTTCTGTGTATAAATAGATAACAAAAAGAAAAGAAAAAAATTGTGGAAAAAAGTTGACATAAGAGGGTCCCCAAATGAAAGATTCATAATTAAAGGCACCGCGTCTTTTTATAGCTTTGCGACTTTCACGAATATATTCGTATATACGACTTTTCAGCAAAAGTTCCGAGACATATTATTAATTTTATATTCTTTTACAGAGTTTGATAAAAAATTTCTTTTTAATATTTATTTTTCATTTCGAAAATTTCTTTTCAATTTCAATAATGATTTTTTTTTACGAAATTTTTTGTTTGTTAATACAAATAATAAATGAAAATTTAAAAATAATGTAATTTAAAAAATTGTAGTTATTATTTAAATAATATAATTGATAACAAAAAAAAAAATGCTGTACTTTATGATCATTGAGAAAAAACTTGATACTGTAACACAATATTGATTTTTTTCCTAAAAGCTTCCCTTCAAAACATAATGCACGTATATCCCATAAACATAAGGACTATTGATTTCTGACAGATGGTCTTTGTACTCACATTAAATGAATGAATATTTAAATCAATTTGCATTTTTGGATTTTTAGATTAAAATTTTAATTTAAATTTAAATTAAAAATATTTATAATTGAAATTACAATTGAAATCAATATTAAAATTGAAATTAGAATTAAAATTTAAAATTGAAATTGCAATTGAAATTGAAATTGAAAAAAAATTGTAATTAAAATTAAAATTGCAAAAAGAATATAGTTTTCAAAACCTCATTTGAATTAATTTACCGAGTTGGACATTTTAATATTTATTTAAAATATGAAAAGAAATTTTCAACTTTTGTCAAATTTTTTTAATTGTCATTAATTACTGAATTAATTTTCATAGGTGCGCATGATGGAGGAACGCTTAGTAAAAGGTGAATATTGCCTAAGTGCTTCAAGAGTTGGTTCTCCTCCACATTCATTGCCATCAACTTCTGCCTCTCAAAGTGATACAATCGAAGACGTTCATTGCGCGTGTATATCGAAATTGGAGACACAGGTGGAGGAACAGGTACAATTTTTTTTATTTTTTCATAGAATTAACTCTTGATAAATTTCATTTTTCTATTCAGAAAATAAAAAATTCAGAAACATTTAATTTACCATTCAACAGTTCTGTTAATTGAAAAGTATATTTTCCACTCTCACAATTGCTTATTTTTAATTCTCTCATTTTTTTATTAGAAACGGACTTGTCCCGTTAATATTGAAATAAATATTATTCCAATTATTTGGAAATAATTTTGTAAATAAATTTAGAAATAAATTTGAAATATATTTTGAAGTAAGTTTGGAAATAAATTTGAAAGTAAATTCCAAATTATTTAAAGAGGAAGAATTAAAATTTTCTTTCAAATTATAATAATGTATTTAAAAAATTTGTCTTCACAGAGACAATTACGTTTGCAAGACGCAAGACAAGTTGAAGCAAAAGCCGCAAGAATTAAGGAATGGGTAACAAATAAACTTCGCGAGCTTGAACAACAAAATCAACATCTCCGAGAACAAAATAATAAATGCAATCAACAATTGGAATTATTACGAAATCACATAACTAACATTGGATTGAGACCACCTGTGAGTTGTTATTATTTATTCTATTGATTATTTATCTCGTTTCTATATTTGTATTTCTTTTGTTATTTGATTTTATTTTCTATATCACTGCTCTCAATTATCTCGATTTTATTTTATCTCGTTAGTTTTAGTTATTGTTTTGAATAAAAGAAATATTCATTTTATATTTAATACAAAAGAAGAAAGTTTTATTCTATTGTTTCTATTTCAGTTTCCAATTTTTGTTATTTAACTTTTATTTGACATCTTTTGTTATATTTTCCTCTACATATTTCTATGTTTATTCTATTTTTCTATTTCTATTTTTCATTTTAATCTTTACATGAGAAGAAACTTTTTTAATAAATATTCTTTTTGGGTTATAGAGCAAACAAGGTTTTAATTAATTTATATTTATAGATTTCTTCGAGAGGATTATTGTCTCTTGAAGTTGATCCTATGCTGCGGAGACAATCCGAAAATCTTGAAGAATCATCGCAAACGGTAGCGGAAGATATTCAAAGTGTTTCCGAATCGCAAACAGGTTTAAGGCACAGAAGGCATTTATCGGTTTGCGGAAATATTCAAGGAGTCATTAACACCAGCAATATGGATTCGAGGTATGTAAAGAAAAATTTGTCTCTTGAAAATTTAAATGTTTTAGATAAAAAGATACTTGTTTTTAAATTTGAAAAATAATAAATTATAATCGAAAAATGTAAAAGAGTAAAAAGAAATATCTTTTCTTTTTTAATTCTAGTTTGTTATCCGAGGAACTGGCGGCAGCGGTGGAAAATTTGGTAATGTTACCAAGTATGACTGGAGTATCGGATTCAAGTAGAAACAGTAATTCGGAAACAATTCACGATTATGCTGAAATATACACTCCAAGTAGAGAGGGAATTAATTGGAATCAACCCACGAGTCAAGATCCACGACCACCTACGCCTCCGCTTCATAGGTTTCCTAGTTGGGAAGCAAAAATTTATCAGGTAAGAATTTATTAATAAAGAATCGGTAAATTTAATTTCATTTAATATCAAAAATAATATACATCCAAATTTTACACAAAAACATTAAAACATTTTTTATTATTTTTTTCAGTTCAACTTATTTAGTTTTGATTTGAAAAAAGAATTTAAGTTTAATTTTTTTTAATTTTTTTTTTAATTTTAATTTTTTTTGTTTTCGAAATAATATTAACTATTCAGAGTATAATTACATACTATTTAAATAATTAAATTTAAATTATTAACTTTTTCTTGATTTTTATTTAAATGTTTCGAACTTTCATTTACGCAAAAAGTGCTTAAAGTTAAAATTAAACTATTATTCTTTTTATTTAATATATTACAGATTGCAGACGGTGGATTGGGCATTGGTCCTCCTACCAATGAAGAATCTGCGCCATCAACAACAAATACAAATTCCTCAAAGTATTCGCAAGCAATGGGACATAATTTGGCAGCACATAATTCTCAAGGATATTGCGATATATCCGTTCCGGTTTACGCCACCGTCAAAGGTTTACATTTCTTTTTTTTTATATTTTAGTTTTTAATTATAATATAATTTTATAATAATTTTTTCGTCTATTTTATTAATATTGTAAAATAATTAAATAGGTCGCGCGAGTCAAATCAGATCGATTCCATTTGGCGATAGTTCTGACGATAGTTCCGACGGCGAAGATCATCCAAATCAGCTCGAATCAAATACGAGAATAACAAACAGTTCGTCTGATAATACGGATTCGTCACTTGCGAGTAGCAGCAGTCCATCGAAAAGTGTTAAAACAACGAGCAGTTTGAGTCCGGCGAAAAGAAGTTCGAATGGCTCGCCAAGCAAAAGTGTCAAGCGTGGTATGTATCTGTCTATTTTTAATTACATTTTTTAAATTTTTTACTATATAAATTGAACTCTTAAGAAGAATTGAATCAAAAAATTTGAAAATAATTTCATTATTTCGGAAAATGTTATTAAAAATGTATTGAAAGTAATTGAATTCTCGCGAAGAATTTTATTATTTATGAAAAGAATTAAATTTTTTAAAAATTATTATTCTTTTTAATAATTTTAATTGAAAATTTTCAAAATATAATTATAATTGAATTTCATGGAGAATTTCTTTCAAGTTTTTAAAATAATCGCATTTGTTAATAAATGTAATTCAACAATTTTAATATTGAATTTTATTAATATTTTAAGAAATAAATAAATTTGATAATTAAATCCTTTCGAGAAATTCTATTAAAATTATATTGATATAAATTTTTGAACAATTTCATAATCAAAATTTAAAAAATTCACTTATTAAGTACCTACATAATTAATTATTATTGTTTATATTTTCAAAAATTTTAATTTAATTCTTCGCAAGAATTCAATTATTCTTCGGAAGAATTCAATAATTTTTATAAATAGTAAAATTTTTTGCAAAAATTCAATTATTTTCAACAAAAATTTTAATGAAATTTCACGAAAAAATCCAATTATTTTCTAAAATATTAGCAATCTAATTATTTTCTTAAATAGTAAAATCTTTCCAAAAATTCAATTATTTTTAATAAAATTTCACGAAAGAATTCAATTTTTTTCTTAATCCGTTATAAAACTTTTTAAAAGAATTCAATTATTTTTATAAATAATAAAATTCTTTGCAAAAATTCAATTATTTTTAATACAATTTTAATAAAGTTTTATGAAAGAATTTAATTTTCTTTAAATTTTTAATAAAATGCTTCGAAAGTATTCAATTATTTTCTAAAAATTTTAATAAATGCAACAGAAGAATTGAACTTTTTAAAAATTTTTAATCAATTTTTTTGAAAGAATCTTATTATTTTGTATGTTTCAATAAAATTCCTTGAATGAGTAAAATTATTTTAGGAAATTGTAATAAAATTCTCAGAAGAATTTATTTATTTTCTAAAAATTGAAATAAAATTCATTAATTAAATGTTTAATTTCAATAATTAAGAAACACGATTATTTTAAAAACTTGATAGAAATTGTTCATAAAATTCAATTACTTTAGAAATTTTTAATTAAAATTATTAAAGAAGCTCCATTATTTTAAAAAAGTTCAAAGACATTTTTTAATAGAATTAAATTATGATTTTTAAAATAAAATTCTTGGAAGGAATTCAATTATTTTTCTAAATAATAAAATTCTTGAAAGGATTTCAATTATTTTTCTAAATAATAAAATTCTTGAAAGTAATTCAATTATTCTCAAATTTTTTGATAAAATTCTTTACAAGAATTCAATGATTTTTAATACATTAATTTTAAAATAGAAAATATTTGAAAAGAAAAATTATTAAAAACGTTTAGGAAACAAAAAATTAAACAACAATTAACTTCAAACTGCGAACAAATTACCGGAATTACCGGAAGATTTTTAAATACATAATTAATTAGTAAATTAGTTTAAAAATTTTGAATCAGAAATTATTTAAAAATTAAAGTTCATATTTGCTGGTATTTTAATAATTTTATATTTGATTGATAATATGAACTTGTCAACAAAATGTTACAAAATAATTAATATTTCAAGATACATCTTTAGAATCGGGATTGTCTGAAGATTACGCAATACCTCCCGACGCTCTCAGTTTAACGTCATTAGAATCCAGTATTCCTAATTTATTAATGCGAGTCTCCGGCGATAGTCCGAAACGACAGGAGTCTCTAGAGAAAGCCGGTCAATTGGCAAAACTTGGCGGCAAACTGAAAACGTGGAGAAAACGGTGGTTTGTACTGAAGAACGGCGTATTAACTTATTGGAAGAGCCAGAATGATATTAATCGTAAACCGCAAGGGCAAATTATTTTAGATGACGTCTGCAGGTTTGTTCTTTATTTTCGCAAAAAAAAAAAGAATTTAATGTAGATTGAAAATAATAAATAATAAAATAATTGATTTGTTTAGAATAAATAGAGCCGATGGTGCAGCTACTTTCGAAATAGCGACGGGGAAAAAGACTTATTATTTAACAGCCGATTGTATTGCGACTATGGAGGATTGGATAAGAGTTTTACAGAATATTCAAAAACGAAATGCAACAAAACTCTTGTTAAACGGCGAAGAGAATAAGCCGACAATTCAAGGATGGCTCACGAAAGTCAAAAATGGTCACTCAAAGAAATGTTGGTGCGTTCTTATCGGGAAAATGTTTCTTTATTTCAAGTGTATGAACGATACGGTGAGAATATTTTTAAACTTTAATATACTTTATTATATTTTATTATATTTTTTTATTTATTGAGTAATATTTTTACTACTTTATCAAATAGAATTTAATTATTTATTTCGAAATAACCATTGCAGAATCCAATTGGTCAGATAAATATGAGAGATGCTCGCGTGGAGGAAGTGGAACACGTATCGGACAGCGACAGCGAGGAAAGAGATTCTGAATGTCCTTATGAGCGAACGATTGGAATATTTCCAACGCATCAGTGTCCAACTTATTTATTAATTCCACACAAACAGGACAAGGACAATTGGCTCTATCATTTAACAGTCGTTTCCGGTGGTGGACCAAATGCAGGAACACAATACGAACAACTAGTACAAAGATTGATGGAAACTGACGGCGATCCGAGTTGTGTTCTTTGGAGACATCCTCTACTTTTACACACTAAAGAAAACATCACTAGTCCATTAACCAGTTTGAATTCCGAATCATTACAAACTGAAGCTATTAAATTATTCAAGGTATCTATTAATCTTTTTTAAATCTAAATTTATTTATTCAGGGCTGCCACGCAACCTAAAAACCTGGAAAATTCAGGAAATTTTTATCGAAATCCTGTAAAATTGTTGTTTTCTAAAGTTATTGTGCTTATTCTTGTAATCTAATTTTACTTAAATATTTCAAAATTAATTCAATTTTAAAAGAGTTGTGTTTACAATTTTCATAAAAAAGATGAACTTCAAGGTTATAGTTTAAAATTTTGTAAAATTTCAATTTTCAATGAATTGTATTAGAAATCTTAAAGAACCTAGATTTTTTAAAAACATTAATAATTCAAATTCTTCTGAAATTAGTTAAATTTTTTAATATATGTTTAATTGATTATTAAAAATAATGGATTAAGAGAAGAATTTTAGTTAAAAATACTAAAAGAAAAATTAAATTAACAAATGATTGCAGAAATTCAATTATTTTTAAAAATTTTCCTTAATTCAATGATTTTCAGTAGGTATCTATTACTGTAATACAATTTCACAAAAGAATTCAATTATTAAAAAGAAATTTAAATAAAATTCTACTCAAACATTTAATTATTTTCATAAATAATAAAAATTTCACAGGAATTCAATTATTTATAAATTATTTTCATAAATAATAAAGTTCTTTTTTTTAATTAAATTATTTTTATAAATAATAAAACTCATCCCAGACTTTCAATTACTTTTAGTATTTAATTGAATTTTTAATTTTTAATTGAATTCCTCGAAAAATATAATTATTTTTAAAAATTTAATTATTTTAAAAATTTTTATGAACATTCATGAAAGAAAAAAAATTATTAAAAATAATTTAAATCTAAATTCATTTTTTAACAAAACTCTTGTTTATTTTATTTAACTAATTATTTTTGTGTTAAAAAAACAGGCGTGCCAATTATTTATGTCAGTGGCAGTGGAACAGGCGGGAATCGACTATCACGTGGTTCTTGCACAAAATGCATTGCAGCAGTGTTTGGATCAACCTGAACTCCAGTCGGAATTCATTTGTGCATTGGTAAAGCAGACAAGTCGTCACGTTCAGCAACGATTAGGCGTACAGGTAAAAAAGGCCGCAAGACTAGTGTCGCTGGGTACTGCGCGCGTTGTAAGTCCTGCTTATTGTTTAACACATTTAACACCATTGTACCATTTTTGATTTTTTCAACCTACAGACAAAACAAAAGGATATTTTTTCTTCTTCTTCTTCTTCTCTTCTTCTAAAAGAAAAATGGTACATTGGATTACAGTCTGTTTTTTTTGTTAAAAGAAAAAAAGTAGTCAGTCTTGTCTAAAGTGATTACGATATTGAAAATATTTTTTGGTTACTGCTTGAAGAAAAATGTCTACTTTATTTTCAATATTTTATTTTATTATACAATTACAGTTACAATGATAAATTTTAATTATTTTGTTATACTCTACTTTTTTCTATTTTTATTCTATTTTTCAATTTATTTACTTTATTTTTTGTCTTTTTGTAGAAATTAATTTTTCAACTCTTCATTTTCATTATATTATTTGTATAAAATTAGGTTTCTCTACATTCATTATACGTTTAATAATTAAAAATATTGATATAAATTATATAAATTATATAAAAATAAAAATCGAGCTTAATAATGTATTTTCAGTTATAATAATGAAAGAAATGATTAACAATTAATTATTTTTTATTTTTAAATATGTCAAGAAAAATTCTTTATGAATTGTGTTGACATTCGTATATTAATTATTAACTAGAATAGACTATTTATTAGAAATAGAAATAGAAAAATTGCTCATTTATACTATCTTAGAATAATTGGCGCTTTTCTCATTCATAACTGTGAATTATTTTCGGGTGATAATCATTTAGACAATGTACTTGACGAACTTTTAACAGACTGAACTTGGTCAAGTATTATGCTAGAGAGCATCTTTTTTACTTATCATATTACTTAAGCACATACGACACCATAAAACTAATCATTTTACTATTATGGTATTGTTAAAGCAGTGCAGTCAATTTATTTCAAAAATTGTTTTTTCGTTCAGTGTGAAAATTCTAATCAATCGCCTATTTTTTTCAAAGTTCTTTTTTTAAATTAATTCGATTAGTGTAAATTAAAAAATTTAAATTAATATACTTTAACAATTGTTTAAAAATACTTTTGCAGTAGTTGTAAATAAATTATCTAATTTATCAATTTTGTTGAGAAAAAATTTTGGAATACAGTTTTTAATTTTTTTTTAATTGGCGATTGAGTTTTATTTTCATTTCAATTGAATTTTCTAATTTTCTTTGAAGTAATTTGAAGAAAAAAACTAATACTTGATAAAGTTTTTTATTATCACAATTTTTTCCATCCGAGCACATAAAACATTTTTAATTTTCATTTGCTGCTTTCAATGTGTTGTCTTTTTCTGTTACTCACATTATTTTGATGCTGCATGCAACTAATGTTGTAAGATAATTTTTATTAATTTTTACTATTCACACAAAATAGTAGATTTTTTTTCCTTTTTGAAAATACTTAAATATATCTTAAAGTTATCCCACTCTTGACGTGAACATATCTCGACAAAAAATTAGAATTAATTAATTTTTTTGATAATTAATTTTTTTTGAATTGGGAAAAATTCCCTTAAAAATGAAAAAAAAATATTTGTCAAAATATGTTCTGTGAGACACACACCTGCAGAATGGTATGTTGGTGTATACATGATAATTTGCACACAGGAAACAACTTCTCTAGACTCAATTTTTTATTTCTTCCTTTTAAAATTATTTTAGAAATATATATATATATTACGACACTATGTTTGAATGCAGCGTAGAGATCTAGTTTTACGAGTAGGGGATATAAAGGTATATATTTGCTATTCAACTGCCAGCAGTCCATTAGTCGATATTTATATAATGCTTTTTGGTAAATTAAAAAGTAATTTCACGTAGATTCACGTCAAAATTATTTTTATCCAAGGCAAGTTTTTTTTCTTTCTAACATTTGTATTTAAAAAGAAAATGAAAAAAACAGAAGAGAAATAAAACCTGTCTTTATAAAATTAAAAAATTTTCTCGAGTTCCAATCTACAAGAAAATCACTTTATTTTTACAAAAAATGAATATTTTATATGTCGGCCAGTGTCATTGCATTTTTTTCCATTCGCTTTTAAAATTGCATTCATTTTTTCGCATATTTCTAAAATGCATTGATTTTTACGCAATTAATAATAAATAAGACTACGCGGAAAATTAATTTCTAATTCATCAATTTAATGGTGTACAATCGTTCAATGAAAAATGTAGCTGATTCTTCACATTATATAATTTATTAATATGAAAAATTTCTTTCATGCTTTTTATTTAGTAAAATTGAAGTTAGTTTTCTTAGATTCAGTTAGTTGAGTTTTGCTACTAGTTTAAAGGAAAATAGCCATAGTAAAAATTCACTTATCATTACGAATTGAATTTTGCTTATTTTAATAGTAAATATTCATCGTAATTCAGTTGGAAAAATTAGATATTTCTTTCTTAATGATAAACCAAAAATTTTAAATGCTATAGCAATTTTAATAATTTCTTTCTCAGAATAGAAAAAATTTTGCTTTTTTGTTTCTTAAATTTTTAAATAATTTTTCTTTTCAAATATTTTCAATTTTAAAATTAATTTATTGAAAATCGTTCAATTCTTGCAAAGAACTTTATTATTTATAGAAATAATTGAATTCTTGCGAAGAATTTTATTAACATTTTTTGAGAATCTTAATTAAATTCTTTTGAAGAATTTATTTCAATCTTTTTTTAAAGAATGGAGATTATTTAATAAAATTTTAATTGAAGTTTTTTGAAAGTTATTATTAAATTATATGAGCAATTTCTATCAAGTTTTTAAAATAATCGTGTTTCTTAATAATTGCAATTAAACATTTGATTATTGAATTTTATTTCAATTTTTAGAAAACAAATAAATTCTTCTGAGAATTTTATTACAATTTTCTAAAATAATTTTATTCATTCAAGGAATTTTATTGAAGCATAGAAAATAATTGGATACTTTCAAAAAATTTTATTAAAAATTAAAGAAAATTGAATTCTTTTGTTGCATTTATTAAAATTTTGAAAAATAATTGAATTCTTTCGTGAAATTTTATTAAAAATTAAAAAAAAGTAAATTCTTTCATGAAATTTATTTAAAAAGTTGTATTAAAAATTATTGAATTGATTTGAAATGATTTATTAAAATTTTGAGAAAATAATTGAATTCTTTCGAACTACATTTTAATGAAAATAATTGAATTCTTTTGTTGGATTTTAAAAATAATTGAATTCTTTCGCCAAATTTTATTAAAAATAAAAAAAAAGTTCATTCTTTCGTGAAATTTTTCAAAAGTTTTATAAAAAATTATTGAATTGTTTTGATGGATTTATTAAAATTTTTAGAAAATAATTGAATTATTTCGTAAAATAGTATTGAAAATAATTGAATTTTTGCAAATTTTTTACTATTTAAAAAAATTATTGAATTCTTTTGTTGGATTTTAAAAAATTTTTTTAAATAATTGAATTCTTGTGCAAAATTTTATTAAAAATTTAAAAAAAGTTCATTCTTTCATGAAATTTTTCAAAAGTTGTATAAAAAAATTATTGAATTGTTTTGATGGATTTATTAAAATTTTTAAAAATAATTGAATTCTTTAGTAAAATTTTATTAAAATTTTATTGAAAGTAATTGAATTTGGGCAAAAAAATTTACTATTTATAAAAATAATTGAATCCTTCCGATGAATGTTATTATTTATGAAAATAATTGAAATCTCTGCAAAGAATTATATTAATATTTTTGAAAATATGAACAGTAATAATTAATTATTTAAGAAGTTAATAAGTGAATTTTGAAAATTTTTATTAAGTAATTATTTAAAAATTTATATTTGAAAATAAAGAATTTCACAATTTTCATAATAATAATAAATTGAATATCTCGTTCCGCGCGCTTAACATTTGCCAATGAATTATTAATTGAAAATTAAGGGAAATTATTTTTGAAAACTTGCAAAACTTTTTGCAGGAAAAATTTGACAATCAGCATATTAAAATAATTTCATTCATTTATAAAGTTTTTAACTTAAAATGCATTCAATTTAGAAAATTAAATTCAAACTGTTCTGAAAATGAAGAGTCATCTATATAAAACATGTATATATTTTTTAATCGAAAATTTATAGTTCACTAATTACAAAATAATATCATTTATTTGGGAAAAATTTAGGTAATTTAATTTATTTAATTCGTACTGATTATTGATTACGAAAAGTATTCAATTGAATTTAGACTAATTAGTAGTAAAAATAGTGAATTATTTTTCATTTCGTTTTCAAAATATTAAATTTACAGTAAAATGATTGTTTTTTTTTAATAATTTATTTTCCAAGATTTTAAAATTAATTTTTTAAGTAAAAGATGATAATTAATTTTTCAAATTAATGTTTCAAACAAAAAAAGGATTTGAATTTGAATTCTAATTTGGAGAAGTAAATTAATGGAGATTTTGTATTTGATAATTGATAAAGAATTGATTTAGAAAATAATAGAAATTGTTGAACTATGAATTTCGAGGGCAAAAAAAATTAAGAAATATATACGTGTGATGAACGTGTGTGTATATATAATTTTTGAAAAGAAAAATCATGTAAGTATGGTCGAAAGAAATGGCCATAGTAGTATGCCAGCATACCATTACAGCAACTCCTACTATGCGCAACGCAATCTCTCTTCACCTGCGATACGCAAAACCCCGCGGCAAACGGCGGTGGTGAAAATGCGGACGTTCTGTCGACGGCTTCCACTTCTCACAGTCCTCCGCTCACACAGGGACATTCAACGTCAAACGTCCTCGAGTGCAAAACGAATCCAGCCCAATATGTTCTGGTCCAAGGATGGCAACTATTGGCACTCGCCGTCTCATTATTTTTGCCCCGAAATAATCGTCTTCTATGGTACCTGAAATTACACCTTCAAAGAAACGCCGACTCCAAGTGAGTATTTTTTTCTAAAATTTCTTTTTCTACAATTTTCAATTTACACTTAATTAATTAATTAATTAATTACAGGGCTCGAACTAGGTCCGTAAATTTGTTTGAAGTCCGTAAAAGTACGTTTTTTTTTTTAAAAAGGACCGTAAATTTTTCAAAAATTCTCGTCAAAATTTCAATTATGTTTATAAATAATAAACTTTTTTGAAGGAATTAAATTATTTTCTAAAATTTTAATAAAATATTGGAAAAAATTTTAATTATTTTCAAATTTTTTTCTGAATTCAATGATTAATTTCTACTATTTTAATAAAATTTTTCAAAAGAATTCAATTATTAAAAAAAAATGTTTAATAAAATTCTTCTCAAGAATTTAATTGTTTTCATAAATAATAAAATTTCTTGAAGGAATTAAATTTATTATTTTCATTAATAATAAAATTCTTCGGAAGAATTCAAGTTTAGTAAAATTTCTCGAAAGAATACAATTATTTTTTAAAATATTAATTAAATTCAATTATTTTCAAAAATTCTGTTCTAAAAAAATTTTTAGAAAATGTTTAAAAATAATTTGATTTTTCTTGGAATTCAATTAAAATTGTACTTAAAATATAAATGAATTCTAGCAAAAATTTCATTATTTATGAAAATAATTTAATTCTTAAATTTAATTTTATTAAAAGTTTTTTAAAAATTGAACTCCTGTGAAAAATTCAATTATTTTTTTAAATAATTGAATTTTCTCGGAGAATTTTTACAAGATTTTTAAAAATAATTGAAGTTTTTGAAGAAATTAATTAAAATTGTATTGAAAATAAGTGAAATCCTGATAATAATTTTACATTTTGTCGAAAGAATTCAATTATTTGGAAAAATGTTGATAAAATTCTTGAAATTAATTCAATTATATTCAAATTTTTTTTATAAATACTTTACAAGAATTCAATGATTTTTAGTACATTAAGAATTCAATTATTTAAACAATTATAGATAAAATTCTTTATGAGAATTCAATTTTATAAATATGCAATTTTTAATAAATTATTTTTCTTTGTTTTTAAATAATTGAATTCTATCAGAATTTTCTTATTAAAATTGATTTCAAAATGGATTTCAGTTAATATTTTAGATTATAATTTAATATTAAAAGCATTAGAGCGTGGATTTTTGAAATAATTGAATTTTGAAAAGGTTTCAAATTAAAATCTTTGAAAATCTGAATTTTTTATATTTTTAACTAACAATTCTGTAGAATTAATTTTTATGAGAAATTTCAATTGCGGATTTATTTTTTAAATTATTTTACGTTTTTATTTTCTAATGTATATACTTAATTGAAGAATTTACGAATAATTGAAATTTTAGTAAAATTGAATTGTATACAAATGAATTTGAAAATTCTCAAAAAACTTTTTCAAAAATTATTTTAAAAAATGTATTTGTAGAAGAATTTTAGTTATAAACACGAAAAAAATTTAATTTTGGAAAAGTTACAAATTATTCCAGAAATTCAATTATTTTCAAGAGTAATAATATTCTTAGCAAAAATTAAATATTGTATTGAATTTTTTTTATATTATATTTGGAGTTTTTATTTTCTAATAAATAAATTTAATTGTCTTTTCGAGCCCTGTAATTAATTAAAATTTTAACAATTTAATATTTTGTATTGACATATAAAATTCATATGCTTTATTTAAACATAATTTAATATTTTTTTGTGCTAATATAAGAATTGATAAAAATTTCAGAACCGAATGTGGCAAGTATGCGGCGTACTGCGAAAGAGCTTTGGAGAGAACATTGCAGAATGGCGGAAGGGAAGTGAAACCATCGAGAATGGAAGTGCTGTCGATTTTATTGAAAAATCCCTATCATCATTCATTGCCACACGCGATACCTGTTCATTTTTTGAATGGCACTTATCAGGTTGTAAGCTTCGATGGAAGTACAACAATCGAGGAATTTCTCTCGACGTTAAATCAGGAGATTGGTTGCCGTGATGTTCATCAATCTGGTTTCACTCTATTCAGCGACGATCCAATTGAAAAAGATCTCGAACACTTTATTGATCTTCAATCAAAGGTATTTTTCCTTCGCAATTCAATTTTCAATTCAGCCATAAAAAATTGAAAAATAAAACCTTAGGAGGATTAAAATAAAATTACGTCTAAACTGAAAAATTAATTATTTGCTAAATTTCAATTTCTTTTCAGTTGTGTGACATAATTTCAAAGTGGGAAACCGCCTTGAGGGAGAAGGGATCGGGCAAATTTGAAAATACAAGAGTTATACAATTGACGTACAAATCGAGATGCTATTGGCGGCATGCGGCGAAAATGGAGACAGATCGAGAAAGACTTTTATTGTGTTATCAAGTAAATCTTCAAGTGGTGCAAGGAAAATTTCCTCTGAATCGCGAATTAGCTTTTGAATTAGCAGCACTGATGGCTCAGGTATTTATTTTTGTTGTTAATAATTATTTTTAATTGAGGGTGAATTTTTCAGTTAATTATTTCAATTATTATTCTCGTAGATTGACTTTGGAGAATATAATACTGATAAGGTGCGAGGGAGTGGACAAGGCAGTGGTAATCATCTCGTTTTGCAAGCACTAGATAAGTTTTACCCCATTAGGTATCGGTCTAATATAACTGCTGATCAACTCAGGTTAGTCTATTAATAATTTTTCTTTATAAATATCAAAGAAAAATGTATTTTTTTCTACTTTTATTGATTTTTGACGAAAATTCATTTTAACAATTAAGAGAAGATGATTATTTATTTCATTATTTTATTCTGGTAAGAAAGATCAAATATTTTATTTTTCTGTATTTCTTCACAGAGATTTACAAGAAAAATTGCAGGAGAAGTGGATTTCACTTAGAGGACGCAGTACTTTAGATTGTGTTAGAATATATTTAACTTGTACAAGAAAATGGCCTTTCTTCGGTGCAACCTTATACCAAGGGAAGGTAAAATATCTTCTTCTATATTTGCTTTTTTGTTTCCTCACTTTTTAAATAATTAATTTTATAAATAATATACAATTCTTCTTAGGAATTAAATTATTTTCAATACAATTTTAATAAAATTCAATAATCTAATTTCTAATTATAAATATTAAATTATAAATTGTATCATTATTAAATTTTACAAAGTTATAAAAAATTCAGTATTTAATTATATTATTTTCAAAAATTTCAATTAAAATTACTTAAACCCGACATTATTTTCAAAAAACTTCAAGAAATTCTTCAAAAAATTTTATTATATTTATAAAAACTCTAATAAAATTATCCAAAATAATTTAATTTTCTATTAATAAATAATAAAAAAAAAATTCATAATAAAATATGAAGAGTGCTAAATTGTTGATAATTTTTGTTACAGATAAAGCAAAGTGAACAAATTACCCTTTGGATTGCTGTTTCTGAGGACAGTGTGACTTTATTAGAAACACAAACAATGGCAGTGAGATGTCGTTATAATTATTCGAATATAATTACTTTTGGAGGATGTTTAGACGATTTTATGTTAGTAGCATGTCCAGACGAAGGTGCTGCAGAACAAAAGCTTTTGTTTATTCTCAGTAAACCGAAGGTAACTACTTGCTTTTAAATTTTAATCACAATTTTAAAAATAATTGTTAAAAATCGATATTCTTAATAACAAAAATTTTATTTTATTTCATTTTTTTCTCTAGATTTTAGAAATAACACTTCTGATTGCTGATTATATGAATGCCTTGGGTCACACATTGCCTGGAACACCACAAATGAATACTTTAACGAGAAATGGTTCTCATAGATCTCTCAAGTCTACAATAAAACTCCAGACTGGTAAGTTTTTTTTAAATATTAACAGGGTTGCTATAAAAATTTAATTTTGTATTTCCCTGATTTCCAGACAAAATTTTGTCTTTTTCCCTCACCCTAAAGAATATTCTGATTCACTCTAAAAATGACAAGATACTCAAAAAAATGTTCTATTACATTTATTTACGAATTTCTCTAATTGAAAATTTTTTCGAAAATAACAATAACTTCTTTATTGAATAAATATTTAATTATTATTATTTTTCCATAAGAATTGAGATTTTCAAAAATTTCAAATTCAAACCTTTTTGAAATTAAACAATTTTAAAAAAATTATTATAAAACATGAAGACATCGATTGCTCCGAGTCGAAGACTCGGAGTTTATTAAAGATTTATTAAAGAGGATCGAGTGATAAAATCATTATTTTTTACTAAAAAAAAATATTTTTCCTGTAACTTCTTCAAAATTATTTTCATCAATTCAATTCAATTATTATTTTATTGAATTTTTAACTAAACTTTTTCTTTAAATCAATTATTTTTAATAATTTTCAACTCCATTTGTTTACAATTCAATTTTACACGAAATTTAGTTTATTTGAAAATTCTTCAATTAGTTATATATTAGAAAATAAAAGCATGAAATAATTTTTTTTTAAATTCAGTTAAACTTTTTAAAAAAAATTAATTGAAAAATTCAAATTTTCCAAGATTTTAATTTAAAAACTTTTCAAAATTAAATTATTTCTAAACAGTTACGTTGTAACTGCTTTTAATGTTCAATTATTATCTAAAAATTTTAACTGAAATCCATTTTTTAATAATTATGTATTAGAAAATTCTACTAGAATTCAATTATTTAAATACAAAAAAAAATAATTTATTGAAAATTGCATAGATATTTATAAAATTGAATTCTCATAAAGAATTGTATCTATAAATTTGTAAATAATTGAATTCTTAATGTACTAAAAATAATTTAATTCTTGTAAAGTATTTATAAAAAAAAATTTGAATATAATTGAATTCATTTCAAGAATTTTATCAACATTTTTTTAAATAATTGAATTCTTTCGAAAAAATGTAAAATTCTTATCAGGATTTCACTTATTTTCAATACAATTTTAATTGATTTCTTCAAAAATTTCAATTATTTTTAAAAATCTTGTAAACATTCTCCGAGAAAATTCAATTATTTAAAAAAATAATTGAATTTTTCACAGGAGTTCAATTATTTAAAAAACTTTTAATAAAATTAAATTCAAGAATTAAATTATTTTCATAAATAATGAAATTTTTGCTGAAATTCATTTATATTTTAAATACAATTTTAATTGAATTCTAAGGAAAATTAAATTATTTTTAAACACTTAAAAAAAAATTTTCTAAACCAGAATTTTTGAAAATAATTCAATTTAATTAATATTTTTAAAAATAATTGTATTCTTTCGCCAAATTTTACTAAAATTGAATTCTTTCGAAGAATTTTATTATTAATGAAAATAATTTAATTCCTTCAAGAAAGTTTATTATTTATGAAAATAATTCAATTCTTGCGCAGAAGTTTATTAACATTTTTTTTTTAATAATTGAGTTCTTTTGGAAATTTTTATTAAAATAGTAGAAATTAAAAATCATTGAATTCAGGAAAAAATTTTGAAAATCATTGGAATTTTACCAAGAATTTTATTAAAATTTTAGAAAATAATTGAATTTCGAAAAAGAATTTTATTATTTATAAAGATAATTGAAATTTTGACGAGAATTTTTGAAATTTTTTGAACGTAATTGAATTTCTGCGAAGAAATTCAAAATAATTGAATTCTTGAGACGAATACAAAAATAAATAATTTATTGGATAATTGAATTTTTCTTAAAATTGAATTCTTATAAAGAATTTTATCAATAAATTTTTAAATCATTAAATTCCTTCGACGAATTTGAATTAAATTTTCGAATAATTACATTTTTTCGAGGAATTCGATTAAAATTGAATTAAAAATAATTGAAATTCTGATATGAGTTTTATTATTTATGAAAATAATTCTTTTGGACGATTTTATTATAATACTAAATATTGAAAATTATTGATTGAGGGAAATTTTTGAAAATAATTGAATTTTGGAGAAGAATTTTATTATTTATAAAGATAATTGTAATTTTGACGAGAACTTTTTTAAACTTTTGAATATAATTGAATTTTTGCAATCATTTATAACTTCTCCAAAATGCAATTTTTTTTTATTGTTTTTAACTAAATTTTTTTTATAAATCCATTATTTTTAATAATAAATGAGATATATATTAAAAAATTTAATTTATTTCAGAAGAATATGAAATATTACAATTTTTAAAAAATCTAAGTTCTTTAAAATTTCAAATTAAATTCATTTAAAATTGAAGTTTTATAAAATTTCATATTAATATCTTTTGAAGTTCATCTATTTATGAATTAAGTTATTTAATTAGAAATTATTGTCAGAAGTAGAACTAATTGAAGGTTTGTTTTAATTATTACTATTAATACTTTTACTATTGGAAAATTAAAAAATGTTTTTTTTTGAGTAATTTTCTCCCTTTTTTGATAAATTTTGAGACTATCTGATTTTATTTTATAAACTCCAGGTTCAAGCTGTCTTCCAACTCAACCTGACATTCTGAAATCAACTCCAGACCAACAAAGACATTAATAAATTATTTCATGTATTTATATATCATTGATTAGAGTACCTCAGAAGTTTATAATAATTTGTAAACATTCTGGTTATATAAAAGCTTTAAAAACAAAAACTACATCATAGGCTTCAATTTAAATATTGAAGTTAGAACTGAAAGAAGCTAATTAAAAAAAAACAATACGATGTGAATGTATTATAAAATTGTGCTGTATGTTTAAAACTTATTCTTGACTTCTGTATTTCATTAGATTGTTAAGAAATGTTTTTGCGAAACAACGAGTAATACGTTGGGATTTCATGTTAGGGTCACAAATAAGTAATGATGAATTTTTCACATCTTTTTATTTTTAAAAAATGTTCATATACATTTTTTCAAGCATGTAAAAAGTTTTCTTTTGAATTCTATTTTATTGATCGGGAAATTGAGAGCTAAAAAGCATTTTAATTTTAATTTTAATTTTAATTTTAATTTTAACTTTATGAATCGATATTTATTTAAATTTATCATTACTTGTTCGTTAATCCAATGACTGGCAGCAAAAACTAAAGACGTGCGTGTAAGATATTTCTAAACAAAAAGAAAAAAAAAATTATCCCGAACACTGCCAAATAATCAGTGACTATAATTATTATCATTCACAAGAAGAAAATCGTTAGTTGTTTTTTGGTATTGTATTTATAGAATGCGAAAAATTGATAAGAACTAATTTATAAGTTGTATGTTAAATGATTTAGCCCCTCTTAGTGAAAAAGGAAAAAAAAATAATAGATTTTTAAAATCCTTAGCGCCATTATCTTTGATAACTTTTTTTCTCTAATATTTTCATAAAAAAAAAAAAAAAAAAATGATGCCAGAATGCGTTTTTACATATATACGAATTCAGATGAATTATTTTTCACAAGAATAACGTTTCTGGTAGAAGAACTTTATTTATTTTTAATTTTTTTTTTTTGCAAATTTGTTTTGTTTTATTTGTAACGAGAATATTAATTTTATTCATAAGTGAATTTTTAAGGAAAAGCGCTAGAGTATAGAATATTATGATAGAGCGCATGAACAAGTTTCAAAAAAAAAAAAAAAAAAATTTATCAACAAAGAAAATAAAATTGTATTTAAGAAAAATGTGTTTAAATAAACCAAACCAGAATACGAAAAATTTAATTTCTTTTTCCTTTCTTCAAGTTAAATTTCCATTTAGAGGGAAAATTAGAAAAAGGGAATGGAAAAAAAATGGAATTAATTTAGAAATTATTTTTTTTATTACATTCTATTTGCAATTGTTTTTTTTAATAATCATATTGGTATCAGTCAACGTCTTCCGGTCTCACAGGATGGCTTAAAGGTATCACAGATTTCTTCTTAGTATCTTTAGATAAGGCTTTTCTCATATCTGTAAAAATGAGATTTTAATTAGAAAAAGACTCGAATTTATAATTTAATTTTTGAAAATGAATGTAAAAAAATTGTTAATAAAACCAAAAATAGAAAAGTAAAAAGTAATCGGAAAAATGAAACTAAAATTAAATTGATGAAATATTACCAAAAGCATCTTCTCCAGGATCTCCACTATAATATTCTAAAACTGTTCTGTAGTTTATATAGCCCAATTGCTGGTACATTTTAATTGCAACTGTATTACTCACTCGTACAAAAAGATCAACAAAGTATGCAGATTTTCTAAAAGGAATATTTTTTTCATTAGGTAAATTAATTAATTTTAAAATAATTTTTCCGAGAAAATAAAAATTAAATAAAATTAATAATTAAAATTTACTTTTCGGATAAGTCCTCCAAGAATTTCATGAGAGATGCTGCCAAACCTAATCTTCTGTGATCTGGTGAAACAGTAAGTGCAGTTACATGTCCATGCCAATCTTCTCCATGACCTTCTGCTTTTCCCATAACTAAATAATTAAAAAAATGTTAGCAAAGGCTATACAAATTTAAATGAAATATTATTAACATTCTATTTTTTCTACACAAAACTCACTATATCCCATTATTTCACCACTTGGAGACTCAGCAACTTGAAAATATTCAGGCCAGTGTGCTAAATATTGCATATAAAATGATAGTCCATACTAAGATTGTTTATTAAGAAAATTTCGTAGTAAAATAATTTTGTTTCGTTTTATTACAATTACTAGCAAATGTTACGCAAGGAACGTGATCTTCAATTTATTAGAAAATTTTTTATTTTCAAAATTGAATTTTTGAATAATTTCAGATTCAAACTTAAAAAAAAATTCAATTATCAACTAATTTACTAATTTATTATTCTTGTTTATTAATTTCAAAAATTTTAATCAAAATTCTTCGCAGAAATTCAATTCTTTTTTATACAATTTTAATGGAATTTCTTAAAAGAATTCAATTATTTTTTTAAATAGCAAAATCTTTGAAAAATTTCAATTATTTTTAAAAACATTTTACGAAAGAATTCAATATTTTTCTTAAATCGTTATAAAATCTTTGCAAAAATTTTAATCAAAATTCTTCGCAGAAATTCAATTCTTTTTTATACAATTTTAATGAAATTTCTCAAAAGAATTCAATTATTTTTTTAAATAGCAAAATCTTTGAAAAATTTCAATTATTTTTAAAAACATTTTACGAAAGAATTCAATATTTTTCTTAAATCGTTATAAAATCTTTGCAAAAATTTAATTTTTTTTCTTAATTCGTTATAAATTCTTTGCAAAAATTCAATTATGTATTTAAAGAAAAAATTCACGAAAGAATTCAATTTTTTTCTTAATTCCTTATAAAATGTAGTTCAAAAAAATTCAATTATTTTCCAAAATTTTAATAATATCTTTTGAAACAATTCAACTATATTTATAAATAGTAAAATTATTTGCAAAAATTCAATTATTTTTAATACAATTTTAATAACATTTCATGAAAGAATTCAATTTTAAAAAAAATTTTAATAATATTTTTCGAAAAATTCAATAATTTTCTAAAATCTTAGTATATCCTTTGAAACAAACAATTCAATTATATTTATAAATAATAAAATTCTTTGCAAAAATTCAATTATATTCAAAACAATTCCACAATTTAATTTTTTCCTTAATTCGTTATAAAATTTTCAATAGAATTAAATTATTTTCTAAAATTTTAATAAATTCTTCAAAAAAATTCAATTATATTTATAAATAGTAAAATTCTTTGCAAAAATTCAATTATATATTATATTCAAAACAATTTCACAATTCAATTCTTTCCTTAATTCGTTATAAAAATTTTAATAGAATTCAATTATTTTCAAAAAAAATTCAATAAAGAATTCAATTTTTTTCTTAATTTCTTATAAAATGTAGTTCGAAAAAATTCAATTATTTTTCAAAATTTTAATAAATTCTTCAATAAAATTCAATTATATTTATAAATAGTAAAATTCTTTGCAAAAATTTAATTATTTTTAATAGAATTTTAATAAAATTTCTCGAAAGAATTCAATTTGTTTACAAACAAAAAGGCAAACAACAACTAAAAAAAACAACTAACTTTAAACTGCGAACAGATTACTGGAATACAATAATTATTAATATAGATTTTTACTTAATTGTTTTAATTCTTTGTTCTTCAATTTTGACACTGTTGCTGTCAAAAGATTAAATATTGTAAAAGGATACAGTTTCCGTAAGAGGATCCAAATTTCTAGAAATTGAATAATAAATTAATTTCAATTGCTTTTAATTCAGCTAAATAGCTAACTTAAAATCTTAAAATATAAATTTATATTAAAAATTTAAATATTATAAAATTCATAACCTCAACTATTAATATTGACATTCTACTCACACATTGTTAAATCGAAATAGATCATCGCATGTAAATGGTCGAAGTGTAGCCATTATTATATGAAAAATTTAATTTATTACAAAACAGAACGAAGAAGAAGTGAAAAATTATATTAATAATATTTTTTTTTCTTTTTAGTTTGTTTTGTTTTTTGTTTAATAAATTTCACTGACAGCAAGTACAGGCGGTACAAACTAACCTTTATGATTTCCCCCTCCCACTAAATCATTAAGCTATGTTTCTAAGGCTGCATTTTCGCAAAATGCAACATACACACACACAGTCACAAATATTTTGAACACATGCTGATCAGGGATGGGTAAAAGTGTTTTTTTCGGAGTTTTCTACGTATAATACATAAATGACGTATAATACGTAGAAAATTGTAGAAAACCTGGTATTATACATGTCCAGTTCTGCGCATGCGTACAAACCTCACAATAATAATAAAAATCATATGTTTGATTATTTTTTATTTGTTTCCTGGTTTTCATTACTAAATTGTTGCTAAAAATACCAAGAAAAAACCAAAAAAGGTTACATATAAGGTAAGTTTACAAAAAAATGCGTATAATATATATTTATTGATTTTTCATATGGTTTTTTACACACATTTTTTCATAACTTGTATTATATATTTATATAGAACAATTTTAAAAAGACACGTTAATTTATTATTTATTTGAAAATAAACGGGTTTCAAATAAACTTTTTCATACAAAAGTACTAAATTATTATTATAGCTGTATTTTGCAATGTTTTGTTGCAAATAGGACACAGGCAGGGCAACATTTTTCCCTTTATTATTTTTGGGAATAAAACACAATTCCTCCCAGGAATTGTGTTTCGGCCTTCCACCTCTTTTGTTAATTTTTTTTTATTTTAAAAAAAGCAATATTGTACAACAATCACTGACACATGGCCTGGCACATGGAGATGTATAACCTATAAATGGGTCTGGCGGCAGCAGACAACCTGACCTGACCACGAACAGTTAGAACTTTGTTTGTGTGCTATTTCTTTAAAACATAAATTTTAAAAAAACTTTTCAATGTTAATTAATAAATTTTTAAATTGAAATTATGTTTAAAATTTATTTAATATACTATTAAAATCACATGTTTCTTGTCTAAAATTTAAAAATCCCGCGCGTCACGCAATGTATGTAAAATACATGACATACGTAGAAAACTAAAGATGTATAATACCACGTATTATACGTGTAGAAAACCAGGTATAATACATCATGTATAATACGTACCCATCCCGTCATGCTCCATTGTCCTTTAGAAAAGGGCACTTGAGATTTTTTTTATTACTTCGAAGATCGAAGGATTAGGTTTTATGACCCAAGAAACTCAATATCCAATTTCTATTTTAACTTTCAATATATAGATTTACGACATTTCTAAGAAATGTTTTTCTTTCTTAAATATATAACACAATTTTGAAATTTATTTAAGTGGGATAATTCTTGTAATAAATGCACAAAGAATTTCCTGTTTATTATGTTTCAAGAGATATTTGCTTTCAGCCCGTGGAAAATATTATTTAGAAATTAGAGTTTTTAGAATTACCAACAAAAAATATATTTATTATTTATTTATGAAATATTAAAATTTAGCGCTTTTTTTTATCGCAATTCGATATATCGAAAATATTCGAGCAATAATAGTCGCTCGTCACAAATTATTATTGTTGTCTTTTTTATAATTGTTGTAAATTGTAAATCGTAAAATAATAAATATTGCATTTATTTATAACTAATAGTTTTTTGGAATAAGTGGAAAATATATTTATAAATTGTAGTGAAAAATATTGAAGTTAATAATCAGTTCAACGTAATACGTTCGCAAATTTTTTTGTGTGGCCATTTGTGACAAGGCAACACGTGGTTTTGAATAATTATAAAAAATTGAAAGTTCTAAATAGTTTTATTTCTATTTCCTTCACATGATGCTCAACAAGGAAAATCAAGAGGAAGACGAGGAAGTAATGTCAGGAGACGAGCCTGTAGTTAAAAAGAAACCAGGATTAATCTACTTGTCATCAATTCCAAAATTCATGAATGTTACTAAAGTTCGGGAAATATTTTCCCAGTACGGAGAATTAGGGCGAGTTTATTTGCAACTAGCTGATCATGGTTTGTTATAAATTATTTCTTTTTTTTGCAAAAAAAAATAAGAATTAGAATTTTATTTTATAATAGAATTGGTAGAATTTTTGTTCAGTCGAACATAACCTCAAAATACGCATTTCTTTATTAATTGTATGGCTTCGAAATTCTTATAACGATTGACTAAAATTACAATGCACAGAGGAAACAAAAACGAATATCATTAATTTTCAGAATTAGGCGAAAAATCTGGTAAAAAGCGTAAAAGAAAAAAGCCAACGATGCATTTCACGGAGGGCTGGATAGAATTTGAAAGCAAACGAGTGGCAAAACATGTTGCAGAAACTTTAAATAGTACAATGATTTCAACGAAAAGAAAGAGCAAATTCTGTGATATAATGTGGAATATTAAATACTTGTCAGGGTAAATATATTATTAAAAATTGTCTCTATTTTTTTCAATTATTTCGATATTTTTTCTGTTGAAATATTTCATTTAATTTTTAAAGTTATTTCATTTAATTTTTAAAGTTATTTTATTTAATATTTAATTTATTATTTTATTTAATATTAAAGATTCAAGTGGATTCATTTGAGTGAAAGATTAGCCTACGAAAGGGCAGTTCGTAAACAAAAGAAATTGGCAGAAATTGCTCAAGCTAAACGAGAAACGAACTTCTTCTCGTACAATGTCGACAGAAGTGAAAAATTGAAGAAGAAGAAAATAAAGGGAGAATCAACTAGTTTTACATTAAATGAAGTCACTCAAAGGGAGACAGATATGGAAATTAGGAAAAAGAAGAAGAAGATCGATGGAGACAGATCAGAAGTCCTTAAGAAATTGTTTAGTTAATATTAATTCAAAGTGTATAGCGAAAAAAAATACTACTCCAAATATTAAAACGTGGTAAATATATAACAATTTTATATTATATTAATTTTTATTCTAAGATCATTTTTTGAATAAACGCGGACAATTTTGACAAATTCGAGAGAATTTTCTTATTTTAAATTTCCTATATTATTAAGTTTAGATTTTTAGATAATATTAAAAAAAACAAGAAATTATAAGTTACTTAAAAAATTTGCACTATTTTTAATTAATTTATATTAAATTAAATTTTAATTAATTTAAGTTTATCTTTATTGAAAATTCAAAGTTTCCCGCCAAATGATAAGTTAAGCTCAGTTCACACGGAAGAGAATGTGACGTAATATTTTTATGAAACGATCGACTTCGACGAAACTGTCACTTATGGTCATTATTTAGAAGTTGGTTGATGTGTGCAGTTGCTGCATCGTTTGGTTTTACATTTTATCAAAATTTTTTCAAGAAGTAAATGACTAAAACTCCAAAAATGGACATTAAAAATTTAAAGGAGTTTATGGAACTAGTAGGAAAATTAAAGGTAACAAAAAACATAACCTTAACATTTTTTTAAAAAAGAAAAATCTTTTCTTTATTCTATAATTTTCCACTGTTCCCACATATGCGTTTTATTAATACGAGTATTGCTCAATAGCAATTAAGTTTTAAAGAATAATTTCAATTATTTTCGTAAAATTATGTTTATATGTTCATGTTTGTTATTTATTATTTCGAAACATTCACTGCTCATTTCTAATAAAACTCTTAATTAAACAGTAAATTTTTTTTTTACTAAAAATAAAATTTTCCAAATGAAAGTTAAATTATTCGGAGAAAAATTAGATAATTTATTCAATTTCTTGCCTAATTCATAAGTTTAACCTTGAAAGTGTCGAAATAACATCAAATATTGTATCATATTTCTGTTTTATTTTTGGAAATTCACAGTTAAAAACATTATAAAAAAAGAAATACATAATTAATGGAATTTTTTTTTCTTTATTTCGAAAATCATTAAGAATTAATATTCTGAAAAATTGAATGTTAGAAAATAAACTTGAAATGACTTCTTGATTTAACTTCCTTGTTTACATATCTGCAATGTACAATGACATTATAAATATAGACGCAATAGAATCCGGAAATTGCTTGATGTTCTATATTTGTAACTGATAATTAGTAAAATATTCTAAAGCTGATGTTGACTAATTCGCAAAATTGGTAGAATTCAATTTTATCACTTCAAGGTTTACCAATTCGTTTGTTTTCAATATTTCTTCTTACAATACTGAAACTTTTTCTTTTTTTTTTTTTAATTAAAAATAGAATTCTTACTGACTTGAATTTTTTGTTGTTGTAGCACGAAAAAAGAGCAGGCTGGGTATTCCATAATGTGACCGATGTTGAAACCATTGCAGGGCATATGTACCGAATGGCAATGCTGTCTTTTTTAATCGATTCCAATGAAAATTTGGACAAGAACAAGTAATACTGGAGTTTCTTATTATATATCACGTTTAAATAATTTTTTCTTCTTTTTTTTGTTACTATTATTAAGTATTTGCATTGCTTATTTATTTATTCAGGGTTGCTACGAAAACCTGGAAAAGTCAGGGAATTTTGATCGAAATCCTGGAAAATTGTTATTTTCTAAAGTTATTTTCTTAAATATTTCAAAATTAATTCAATTTTAAAAGAATTGCGTTTACAAAAAAAAACTAAAAAAAAAAATTGAATTTTGGAAAAGTTACAAATAATATTGTAGAAATTCAATTATTTTCAAAAGTAATAAAATTTATTCTTCTCCGAAATTCAATTATTTTCAAAAATTTTAATTATTTTTAAAAACTTTCCTTAATTCAATGATTTTAAATATCTACTACTTTAATTTAATACGCAAACATTTAATTATTTTCATAAACAATACAAATTTTCCAGGAATTCAATTATTTATAAATTATTTTCATATATTATTCAATTATTTTCATGAATAATAACATTTCTTACAGGGATTCAATTATTTTTATAAATAATATAACTCAATGCTGAATTTAAATGATTTTTAATACAATTTTAATGGAATTCCTCGAAAAAAGTTATCGAAAAATGTTATCGAAATTTATCAAAGAAATTTAATTATTTTAATAACTTTTGCTACAATTTATTTATTAGAATTTAAGTATTATTTTTAATAAATTTTTAATTAAATTTTTTTAAAGAATAAAATTATTTTCAAAAATTTAAATGCAATTCTTTGTGTAACAATTCAATTTTTTTCAAAATAATTAAAATAAAATTCTTCGCAGAAATCCAATTATGTTTAAAAATTCTCGTCAAAATTTCAATTATCTTTATAAATAATAAAGTTTTTCTCCGAATTTCAATTATTTTCAAAACTTTTAATAAAATTCTTGGCAGAATTTCAATTATTTTTAATACAATTTTCATCAAATTTCTCGAAAAATGCAATTATTCTTAAAAATTTTATTAACATTTTTCAAAAGAATTTAATTATTTAAAAATTTGTTGCTAAAATTCTTTATCGGAATTGAATTTTAAGAAACATTCAATTATTCAAAAAATTATTTATTTTTGAATTTAAATAATTGAATTTTTGTAGAATTTTCAAATAAAAATTTATTTAAAAATGAATTTCAAATTAAATTAAATTAAATTAAATTAAATTCTAAACAAAAGAATTTGAAAATTCACAAAGAACTTTTTTAAAAATTATTTTTAAAAAATTGACTTAAAGAAGAATTTTAGTTGAAAATTCTAGAAATGAATAATCGTAATGATGAAAATAATTTTTGCGGAAGTTAAAGTAGCAAAGTAGCAAGTTTTAATTAATATAAAACATGAAGAAAGCGATCACTCCGAGTCGATATCTTCATGTTTTATAATAATATTCTTATGTTATTGAATTTCAAATTTTTGAATATCTTAATTTTTATAAAAAAAATAATGATTAAATATTTATTTAAAAATGAAGTTATTGATGTTTTCGAATAATTTTCGTTTTAAAAACCTGGAAAAATTCCGTTTTTTAACCCGGAAAACCTGGAAAAGTCAGAGAATTTAAAAAGAGCAAAAGCGTGGCAACCCTGAATTTATTATTGAATTATTTATTTTTATTATTATTATTATTATTATTGAAATATTATTGAAATAATTATTGAAGATTTTTTTTTTATTTCAAGAAATTTATTTTTAATGGAAATAAAAAAAACGATAAAATTAGATTACTAAGGTAATTGTAATTTATCAAATGAAATGAAGTATGAATGAAGTCACAACTTATAAATAGATTTTGAAATTATCTTGAATTTTTTTAACATAAATCATTTTTCTTTAAGGATCATGCAGATGACTCTTGTCCATGATTTGGCCGAGTGCATTGTTGGTGACATCACGCCTCATGATAATATTGCTCCTGAAGTAAAGCACGAGCAAGAAGATCATGCGATGGAGCATATTTGTAAATTACTAGGAGATAAGGGACCAGAAATGCTAGAAATATTCAGAGTAAATATATTTTTTTTAAACTCCTCAGTTGCATTCTAAATTTAGATTATTATTTAAAAATTAAAATTAATCAATAAAAATTTAAATATTAGAGTACAGGCCTCGGATATTGAGACTTTTTCGATTTTTCTTCTAAATATTGCAACAAAATACCAACTTTTTTAGTATAAAATGCAACTTATGTTCTATTTTTATAGTATATGAAAAATAACTATAAACAAATCACTTAAAAATTAATTTTGAATAATTTTTCTAATTAAATTTTCAAAATATACAATTAAAAAGATTTTGAGTAATTGAAATTTTGTAAAATTTAATTGAAAATAGAGAAAAATCGTTTTATTACTTTTTTTTATTCTTTTTAATTGAAAACAAAATAAAATTTTTGTGACAACAAAAAACTTTTTGAATTTTTTTTTTTTTTTTAATTTTTAATCTAAAGCGACTTTTTTCGCCCCTTAAAGTCGAACCAAGGCCTGAGAGCATTAAAAAAACAATTAAAAATGTTTTTTTCCAGTTTTGGAAAATTTTGACCTTTTTTCGTCTCTTTTATAGGAATATGAGAAACAAGAGTCGGCTGAGGCGAAATACGTCAAAGATTTAGACAGGCTGGACCTTCTTATGCAAGCTCTCGAATATGAAAAGCGTGACAAAAAACCAGGACACCTCCAAGAATTTTTCACTTCCATTAATGGAAAAATAAGGAATCCATTTTTGAACGAGGTAGCAAAGGAAATCAATCAAGAACGAGAAGAATTAATTCGAGACTCCGATGTTAAAAATTGATAAGTTTACATTATTGCTTCTCATAATTTTTACCCAAAAAAAAAAAAAAAAGAAATCTAGAAAATATTATTTATATCGATATATCTATATCTTTTACTTATAGAATTTAATTCGAATATTCAACTTCAAACTCATCAGTATTAATAAATGTTTTGTCAGAAGGTTAAATAATCAGAAATTCAAATTCGCGATAAAGCATTTATTTCTTAGAAGAAAATTGAAAATTAGCAATGAAAACAATATTTCCGTGCTATTAATATAAATTTTAAAATTGCTTTGACACTATTTCAGTGTTAGAAAAAAAAATATTAAGTTGAAAATAATTTTTAATTTTAATCAACTATCGAAAAGAGGAATTATTTCATTATTCTTCGAAAACATACTCACTGCTATTTTTTTATTCTTTTAAACACGTATCGTTTTGTTTGGAGTAATTTTACTTTATTTTAATCGATTTAAGTTCTTGGATTAATTTTATATAAATAATCTTCGTTGAATCTTTTTTTTTGAAAAACTTACAGTACAAGAAAAAAAACTAGAATAAGAAGAAGGAAGTAAAGAATTTTCTTATTGCCTTTTTAAGTTAAAAAATATTTATTACGTTAAGTTTTCGTTTAATTACTATTATTTCCATTTTATTTGTTAATTAGTTGTACTAGAAAAATAAGTTTAGTATACCAAAGACAAAAAATTTGGTTTTAATATATTGATATTACAATAATTATAATTATCTTTTATCAATGTTTCTCACTTCCGTTTTACTTCTTTGCAAATTTCTCACATGATATTGAAAATAAAAATTAAGTAAAAAATGTACGGAAAGTTTTATTTCACAAAAATACGTTATTATCCTACAATTCGTTAGATTTAAAAATAAAATCGTTTTGCACTGAATACGAGTCAAAATTAAGGTCTACTTTGATTGTCAGATAATTAGAATTCTATCATAATAAGGAAGGCCAAATCAATTGCCAGTTCATCCAGGTAGAAGTTAATTTTAGGATCTTCTATATAGTTACCGGTTTAGGTGCGGACAAAATCGATGCATTTGTTTAAAAGAGGCGTGACTCGAGTTGAAATAAAAATTGTTCTCAAATTAAACTAAAGTGAAAAGATTGAAAAGGAAACTGAAAATTCAATTCTTGCAATTGCTGTGATTTTTTTTCTATTTAATAACAAATATTTGAAGATATTTTAGGAAAATTACTTTTTTGCTCTAATGCTCCGTTCGTGCAAAAGAAAAACAATTTCTCCCCTAACTTACATGAATATAAATTACTTCCAATTGAGTATTACTTTTATTAATTGATAAAAAAAATAATAAGTTAATTATAATCAATTATTTATTATATAATAACTAATAAAATTAAGTAATTAAATTTTATAATTATAAATTTATAATATTATATAGAAAATATGAAATAGAAATCAAAGTTTGATTAAAATGGGGAAATAGAATTTTCTCGAGAAATTGAATTTTAAAGTCGTAAATTTTATTTTTTCTTTCATTTTCTTTTAAGATTTACGCGGCAAATACATTGACTATAAGCATCGTGATAAATGAAAGGAGAGGGGGACCCTCAATAATACGACAAAGCTGTTCTTCATTCAAACTGCCTATGCCTATAGTATTCAGCCGGTTGCGAAGCAACATAGTCGTAATATTTGATCGATATATTATTTTTTTATTTTTGCACCTTTACCAGAATATTATTTGTCTTCTAGTGAGATTATACATTCACATGCAAATTATATTCAGGAGTGAATCATTCAAAATATTCGTGGAGAATATTTTCAAAAGTCATCAACAAAACAAATATAAAAATGTTTTCATATTTTTTTTAAAAGCAAATATTTTATTCGCTTAACACAAAATATAATAAATATGTTCAATTTTTAAATATTTTGCAAAAAAAAAAAATTTCAAAACTGAAATATTTGAAAAGAAAAGAAGAAAAAGAAATTATTTTCAAAATTTTCATTCTTCATAAGAATTTTTTATGTTTAAAAAGTAGATCGAAAAATTGAGATCTCGGAAAAATAAAGAAGTAAAAGTAATAAAAATTCAAATATGTCGTTTGTAAATAAAATTGGAAAAACATCGTCAGAAGTTTTCAACGATTTTGACAAAAATAAGGACGGCAGTTTGGATTTTAGTGAATTTCGAAATCTATGTATACAATTATTTGGTGCTGAAGAAGTTGAGGAAAATGAGGGCAGAATTCAAAATGTTTTTGAAATTTTCGATATCAATCGAGATGGATTTTTAAATGGCGAAGAATGGAACAGGTAATTTTAAAAGTTAATAAATAATAATAATAAATAATTTCTTTTTTAGGATTATTCATTTTCTTTTTAAATTTTCATTCAACGATTGCGCGATAAAAATAATTATAAATATTGAAATTGTCCTTATTGTGATATATATCGATAAGTAAACTATTTTTAAAAGAAATATTTTTGAGTATAAATTTGGAATAGAAAATAATATATTAAATATAATACATTTTTTTAAAAACTAAAATTTTATTTTTTATATAATAATAATAATAATAATAATAATAATAAAATTTTATTCTGAATAATTTTTTCTTTGTTAATTTACAGGTGTTACGATGAATGGATACAAGTGATAATGAATCCGGTAAATGTTTTACTCGTTGTAGATGTACAAAATGATTTTATACAAGGAAGTTTGGGACTTTCAAAATGTGGCGAAGGCGAACATGGAGAAGAAGTAATTGAACCAATTAATCGACTTATAAAGGAAGGTGTTTGGAAAACAATTGTCTACACTCAAGATTGGCACCCGAAAAATCACATAGGCTTTTTTGACAATTTACCTCTACGACAACTTCATCCGGCTTCGAAGGTAAAATAATTCTTCAATGCTTTGAAGATTAAAAAAATACAAAAAATATTAATTAAATGAAATTGTTTTCAATTAAAAATATTAAAATTATTTCTTCTATATTATTTCTAAGTAATTTCTTTTATAATTTTGAGTCTGAAATAATTGAATTCTTATAAAGAAAATCCTAATTTTTCAAAATAAAATTATATTCTTGAGAAAAATTTAATTCAAATCTTTAAAAATAAATTAATTCTTTCGAGAAATTTGATCTAAATAATATTAACAATATTTAAATTCTTTTAGAGAGTTTTATCAAAATTATTGATAATAATTGAATTTCTGCGAAGAATATTAGAATTAACATTTTTTTAAATAATTGAATTCTTTTGAGAAATTCTATTAATTATGAAAACAATTGAAATCTTGATAAGAATTTTATTAAAATTGTATTTGAAATAAGTGGATTCTTTTAAAAAAATTTACTCTCTTTTTTAAAACAATTGAATTACTGCGAAAAATTTTATTATTTAGGAGAAGAATTAAATTTTTTCAAATTATTTAATTAAATTTTTTTCCTATAATGAAATTTATTGAAATTTTTCGAAATAATAACATTTTTGCGAAGAATTGGATTAATTATGAAAATAATTGAAATCTTGCTTTGGATTTTATTAAAATTTTCGAAAATAATTGCATTTTTCGAAGAATTTAATTAAAATTGAATAGAAAATATTTCATTTCTCATAAAGAACTAAAATTTTTCAAAATTATTGAATTTCTTTGAAGAATTTTATTATTTAGAAAAAGAATTCTATTTTTTCAAAGTATTTAATTAAATTTCATTCTTATAAAGAAATTTTTTGCTGAGAACTTTATTAAAATTCTTTAAAATAATCAAATTCTCGTGAAGAATTATATTAAAGACGAAAATAATTCACTTCTGTCATATATATAATTTTATCAAAATTCCTCAAAGTTATTAAATTTCTGCGAAGAATTTTATTAAAATTCTAACAGTTAAATTGCTGTGAAATTTTTTTTATAAATTATGTAAATAATTAAAACCTTGCTAAGAATTTTATTAAAATTTTCGAAAATAACTGAATTTTTGCGATGAATTTTATAAAAATTTTAAAAAATAATTGAATTCTTTTGAGAAATTTTATTAAAAATAATTGAATTTTTTCGAGGGATTTCATTAAAATTTGTGGAAATAATTGAATTTTTTCAAAGAATTTTATCAAATTTAAAAAATAATTGAATTCCTTTAAGAAATTTCATTGAAGTTGCATTTAAAATAATTAAATTTCTGCGAAGAATTTTATTAAAATTCTAACAGTTAGATTGCTGTGAATTTTTTTTTATAAATTATGTAAATAATTGAAATCTTGCTAAGAATTTTATTAAAATTTTCGAAAATAATTGAATTTTTTCGAGGAATTTAGTTTAAATTGTATAGAAAATATTTTAATTCTCATTTAAAAGAATTGAATCAAAATTTTACAAAATAATTGAATTTTTACGAAGATTTTTATTAAAATTTTTAAAATAATTGAATTCTTTTGAAAAATTTTATTGAAAATAATTGTATTTTATCGAGGAATTTAATTAAAATTTGTCGACATAATTGAATTTTTGCAAAGAATTTCATTAAATTTGTCGAAATAATTGAATTTTTGCAATGAATTTTATCAAATTTAAAAAATAATTGAATTCTTTTAAGAAATTTTATTGAAGTTGCATTGAAAATAATTGAATTCCCGTGAAGAATTTTATTAAAATTCTAACAGTTAAATTGCTGTGAAAAATTTTTATAAATAAAATTTTCGAAAATAATTGAATTTTTTTGAGTAATTTAGTTGAAATTATATAGAAAAAATTCAATTCTCATAGAAGAATTGAATCGAAAATTTTCAAAATAATTGAATTTTTTTTGATAAATTTTTTTTTGGAAAATAATTGAATTTTTTCGAAGAATTTTGAATCTGAAATTATTCCAAAATTTAAATTAATATTTGAAAATAAACCTTTTTTTTATAATTTTCATAATAAAAGAAACATTAAATACAAAATAGAAGGAAATAATTTAATTTTTCATTAATATTTTATTTCAAAAATTGATATTATCAATTATTTTTTCCAGGTAACTAAGGAAAAGGCGAAACTTTTTGATACCGTATTGTTCCTGGAACCAAAACTCGAGCAAAGATTGTGGCCTGTTCATTGTATTATGGATTCTTGGGGATCACAATTACACGAACGTCTATTTATCGCTCCAGATTCAAAACAGGTGTGTTTTTAATAGAAAGAAAAAATTGCACTGATAAAAACTGATTTTGCATTTGCATAATTATTTATTCAATTCGCAATACTGCGAAATATTGCTGAAAATTTTATTTTATTGAACTTTTAACGATAATAATTAATTGAAATGTTTTAATTTTTTTTAATTAATAAATAATAATTAATAATTAATTAATAATTGATTAATAAAAATATCATTCTGATAATTCTTAATCGCAATTGCATAAAATCGTGCAACAAAAAGACATTCATTGTAAATCATATCGATATCAATCATAAATTATCGATTTATCATCTGATTTATTATGCAGGGTATTAATTAAATTTGTTTACCACACATAAAAAGAAATGAATTTCACAGGTTCGGAAGGGTCAACATCCGGATATGGAATCCTACTCGGCTTTTTACGATAACAACTCGACAAATTCAACAGAATTATTGGACATGCTTCGTGAATATAATGTCACCGATGTGTATGTTTGCGGCTTGGCGTACGATATTTGTGTTCGTGCAACTTGCTTAGACGGTCTAAAATTAGGGTACCGATTAGCCATTATCGAAGACTGTTGTCGGGGAGTTAGTCGAAATGACATTGTAAAAGCACGTGAGGAAATATCGGATAAAGGTGGATTAATTACAGACAGCAATCAAGTTCTCTCTCTCGTCAGAGATAAAAAACGAAGCTTAATAATGGCTCATCAAGGCGCTGTCGCTTTAGCAAAAAAATATAATTCTGAAATCAAGAATTAAGAAAAAAGGAGTTTATTTTTCCGATGACTTAGCAATGAATTTAAAATAGGCTTTCAAACTCCAGTAGATAATAGGGCGTATTTTTAATTAAGTCTTCTAATTCTAATTCTAATTTTGTACATTTATTCTTTCAAAATATTTTCGTTTTTCAAGTTTTGTTAAAAAAAAAATAAACAAATAAAATAAAATTTATTATTATAAATTAATAAAAAATCAACTTAAAAATTACGAATGGTAAATTTTGACAAAGAGCCATTGAGAAATATAAGAATGTAAAGAAACGGAATTTCGAAAAAAAATGGAAATATAGTTTTATTTATATATACAAATTCGCAGTGAGTGACTTAATTTTTCTACGATATAATTTATACATATTTTTCGGTGACATAAGCGCTTTAATAAATTACATATTTACACATAATTCGTGCAACTCTTGAGACGATCTCCGATATTAAAAGTAATTTTCCTTTTCTTTAATTTAAATATCCGGAAAATTTAAATTAATAGAAATAATAATTTTTACTATAAATATAAACTTAAAGTTTTTAAATATTCGAATAAATATTTTGTTTACTCCAAAAAAAAACTTGCGATTTCTAAAAATAATTTTAATAAATTAATTTTTGTGAATAAATAAAAATTTAGAAGAAAATCGTGTTTCTAAATAATTGATGTCAAAAATCTGTTCTCTTTGAAGACAATTATTTGATAAAGTATTTGATAAAATATTTGATGAAATATTTGACAAAAATGTTATAAGTCAAATTTTTATAACGGATTTGTTTGGTGTTATGATCTTGTAATTATTATTATGAAACATTTAATTGTTATGTAGTAATGTACGAGCCGTGCGTGAGATTTTATTAGCTGATTCATCGTCTTTTGTCAGTTCACAAATATATCGTTGCCTTGAACCACAGTCTTCACCTTTGTAGGAATAAATTCTGGATGCTGAGTTGTAGTCCAACTTTAAACATCTATTAATAGAAATACATAGTAATTAATTTATTTTGAATTTAAAAAACAACTTCTGTTTAAAATTCTGCCTAAAATTTCTAATTTCCAATTCCCAAATTTCAATCTCTAAATTAACTATATTAATCTCCGTAGTATTCTTTTATTTATTCTATCCGCAGTTTGATGTTAGTTTCTGTGTAATTCTTTTATTTTTTTCTTTAAAAAATATTATTTGACAAATTGCAAATACATAGTCAGGTATTTTTTCATCTTTTATAATAAAATAATATTAGAAATTAGAAAATTTAAAAAAAATTATGATTAACAAATAAAAAATATACCCATTATGTTTGTTATATGCTTTTTTCTGTAACAAATTTTGTTTGACTGATCTAAATTATTATGCAAATTATTCTCCTTTTTATTTATCAAAAATACTAGAAAATTTTTAATTGTTAAAAAATTTTGATTAAGAAGTAGAAAATATACCCGTTTTATGCATAATTTTTATTTCTCAATAAAAATATTGTTTACAAACTCAATTTTTTCTTTTGGGAAGAAAAACATTAAATGTTCCCGTTTCTTAATATTTTTGTAGAAAATTCTCAATTTTCATAAGGAAATAATTTGCATCAATTCTATTTCTTAATTTTAATTGTTTTAGTAAAATTCAAAGTTTTTTATAAATAAAGGGAAAAAATGTTTTATTAAGATTTTTGAAAATAATTGAATTTTGAAGAATATTTTTATTTATAAAGATAATAATTGGAATTTTGTCGAGAATTTTTTGTAAATTTTGAACATAATTGATATTTGTGATAAGAATTTTATTACTTTTGAAAAAATTGAATTTCTGCAATTTCTCCTAAATTCAATTCTTTTAGTGCTTTTAATTAAAATTCTTCAATAAATCTATTTTTCAAAATAATTAATTAAATATATATATTGACAAAATTAACTGATTTTATAAGATTTTGAATTATTAAAATTTTTCAAAAATCTAAGTTCATTAAAATTTCTAATTAAATTCATTCAACATTGAAATTTTATAAAATTTCAAATTGATACCGTTTGAAGTTCATTTAGTTATGAAAATTTTAAACTTAACTCTTTTAAAGTTGAAATAATTTTGAAATATTTATTAAATAATTTATTTATTTTATAATAGTTGTTCAAGATTTAAGTTATTTAAAAAGAAATTTTTGTCAAAAATTGAAAAAATTGAAGGCTTTGTATTAGAATTCGTGGTAATTTTATAGTTTGTGAGTCAAACAAAAAAGACACAAAAATTCAGAATTTTCTTATGAATTCTAATAATTAATTTTTTTCCAGTACTTTTAATAAAAATTCCTGATTTTTCCCTGAATTCTTTATGTCAGAATATATGATAATTATAATTATAATAATATTAAATCTATATATTCCAATTCATATTTTATTTTTATAAAAAAAATTTTGAATTAAAAATTTTTACGTTTTTCTATTTTTAAAAAGCTAATTTTATTTAAAAAAGTGATTGAGAAGTTAGTTCATATACTCTTTAATTGTCATCGAATTTTTATTCTATTGACAATAATTCCCGCCTATTCTAATTTAGTTTTTTACTTTTCTCCTATTTTTCGGTTTTTTAATTATTTTAGTTTGTTTTTGGTTATTTTAAATTAATTTTCAAACCTTCCATCTCCGGTGACAGTTTGTTTTGTGTCCTGATAAACGGGTCTCGCGCTCGCCGCCCAAATCCACAAGAGTCCGGGATTCAATCCTCCGGTCCAAAAATTCCTCCCCCTGAATTTTTTGTCAGTTTGAAGAAATCCAACGATATCTTGATTCTCCTCGACATTTCGGAATTCGACTAAATTTCCGCCCATTCCTCGACACAAACTCGCCGACGACTTCCAGTCAAATTCCCGTGTACTAAAATAATAGCAATTGCGAACAACTCTCGTGTAATTTTGCGGGCAGGGCTCTAAAAAAAAGATGAAAGAATTCGTAATTAGTTATAATTATGGACAATAATTAAAATTTTCTGTTTTAATTTTAATTAAAATTTTTTGTTTTAATTTTAATTAAAATTTGTTGTTTTAATTAAATTCGTAATTTTTTTACAAACCAATTTCCTTCTTTGGATTATTATTGTTTCCCGATATAACGTAATATAAAAGTTCTTCAGCTCTTCTTAGGCGTTTTTCCAAATAATCCACTCTGTAGACTAATTTTTCAATAGCCCCTGAATGACAAAAATGATTTTTTTTACTTTCAAATAGAAAAAGATTTCGATTTATTGACAAGAAAAAATTCCATTTTCAAGAAATCGAATTCTGAGTCATGAAAAAAAATTTTTTTTTTTTGAATAATTAATGAGAATTTGGAAATAATTGGATTTACCCAGAAGATAAAGATCCGTTTCAGAGACTTCACGTTTATTTGGACTGCTGAGTTTTTGGGAGATCGTTAATGTTTTATCGCCGAATTTCATTACTCTAGAATTTCTCGCATTTAGATTCAACTTTTCAGATACGATCCAATTTTCTAATATTTCACTCCAAGGTCCCGGTCGATTAGTTTCGAAAAAAATGGAATCACCATTTCGACTTGTCGCTATCGATGATGTATTTGAAACTATAACTGAAATGAGAACATAATTATTAATTTTTAACAAAAATTTAATTTTTCTTTTTGACAAAAATATTATCTAAATAATATATATTTACCATTGGCGTCTGTAAACAATATCATCGACATCCATATTGTTATCGTGAATTTGGAAAATTCCATTTTTGCATTTCCAAGTCTCTGCAACAATTACTCTCTTTCCTACTAAATAATATAAATCAAATTGTATTTATTTATTTATTATTAATAGTTAATAATTAATAATTAGAAAATTGATTGAATTACTTTTAAAATTTTAATTTTAAATTAATAAAATTGTCAATTTCACTGTCGATTTGTTTTATTTATTAGATCAATTTGAAGAAAAATTGCTTCACAAAAATGGAATTTCCTTGAAAACTGAATATTTGAAGACGAGATATTTTTTTTTGGTTTTAAAAACTTTCTCTCGGGAATTCCGCATGTCGCAAGAGTATGTTAAATGTATATTTGCGGTAGTTCTCGTTTAATATTCAAATAACATGCTGGTACAATTAGACTATTCCGTTTTATTACTTTTGTATTCAAATAAAAATTTTCTTCCATAAATTGACAAATTTATTAAAATTATTATAAAATTATTTTGTGTTAAAAAAATAGAAAACTTACCTACTGTAAATTTTTTCAAATCCAAAAATCGATTTCGAAAAAAATAATTTTAAAAATAATATTAATTACTATTGAATCGCGTCAATTTTTTTTTTTTTTTGTTCGACAATTTCCAAAAAGTCAAGTTTAGGAAAAATTGAATGAACGATGACAATTGAAAACACACGTGAGATTCTTTTTCATGAATGAATGGGAGGATGTAATGAACTTGGTTTGAAGGTGGCTGGAAGACTATAGTTAAGATGTTAAATCCGGACTTCTGTTGGCTCACTTTCACCCCACTATTCGAATCAGTTACTTTCTTTAAATGATGAACCCGTGTGTTTCAACAACAACCGTTCTAACACCGAAAATTGATTTCATTAAAAATATACCTGCAATTTCGAAATTCAAAACCCTTTTTGAAAAAGCAATCAATGTTTCCCGGAAATCGATTTCTGCAAATTATGCACATTTCAAACGAAAACGACTGACAACTATTAACCCACTGACCCGATTTTTAAAGGCATGCTTCATCAACAGAAAAAAAAGAAGAAGAAGCAATTCTCCTTTTAACAAGTTAATGATCTTTTTAAACTCGGAAATAAACTCTTTATCAGTTCAAAATAATAATGATAATGTTCTTCCAATATTGACAACTTCATTTTCTACAAATCATTCATCTACAAATTATTTTATATTTTAAAATGGAAATTATTTTCAACAAAATAGAAATTATTTTTATTTTACCAGTATTTAGAAAATTAAACTAAAATAATTTAAATTCTAATACTGACAAATATAATTATTAATTACGAACATTTGATAATTCAAACAAAAACTAAAAGTTAAAATCAGAATAAAAAATTGAAAAATTAAATAAAAGTTGTTTTTAAATCAAATTTAGTTAAAATAAAATTTAATTATTTAATTATTAATTATTAATTAAAAATTAAAAATATCGAAAGTGTTTGAGAAATAAAGATAAGATTGACAATATAAAGCTAATACACTTTTTTATTATCAATCAATTAATGAATCAATAAAACATGTAACAAATTCCACGTATAAAAATTTGAACCTATGTTTAAAAAACGATTTAAAATCTATAATAATAATATAATAATAATAATAAAACTTAGAAATAAAAAATGATACTTTTAAAAAATATATAATACACGTACAATTTTTTTAATATTTTCGCTTTTCAATTACGGGGATTTTAATACGGTAACTGAATGTAAATTATTTAACTGAGAATAATAATAATAGGAACAATACTTGTCGATAAAAGGCATTGTCCCGTGTTGTTTCTATTTTACGAAAACCAAGGTTTTATCTTTCAAAAGTACACTGTGAGATTGAGCTGCTCATTTCCGATTTGACTGCTTCCGGCTCGAGTTTCCGCATCTACGTCCACACTGTCCACCGTCTATTGAAAATTATTATATGATTAATTTTGACACCATTGTGAAAAACCCACTATTATTATTTTTTGTTATTATTTCTAATTTCTATTTAGATTTAACACGTTTTCGAAATAATAAATTATCTATGGATTTTTCTATATTTGAAAAAATACAATACCAAAAAAATACAATACTGAAAATAAAACAAAGTACTGAAAAAAAATTAAATTTTTAGAATTCATAAGAAAATTCTCAATTTTTGTGTCTTCTTTAATTCAATTTTAAAAGAGTTGTGTTTACAATTTATATAAATAAATGAACTTCAAACGGTTTCAATTTGAAATTTTATAAAATTTCAATGTTGAATGAATATTTAATTAGTAATTTTAAAGAACTTAGATTTTTTCAATAAATTTTTAATTAAATTTCTTCACAGAATAAAATTATTTTCAAAAATTTTAATGCAATTCTTTTCGTAGCAATTCGATTTTTTTCAAAATAATTTTAATAAAATTCTTCGCAAAAATCCAATTATGATTAAAAATTTACAAAAATTCTCGTCAAAATTTCAATTATCTTTATGAATAATAAAATTTTTCACCGAAATACAATTATTTTCAAAGCTTTTCATAAAATTCTTGGCAGAATTTCAATTATTTTTAATACAATTTTCATCAAATTTCTCGAAAAATGCAATTATTCTTAAAAACTTTATTAAAATTTGTCAAGAGAATTCAATTATTTAAAATTTTTTTGATAAAATTCTTATCACAAAATTCAATTATGTTCAAAATTTACAAAAAAATCTCGACAAAATCCCAATTATTATCTTTATGAATAAAAAAATTCTTCAAAATTCAATTATTTTCAAAAATTTAAATAAAATTCTTGTCAAAATTTTAATTATTTTCCAAAATTTTTCTAATTTAAATGATTTTCACTTCTACTATTTTAATAAAATTACTCAAAATAATTAAATTATTTTCAAAAATTTTAATGAAATTCTATTTAAGAATTGAATTATTTTTATAAATAATAAAAATTTCAGAGGGATTCAATTATTCTAAATACAATTTTTTTGGAAATTTTTCAAACAAAATCAATTATTTAAAAAAATATTTATAAATTTCTTCGCAATAATTCAATTGTTTTCGGAAATAATAAAATTCATCACCGATGCTCAATTATTTTTAATACAATTTTAATCGACTTCCTTCAAAAATGTAATTATTCTAAAAAATTTTTTTTAAATTCCACAAAAGAATTCAATTATTAAAAAATGTGTTAATAAAATTCTTTATAAGAATTAAATTTTAAGAAACATTCAATTATTCAATAAATAATTTACTTTTGTATTTAAATAATTGAATTCTCGGAGAATTTTATAATTAAAATTTATTTGAAAATGAATTTTAGTTTAAATTTTAGATAATAATAGAAAATAAAAGTAATATTTAAGAAGTTAATAATGATTTTAACACTGGATCCTTTTTAATTTATAAAACATAAAGAAATCGATCACTCCGAGTCGAAGACTCGGAGTAATCGTTATCTTTATGTTTTATAACAATATTTTTAAAATTGATTAATTTTAAAAAGGTTTGAATTTGAAATTTTTGAAAATCTTAATTCCTATAGAAAATTAATAATAATTAAATATTTAAAATATTTAAAAAAGAAATGATTGTTTTCGAATAATTTTACAATATTGCAGATATTCGTAAATACATTTAACAGAACATTTTTTTCAATAAAATTTTTTCCTTTATTTTCTAGAAATTCAAAAATTTTCAGTTTAATTTTTTAATTAAATTTTCTAATTGACAAATATAATTTATAAACATTTTTTTCCTTTATTATTAAAAAAAAACTTTGAATTTTATTAAAACAATTGAAATTAAGAAATAGAATTGATGCAAATTATTTACTTCTGAAAATTGAATGAGTTATTTATATTTGCGATTATACCGTGTGCGAAACGTATATTTATTATGTATAATATTGAAGGAAAGTGAAAGTATATACCCGATCGTCGTCGTCCCAGGATAATTTTTTCACTCGCTGAGAAATAGATCCGGCTGGCCAGGTGGGAGCTAATGAATCAGGTGGATCGGCTGAATAATTTGACGAATTATGTGAACCCGCATCTAAATTTGCATGTGTTCTTGCACTCAGATCGTTCATATTTTGAACTAAGCCGCCCACATTTGGAATATTTGAGGTCGCCGATAGAACCGGTGGACTTGGCGCTGGTGCCACTTTGTGTCGCGAATAAAGTGGCATTTGTCGCGCTGACATCACACCTGTAACATTTTTCATCAAATTTTTAGAGAGAAAGAAAAAACAAAATATCACAATCTAGACAAAAAAACACAAAAAATTGTGATAAAAAAATTTAATCACGAAAACCACGAAAAATAAAAAACTGACACTAAATTCGAAATTAAAAAGAAGACTTCGCACTCATCTACTAAAACTTACTATTTACAGATTTACTACTTTTTTACCCAAGAGAATTTTAATTATTTTCAATAAAATTTTCATTAAATTCGTCGAAAAATTAATAATAATTTAATTATTTTCATAAATAATAAAATTCTTCCCATGAATTTAATTATTTTCATGAAAATAATAAAATACTTTATAGATAAATTCAATTATTTTGAATACAAGTTTAATAAAATTCTTCGCAGAAATTTAATTATTTTTATAAATAATAAAATTTTCACAAGTATTCAATTATTTAAAAAACCTTAAATTATATTTTCATTTATTTAAAAACTTTGTTTTTATTAATTGAAATAAATTTGATATTTTAAACAGTTTAATTTTTTTAGCTTTTAAAAATTATTTTTAAATATAATCGTATTTTTGAAGAATTTTAAATTAAAATTTAGAAAATTATTGAATTTTATGAATTAGAATATTGAAGTTATTATCAGGATAAGAAGAAATTAATACTTTTGATGAACATTTAGGAAAAAAATGCAGAATCAAATTTTTTGTGAATTGTCTAAAACGAGTTTTTGTAGTCGTGAAATTTAATTTTCCAGAACTACTTTTTTCTGTTTTAAAGCTACTTTTTTTAAAAATTCATTATCAAGTGCGAAGAGTGAAGAAACACTACCAATAATTGTTATCAAATAAATAATTGAAATAACTTTCCAAAAAAAAAATTATAAGGGGTAAGTAACACATTTTTTATGCTCGTAAGTAAATTTGAATTTGTAAATTAATAATTAATTGGTAAATAAAATAAAAATAACTGTAAATAAATATAAAGTTAAGTCAGTCAATAATAAATAATATAATAAAAATAAAGTAGGTAGGTAAATAAGGTAAGTGAAATAATTACTTAATTGTGGAATTGATCAAGTAAAAATTTACCTATAATCCTTGTAATATCTGCGAATTTAGAGATAAAATTTGTAATGATTGATGATAGTATTATTAATGTAATAATTTTGATGAATTTAATTAAATTTTCCTTTTTTGTGGAATTTTACTAACTTTTAAGAGTTGCATTGAAGGGAGTATCATTATCCTCTCCAAAAACAGGATTATCTATATCGTTGCTCTCCCGAAGATTATCTCTAGGATTGTCTAACGTATCATGAAGAATACTGGCCCCCAAAATTTGTGGCGTGGGACTTAAGGCTGAAGGAACTGGGGATTTTTCTCTGTAACCCGTTCCCATCGAACTCACAGAGTCTCCTCCTTTCGGTCTCTTACTACACAAAAAATAAAGAAAATTATAAATAATAATTAGTCATAAATAAAAAAAATTAAATTAAATAGAAAATAAAAATAAAATTACATCTTAATATGATATTAATATAAACATTAATAAAATTTACTTTAAAAAAAAAGTATAAAAGATTTGATTTTTAAAATAAAATCTACTTGTATTTTATTTTTACATACTTAAATAATATTAGCTACTTTTTCAAAAGACTTACTTTTTATAAATATACATAATTAAAATTAAAATGACTACGCCGAGTAGTCCTAAAACTCCTCCGAAAACTGCCACTAAAAGTACACTGCTAGTGAGCCATGCAGGAGATGCTCTTGCTGCAATTGGTACTATTCCATTATTCGGAAGATGAACGATCACAGGAATCATGCTTGATCTTTAAAAAAAAACAGTGATTTTTAATTTAAAAATAATTCATCAAATTTATACGAATAAATTTCGATTTAACAAAAATTCACTAAATTTATGCGAATTAATTTGAATTTTTAATTAATTAAACTAAACAGGGTTGCAACGCAACCTGGAAACCTGGAAATGTCAGAAATTTTAAAAAACTTGGATTTTAAAAAAATTTTAATAACTAAAATTCAATTATTTTCAAAAATTTTAATAAAATTCTTGGCAAAATTTTAAGTATTTTTAAAAACTTTCCTCAATTCAATGATTTTTAATATATTTACTACTTTAATAAAAATTCCTAAAAGAATTCAAAAGGTTAAACAAAATTTTAATAAAATTTTACGCAAACATTTCATTATTTTCATAAATAATAAAAATTTCCCAGGAATTCCATTATTTACAAATTATTTTCATAAATAATAACATTTTTTACAGCGATTCAATTATTTTCATAAATAATAAAACTCATCGCAGACTTTCAATTATTTTCAATATAATTATAATGGAATTTCTCGAAAAATGTCATTATTCTTAAGAATTTTATTAAAATTTATCAAAGAATTAAATTATTTTCAAAAATTTTGATGAAATTCTTTGTAACAAATTCAATTTCTTTCAAAATAATTTTAATAATATTCTTCGCTAAAATTGAAATAATTTCAAAAATTTGTCAAAATTCAATTGTTTTCAAGAGTTTTAATAAAAATTCAATTATTTTTAACAATTCTGATAAAAAATTCTTCCAAACAATTCAATTATTTTTATAAATTGTAAAATTTTTGTTAAAGATTTCAATTATTTCTTTAAAAAATAAAATGTTTCTGAGAAATTCAATTATTTTCAATACAATTTTAATTAAATGTCTAGGAAAAATTAAAATATATTCAAGATAATTATAATAAAATTTCTCTAATAGGTTAAATTATTTTTAAAAATTGTAATAAAATTTTTCAAACTATTGTTCACAAAAGTTTTTAATAAAATTCTTTGTAAATTTCAATTTGAAAAATCTTTGCCTATATTTTCAATACATTTCTAAATAAATTTCTTCAAAGAATTAAATTATTTTCAAAAATTTTGATGAAATTCTTTGTGACAATTCAAAAATTTGTCAAAATTTGATTATTTTCAATGTCTTCTATTTCAATAAAATTTCACAAAAGAATTCAATTATTTAAAAAGAAATTTTAATAAAATTTGTCTCAAGAATTCAATTATTTTTAAAAGTAATATAATTCTTAGCAAAAATTCGATTAAATTAAAAAATTTACAAAAATTCGAGTCAAAATTTTAATTATTTTTATAAATAATAAAATTTTTCTCCGAAATTCAATTATTTTCAAAAATTTTAATAAAATTCTTGGCAGAATTTCAATTATTTTTAATACAATTTTCATCAAATTTCTCGAAAAATGCAATTATTCTTAAAAATTTTATTAAATTTTGTCAAGAAAATTCAATTTTAAGAAACATATAATTATTCAATAAATTGTTAATTTTTGTATTTAAATAATTGAATTCTCGTCTAATTTTATAATAAATATTTATTTAAAAATGAATTTCATGTTAAAATTCTAAATTATAATTGAATATTGAAAGCATTATATCGTACATTTTTAGAAAGAATTGAATTTTGAAAAGGTTTCAAATTAAAATCTTTGAGAATTTGAACTTTTTATACTTTTAATTAAGAATTCTGTTTTATAATAATATTCTTATATGTTATTGAATAAAAATTTTCAAAAGTTTAAAACTTTTGAAAATCTTAATTTTTATGAAAAAATAATAATTGATTAAATATTTATTTAAAAATCAAGTTCTTTAAAATCAGGGAAAAAGTCAAAGTTTTGTCTGGAAATTAGGGAATTATTTAATTTGGTAAAATATAAATATAGTTTTAAAAACCTGGAAAAATTCCGTTTTTTAACCTGTAAAAATCAGGGAATTTGAAAAGAACAAAAATAAATTAAAAATTACCTCGGAGGTCTTCCAGTATCAGAAGCAATAGCGACAAGACGAGCGAGACTTCCATTAAAAGATCCCGTATTTCTTAAAATCAATTCTCCATTATCTCGAATCTCGAATGATCTGCAAGATTGGTAATTCATTTTTTTTAAGCAAATTATATTTTTCCAAGTTTTTGGAAAATTACAAAAAAATTAGTTTACGAATAAAAATTTACCTCGCATCTGGACCTCTCAATGATAGTGAAACTCGATCGCCTCTGTCTCCATCAGCAGCTTCCAACCTCCCTAGTGAAAAAAAGATTATTTTAATCCTTAATTGTAATAGTTGAAAGAATCAATAAATTGAAGAAAAAATAATATTTACCAACTATAGAGCCCTCTCTCATAGTTCGAGCATGAAATTCATATCTCGGATGGCGAAATCTCGGCTCCCATTCATTTACATCTTCTACTGATATATTTACTCTTGACGTATCATTCTGCAAAGGAAATAAATTTTATAAATCATTCTTTCATTTTTCTACACAGAAGATATTGGGAAAATTAAAAAAATTAGAAATTATTAGTGTTAGAAATTTATTAGGCGCATTATTTATTAGAAATTAATAGGCTTTATTAAAATTAAAATATTTATCATAGAGTTAATTAGACTAATAATATTTATTTCAACTTACATGATGTCCATCGGTGACATGAACGAAAAAAGTGTGATGAACTCTTTTTTCGTAATCCAACACTCCTTTTAGGATTAATTCACCCGAATTCGTTATAGAGAATCTTTCTAAATCCTCAACTGCGCCCATTAGCCAGAATCTTAAATTCTAAATTCCAAAAATTATTATTTAATTTATATTAATTAATTTTAATTTTTTTAATTTTTCTTAAATTTTATTTTTTAATTTAATATTTTTTAATATAAAACATAAAAAATAATTTAAAAAATCTAACTAATAAAGAAATCTATTAATTAATTAAAAATATTTTAGATGCCCTCAGATTCTGATTGTAAAACTTACAATATCAATTTTATTCACTCCAGCGGTGAGAATTACACTTCCAGGTGGAGTATTTTCTGGAATACTGCTCTGATAGTCCTTTAAAACGAATCTTACAGGTAGACGTCCTTCTAAAAAAATAAATTATCAACTTTTATATTGACTTCGTGTCAATTTCGGTGTTTGGAAAAAAAATCCAAGTTTAAAAATCAAAAAATAGTGAGGAGAATGAAAAAATAAAATACTATTTTGTAAAAATAAAGAAAAGGTAAATTGATTTGGTAAAAAAAAAGGAAAAGAAGAGGGAAATATTACAAATCGCATAAAATGAGAATGATTGCAAAAAATAAAAAGAAATAGTAATTTTCATACCTGCAGTTGGAGCAGCACCGTATCCTCCTTCTCGGGAAACAATAACCGTCGCCAAAGCGTACCTATCCAGATTATCAAGTTGCGTGGCCTGTAAAAATTATACCAATTAACGAAAACTATCTGGAATTTCTGAGCATTTTTTTTTTGCAACTTTTATTATTTTCAAAGTAAATTTTGCTCCTTTCGAACAAATTTTTAACAAAAATTTACTTCGATCCCAGCAATTTTTTACTCCAAAAATAATAAAAATTCGCACAAGTTTCCGTCCGTGTAAGTTTTATTTTGAAAATAGCAAAACTTATACTTTTTTTTTCTTTTTAAATTAATAATTAAAATACTTTATTTAATTAATGATTAATGATTAATAAAAAATAAAATTAATTAATAGGTATATAAAAATAAAAATACCTTAATTACTATAGTCGTCGGAGCAACGAGTTCATGATCCTGTAACGGTCTCGTCACGATAAGATCGGCAGTTTCGGGATTTAGGTTCAAGAATGGTAAAATTCCGCCTTGAACGGAATATCGAACAGGTGCACTAATTCCCACATCCTGATCGACAGCCTTTATTGGCGCCGGATCTACTCTTAATATTTTCCTCTGAAAAAAAATGAACAGCTGTTTTGAAAAAGGCAATTCTCCCGAAGAAAATTAATCACTTCGGTTCACTATATTATATAGAAAATTTAGTTGTAACTATTTTTTCAACTCACCGTTTGGATATGTTGCGGAACACTGACTTTGTACTCGTTGTTCAAGAACGATGGGTTCTGATCATCCGCATCCACGACATTTACATACAATGTTGTCGTTGAAGATTGAGGCGGAAGTCCTTGATCCTGCACGAGAAAGAAGAGAGAAAAATTTTATTAAATTAATTGTAAGTAAAAATAAATAAATAAATTATTTATTAAATTTTACGTCCGTTATTAAATATTTTGCCTTATTGAAAAAAAAACCACTTTATTTGATATATTTTGAGTAGCCAAGTGAAGTCAAGTCAAGTAAATAGTCTAAGCAAAAATTTTAACTTCTTTTGAGAACTTATTTTATTTCAATAATAATTTCTTTCTAAAAATAATAATGAAGCGAAAAATAATTAAACTTACTTGTGCCCGAATCCCGACGGAGAAATTGCTGAGAGTTTCGTAATCCAAAGGCTTTCTGAGAACCAGAGTTCCCTCCAGTGCGTTCACAAAGATGAAATAATCCTGTAAAAATAACTTAATAAATTCTCTACGACTTTCGATGAAATTCAATTTTATAAACAATTAATATTTACATACAATATTTACAACATAAATTGTTACAACATAAATATTTACTAATGTTGATTTTCAAAAAAAAAGGTATTTACAAGTTTTTCCTTCTATTTTACAAGTGAATTTCTGTGTGAAATAAAATTACAAGACATAAATTTTGCTCCAAAATAAAAAAGCAATTATAACATTTAAAACAATATAAAAATTCCAGTGGAATGAAATGGATTTTTGCTAGAATTAAATCTGTACAGTAAAAAAATTAGTGAGTGTAGAAAATTAAAAAGAAAGAACGAAAAACAAATATTTAAATTGAAATGAAAATAATAATATACGTAATATACTTAATATACTTTTAATATTTAAATATATTTTAATATTTCAATTTCAATTTTTACTTGAGATATAAATTATTGATAAATCATTTTTCACTGATACCTCCTCCATTACTCTTTCACTATCCACAAATATAGGCTGCATTTAGATGAATAATTTAAAAATAACTTTTCTTCAAATTTTTATGCTTTGAAATCATTTCATCTTTTAAGAGAAAGTGGCTAATAAATTTTAATGAAAATAGAAAATAAATCTATTTACCGAATGGGGTCCTGGTAGAACTGCATATTGTACGGTGGAATATGGACCAGGTTGATCAGCATCCACTGCTCTAACGCCTTGTAATACTCTCGTGCCCACTACCGTTACCTAATAATAATAATTTATTTTATTCACTCAAACTGGATTATTATTAAATAATAACTAATAATTATTATTGTATAAAGTAAATATAACATTTAATAAAATTAATTGCCTAATGAATTATTTAATTCTACGCCCGTTGATAAAATCTTCTTTCAGTTGTCAAAATTCAAATTCTATTTATAGCTCACTTAAAAAAATAAAATCAATGATTTTATTTCAATTTTCACTTTATTTACTTAATTCAAATTAATTTTATTTAATTTTTCCCTGTGACAAATTTTTTTCAGAATTTCGGAATTTTTTTTCGGAAATCTTGAATTTTTAATTAAAAAGTCTCTAATTTAAAATCGTTAATCATTTTCGCGTAAAAATTTAATAAAAAAATAATAATTTGATCGTAATATTGTTTCATACTTTTATTCGTGTTAATAGTGAAAACTACTCTTACGATTTTCATAATTGAGAATTGAGTCCCTTTCGAAATTCACGATTCAATTCTATCTCGAATTAAAATTTAATTTACAAAAAAAATATAGAAAATAGAATTTTATTCTGACAATTGAAATAATTATAATAATATATTATAAATAATAATAATAATAATAATAATAATAATAATAATAATAATAATAATAATAATAATAATAATATTTCAAAGGCGTAGAAATTATTAAATATGATTCATATCTACCTCTGAAATATTTAACACATATGGAGCGTTTATAAATTGAGGGGCATTGTCATTAGCGTCCGTTACACGAATATTGACCGGAATCACGAATCCCTGAAAAAAGAGATTTAGAGAATTAATTAAAACAATAATAATACAAATATATTTAATTTATAAGTTTAAAATAATACTTTTTTTATTTAAAGTAATATTATTCATTAAATATTAATATGAATGGTAATTATTTAAATTTTTTACAAAATTCGTTTGATATAATGTTGAATAATATTATATTTAATTAAATTAAATATTTTTTTATTAAATAATAAGAAAGTTGATGTTTCATTTTTTGTTTTCTAATTTTAAAAATAATTTTTCTTTTAAAATGTTTTCAATTTTAAAATTAATCTATTGAAAATCATTGAATTCTTGCAAAGAATTTGAAATTATAATAGAATTTCTATACGAAGAATTTGATTAAAAGTTTTGAAAATCGTAAGATTTTCAAAAATTTTAATCAAATTCTTCGCAAAGAAATTCTTTTGAAGAATTTCATTGATTTTTTTTTTAAATAATGGAGTTTTATCAATAATTTTAATTGCAATCTTTGAAAAGAATTAAATTTTATAATGGATTTTTTTTAAGTTTATAAATAATCGTATTTGTTAAATAATTAAAATTAAACATTTTATTGTTGAATTTTATTACATTTTTTCGAAAATAATTGAATATTTCTATAAATTTTATTTCAATTTTTTAAAAATAATTTAATTCATTCAAGGAATTTTATTAAAATAGAAAATAACTGAATTCTTTCGAAGAATATAGATATTATTAAAAGTTTGAACAATAATTGCGAATTCTTTCAAAAAATTTCTCTAATTTATTGAATTTAATCGATTTTGTTAAAATTGTATTTAATAATTTTACTGTTAAAATTTTATTAAATTTATTCATAGAAAATTAAACTCTTTTCAATAATTTTATTAGAGTTATTGTAAATAATTACATTACTTTAAAGAATTTTATTAAAATGTTTGAAAATAATAAAAATGATTATTGTTTATTATTTTTAAAAATTTTTTATCTGCAATAAGTGCGAATTTTTTAAATTTTGTAACTGAAATTATTGAGAAATAATTATTGAGAAATCAAAGTTGGTTGATAATTACAGGATCTATCGTGTGCTTCCTTTCGCAGATTGCATTTATGTAAACACTGGCAGGACCCTCGACACCTTCTTTGTCCAGTAGTCTGGTGAGGGTCAAATTTCTCGAATGGGGTGAAAACGAAACAGGACTATCGTGTTCCTGCAGTCTCAGTTCGATATCTCCTTGCGGTCCCGGGTCTCCAAGGACTCTCAGAACTCCTATGACGTCTCCGACTTTTTGATCCTCGCTCACGAAAAGATGAGCCGCCGTGGCTCCGTTCTCCAGAAAGCATCGTGTGTCTCTAATCACTGTCGACAAAAAAAAACATTCATTATTAGCTTCTAAATAATTAAATTATTAAATAATTATTTTTCACTTATGCACTATTTAATAAAATTAATAATCAATAATTAATAATAATAGTAATCAATAATTAATAATTTTAATTTATAATAAAAATTTTTTAATTAATAATTTAAAAAACTGACATCATAAAAATAAATATTATTCTAATAAAAATAGCAAAATTAATTTTCTTTCTTTATTAACAAATTAATTTTCAAAAATTGTATTAAATATTCTTCCTAAGAATTTAATTATTTTCATAATTAATAAAATTTTTCGTAAGAATTCAATTATTTTCATAAAAAGGAAATTTATTTTGCAAAATTTAATTATTTTTAAACAAAATTTTAATCAAATTTCATGAACAAATACATTTTCTAAAATTTTAATAAATTCAATTATTTTTTTAAATAGTAAAGTCTTTGCAAACATTCAATTATTATTAATTTTTTCCTTCTCGTTTCCTTCTGATTATTTAAAATCTTTTTTTTATGAAAAATTCCTTAAAAAATTTCTTAATTTTCAAAACGTTTAATAAATTTCTTGAAAAATATTCAAATATCTTCTTTAAAACTTAAGAAATTTTAATAATAATTCCAAAATTTAATTATTTAAAAAATAATTAAAAAATAATTCTGAAAGTGATTTAATCTGAAAACTTCAATTATTTTCAAAATTTAAAAAAATCTCTTGTATAATACCTATTAAATTATATTCTATAAAAATTAGAAAATGAAACAATTTGTTTATAAAAATTTAATTATGTCAATTTTTTAATAAAATAATTGAAAAATTAAATTTTTTTTATTAGAATTTAAAAACTTATTTTTCAGAATTTTAAATTAGTAAAATTCTTCGCAAAAAATTAAATTATTTCTATAAATAATAAAATTATTCACAGGAATTCAATTATTATTGCAATAAAATTTTAATAAACTTCAATAATGAAATATTTAATTAGAATTTTTAACAAACACGATTATTTTAGAAATTTGAAAAAAATTCTTTGTTTAATTGAATTATTTTCAAAATTTATAATTAAAATTATTCAAAAACTACATTATTTTGAAAAAAACACAAAGAAATTCTTTAAAAGAATTAAATTATTTACAAAAACTATAATAAATTTGTTTAAAAGAGTTTAATTTTCTATCATTAATTTAAATAAAATTTTAATAGTAAAATTATTAATAACAATTATTAACAAAATCGATTATATTCAATAAATTAAAAAAATTTTTTGAAAGAATTTAATTATTTTCTATATTTTAATAAAATTCCCTGAAAGAATTTAGCAAAAATTCAATTATTTTTAAACAAATTTCACGAAGGAATTCAATTTTTTTCTTAATTCGTAAGAAGATATTTCAATAAAATTCAATTATTTTCTAAAACTTTAGTAAATTTGGATTAGTAAAATTTGCAAAAATTCAATAATCTTTAATACAATTTTATTAAAATTTAATGAAAGAATTCAATTTTTAATAATATTTTTTCGAAAAAATTCAATTATTTTCTAAAATTTTAATAAATTCTTTGAAAAAATGCAATTATATTTATAAATAGTAAAATTCATTGCAAAAATTCAATTATTTTCAAAAATATTTTACGAAAAAATTCAATTTTTTTCTTAATTCGTTATAAAATTTTTCAAAAGAATTCAATTTTTTTTAATTTTAATAAAATTCAATAATTAAATGGTTCATGTTCAATTATTAACAAACACGATTATTTTAAAAACTTGAAATAAAAAAAAATTCAATTCATAAAATAAAATTCAATTATTTTTAAAATATTTAATTAATATTATTATTAAAGAAACTCTATTATTTAAAAGAAAATTCAAAGAAATTCTTCAAAAAGAATTTAATTAGAATTTTCAAAAATTTTAACAAAATTGTTGACGATAATTCAATTATTTTCCTAAATAATAAAATTCTTCGATGGAATTCAATTATTTAATTATATTCTCGAATTTTTTGATAAAATTTTTTTTTAAGAATTCAATAATTTTCAATATAGGTATTACTTTTAAAATTGAAAATATTTAAAAAGAAAAATGATTAAAAAAGTTAAGAAACAAAGAAACAAACAACTGACTTCAATTTGCGAATAGATTACTGGAATACAATGATTATTAATTAAAAAAATATAATATAGAATAGAAGAAAATAGATAATTCGTATTATAGAAAATTAAGTGTTTCAAATGACAGACATACGATTGAAATAAAATAATTTCAAAACTTTTATGTTTCGTGTTGCGAAATATATTTTTTTGTGAAAAGATAAAATGTCCCTTATCATCCAGAGGATGTGTTATAAAGAAAAGCGGTTGCTCAATAGTTTCGAAAACTCGTTTGCACATTTGCGGCTTCTTTTCTGATCTCATACATTTCGAAGAAAGCAAAAGAAACTGGTTTTTCGGCGGGAAACCAAAAACCACGAATTACACCTGGCGGATATATGCGATGTACTTTTGTATCATCAAAAATTGTGTGACGAGGAAAAATTTCTTTTTTATCGTAAAAAATGTCTGAGAAAAATGTCTTGCAGAAAAAAAAATCGAAAATTGTTTAAAGAAACGAATATTATGATTCTGAATGAAAAGTAATTCACTCGATAACTCTCTGTTAACTCTTTCCTCTTGAATAAATTTTCAAAAGACGATAAATATTTTTTTCGTTGATGAATTCGGCAAATTTAGTTAAAGTATTTTCAATTTCTCTTTCTGTTGTTTCTTCCTTTTCAGAATTTTTAGAAACGGATAAATATTTTTTTCGGTGACGAAATCAGAAAATTTAGTAAATGTCAGTGTATTTTTAATTTCTCTTTTTGTTGTTTCGTCCTTTTCAGAATAAAAATTCAGAAAAAAAATAAAACTATCGAGAAAAATCTTTTTTTCTGATTTTGTCTTTGAAGATGATTATTTTTCCGCATTAATTTCAATTTTTTTTTCTCCCGTTTTGTGAAGGATTATTTACGTGTTTTGAATCTAAACAAGTACAAGTGTGTGCATATATCTTGTTTGAAACCACACACAATCCTGAATATGAGGGGTAGATATGTGCGCTTCCTTGGAGCGAAGTTCCGGCCAAGGCAAGCCCATCGGTGCTGTCCGATACAGTCGCTCTACAAACTTTACGTACTTCCATAGACTTTCCCGGAAAAATAAAATAAGTCCATATTTTTTTACATTATTAAAAAAAAGCGAACAAGTGTCTAGAGATTTTCACTTCCATTTTTACACCATTTTTGGGAAAAAATTGTATTGCTCTAGCTATTAAATTAATCATTAGAGACGAATTAGTAATGTCTTCTTTGTGCTCACAAACTTTGACTAATTATACTTAATATACAAAGAAGATATACTATGTCATTTAATTAACGTTCTATTAAATTCATATCTGGTTCACACACGTGCGTATAATATTCAATTGTTCTCACTTTAGTCTAGCGATTGCCAGCGAGCGTATAAATAATTCTAAACAATTGTCACAATTGTAAACAATTGTAAATGAAACCTTGACAAGAAAACGTTTTTTCGAGATTTATATTCCCCGCAAAGGAAATTTTGTCCGCTTTCTATGAATTTAATTGCAGATGTTTTGAATAATTGAAATCGAATTAAAATCTGGTGACAAAAAAAAGTGAGAAGATTTCTTTCAATGGACGATGAGAAATTTTTCCCACTGGCTGACAGTCATTTAAGGTCTTTTTTACGTATTTACCAAATAGAGACTTCTTTTCACTTTTCAGCATAGTATTTACAGCGAATGGCATTTTTAATATCGTCACCAAAATTATTTTTTTCGAATCTTCGTTCGTAGATTCGAAGAATTATTGGTTTTTCTCTAGAAAATTCAATTTTCAGAATTATCGTTTCAGCGAATGTTCCATTTTCAGATTTTTCACATCGCTGAACCAAGAATTTGTTATCACATACATATCGAATGTACGAACGGCACAAATATTCTCCACCATAACTAATTAATTTCAGAATATTCTCATTTACGGTTATTTAAAGCATAAGTTGATTTAAGCTTTTTTTCACTATTGCTTCCTTTTGCTTGATGCTTTTGTTTTCCAGGTACTATATATGAATCTTTTTTCCATGTTCACCAACTGTCAATTGTTTTTATATTCGCAACACCAAACAAAGAATACGAGGATTCGTGTAGTCTTCATTCTAAAATTTAAATCTTTGCAGTAAAGTTGTAAATACTCCAAGTACTTAAAATCTAAATAATCGAGGAAATTAAAAATTAAAAAAATATTCAATAAAAGAGTAAAGAAAATAGTATAAAATTTTTTACTCACATTGTCCTGAGTTTTGATGCAAAATAACGAAAATGAGAAAGACCCTCAAGAAAATATCTTCCATATCGTTCTAAAATCTCCATCCAAAGGGTCCGGTGTTTTTTGACACATCTGAAAAAATCAAAATCAAGTTTATCTGTAATTTTTTAATTTTTATAAAGTTTAATTTATTGAATAATTCTCGGGGGACGGGGAAAATTTTTCAAATATATAGACTTTTTTCCATAATGCGGATTGTGTATGTAATTAACGGAGAAGAATATTTAGAGCAGAGTACCATCAGATATTTCAGAGAAATAATATTTTTTTCCGAGAAATAAATTTTCAACTTAGATTTCGAATAAAGGAAGATTGATACAATGATCTTTCTCCTGTTCATCCTAGCGTGTAACGTGACTGTCTCGGCGGAACGATGTCGCAAATCAGTTTCTTCAAAAAAGAAATGCACATAAACTTCATCAGAACTTTGAGAGAAAAAAAAAGGAAAATCGTTTCTTGTTTTTAATTGTTTTTAATTATCGACAATAACTGATTATCGACGGAGAAAAAGAAGGCAACTAATTCTCAAACAATATACTTTTACACTGTCTTTTTTAATTTTTTCCTTTGCGCACAATTCTTGTTATAGCGAATTATTAGAAAAAAATTCAAGTTTCTATAAATAAATAAATAAAACAAAAAAATAGAAATAATTAAATTTTCTCTCTCCCAATTCTTGTTACAGAAATATTATTGAATAAAAAATAGAATTCAAGTATAAATAAATAAATAAAACAAAAAAATATAAATAATCAAATTTTTTCTCTCACAATAGGAAAATATTATTGAATAAAAAATATAATTCAAGTATGAAAGAAATAAATAAAACAAAAAAAAAAGAGAAATAATTGAATTCGAATTGAAATTTGAATTTGAAAAGAGCGGCAGGAAGTGAGAAAAAAAAATTGTGTAGGAAAAGAATGACCAGAAGTGATTTTCATATAAACTAATATAATAAAAGAGGAACGTGTCTTGCTTAACAGCCACAATTCGATCAACGTGTGACTAGAAAGCATGCAGAGAAACTGCTTTATTACATAGTACATAATCACATTCACGTTATATGTATGTAAAAAAAACATAAGGTCAGTTTGAAAAAAAAATCATTTAGAAATTATGATTTCATAATAAATAGCCATCTTCATATATTCTATATACTATAATCAACAATTTATTAGATAATTTGACGGAAAGAAAAAATACTTTACTCACTCATTACTTTCTGAATCTAAGTATTACCACATTATTTTTCATTACCTATACATTATGTATAAATTAATTTTAAAAACACTCTTTAAAACAGAAATTTAAAAAAAAACTCCCTTGAAAAAGAAATTAAAAAAAAAAGTCCAAACAAAAATTGATATTTTTTTTTAATTTAAATAAAAATTTAATGTAATTAAATTTTTTTACTTCCTGATACTTTTTTCAATTCAAATTTCAATCGCAATTGAATTATTTTTTCGTTTATTTATTTACAGGCCTCGTATCAACTTTAAGAGGCAAAAAATGTCGCTTTAGTCGATTAAAAATATTTTTAAATATTTTAAAAAATCGAAGAAGTCATTTATTTAATTCAGTGTTGCAACAAAAATTTTATTTTGTATTTCTCTGATTTTCCCATTTCGCTGATTTCTAAAATCAAGAATTAAAAAGTCCAATAATTTTGTTACTATAAATATTTAAGTACTTATTTGTTTTTCTACGGGAAAGAAAATTTAATTTATTAAATTAAAAATTTATTGAAAGAAATTTCAATTTAAAACCATCTGAAATTTCATAATTTCTAAAAACTACAATAATTATTCCAAAATTCAATTCTTTTCTACAATTTTTAACTAAACTTCATCTCTAAATCATCTCTAAATCATCTCTCTCTCAACTTCATCTCTAAATTATTTTTAATAATTATCCGAATTATCTTCGAGAATTCAATTATTTAAAGAGAAAAATTCAATTTTTGATAATAATTGCAACTTTTCATGTTTTTTCAAAATTAGTAACAATATTTTCAAAAATAATTCTAAAGAAATTCTTAAAATTAATTTTTTTTAAATTTTCAAATAATATTTGGCAGATAATAATCTTTCAATTAGGTATATACATTTAAAAAATTTCGAAACAATTGAATTTTGGTGAAATCTTTTAAAAATATTTGAAATTTGAAAATATCTTTTAAAAATATTTGAAATTTGAAAATATCTTTTAAAAATAATTGAATTTTTGAAAAATATAAAAGAAATAATCAATTTTTTTCTAATGTAATTTTTCGAAAATAATTTAACTGCATAAAAGAATTTTTTTAAAAATTTAAAAAGAAACTAATTAATTTCTTGAAGAATTTTATGTAATTAAAAATTTTGAACATGATTGTTTTTTTCAAAAAATGATAAAAATAATTCTAAAAAATTTTAGTGTTGTTATTTTTTGTATGAATTTGACTTTTCGGTAATATGTCACTGAAAATACTAAAAATAATTGAATTTAAAGAAAAAAGAATGAAAAAATTCTAAGAATTAGATTTTCAAAAATTTTGATTAAATTCTTTATGAGAATTAAAATATTTTCTATAAAATTTTAATTAAATTCCTGGAAAAAATCCAATCATTTTCGAAAATTTTTAATAAAATTCTTAGCAAAATTTCAATTATTTTCGTAAATCATAAAAATTTTTGCGGGAATTTAATTATTTTAAAGAACTTTAATAAATTCTTCATACAAATTCAATTACTTTGAAAACTTTTGAGAAAATTATTTATGAGAATTGAATTATTTTCATAATTAATAATATTCTTAGCAAAAATGATATTTTTTTGAAAAATTTCAATAAAAATCTTTATAGGAAAAAATTTATAATAAAATATTTTTAAAAAATTTAATACTTTTCCTAAATAATAAAATTCTTCGCAAAAATTCAATTATTTTCAAAAATTTTCATAAAATTCTTCGTAAACATTCAATTATTTTAATAAATAATAATATTTCTACAGGAATTATTGAAAATACAATTTTTTATTAAATTTTTTCGAAAAGCCCCTATTATTTAAAAGAATCTTTCTAAAATTCTTCGCGTGAAATAAATTATTTTCAATGCAATTTTAATAATATTTCTTGAAAGAATTCAATTATTTTCAAAAATTGTAATAATAATAGTTGACAAAAATCAATTATTTTCAATTAAATTTCACAAAATTTCTATCATTCAAAATCTGTATCGAAAGTTTAATTAGAGAAATTTTCGAAAATAATTTTTGAAAGTTTTGCCTATAATTAATTTTTACACTATAAAAAACGAAATATGTTGCATTTTATATTAAAACTGTGGTATTTTGTTGCAATATTGAAGAAATGGCGAAAAAGTCGCAAGTTTTGAAGTTAAGTCGAAAAAAGTTGAATTTTTTTAAAATAGTCAAAAAAAAAAGTGTATCCGATGTCTGTATTTATAGATTCTTGAATTATATTTTTAATTATAAACTTAATTTTAATTTTGAAAATTAAATTTTAAACTTGAATATATATTTTTTTAAAAGCAAAATAAAATTTTGAAAAATTAACTTGATGCCAGTTTCAGCTTCAATTTTTGATTTAAAATTGAATTTAAATTAACTAAAAATTTATTTGAAAGTAAAGATCTAATTTTCTCGCAATAAAAAAAACAATTTGCAAATAAAATCCATAGAATTGTAAATACAATAGTTACTCAACTATAGACAAGTTGGCATACATATTTTTGTAATAAAAAAATAAAAAATTCAAATTGAAGTCATAATGGAAAAAAATTTACTGCATCATTTGTTTCGAATTCATGTTAGTAGGAAAAAAATTGAATAAACATTGAAAAAGAAATTTCTGCGAAATTTGTTAAATAAAATAGAGAAATTTCAATTTTCTATATCCTGCTCGTCAAAACGTAAATTTTCCCTTTTTCGCAAAAAAAAAAAGAAAAGAAAAGAATGCGTAATAATTTTGAACTGATGCATTTTTTGAAATTAAAACATAAAAATTTAAATTAATTTTTGAACTGACCGCCGAGAATATTATTCTGGAATAAATTTGATTTAGATAATTCAGATGTATGTAGGGCATGATAGTCCTCAAATTCACCGACCATGTTACAATCATGGTCAAGCGCCGTAAAACACTTGTGGGGTGAATTGTGCGTTATTTAGGCAGGAAGAAGTGAATCACTGCCGCAAATACTAAAGCTGCGTTGTCCGTTAAAAGAATTATTCCTCAAGAGTTCTTTCACTTTTCTTTGTCTCAAGCCTTTTGTTTTAAAGCTTTTTAAACTCATCTTATCTATTCAATAATTAGTTGCCTTCTTTTTTTTATTTTCCTTTCTTAAAAAAAATTGCCCATTCTCTCTAAATACGAGAGGAAGAGAGAAGAAAATAACAAACGAACCCGGAAACAAGCTGAAGAATATGCAAACAAATTTTTATTAATAATGCAACATTTTTTTTCCATTAGAATTTAAAGTAATTCATTTTTTTATTTAAAGTTGAATTTAATATAATTCATTTTTTTTATTTAAAGTTAAATTTAATTTAATTTATTTCATTCATTTTGTTTCATTTAAGATTAAAAATTTATGAAATTAATTTACGGGGAATGTCTTCTTAATAAATAATTAAAAGTTACATTTTTAATTTTAAATTCAAAAAAGTGAAAAACTAATAAAAAGAAAAAAATGGAAAATTAAATTTGTTAAAAATGTAAAAAATTGTCAAGAATAATATTTTTTAAAGACTTTTGAGTTAAAGTTTTGTCAAAATGTTTCGAAAATAATTTATGGAATATTTATTTCATTTGTTTTAACGTTTTAAGCAAAACGAAAAAAAATTGTTTACTTACCACGAAAATCCGTTCACGAATCATCCATTCAAACTCTTGATTGTCAAAGTGGTGAGACGATAAAAAATCCAAAAAGTGACTGGAGAAACAGTTTCTTCACTCCGCTTTTCAATTAGTTCATTTCGATTAATTGGAAAAATCGTTTATCGCCACGCAAATCGGTCACGTTTTTTTCAAAACTGCAAAATAATTTTAATTAGCAAAATAATATTCACTTTACACTTCAACACTTATTTTCTTCTTCCGAAGATTTAAATTTCAATCAAATTGTTCCTTTGCTTATTTTTGCACTTCTTTTTTATTTACGTTTTTAATTAACGATTTATACTAACGATTTATATTGTTTGGGTTTATAATCAAAATTATTAAATTAATTCAATAAATAGTTGTTAATATTTTTCGTACTTGACAAAAACACTTTTTTTTTTGTTGATTTTCTTTCGAAAAGAAAAAAAAAAATTTCAAGAGCCCCTAAAGACCGTCTGGCAACGAAACATTCGTGCGTTTGAGTTTGTTACTATAAAACAGAGTGGAGTAAAGTACTCAGGAAGTTGGCGGAAAGAATGGGAAAGAGGGGGCAGACAGGGCAACACCATCTAGAACAGCACAGGTGTTCTCGTGGGGACGACGAGGGAAACCAATAGACATAATAATTATATATGCAACCGAGTCCCTTTTGCCACCAGGTAGAATTTAGGGTGAAATGTTAATAGTATTTTTTTCTATCTCTCCAAAAATGGGAGCAATTCATAAAAAAAGTATTCTATAATTATGCGTCATCGACAATGGCTTTTGAGGACTCTCATATCAAGGTCGCTCGTTCCGCTCAAAAAAAAACATTAATTTTTCCTCTTTATCTAATTAAATCTAATTATGCAATTAACAGTCGGAATTGGTCGCAATTTTCACTCGCTAAACAAAGAAAATCAATGGAAATCGAACAAAAAATCAAAAATAGTGAAAAAAAAGTCACAAACTGATCAATTACCAAAAATCGATTAGATAAATATTTGTCGCAGAAATTGGAAATAAAAAATTACTCTGATTTGAAAAAAATTCCAAAGGAGAAATTATAAATGAATAGAAACGAAAATTTTTTTTAATCTTTTAAACGAAGAAATTCGAAATGAAAAATGTCTCCAATTTGAAAAAGATTCAAAGAAAAAATTCCAAAAGTGAAATTTATTCAAAAAAATAGGAAAGAAAAATTCTGAAACTTTTAAAAGAAAATCGAATAAAAAATAAAAAATAGACGAGAAAAAAATCACTAACTGATCAATTACCAAAAATCGATTCGATGAACAATTATCGCAAAAAATCGTAACAAAAATTACTCCGATTTGAAAAAGAGTCAAAGGAAAAATTTGAAAAGAGAAATTACAAAAGAATGGAAATGAAAATTTTTTAAATCTTTTAAATTGTGGAAAAAAAATTGAAAGAAAAAATTCTAAAGGAGAAACTTATTTAAAAGAATACAAAAAAAATTCTAAATCGTTTAAATGAAGAGAATCGAATAAAAAATCAAAAACAGCGGAAAAACATCACAAAAGTTCATTAATCACCAAAAATCGAATTTAATTTACATTTGTCACAAAAATTCGAAGTGGAAAATTATTTCGATTTGAAAAAAAGTCAAAGGAAAAATTTGAAAAGAGAAATTACAAAAGAATGGAACAGAAAATTTTATTTAATCTTTTAAACGAAGAAAATCGAATAAAAATTTTAAAATAGTGGGAAAAAAATTGAAAAAAAAAAATTCTAAAAGAGAAATTTATTTAAAAGAATACAAAAAAAAAATTCTAAATCGTTTAAATGAAGAAAATCGATTAAAAAATTAGAAATAGTGAAAAAAAGTATCTGATTTGAAAAAAAAATAAAAATAAAAATTCCAAAAGAGAAATTTTAAGAATAGAAAAGATAAAAATTCTAAATCCTTTAAATGAAGAAAATCGATAAAAATCGAATAAAAAATCAAGAATAGAGGAAAAAACATCACAAAATCTGCTCAATCACTAAAATTCGGATTTAATTTTTATATTTGTCGCAAAAATTCGAAATGAAAAATTACTCCGGTTTGAAAAAAAGTTTTAATCTTTTAAACAAAGAAAATCGAATAAAAAAATCAAAAATAGCCGAGAAAAAATCTCCAACTGTTTAATCACCAAAAATCGATCCGATAAACATTTTTCGCTAAAATTCGAAATGAAAAATGTCTCCAATTTGAAAAAGATTCAAAGAAAAAAATTCAAAGACAGAAATTTATTAAAAAAATAATAGAAGAAAAAATTCTAAATCATTTAGAAGAAAATCGATAAAAATCGAATAAAAAATCATAAATATCTGAAAAAAACCCTAAAAGTTGATCGATTACCAAAAATTAGATTCAATTAACATTTGTCGCAAAAATTCAAAATAAAAAAGCCTCCGATTTGGAAAAAATTCAAGGAAAAAATTCCAAAAGAGAAAATTATTCGCAAAAGAATAAAGAAAAAAATTTTAAATTACAAATAAATGAAATCATAACTAAAAATAGTTTTTGCTATTCAAAAACCTTTTTTTTGTACTCTCTTTAGCTATTAGAATTGCTCATCTTCTCACGACCAAGAAAAACAGTATTTTGAAATAATTTCACAGACTAATGATCCGCGACGTATCCATGGATCATTCGCTGAATAGTCCTCTCGGCTGTGTTTAATCGCAACGAAATAAATGTAATTTGTCAAAGTCTAGTTCTCACGAATAGGAATAAACACACAAAAATAGCATCATCCTTTCTTTACACTTATAGATCCAAAACATAAATATTTCTTTTTTTTCAAGGAAAACGAAATTAAATTCGTCAAACAAATCAAGAATCAAAATAATAATAATAGTACTATAAATAAAAATAAAAAAATTTATTTACCATAAAATAAAGAAAACACTATTTACTATAAAATAAATAATAAACAAAAAAAAGAAGAAATAAGGGAATAATTCCTTTGGCAAATGAGAATAATTAACATTCCCTAGTAACAATAAAATTTTATTACCACATTCTTTCAAATTAGAAAAAAGAGAAAAATACTTGTTCTTAAATTCCAATTGCAAAACAAAATAATATTTAAAAAAAACAAAATATTTATTTATTCGAAAATATTTTAATTGGTTTACAATTTTAATTGGAGTGAAAGGAAATGGTTCGAATCTATTGTAGACAGAATTTATTTCCTAAAAAATATGCTTTTATTAATTCGACGAAACTTTGCAAATGCAAATTAATTAGCAATATACACAATTTTTTCTACTCTGTGTTTTACTTTCGTTTTCTATATATTTTTTATATATGTGGCACAACTAAACAAGTCATTAAAATTGACATAATTTTATTCTTTCTGAAAACAGATATGCATAGCGTGATACTAAATTTTACAAGCCTTTGTAAAGCATTGTTTGATTTGGAATCGATGAAACAACGTCTTACACTTGCACGATAGGCGTTTTTAGATCAATGAACTCATCGTAACAATAATAATTAATTACTTAATCGAAAAATTATATCGTCTCATTAATTATTATATCCAGTTCCCTTCGATAACATTAACAATAAATCCCATTTTTTGAAAATTGTTATTTAAATTACAAAAAAGGATATAAAAAAAATTTCTGTTAATATCGTTTTTCAAGACTTCTTTTAAAATTTAAATTATGATAATTATGAAAAATTTTCTTTGACTTTACTATTTTTTTAATCGTCTTTTTCCTAATTCGTCTTTTTTTCAAGAGAAATTTTTTTTTTTAGAATCAAATTGATTGACTAAAAATAGAAATTACTTTTTGAATTCGATTTGATTTTTCAATTCAATAGAATTCGAACTAATAGAATTCATTAAATATGTGCTAATTTAATAATTTGAATTTTGAAAAATTCGAAGTAGAACTTAATTCGTAAATTCGTTTTTAGAGCGAAGATTTCCTCACAGCATGGGAGTTCCATTCCACTGGACCTCCGCGTCCTGCCATCTTTCGAGATAATAACACAAAAAAAAAATTCCATTTAGTATATTCTTCAAATTCTACATCTACTCTACTATCTACAACTGGAACTAATTAAAAATGAAGAGATATTCCATCATAAATCGATGGTTCATTAAAGATACATAACCCGTTTTTTTTCCTCACATTCGCAAAGCAAGCAAAAAGCGTGAAACAATTTTTTCATTTCAAACCAAAAGAAAAGAAAAAATTTCTTTATTTCAAATCAAAAGAAAAGAAACAATTTTTTTTCTTTTGGTTTGAAATAAAAAAATCTTTTGCAATTGTTGAAAAAAGATTCAGAAAAATTAACGAAAAAGTGGTAAAAAGCCAAAAAACAAAATTGCACTTCTTGGATATAAACATTTCGCAAACAATGACGAAATAAATTTGAAAGCAACTTCAAGAAAAAGAAACTAGAATTCTATAAACATTTGGTAGTATTGAAAGAAAAAATTCTCTTCGTAAAAATTTCAAATAGAAATATTTTACAAGAGCGAATATTTTCATTCGAAGAAATTTTCTAAAAAGCTTCAACACAAAAACAATAGCCAATAACAATAACCAAAAATTCCAGCCGAGCGATAATCAAAAAAGCAAACAATCCTCTTCGAAGGAAAACCCTAAGCAATCACTAAAAATGTTCAAGCATTTTACAAGCGATATTAACAACTAATATTTTAAAAAAAGTGCCAAATAAGCAAAAAATACAAAAGGCGAAAAAATAAGACGGAAAAAAATGAAAAGTGAAAAATTACAAAAAGGACAAATAAATAAAACGTGAAAAAATACAAAAAGAAGAAATACAGAAAGTGAAAAATACAAAAAGACTAATAATTAAAATGTGAAAAAATACAAAAAGAAAAATAATTAAAACGTGAAAAAATACAAAATGGAAAATGATTAAAGTGTGAAAAAATACAAAAAGGAAAATAATTAAAGTGTGAAAAAATACAAAAAGGAAAAATATAGAAAGTGAAAAAATAAAAAAAGACAAATAATTAAAATGTGAAAAGATACAAAAAGTGAAAAAATATAAAAAGAAAAAATATAAGAAGTGAAAAAACAAAAAAAAGTGAAACAATATAAAAAGTGAAAAAACATAAAAAGAAAAAATAAAGAAGCCAATAAACAATAAATATAATCAAAATAATAAAAATTAAATAAAGCGAGAAAAATATATAAATAAATAGGTAAATGAAGCAATAAAAAAAAATAATAAAACTACAATAAATAAATAAATGAAGCAATAAATAAATAAATGAAACAATAAATAAATAAATGAAACAATAAATAAACAAAATGAAACAATAAAATTGAATAAAATGAAACAATAAAATTGAAGCAAATGAAATAATAAAAATAAAGCAAAATTGAAACAATAAAAATGAAAAATAAAAAATAAATGGAACAATAAAAATTAAATAGATTGCATTTAATAATGAAATTTTCCGATATTGATTTACTTGGAATGAATGAGTTTTTCTAAAGGTGTTGCTGCCATGTCGAGGGATTCCTTCGCTTCCCTTCCTTCCAAACCCGAAGCGTTTTCTCTCGCTTTGGTGTCTATGGTTAATGTGGCGTGACTCCCACCGCAAGTGTAGTATTGAACATCGAATCTACAATTATATAATAATAAATTACCGGAAATGGCATTGCGCTTTAAGGAAACTTAACTCTTCGTTTGTTCATGCAATTTCACAATAATTGACGACACCCCCCAATTTCTTTTCAATGTAACTTAAATATTTTTTTATATGAAAAACCTATTCTCAAAACGAAAGTCATTTTTTTCAAATTCATTCAATTTATTTTATTCTCGAAATTATGTAAAAAAAACAATACTCTTAAATAAAAATAAATTTTATTGCAATTTTATCATAAACGAAAGTAATTTTTCCAATTCATCTGGTAATTTTATTTTTGAAAATATTTATATTTAATTGATTTATTATAATAATAGCAAATGATACGCGCGGAACGCGATATTCCATTTATTATTATTTTGCAAATTCCTCCAAGGAATACTTAATTATTTTAAAAAATATTAATTAAAATCGATTATTTTAAAGAATTTTAATAGAAATTCAATTATTTTCAACAATTTTGATGAAATTATTTTTTAAAAAATCATTATTTTCAAAACCTTTAATAAAATTCTTTCAAAAAATTCAACTATTTTCAAAAATTCAGATAAAATTCTTCGAAACAATTCAATTATTTTTCTAAATTGTAAAATTCTTGCCAAGAATTCAATTATTTTTGTAAATAATTTCTGAAAAATTCAATTATTTTCAATACAATTTTAATAAAATTTCTCTAACAGGTTTAATTATTTTTAAAAATTGTAATAAAATTTTTCTAAACAATTCAATTGTTCTCAAAAGTTTTTAATAAAATTCTTTGTAAATTTCAATTATTTTCAAAATTTTCAATTAAAATTATTTTTAAAAAATTACATTATTTTTACGAAATTAAATGAAATTAATAAAAAAAATGTAATTATTTACAAAAACTCTAATAAAGTTGTTTAAAAGAATTCAATTATTTGAAGAAAAATGTTGATAAAATTCTTGAAATGAATTCAATTATATTCAATTTTTTAAAAATACTTTACAAGAATTCAATGATATTCAGTACATCGAAAATTTAATTATCTCTAAAAATAATTAAGTTCTTGAATAGAATTTTATTGAAATAATTGAATCCCTGCGAAAAAATGTATTATTTCTACAAATTGAATTTTTGCGAAAATTGAAAAAATAAGTGGATTTTGGAGAAGAATTTTATGAAAATTGTATTTTAAATATTTGAATGCCTGAGAAAAATTTACTTTTTATTGATATAATTGAATTCTTACGAAGAATTTAAAAATAATATAATTTTCCCTGGAATTCAATAAAATTTTATTTAAAATAATTGAATTCCAGCGAAAACTTTATTATTTATTCAAAAATAATTGAATTCTTAAATTGAATTTTATTCAAAATTTTTTTTAAATAATTGAACTCTTATGAAAAATTAAATTATTTTTTAAAATAATTGAATTTTCTTGGAGAAATTTTACAACATTTTTAAAAATAATTGAAATTTTCGAAGAAATCAATTAAAATTGTATTGAAAATAAATGAAGTCCTGATAAGAATTTGATTATTTATATAAAATTAATTGAATTTTTTTACGAAGATTTTTTTTATTTATAAATTGACTTTTTGCAAAAAATTTTATTACAATTATTGAGGATAATAATAAAATTTAATTACTTTCAAAATTTTCAGTAATAATTAATAAAAAAACTACGCAATTTTCAAGAATATTGAAATAAATTATTTAAAATATTTCAATTATTTCAAAGAATTTTTAAAAAAATCTTGCCAAGAATTAAATTATTTTCAATACAATATTTTAATTACATTTTCTCGCAAGAATTAAATTATTAAAAAAAAATGTTTAAAATTCTCCAAGTGAATTCAATTTAAAAATTTTTTGATAAATATTTTTTGCAAGAATTCAATAATTTTCAGCACATTAAATACTAAGTTTTTATTTTATTTATTTTATAAAATAATTATTTTTCTCAAATGTTGATATTTTTGTATTTTATTTTTTTTAATAGAGAAACGAAATACAGTTAAAAATTATAATTAGGTGTGTATAGTGTATATAAAACTTTTTTCGGGGAAAAACTAGACACTTTAACAGGAAGATAGTTGTTTCTGATGAGAATATTTTTTAAGATTGTTTATTACTATTGGGGATGAGGCTGAATGGAAAATTGCGGCAATTCTGAAAATGAGTTTCCATGATTACATCTAGAATTTTACGGAAAGAGAAAAAGAAAGAGAGGCGAATAGGAAATGCAGAGTTTTAAAGAAAAAAAAGAAGGGTATGAGTAGGAACTTACCGCCGTTCAGCGTGATAGTTCCTGAGAAGTTCACGATTAGTGTTGAAGATAACTCCATGATGTCCAAGACAAAGGGTCACCCAGATCGGTAGACTTGGTGTCTTTAATCGTGATCCTGGCTGCCTATTAAGTTGTCCGTCTCCCTCGTGAATTAAAAATCCTATCTCGCTTCTGACCAGAACGCCCCATTGCGGAACCGCCTTTCATCATAAAAAGAATATTGATTAATTAAAATATGATTAACATAATAATTTCAAAATTTTTTAAACAATTTTCTAATTTTTTAACAATTTTAATTTTTTTTCTAAACATTTTTTTAGTCTTTTCCAAACTGTAACTGTCAAATTGTTTCAACCTGTAAATTAAAAGAGATTTTCTTTCTAATAAACTTTTTCTAATGATTTTGAATCAAGATTCACTACGTTAATAATTAATTTTTTTAATTGAAAAATTTTGTATAATTGTTCATTTGTATAATTGTAAAATTTCATTTATTTCCAGTTGAAACTAATTTATTTGACTTACGTAAGTGTTTTCATCACCAACGTGAACGACACCATTATGAAGATGAGGGGAAGCTCTTCCGGTGAGAGCAAGAAGAACCAAGGACAAAGGACCTTCTTCCGGAGATCCGCTTAATAAAGAGCCCTTTGAGTCTTCTAAATCACTACGAATTCTAAAATACAAAAATCCATTAAAATAATTAATTGTCATTAAATTGATTAATTATTAATTTTTATATAATATTAATTTTCAACTAGTATTTTACTTTGAAAATCCTCTGGAGAGAACTGCGCTGTAAAGAAGCAATTTCGCCCCCGGTGAACCTTCATCTTGAAACTAGAACAACAAAATAAAAACAAATGTTAATTCTCAATAGAAATTAGTATTTCAATTAAAATTAATTGAATTCAATTAAATTATTATTTTACATTTCTATTAGACAGTCAAACTTTAATTTCATTAATTTCATCAATTTCATTAATTTCATCAATTTCATCAATTTTATCAATTTTATCAAATCACAAAATTTTGAAGTAAATTTAAATTAGAAAATTGAAATTATCTCAATCAGAATTTATCGAAGTTGAATTGTATTTTATAACTACTTTGAAATACGTACGAGATATAAATAACGTTTGATGAATATTTCCAAATCCTCCAAAGAAGTGAATTCGAACAAATGTAACTGTAACAATAAATATGTATAATTAAATTAGAAAATTTGTAATTAATTAAATAAATTAAATTAAAATTAAATAATTAAATAAATTAAATTAAAATTGAATAATTAAATAAATAAATTAGATTTTAATTTTGAGTCTCGATTAAACGAGATTAGTTTTAAATCTTCCAAGATGAACTATGACTTTTCAAGGTAAATACCTATGAAGGAAATAATAAGTTTTGGCCATGCGCCAATGTGTCAAAAATCCTTAATAATTCTCCAAGTGAAAATAATTGATCTACTTTAATTAACAAAATTTAATTCAATATTTTTAAAAGTATGATTTTGCAATTATTTTCAAATGAGAAATAAACTTAATTAAATTTAAATAAAAATATTAAACACAATTAGGTGATGAATTTAATTAAATTTTTAACTTTATTTATTTTTAAATGAGAATTTAATGAAATTCTTAAATTAATTAATTACAATGAATTTACTCAATTTTTAATTTAATTTATGTTCAATGAATTCAAGAAATTTTTTATTTAATTTAATTAATTTCAATGAATTTAAGTTTAAATTTTTAAAATTTAATTAATTTCAATAAATTTATTATAATTTTTCATTTAATTCATTTTCAATGAATTTAATGATATTTTTAATTTAATTCACTTTCATTCAATTAAATGAAGTTTTCAAAATTAATTAATTTCAATGAATTTAACGAAATATTTAATTTAACTCATTTTCAATGAATTTAAAAAAATTTTATTTAATTTTATTAATTTCAATGAATTTAAGAAATTTTTTATTTAATTTAATTTAAAAATAATTTTTAATTTTTTTTAAAAAAAAAAATGTGAACGTACAGTTTCAGTTAATCCATCTTGAAAATACTGAACGCTGTGCTGAAGATATGGCGTTTCTTGCGGTAAAGTGACAATGGCTTTGGGGATGCTAATATTCGATACCGTATTCAAATTCACGGAACTTGCACTTTGCGTTGCAAAACCACCAGCACATCGCCAAATTATTTCCGCTATTGCGCAAGCTAGAACTTCCATTTGTTGGTCGTAATTCGGCTTCAATAAACTGAAATCAAAAAACAATTTTTACTGATGAATATTTTTTGTTTCCTTTTTTTAACGCTTATAAAAATATTTAATATTCAAAAAGGATTTAATGTTTTTTTTTCCTTCCTTCCTTCACCACTATTAAAAATATTTAATATTCAAAATGGAAATTCAGAAAGAAAATAAATTTTGAAAGCAAATTTTCTTTATTCAACTATTTTTCAAAATGTGGACCTACGTTTCAGATGTCATTTTGTCCTGATTATTGGCCTTGAATAAAAAATGTTTAAGCATAATTGCTTGAACCGTGGTGATAAGACCTCGAGTTGAATTTCTCGGCGATCTTAATCCAAAACTCAAAGATTGATTTGGAGGTCGGAGTGTCAATCCAGTTCTGGCCCATTCGACTTTCGGTGGACTTGCGCTACTTCCGAAAACCACCATTCTCAATTCCTGTAAAAATTAAAAAAAGACATTCAAATTAATTAAAACTCAACCATTAAAATTATAAATTATAAATTAAACCATTAAACTACTATATTTTTATTTTTTCTTTTACTATTAGCATTATTTATTATTTTATTTTTTTATACAAAGCCAAACAAAATTAATTTTTTTATCAAAGAAAAAGAAAGATTGAGACAAAAAATAATAATGAATAGTAGAAATTAAAATTATAAAAAGAAAATATAACAAGAAGAAGAAAAGGGAGATTTTCTGTGAAATTTACCATGCATGTCTCTTCATTAATTGGAGTTCCTCCAAGAACTGGTGTCTTCACCAAAGTCCTCGTACTTCTTGGATAGAGAATTCTCTCTGCAACAGAAAAATGAACAAAAAAATACAAATTTGAACAAACTGGATACAATATTAGTTTAAAATTAGTTACAAATTAATTAAAAATGAATTGAAAATTAATTAAAAATTGGAAATTAATTGAAAATTACTTCTTGCAAAATTTAGTTTTAAAATTAATTTTTTATAAAAAAACAACAAAATTCGACCTGGATAAAGTTCATCTGGTTCTGCCATCAGTGCAGCGTATTTTGCTGCCCTGGCTGATAATAGCATTTTATGAAAAAAAAACCAATTATAATAAATGTGACGCTTGTCTACGAGTCACAAAGAATTCAAAAGAAACAATTTTCATATTTTTGTTTATCTGATTGTTTCCAGGATATAAAAAGAGAAAAAAAAATATCAACGTATTCGAATTTTGTATACAATAATTATTGTCGAGGCGACAACTTGCCTCGAGTAGTTTAAAATATCAATTGAGAATAATAGTGAAATTTACAGCTCTTTTATATTTACATGAATCGTGAAAATTTTCAAAGTCCTGCCATATGAGAGATTAGACACGAAACATGTCATTTTTAGTGTTGGAAACTTATTTCGACATGCCCTACTGCTGTCTAACTTGACATTTAAATCCACACTTTTCGATTTTATCATCACGAAATTTTGCCAAAAAAAAAAAAGAAAGAACTTTCTTTTTAATCGACTTTAATTCATTGTCATTTTTAATTAGTCCTTCGCCCCTTCCAAGGACGATTGTATTTTAATTGGCAAATTATTAAATTTTTTTTTTATTAAATCAAACAAAAAAATAAAATTCGATTTCAGACAAAAAAAAATTTCGATCTTTTTCTTTTTTTTTTAATTTTTGAATTCAAAAAATGAGTTTCCGCTTTTCCATCTTTTTTTTTAGGTACTTAATTTTGTGATTAAAAATGACTTTGATATTTTCATAATTTCCCCTCGAGATAATATTTCACTTTGAAGATTTTTCAAATTTCACACAAGCGCAAAGTTTGCAAAGTTTCCTTTGGAAGAAGTTTACAATCAACAAAATGCACATGGATCGTTCCGACACGAATTTGAGTAAAGTTGAAACACTTCTCATTATGAGAACACGAGTCGGCAACAAAATTTCTGAAGAAAATAAATTCTCTAAAAATAGAACTCGGTAAATAATTAAATATTTAATTATTGAATTATTATTAAATTTAATTATTAAAGAATTTATTATTAACAAAAATATATTTAATTAAAAAAGTAAAATAGGATTTCTAATTTTTATACCTTTGTCCCTCACATAAGTAGGTTTATCCGATTTCACTTCACAAGCCCGGCGATTACAATTTTTCGAAATTGGAGAATATATTTTCGACTCCGAACCAGAGGTTGTTGCCTTTTCCATGATTATTTTTATTTTAATTGAATTTCTTTTTATTTATCTACTTAATTGAACCATTTGGAGAAATGATTATATCTTCATAATTAAAAGCTTTGAAAAAGAATAATAAAAAAATACTCAAATGATAAAAATCGTCGGGCACTAGTTTTTCCATTTTTTTTTTTTTTTTCCAAATTTCGGGAAATTTTATCGAAGATTTTCTAAATATTTACTTCCCTAATTACTAAGTAATTCAAATTACTAAATAAACTAAATCAAAATAATTAGCTAATTATAAATATTAATTATTTCAATTAATTGCTTTTAATTTAATAACGAAATAAATTTTTAAAAAAGGGAAAAGAAAGAGGACAAAAGACAAAAGGGGAAGATTAAAATGTTTTTTCTTGGGGAAAAGTTTTTTGTCATTGCAATTACTAATTGTTTTTTTTCATTTGGAATTTTAATTTCCGAATTAATTAAGTAGTGGAAAAATGGAATAAAATTTATTTATTAGAATTAGAACTAACGATCATGATGTGGCTGATGGTTCAAGAAGAACGAGTTGACTGACAGCATAGCGTTTAGAGTTTAGAAGTAATTGTTACTAACACCCCTTACGTTTAACCCCTTATATACGAATGGATGTTAAGGGTCTATCTCGAGGTTCTATCAAATAGACTTCTGAATATAGAATCACCTACATAGACCGTGTAAATTGGTGTCGATCATGAATTTGCGAGATTCAAAGCAAAAAAAAAGTATAATCAACAACTATTTTTAACAGTCTTCTAAATAATTTTCCTATTTGGATCTAAATTTTTTTAATTTTAGTTTTTTTAAATTTTTTTCATTTTTAATAATTTTACTTATTTGGACAACAAAATTTTTCTAAATTAAATAATTTTACTTATTATTTTTTTTGTAACCTTGTCTCATAAAGTAAATTAATTTTAACCAAATTAATTAATTTCATAAAGTAAATTAAGAAATCGATAATTTCCGAAAACAATTTTCAGTCATTTTTTAAAGTAATACCGATAATTATCCAACGAAATGAAAGAAGAAAATTTTCTTAAATATTCCTCGAATTTAAATGGAAAATCTAGTGCCAGGAGCGATATGCATATTCGTTTACAGCGGTGTTAAATTACGCATACGAGTATCCTTGAAACCAGCAAAGTTTGATGATCGATTAGATTCATTTTTCTTGTTGTGTGAAAGCCAATTATGCCTCATATTATGGATTTATTAACGAAAGTCCTAGTTACCACCCTCGAGGAAATTTTTCAAATTAAAAACTGTAAACATAATCTTTTCATGTTTCTCCATTTTTTTGAAAATTAATCTTTTTCCAAAATTATCAAAAAAAATCTAATAAATAAAAATAATCTCGAAAAGGAAGAAAAAATTGAAATTTTCATCAAGTATTTTGTTGCAAATTGGAAATATAATGTCAATAATTGCTCACCAGGTAGTGGTCGATGTTTACGTGCTGAATTTGCAGCGGCAGCAATTTTAGCAAAAGCAGTAAATTTTCGAGCTGGTTTCTTCACTACAATTGAAGTTGTCGAACTGTAACATAAAAAAAATAAATTAAAATCCGTATCCTTGAAGAGAGAAAAAAAAGGCTGAGGAAAAGATTTAAAATAAAAATTATCGACTGTAACCCCATTCAAGAAAAATAATTCTATGATTCAATTCAATGACTTCAGTTTCAAATTATATACGTTACTTCATAAAAACTATTATCAGACTGTCGACCTTTTTTCTCTTCTTCACTTTTCATTTTACGAAACAAAAAAAAAATAAAATACATATTTGCAAATTTCAATCGAATTTTTATGAGTTCTTTAGAAAAATACTTCAAGCTAAATTATACATACAATTTTTTATTTTATTTTTTTTATTAGTTTAAAGTAGTTTAAATTTTTTTCATTTAGAACAATTTAGAACAATTCAGAACAATTTAAAATTAAAACAATTTAAAATAATTGAAAACAATTGAAAACAATTTAGACCAATTTCAATCAATTTAAAGAGAAATTAAACTTTCAAATAAACAAAAAAGTAATTAAACTTTGAAATAAACAAAGATGTTATTAAACTTTAATTAATAAAAAAATTGCAATACTTTAGGATTAAAACAGGTGTCGTTAGAATTATAGCTTTGCAACGAAGCTCTCAATTTCGTGAAGCGTTTCGTGATTCATATCAATAAAAGCTTATTCCAGAATTCTAGATACACAAGAGTCATATTTTCTCGAGAATAGACAATTTTTTTTCCCCTCTATTATTCATAATCTTCCATTTTTTTCAGCTTACATAAAATATTATTAAACTACATTCGGGAAAAAATAGAGCAAATAAAAAATATACTACCTGTTCATCTGTTGCATTCCTTAATATAATGGAAAAAAGTCAATTTAATCGACAAAAAGAAAAAAAATGCTCTAATTTATCTATTTGCACTGTTTGCACTGCTTTTCGAAAGCAGAACAAAAAAACGGAAAACATCAAAAAACAGAACAATTTTCTCCACTCCAAAAAAAAACCTGGAAAATAAAATAAAACGTTAACATTTTTTTTCAAAAATCCTAAAAGTGAAAAAAAATAATAAAATTTTTGTGTAGGTATTGTTTCAAAAATTGAGAAATTCGAAATAAACGACAAAATCAAGATCTTTTTTTCAGTCGTGCAAATGCAAATACATTTTTTTTTGTTTATTCAAAAAAATGGAGTTCCTAAAAACTTTTTAAATCCGGTCACGTGGTTTCGGATTTCAAAACTTAGTCAGAAATCACGCGACTCTCTTTATTTGCTTGATAACCGTAAGCGGCTATTCCCCCTTGGCCTCTTTTTCAGCAAAATAATGATCTAGTTTAATCGATTTACAGGTGCAAAGGCACTTTTATTTTTTATGACGGCTAATTAACTGATTAAATGAATTGCCTCAAATTAGCCAACGAGATATTTATAGAAAAATACACGAGAAAAATTACCAATTTTAATCTCCACTTAACGCAAGTTTTTAATTATTTTATTAATAATAATAACAACTTCATTTGTTTTTATTTCTCTAGGAAATTGCAAAAATATTGCACTAGTAATAAAAATATAATATTTCATTATTAATTTCAAAATTTATAGTTTTATTATTATTATTAAAGAATATTATTTTAAAAAAATTGTGGATTAACAAATAATATTGAAAAAATAAATTTTGAATCAATAAATAATTTTTGTTATCAAATTCAAAGTGAATTATTTCAAATGATTCATTAAAGTAATAGAAACTAGACCAAGTTAAATAAAAAGAAGTTAAATATCGGCTTTCTTATTTGTTACTCAACTTTATTGCAAATTGGAAAAAAAAATTAATTACGCAATCGAATTTTGAATATAAGAAGAAAATAAGGAAAGACTCTCTCGTTTTGTCGTAAAAAAATACTTCCCTAAAGACTTATTAATTTAATAATTAATAAACAATTTAATATGCACTTTAAGTTGTAATAAAATTTTCAAACGATAATTTTAATTAAAGTGATTTTTACCTTTTTCTTTAACTTTCTTTAGATTTTAGGAAATTTAAATTTTGAAAGACTTGATTTTTAAAAGAAAATGAAAAAAGGAAAATTCTTTAATAATAATTTTTTCATGAAATAAAAAATGCTACGTACCCCTTTTCTGTAATGGAACACATTTTTTTTAACTGTGAATTTTCATTTACCATGTGTATTTCAAAGTAAATAATCGAAGCGTAAGAAATACCGTTCAGCTCACTGTTCCGGCAATTTACGAATTTAACTGGAGTATGAATTACATCTTCTAACGCTAGTATAGCACGAGTCAGGTAGGGGGCAGAAGGTACCAGATAATCAGCTCCAAAAAAATTAGGGCACTGGTATATTTCTACCAAAACTATTTATAGTAACAATTACATATCTAAAATTTCAATAAAAAAAAAGAATATATTATAAAAAAATACACCTTTCAACATTATATAGAAATCATTATAAAAATTAAAATTTAATCTATAACAATCACTAGAGAGTCTATAATCACTCCTAGAGTTTTTTCTTTAAAGTTTAAAATAAAACTTTTTTTAAAATTTAATCACTGGTAAATTTTAGTCATTGGCAGTCACATTTTTCATTTTAACAAGGAGTTTGTCTTTAGCGACATTATCGCCAATTTTGCACAAAATCCTATCAATTTCCCCATCGGAAGATGCTTTGATGATGTACTGGGAAACAAATTTAAAATAAATTTCCCAAATAAAAGAAAAGAGAAAGAGTAATAAAGAAAATTTGGCTAGAAAATTTTACTTACTTCCATTTTCATGGCAACAATCACTAAAAGAGGATCACCTTTGTTGACATTGTCGCCGTCTTTTATTAAAATTTTGTCAACAATCCCGGGAATGGGACTCACTGCAGCTCCTAAGGCAACGGCCGAGTTATTTCCAAGCTTGGAAATATAATTTGGTGCCACTGCATTTAATTTCCAAGAACGGTCCTAAAAATTAAAGAATTATTTCATTTTCTATTTCCAATTTCTAAAATCTATATTAATAATCATTGTAATCCGAATGTCTCTTCGCATTTAAAGTTAGTTCTTTTTGATTAATTTTTTCTTTTCTACTTTTTTTCTGATAATTTTTTTTAAAGTTGTTTTGAATTTAAAAATTAATTAAATTCTAGTTTAACGCATTGAAGATTAAAAAATACCAAGAATTAATTAAACCAAATTGTTTTCAATTAAAAATATTTTTTAAATAATTGAATTCTTTCAAGAAATTAAATTCCAATTTTTCTAAATAATTAAATTTATTCCAAAAATGTTATTAACTATGAAAATTTTTGAAATCTTGGTAAAATTTTTCTTAAAATTGTATGAAAAATAAGTGAATTTTCATAAAGAATTTTACAAAAATTTTCAAAAAATTTAATTTCTACGAAGAATTCTATTACTTGGGAGAAAAATTTAATTACATCAAAGTATTTAATTAAATTTTTTTCATTTAATCAAAATAAATAATTCAAAATAATAAAATCTTAGCGAAGAATTTAATTATTTATAAAAATAATTTGAAATCTGACTAAGAATTTTATTGAAATTTTCGAAAATAATTAAATTTTTTCAGGAATTTCATTAAAGTTATTGTATATTAGAAATATTTTAATTCTCATAAAGAATTTAATTGAAATTTTTCAAAATAATTGAATTTCTGTAAAAAAATGTTTAAATCATGAAAATAATTGAAAATTTGCGAAGAATTTTATTAAAATTTCCGAAAATAATTGAATTTTTTCAAGGAATTTAATTAAAAATTTTTGAAAATATTTCTATTCTCATAACGAGTTTAATTTAAAATATTCCAAATAATTGAATTTCTACGAAGAATTATACCTATTATTTAGAATGAGAATCAAATTTTTTCAAAGTATTTCTTGCTGAGAGTTTTATTAAAATTTTCGAATATTTATTTATTTTTATTTATTTGAAATAATTGAGTTTTTTTAAGGAATTTAATTAAAATTGTATTGAAAATATTTCAATTCTCATGAAGAATTTAATTTAAATTTTTCAAAATAATTGAAATTTGGCGAAGAATTTTATTAAAATTTCCGAAAATAATTGAATTTTTTCAAGGAATTTAATTAAAATTTTATTGAAAATATTTCAATTTTCATTACGAGATTAATTAAAAATTTCACAAATAATTGAATTTCTACAAAGAATTTTATTATTTAGGATGAGAATTAAATTTATAAATAATTTTATCAAAATTTCTCAAAGTAATTAAATTCCTGCGAAAAATTTTATAAATTATGAAAATAATTTAAATCTTGCGAAGAATTTTATTAAAATTTCCGAAAATTGAATTTTTTCTAGAAATTTAATTAAAATTGTATTGAAAATATTTCAATTCTCATGAAGAATTTAATTGGAATTTTTCAAAATAATTGAATTTCTGTGAAAAATTTGATAAATTATGAAAATAGTTGAAATCTTGAGAAGAATTTTATTAAAATTTCCGAAAATAATTGAATTTTTCCAAAATTTAATTAATTAATTGATTAAATTAATTGTATTGCAAATATATCAATTCTCATAAAGAATTTATTTAAAAAATTTCAAAATAATTGAATTTTTCTGAAAAATTTTATTGAAATTATATTGAAAATAATGCAATTCCTACGAAGAATTTAATAGTTTTTTGAAAAGAATAAATACTATTAATATATAATAACTTAGTTAATAATTATAAACTTTTTATTATTTGCATAATAATTAATTAATAATTTTAAAGTTATTACTCACCTTGCTAAATACAACTAGTTGATCGTCAAGTTTTGCAATATTTACTTGTTGAATAACGCCATCAATTTCAGTGTTAAGTTTCATTGTTTTACCATCAATTGTCATTGTACCAGTGACTTTTCGCCATGGTCCCAAATTATTGATCCTCATCATAAAAACGTCTGGCTCGACATATTGAACATCAGTGACAAATTTTTCCTCCCCAACAAGAAACTGGAAATTTCTCATTAATGCATGATTCACTCGAACTCCAGTTTCAGTAGCGAATGGACTAAATGGATCGTCAGTTTCTATCGACTTTTTCATTGCTTCTAATTCTTCGTTTAGTATTAATCCAAGAGTTCCTTGTGCCAATACATCGCTCGGTACTTGTAATTTTGGAAATAGTAATTCGTAATTCTCCTCAATAAAACCAGTGTGTACGTCTCCATTTTGAAATTTTTCATTGCTACAAAGATCCTTTAGGAATTCCACATTTGTCTCCAAGCCGGCAATCTAAATAGAAAAAATTGTAAGTATTTGTCGTAATTCTCAAGTTTTACGGTGAAAATAAATAAAAGTCCGAATTTTTCTTACATTATATTCAGAAAGTTTAGAATGCAAGATTCTAAGAGCCGATGTTCGATCCTGACCCCAAACGACTAATTTCGCGATCATTGGATCATAATGCACGGAGACTTGATCATTTTGCCTAACTCCAGTTTCAACTCGAACATTATCGGCGACAGATGGAGTGACCAAATACGATAATTTTCCTGCACCTGGCAAAAAGTTATTCCTTGGCTCCTGGAAATTAAGTAAAATAAATTAGTGCCTCATCTCAAATGTGCAGTTTATTATAATGCGAATTTGTAGCAATTTTTTCTTACCTCGGCGTAAATTCTAGCCTCGAAAGCATGACCTCGCAATTGAATGTCCTCCTGTTGCATGGGCAATTTTTCTCCAGCTGCCACCTTCAATTGCCATTCGACAAGGTCAGTTCCCGTAATTGCCTCTGTTATCGGATGTTCCACCTGCAGACGTGTGTTCATTTCCATAAAATGAAAGTTATGCGTTCGACGATCCAAAATAAATTCCACGGTTCCAGCGCCAACGTAACCAACAGCCTTTGCAGCTCGAACGGCCGCTGAGCCGAGTTCCAGGCGAAGCTCCTCCGATATGCCCGGCTTCGGATTTTTAAATTAATAATATCAGAGCTCGAACCAGTGAAAGTATTTAAAAATATCGACTTTACGGGAAAAAATGAAAAATTACGGACCAATTGCTGACAAAAATATAATCAGTCCGAGTCAAAGAAGAGAACATTTTACTTGAAACTATAAATTCAATTTTTCGTAACTATAAAACATGAAGAAATCGGTAACTCCGAGTCTTCGACTCGGAGAAATCAATTTCTTCGTTTTATAATAATTAATGACCGAGTGATAAATTCATTACCAATTTAATAATTATTTTCAAGAATTTTTAACTAAAACTCTTCTTTAAATCGATTATTTTTCATAATTTTCGAAAAAGTTCTTTGACAATTTTCAAATCTATTTGTTTATAATATTCACTTTTACGAAATTTCAATTTTATTCGTAAATTCTTCATTTAAATAAATATTAGAAAACAAAAACTTCAAATAATATTAAAAAAAATTCAATATTAAACTTTTTCAAAAAAATTAATTTCAAAATTCAATTATTTTTTTAAATTAACGCCATATTGCTATTAATATTCAATTATTATCTAAAATTTTAACCCTAATTCATTTTAAATCAATTTTTATTAGAAAATTCTACGAAAATTCAATTATTTAAATACAAAAATAATTATTTTATTGAATAATTGAATGTTTCTTAAAATTGAATTCTCATAAAGAAATTTCCGAAAAATTTTAAAACTCATGAAAATAATTGAATTTTTGCGTAGAATTTTATTCAATTTTTTTTACATAATTGAATTCTTTTGGGAAATTTTATAAGAGTATAATATATTAAAAATCATTAAATTAGAAAAAATTTTGAAAGTAATTGAAATTTTGCCAATAAATTTATTAAAATTTTTAAAAATAATTGAATTTTGAAAAAGAAATTTTATTATTTATAAAGATAATTAAAATTTAGACAAGAATTTTATTAAAATTTTTGAAAATAATTGAATTTCTGCAAAAAAAATTTATTACTTTTGAAAATAATTGAATTCTTGAGACGAATTTTATTAATATTTTTTTTAATAATTCAAAGAAGAATTTTATTATTTTTGAACAATATAATAATATTTAAAAAATCCGCAATTATAGAATTCTCAAAAAAAAAAATTAAATTAAAATTAAATTAAATTCTGCAATGAGTTTTATTATTTATGAAGATAATTGAATTCCTAAAAAGAAATTTATTATTTACGAAAATAATTAAATCCCCGTAAAAATTTTATTATGTATGAAAATAATTGAATGATTGCGAAGAAATTTTTAAAAAAATTTGTAAATAATGAAATCCCTGTGAAATTTTTATTATTTTTTGAAAATAATTAAAAGTTTGTGTAGAATTTTATTAAATTTTTTTTTTAAATAATTGAATTCTTTTGGAAAATTTTATGAAAATAATAGCTATTGAATTGAGGAACATTTTTGAAAATAATTAAATTTCGGAGAAGAATTTAATTATTTCTAAAGATAATTGAAATTTTGATGAGAATTATTAAAAATTTTTGAACATAATTGAATTTTTGCGAAGAATTTTATTACTTTTAAAAATAATTGAATTTCTGCAATGATTTGTAATTTCTCTAAAATTCTCCAAATTATGTCGTACAATTTACGAACAATTTACTTTTCGTCCGTTTTTAATCAAATTACAGACTTTACAGACCTTTTTTCAAAAAAACGGACTTTTACTGGAAAAAAAGAAATATTTGCTCACTTTTGTTCATAAAAAATGCAAATAATTTAAAGTTATTGAATAAAATATAAATTTTATGTTATAAAAGTTTTATATCTATATATGTTTTATGTTCATGTGAAATATCATATAAAATTTGTTTTAATTGAAAAATTAATTTCGAATGAAATATTGCCAAATATCTTACAGCCGGTGCCTCCTCGATGATCTTTTGATGTCTTCTTTGAACAGAACAATCTCTCTCGAATAAATGAACAGCATTTCCGTAGTGATCGGCGAAAACTTGTACCTCGACGTGTCGTGGTTCAGCGACATATTTCTCCAAAAGAACAGCAGAATCGCCAAAAGCTTTCTGAGATTCCGTACGCGCTGACTCAAGAGCTTGATGAAATTCTGATTCTTTCAAGGCAATTCTCATTCCTTTTCCACCGCCACCCCTCACTGCTTTGATCATTAATGGAAATCCTATCACTTTTGCCTTCGCTAACAAAGTTTCGTCAGATTGATCCTCTCCGTGATATCCTGAAATAATATTTTAATTTTAAAAACTTTTCTCACCTTTTCTTTAGCACAAAAATTATTATTATTGATTATTATTAACCCTCAGTACGTTAAGTTTGTTCTTAATTTTCTTTCTGCTATTTTTTATGTAGTTTTTTTCAGTAAAATAATATTCGTATTTAGTACCTTCAATAATAGGAACACCGGCTTCCGACATAATTGCTTTTGAAGTACTTTTAATGCCCATATCGCGTATTGCTTGCGCTGGAGGACCAATGAAAATAATATTCGATTTCTGACAAAGCTCGGCGAATTCGACGTTTTCGGACAAAAATCCATAACCAGGATGAATTGCTTGGCATTTTGATTGTTTAGCTATTGAAATTATTTTGTCTTGTCTCAGGTAACTTTGATTTGAAGGAGCAGGTCCAATGCAATATGCTTCGTCCGTCAAATTAACGTGCATTGCATCTCTATCCACTTCACTGAATACTCCAACTGTTTTCACACCAAGTCTCCTTGCAGTTCTCGTTATGCGGCATGCTATTTCGCCTCGATTTGCTATTAGAATCTACAAGAATCATTCTCTGATTATATTATAGAAAAATTATCTCATTTTTTTGTCGCTTGTTTAAGAATTTCGTTTTTAATAAAACATTTCAAAATTTATACATTAAATCGTTAATTATTAATTAAATTCAATTGCTTTTGCAACTAAATTGAAAAATATTAAAAAATTAAATATTAATGATTAATTGTTAATTAATAGTTTAAAATTGTTATCTAACTAAATTTAATTCAATTACCTTGTCAATCCGGGTATGTTTATTTCTCGTAATGTTAATGATTTCAAACCTTTTTGAGGTTAGGTTCCTAAAAGAAGAGTAAAAAGAATAAAATGAATGAATCAAATGTTGAAAAGTATTTTAATTTCATTGAAAGATTGAAACTTACTTTCTAACTAAATTGTTAATCAACAAGTGTTGTTTGTACATTGTTGAAAGTTGATATAGAAAAATAAAACACTGGCGGCAAAAAACATAAAAGTAACAATTAAAATTAATTCAATATGTTTTCATTTATTCAATGAACACTGTATCACATTTATTCAGACTTTGATTTTACATTACTCGAAGTTTGGAATGTTTAATTTCCTATTAAAATTAATTTATTCATTTTTGATAAGATAGTGAAATCACCATCACGCACACGTAACGGTTTTATCTCGAATCAATATCGAATTAAGAATGACTTTTGGACAAGCGGGACTTGATAATTAGAAACTGAAAAAGAAATTTTATTTCTCTTCTAACATGTTTATAAACTTAATATTTATGTTCTTTTTCTGCTTCTTTTTAATCTTTAACGTATGCTTCGTATTTACTTTATAAATTTTTATATTTAATTAAAAATTACATTTTTCTCAAATTTAAATAATTGTGACCTTGTGTTGGCTACAATTCAGTTAGAAATTTTTTTTGATTGGCAACACTTACACGCTGCTATGTTCATTGCTTAAGACGTGTTTGTCAATATGTCAAATTTTATACAAATTTTAATCTATTCTTTATATTAAAAGATTAAAATATTAACGATTAAAATTAGAATAATAGTTTAATAATTTTTTTATTAAAAATTAATGTTTATAAATAGTTTTATGCTTTTATTTTTAAATTATATTCTCTGTGAAAATCGTGTAAACTGCCGCAAAAAAAATCATCACAAACATGTTTGTAGGTTATGTTCAAATAATTGAAATAAGATATTTATGGTAAATATATTAATAATTCAAAGTTTAATGTGTTTATTATTTTTCAGGACGAATAGTGTACAACATTAATTAAAAATTTATAAAAATAAAATAAAATGGATGTCAGTACACTGTTTCGTGCCTGTGTGCAAACTGTGCACCAGAGCAATCAAATCATTGACAATGATACGAATTTAAAGTCAACTTTTAAACTGCGTCGTAAACAAAGTCCATTTGTCATTAAATCTCAAGCAGTAGTTAATCAAATAGCAAAACTTCGTGAATTTCTACTTGAAAATCGTCCAGCTTATTTGAATTTTTCAAATCATTTATCAAACAAATCACACATGACGGACAATGATCGTGATCAAATTGACGCTGGTGCACAACAAATAATGACAAAATGTTCTCAACTTATTAAAGAACTGAGACGTGAAATAGCCGAAACTGAAGTCTCTCCACAAAATACCGAACATCGTGAAATAATGTTAATATTAATAGAAAATTATTTGAAAAATGTTTGTAAAATTTATTCCGAACAAAAGGCAATTCGCGTGAAGAGAGCAATCGAATATCGTAAAGTTGCCAAACTTGAAGTTGATTCGAAAAAATCAAATTCAATTCCAATCGACACAAATAGTAAGGAAAAGGAACTCGATATGAATAAATCTTCAATGACAATTCCCGAAATTGATAACGAAATGAGCGGTACATTGAGTTTTGAAGATGAATTATCCCCCGAGGATATTCAAATGTTCGAATCAGAAAACGAGCAACTTTTCAATGAATTAAATACATTGGCCGAAGAAGTGAAACAAATTGAAACTAAAGTCGTTCATATTGCCGAACTTCAGGAAGCATTCACGGAAAAGGTCATGGATCAGGATAAAGATTTAGATCGTTTAATGACAACTGTCGTTGGATCAACGGAAAATGTTAAGGAGGCAAATGAACAAATTCGTCAAGCAATTCAAAGAAATGCCGGTCTCAGAGTATGGATTTTGTTCTTTTTAATAGTAATGTCATTCACACTTTTATTTCTAGATTGGTACAATCCTTAAGTACTTTAAATTAAAATTAAACTTAAAACTTTAAAAAATTAAATTTATATAATTTTTTCGTTTTGAATTTTAAAAAAATTTCGACACCAGGGCTCGAACCAGTGAAAGTATTTAAAAATATTAAAATACGGACTTTACGAAGCAAAAATGAAAAATTACGGACCAATTACTGGTAAAAATATAAAAATACCAAAAATTAAATTTTTCATAACTATAAAACATGAAGAAATCGATAACTCCGAGTCTACGACTCGGAGTGATCAATTTCTTTATGTTTTATATTAATTAAGAATATTGTTAATACAACTTCTTAAAAATTATTTTCATCATTTCAATTCAATTATTATTTTCAAGAATTTTTAACCAAAATTCTACTTTAGATCAATTATTTTTTAATAATTTTCGAAAAATTTCTTTGGCAATTTTCAAATCCATTTATTTACAATATTCAATTTTACGAAATTTCAATTATTCTTAAATTCTTCAATTAAATGCATATTAGAAAATAAAACCTTTACATAATATCAAAAAAAATCTGCAATTCAACTTTCTCAAAAAAAATTAATTTCCAAATTCAATTATTTCTAAAAATTCACGTTATATTGCTTTTAATATTCAATTATAATCTAAAGTTTTAACTAAAATTAATTTTTAAATCAATTTTTATTAGAAAATAATGGAATGTTTCTTAAAATTCAACTCTCATAAAGAATTTTATCAAGAAATTTTTAAATAATTGAATTCTATCAACGAATTTTAATAAAATTTTTAAGAATAATTACATTTTTCGAGAAATTCGATTAAAATTGTATTAAAAATAATTGAATTCTCGAGAAAAATTGTATTATTTATGAAAATAATTGATTTCTTGAGAAGAATTTTATTACTCTTGAAAATAATTGAATTTCTGAAATAATTTGTAACTTCTCCAAAATTCAATTTTTTTTCTAGTGTTTTTAACTAAAATTCTTCTATAATTCCATTATTTTTAATAATTTTTTGAAAAAGTTCTTTGAGAATTTTCAAATTCATTTGTTTACAATACAATTTTACAAAATTTCAATTATTCCAAAAAAAATTCAATTAAACTTTTTCAGAAGAATTAATTCTGCAGATTTGTTAGTTCAAAATATGAAAAATTCTGATTTTCAAAGATTTTAATTTAAAGGTTTTTCAAAATTCAATTATTTCTGAAAATCGACATTATAATGCTGTTAATATTTAATTATAATCGCGAATTCAATTATTTATTAAATAATTGAATGTTTCTCAAAATTGAATTCTCATAAGGAATTTTATCACCAAATTTTTAAATAATTTAATTCTTTCCACAAAATTTAATAAAATTGTTAAGAATAATTACATTTTCGAAGAATTAGATTAAAATTGTATTAAAAATAATGTAAATTCAACGATAAATTTTATTATTTATGAACAAAATTGAAATTCATTTTAAATCAATTTATATTTTGAAAATTCTTCAAGAATTCAATTATTTAAATACAAAAATTAATAATTAATAGAATAATTTATTATTTCTTAAAATTGAATACTTATACAGAGTTTAATAAACATTTTTGAATATAATTAAAATCTTCCGACGAATTTTAGTGAATCTTTTGAAAATAATTAAAATCGTGTGAAGAATTTTGTTATTTATAAAAATAATTAAATTATTGAGGAGAAATTTATAAAAAAAATTTTAAATAATTGAATTTATTTGGAATTTTTATTATTTATCAAAATAATTAAATGTTTGCGTAGAATTTTATCAACATTTTTTTTAAATAATTGCATTCTTTTGGAAGGTTTTATTAAAATAGTAAACATTCAAAATTATTGAGGAAATTTTGACAAGAATTTTATTACATTTTTTGAAAATAATTGAATTTTGGAGAAGAATTTTATTATTTATAAAGATAATTGAAATTTTTACGACAATTTTTTTAAAATTTAAATGATTAAAATACAAAAATAAATAATTCATTGAATAATTGAAAATAATTGAATTCCTAAAAAGAATTTTATTATTTACGAAAATAATTGAATAAAAATTTTATTATTTATGAAAATAATGGAATTATTGCGAAGTAATTGATAAAAAATTTGTAAATATAATTGAATTTCTGTAAAAATGTTTATTATTTATGAAAATAATTGAATGTTTGCGGAGAATTTTATTCAATTTTTTTTTAATAATGGAATTCTTTTGGGAAATGTTATTAAAATAGTAGATATTAAAAATCATTGAATTGAAGAAAATTTTTGAAAATAATTTAAATTTTGCCAAGAATTTGATTAAAATTTGGGAAAATAATTGAATTTCAGAAAATAATTTTATTATTTATAAAGATAATTGAAATTTTGATAAGAATTTTTAAAAAATTTTGAACACAATTGAATTTCTGCCAAGAATTTTATTACTTTTTAAAACAATTGAATTTCTGCAATAATTTGTAACTTTTCCAAAAATCTTTAAATTATATTGTACAATTTACGAACTTTTCGTCCTTTTTTAATCAAATTACGGACTTTACAGTCCTTTTTTTTAAAAAACGGACTTTTACGGACTTAAAGAAAATTTACGGACCTAGTTCGAGCCCTGCGACACTTCCAATGAAATATTTTTCAATATATTTTTTAAACAATGTTTTATAAAATTATTATAAATAAAGGAGGGGGAATATTTGTAATTATTAAATTAAATGAAGTAAAAGAGAGAAAGAGAGAGTGTTTGCCAAAATATGTTGGTATATTGTATCACCAAAAATTGTACATAATTACCACTACTTATACAATAAAGATTGTGATATATGTATACATATACAAATGTAGGTTTGGTTACGCGCAATCTGTTAGACTAAAAACTAACTTATTCGTTTCATGTTTTATTTTCATTAAAGATGAATCTTAATTGCACCCTAACGCAAAACAGTCCAATTCATTTTTTTTTTCTTGACAAAATTCTTCTTTTCTTTGCAGAAAAATATTTTAAAAAATACATGATTATACAAATCAAAATATATAAAGAAATATTCTCTTATAAAATGACAATTCGTATAAAAAAGACACAGAGTAATAAAATGAAGATTGTAAGAGTTCTTCATAATTGTAAAAGAATTGATTTCTAAACTAGATACCAGAAAGAATTTCAAATCTAAAAATCTAATTTTACATCTATTAAAGATATTAGATCCAAGAGTTTGAAAATCTTTCAAATATAAATGATTAAAAATTTTCCATATATATATATATAAATATATAAATCTAATATACAATTCTATTTTTCTATCTCACAATGAAAATTTAGAGATTAAAAATAATTGAGATTAAAAATTGATAATTGCACTTTCAGAGTAGAAAATATACGATTTAAATATCTATTTGAATTTTCAATATTTTTGATACTTTTCTACTTTAAAAGATGCTTAATTTCAAAATATAAAAATTTAGAAGTAAATTCCCGACAATTTTTCCTTTTTTAATTCTCTAATTATCAAAATATTGATAAAAATAATTCATTAATCAATTTTTAATGAATTGAATTTTAATTTCCATTTATTATAAATAAACTTTATTATTATCAATTGATTCCAAAAAAGTATGAAATAATAGATTCACGAATCAGATAAACAATAAGGATACACTATCTAAAATATATGACAAAAAAATATTATACTTAATATTCTACTTTTATAATTCTACCTGCGATAAATCCATATCACGAAATCCCAATGGCGAGTTTTTCTTTACTAATTATTATTCTTTCAAATTACTCAAAAGAATTCAATTAGTAATCGATTATTTTAACCATACATAATATATTTATATATATATAATATTCATGTCGAGCATTTATCGCAAAACATACACAATTATTCAGCATGAAACTCAGCCATAGAATGGGATTAAACAAAATTTATTCTTATACAATAAACAAAAAATTACTAGAAAAAAAAATTCATGTTAATTGCGCACCACGAATTAAAATTAATTACACATTATTTGTTTTACGATTGTGATCGCTTGGACCAAAAATTATTACAAGTACATAAATTATACTTGTTGGAAAAATTTTATAGAACATTTTGTTATATACTATACACAATTATTATACGAACTTAAAACAAAAAGGAAAAAAAACAAACACTTATTAGAAGACTTGAAAAAATCTTAATTGCTAAATATGTTGCATTCCCTTCAGAAATATTCGATACAATATTTTTTTGTTTGCTTTATTTTCTTTTTATAATTAAGAGAAGGAAAAAAAATTGTATCATTTTAAGAATTTTTAGAAAGGCTTGAAACGCTTATGACCGTCGTAAGTAAGAATTTTACCTTCAATTAGACTTTGAACAACCCACGTGGTTGAGACAAGGGGAATTTCCCAACCTCGAGCTTTTTCAACAACCCACAATGGACATCTGTAATTTGTCAGAACCACTGTTCCTTCGATAAAACTAATTTCTGTAAAAGAAAAAAAATTTTTTATTTTCAAATATTAATTTTAATTTTGGAATAATTTCAGATTCTCCAGGCTTCACACTCATCTACTAAAACCTACTATTTAGTACTTTTTTCTACGTTATACTACTATTTGGGTACTTTTCTTAGATTTCAGCCACTAAAAGCTATTATTTTTTCTTTTTTTTGAGAATTTCCACTACTTTAAATTCGCTAATATAATACTCGAAATCAAAAAAACTATTCTCAAAAATTATAATAAAATTCTTTAAAACGATTCAATTATTTTCAATATCTACAGTATATTCATAAAATATCGCAAAAAAGAATTCAATTATTTAAAAAAAAATTATAAAATTTATCCAAAATTCAATTATTTTTATAAATAAAGTTTTCCACAAGAATTCAATTGTTTAAAATAAAATTTTCATAATTTATTTATTATAAATTTCGAAAAAATTGAAAAACTCATAAAATTATTATTCATAAACTATTTAACCAATAATTATACTCAAATATTTCAAAATTAATACAATTTTAGAAGAGTTGCGTTTCAATTTCAAATTTTAGAAAATGTCAATTTTCCAAAAAAACTTAGTTATTTGAAAAATTTTTGAAAATAATTGATATCGTCAGAACAATTTTATTATTTAAGACAGTAATTGAAAATTTCAATCTTCAGAAGAATTTTTCATTTTATGAAAATAATTGAATTTTTAGGAAGAATTTTATTAAAACTTTTGAAAATAATTGAAATCCTTTGAGAAATGTTGTTATTTATGAAATTAATTAAAAATTAATTGAAAATTTAATCTTCACAAGAATTTTTTATTTTATGAAAATAATTGAATTTTTAGGAAGAATTTTAATAAAATTTTTAAAAATAATTTAAATCCTTTAAGAAATGTTGTTATTGACGAAATTAATTGAAATCTTGCTAAGATTTTCATTCAAATTTTTGAAAAATAATATAATTGTTTCGATGAAAATTTAAATTCTTTCGAGGAATTTAATTATTTTCAAAATTCTTAGAATTCTTCACAGAAATTCAATTCTGTTCAAAAATTTTTTAAATTCTCGTAAAAATTCCAATTATTTTCAAAAGTAATAAAATTCTTCTACGAAAGTCAATTATTTTCAAAAATTTTAATAACATTCTTAGCAAACTTTCAATTATTTTCAAAAATTTTCCTCAGTTCAATTATTTTCAGTATCTACTAGGTAATTTAATGAAATTTTCCAAAAGAATTCAATTATTTAAAAAAAATTTTGACAAAATTCTACGCAAACATTTAATTTATTTTTTCATATAAATAATAAAAATTTAATCGAAATTCAATCATTTACACATTTTTTATAAACTTCTTCCCAATAATTCCACTATTTTCATGAATAATAAAATTCTTTTTAGGAATTCAATTATTTTTATAAATAATAAAACTCATCGCAGAAATTCAATTATTTATAATACAATTTTAATCAAATTCCTCGAAGAATGTAATTTTTCTTGAAAATTTTATTAAAACTCGTGAAAAGAATTCAATTATTTAACAATTTGTTGATAAAATTCAATTTAAAAAACATTTAATTATTCAATAAGTTATTTATTTTTGTATTTAAATAATTTAAATTTAAAAAAAAATTATCGTAAAAATTTCAATTCTCTTTATAAATAATAAAATTCATCTCTAAAATTCAATTATTCTCAAAAATTTTGATAAAATTCTATGCAAACATTTAATTATTTTAATAAATAATGAAAATTTCAAATGAAATCAATTATTTAAAATTTTATACAATTTTACAGGAATTTCTCCAAAAATGTAATTATTCTTCAAAATTTAATTTTAATTCCTCTAAAAAATTAATTATTTAAAAAAATGTTTTTTTTTAAATTCTTTGGAAAAATTCAATTATTTACAAAAATATTAGAATTTTTCACAGGAATTCAATTATTTTCAAATATTTTAATAAATAAATTAATAAAATTCTTCCTAAGAATTTAATTATTTACATAAATGATTCTTCGAAAGAATTTAATTTTATCAATAAATAACAAAATTATTCCCGAAAATTCAATTATTTTAAGGCATTTTAATAAAATTCTTTGAAAAATTTAATTATTTTCATAAATAACAATATTCATTACAAGAATTCATTTATTTTTAAAAGTAAAAAAAATTTTTTCTTGGAAATTCAATTATGTAAAAAAAATTCTAATAAAATCGTTCGCATGAATTCAATTATTTTCAATAAATAATAAAATGCTTTTTAGGAATTCAATTATTTTTAAAAAAATTTAATAAAATACCACACAGACATTCAATTATTATCAAAAATTTTAATAGAATTCTTTGTAAGATTAAATTATTTTTAAAAACTTTTCGCAATTGAATGATTTTCAATTTCTACAATTTTCATAAAATTTACAAACAGAATTCAATTATTTTCATGAATTAAGAAAACTTTCTCGGGAATTCAATTATTTAAATTAGAATTTGCATAAAATTAGTCAAAAGAAATCAATTTATTAAAAAAATTTTATAATATTCTTCGCAAGAATTAAATTATTTTTATAAATATTTAAATTCTTTAATGAATAATGAAATTCGTTGCAGGAATTAAATTTATTAGCATGATAAGAAAGAAGTACATATTTTTTATGAAAATTAGGGAAAAGTCCGAAAAATAAAATATAAAATGGAATTTTTGTCAGTTTTGCAAAGTTTTTAAAACGAGTTTTTTTGATCGTCAAGTTTAATTCTTCGATAGCTACTTTTTTTTTGTTTGAAATCTACTTTTTTATAATTAATTATCGAGTGCGAAGTCTGGATTAAAAATTAAAATACATGCTTTAAAAATAAGTTTTCGATAATTTCAAAATAGTTTCAACGTACCTGGATTGTCGACAACTCTTACATTTCCGCCAGCGTTCTCACAAATTCTACTCCAAAATGAAACGAATTCCTTGTCGCACTCCTCCTGATAGGGAATCACTACAATTGTATGCATCAATGGTTTTTGATCTCGTCGATTGAACATTTCAACGTAACTTCTCCTATCTATACTCCAACCGGCTGGCAATTTTTCTTCCGAGGGATTCACAGGTTTGTTCTGAAAGTATTTGAATTATTTTAAAATTTTCGAAAATAAAATTGAAATTTAAAAATAATTTTTTAATTATTTTCAGTTTTTGTAATATTTTGAGGAAAGAACTTACATTTTGACACGATCGAATCACCCACATGTGATTGTAAGCAGAAATGCCAACGGAAAGGCAGAGCAAACTCTTTGCAGTTAAATTTGGCAAATTTGTAATGAGTTTAGTACTTTCATATTCACTAACTGGTATGAGATCAAAACTTTCGTAAACTTTACCACCGCCAGCGACAATTTGTTGCTCCAAACGCTCCCTAACAAATGGCCGACCATTCCAAACTTCCTCATTTTCAGTTCCAACTTCCGATGAATTTGAATCAGTTCCATTGTCGACATTGTATCTATCGATACTCTCCACGGAAGCGCAAGTCAATACAAAGGACATTCCATCGAAAATTTTTGAATTCGCCTCAGGAATTGGTCCAAGAAGATCGATAGTCTCCTGGTCGTCGCTCTTCTTTCGATTACGTTGCTTTCCCTTTATTCTACTCTGTGGGCCCTTTGTTGTTATTTGTTCATTAGCCGTACCAGGAATTTCCTTTTGAACTCCATGCACTCCATTTTCATCGATAATTGAACAATTCGAGTCACTTGTCTTTCCATCTTTATCGACATCTTTATCTTTTTCCGCCTCTTTCGATTTAGAAACAACGCCCGAGACAGATGGCTCATCTTCAGTTGTTTTATTAATTAAGTTTGTCAATGATTTCTTTGATTTCGGTGTTGGTGCTGTTGATGTATTTCGTCTTGAACGCCGTTTACCGTCCACCATATTGTCCAATGTCACCTGTAATTTAATTGCAATTCTTTAATTATTTTCTAAAATAAAATATAATTAAAATATAATATAATTTATTATTTTTCAAAAATTTCAAAATTCATCTTTCATGTTTTATAATAATTAAAGATAATCCATTATTATTTTATATTATAAGAATCTTGTAAGTTACTGTAACTTCTTCAAAATTATTTTCAACATTTCAATTCAATTATTATTTTCTACAATTATTAGCTAAAATTCTTCTTCAAATCAATTATTTTTAATAATTATTGAAAATGTTCTTTGAGAATTTTCACATTAATTTGTTTACAATTCAATTTTACGAAATTCACATTTTTAAAAATTTCAATTTGAAACCTTTTTCAAAATTCAATTACAATATCTAAAAATTCACTCTATAATGCTTTGCAAATTCAATTATTATTTAAAATTTTTAAATGAAATTAATTTTTAAATCAATTCTTATTAGAAAAGTCTACGCGAATTTAATTATTTATTAAATAATTTAATTTTTCTCAAAATTGAATTTTCATAAGGAATTTTATCAAAAATTTTTTAAATAATTTAATTCTTTCCACGAATTTTAATAAAATTGTTAAAAATAATTACATTTTTCGAAGAATTAGATTAAAATTCTATTAAAAATAATTGAAATTCTGCGATGAGTTTTATTGTTTGTGAAAATAATTATAATTCATTTTTAAATCAATTCCTATTTTGAAAATTCTTCAAAAATTCAATTATTTAAATGCAAAAATAAATAATTTATAGAATAATCGATTATTTATTAAAATTAAATACTTATAAAGAATTTTATCAAAATTTTTTAATATAATTAAAATCTTTCGAGAAATTTTAGTAAATCTTTTGAAAATAATTACATTTCTCGAGGAATTAATTTAAAATTGTCTTAAAAATAATTAAATTCGTGTGAAGAATGTTGTTATTTATGAAAATAATTGAATTATTGGGAAGAAATTTATAAACAATTTGTAAATGATTGAATTTCTGTTAAATTTTTATTATTTATGAAATTAATTAAATGTTTGCGTAGAATTTTGTTAAAAATTTTTTTAAATAATTGAATTATACTGGAAAATTTTATTAAAATAGTAAATATTGAAAATCATTGAACTGAGGACAATTTTTGAAAATAATTGAAAGTTTGCAAAGAATTTTAGTAAAATTTTTGAAAATAATTGAATTTCGTAGAAGAATTTTATTACTTTTAAAAATAATTGAAATTTTTACGAGAATTTTAAAGAATTTTTGAACAGAATCGAATTTCTGCGACGAATTTTTTGAATTTTGAAAATAATTAAATGCCTCCAAAAAATTTAAAGTTTCATCGAAATAATTATATTAATTTCCAAAAATTTTAATAAAAATCTTAGCAAGATTTCAATTATTTTCATAAATAACAACATTTTTCAAAGGATTTCAATTATTTTCAAAAATTTTAATAAAATTCTTTGCAAGAATTCAATTATTTTCATAAATAATAAAATTCTTATGAAGATTTCAATTATTTTCTTAAATAATAAAATTCTTCTGAGGATTTCAATTATTTTCATTAATAGAAAAATTCTTCGTAGGATTTCAATTATTTTCGAAAATTTGAAACATATTCTTGTCAAAAAATCCCTTCAAAGTAAAATTAATAGGAAAAATTAAATTACTTTTCATTAATAATAAAATTCTACTGAGGAATTCAATTATTATCAATACAATTTTAATAAACATCAAAAATGAAATATTTCATTATAATTATTAACAGTCACGATTCAATAAAAAAGTTGAAAGAATTCTTTGTTTAATTCAATTATTTTTAAATGTTTGAATTAAAATTATTTAAAAACTACATTATTTAAAAAGAAAACACACAAAGAAATTCTTCAAAAAGAATTTAATTATTTTCTAAAAATTTTAACAAAATTCAATAATTAAATATTTAATTTCAATTATTTAAGAAATACGATTATTTTAAAAACTTGAAAGAAATTGTTCATAAAATTCAATTACTTTCAAAAATTTCATTTAAAAGTATTAAAATAAACTCCATTATTTAAAAAAAAATTTAAAGAAATTCTTCAAAAGAATAGTAATTAGGATTTTAAAAAATTTTAATACAATTTTTCACGAAATATCAATTATTTTCATAAATAATAAAATTCTGCGAAAAAATTCAATTATTCTCAAATTTTTTTGCAAGAATTCAATGATTTATTTTTAATAGATTAATTTTAAAATTGAAAATATTTGAAAAGAAAAATTAAGGAGCAAGTTTTCGAAAGTTGATAAATCCATTTTTCAAAAAAATTGAGATAAACTCATATTTAAAATATTAAAATCCTTAGAAATCAATTTATTACTGTTCAAAATAAGAAAAAAATTTATTACCAAAGAATTTTCAATTTAAAAAATATTTTGGCCTAACCTTGATGATTTTTAATTTTAATTTTTTAAATGAAAATTAATTTAAATTAAAAATTAATTATTAAACGATTATTAATATAGATTGAAAGAATAAATAATTTACCTGCGTAATCGAGTGTGGCGTTGATGGAAGACTCTTTTGTTCGCTCCACAATTCCTCCTTTAAAACTTGAGCTTGATCGGGCGTGAGAAAAATGTCTTTAATTTGAACAGTAATCTTTTTGCCCTCATCTGGCTCAACTACATAAGACACTTTATTATTTGTCTCGACAATATCAACAATCATTCCGCATGGTCCATAATCCCCATCCTTTGTCAATGTATAAACAGAAAGTCCATTGCCAAATGTCTCCGAAATTGGAATAATAAATTCAGCTATTAATTGTTTACTTTTACCATCGAGAAAATTAACTTTATACTTTGTCTTATTCTTATCCATCACATGTCCAGCGTAATAATTATTATCAGACCATTTGGCAAATACTTGTTTACCCAATAATTCATCAGGTTGATCGACGGCGAACGATGAATTTCTCAATCCTTCCAATGATTTTTTCACTGGAGTGGAAAAACCTGCTTTTGTCTTATTATCCTTAATTGCGAACGATTCATCACTGTCCTCAGTAATTGGTTCAACAACATTTGGCGATGTTTTTGTAGTGGCGATAATTTTAGTCCTTTTTCTCGTTGTTCTCGTCTGCAGTCTCTTTGGTGGTCTTCCTTTTTTCAACGATCTCTGTGGTGTCTCTTCTGCTTCTGGTGTTGATGAACGAATTTTCTCATCAATCATATCGACTCCATTTTGTAATTCAAAAATATTAACATCAGTACTGAGGAAATTTAAAATTGATGTCGATATAAGGTGGGAATTTTTCCATTCTTTACCTAATTGTTCGAGTTCTAAACTCGATTTACCATCGATTGGATGGAATTTTTTTGTATGTTTCGCTTTACCCTTGGGAATGGAGAATAATTTATCGTTCGTTAATTTTGTTGCTACTGAGCCGGAACTTGATGACGATGTCGATGAACTTATGGTCGATGTGGACATAATTGAGAAACGTGGATAAGTCGCCGACGTTACTGAACCTGGTGATCCGTCTTTATTGTCATTTCCCGAAATATCGGCAAGTGACGTTGATGTATCGCTATTTCGAATTTGATCGTTACTAATCTCACAATTAACAGCCAATAATTCTTTATTTAAAACATCCTTTGTACTCTCATCGATTGTTATTAAACATTTCAATCGAACAGAAATGACAAATTCCTTTTCGATTTGTTGCGTTTTCGTTGGTGCCGTGAGAGTCACGTGACTTTCACTCGTTGATTTATTCTCAAGCATCGAATCACCTTCACTGTCACTGACAACAAAGACTTTGGGAAGTTTTTCCTTTGTTTCGCTATCGGACTTGAGACTCGCTGTTGTATCTAAATCATCGCCTTCGATATCACCGCCATTGATGAGAGTATTTTCCACTTTCAAATTATCCTTGACGATAGGCTTGTTGTCTTGTAATTCGCTTTCTTTTTTCTCCACCTTTTTGTTGTCATCATCGTCCTTTATTTCTGGAATTTTACTTTCATCCTGAGAGGAGTCGATAACAATTTTATCATCATCATCATCGTCGTCGTCATCGATTTCGACAATTTCCGAAGGTCTTGCCTTAATTTCTTGACTCAGGGAAGATCGATCATAAATCACTTCAATGCTCATTCTCGATTTGACTATTTGTTCATTTTGTTCATTTGGCTTTTTCTCATTTTCGGACTTTTCGTCAATCTCCATTGAAGTCGGCAATTGTTTCCCATCCGTAACTTCGTCGATTTCTGCATTTGTATCCGAATCAGTTAATACGGCCAATAATTCCGATTCTGTTGATTCTTTTTCGATAATTGGCTTCGACGATAATGTCGAATCACATTCTCCACCTAATTGTTTCAGAGCATCTTCTATACTATTCGCTTTTTCTAATTCGTTAATTTCACATTTAGTATCATTCTCCTCTGGAGTTGTCAACTTTTCGATATTATTAGTCGTATCGTCAGTAATTTCAACTATTTTACTCAATTCTTTTTCTAAATTAGTGTCATCATCAGTTTTATTAAAATCCTTCTTCTCGTCACCATTCTCGGTAAAATTGTCAGAAAAATCAATTTCCTTTGATTCATTTAAATCCTTGAGGAGAGAATTCTCATTTTGATTTGATACATCGTTATTGGCAAAATTTGCAACAGTCGAATCATTCTGATTTTCATCGCCATCATTCACTGAATCAATGGCTTCGTTTACTAAATCACATTCTTCTTCTAAAGAATTTTCCAATCCTGCTTCTAAATTCTTTTCGGAGCAATCTTGTGTTGATTCTTGAGTTTCGGGAATAATTACACATTCAGACTGGTCACATTTTTGTTCGGAATTTTTAACATCAGTTGTATCACTTTCCATCAATTCCAATTCATCTTCAATTTTATTTCTTTTAATTTTCGGTAAATTTTCACATGAATCCTCACTGAAATCAGCTCTACGTTTCAATGATTTATCTGCAAGGGCTGATAATTTTTTTGATGGCGAAAAACATGGTGGTGGTGTTCCATGAACAATATCCTCGTCTTCCTCCGTCTGCTCCACTATTGATTCTTCCTTTGACGTTGAATTCTCATTCTCCATTATTTTCTCCGTATTATCATTTTCTTTGACAATACTCACAACCTCAGAATCATTCATCGGCAAATCAAGTTCTTGACTGTCTCCAGTGTCGAGTAAATGAAAATCCTGACTTTCGGCCGTACAATTGGAAGTATTCACTGTGTTATTGGCAAATTGAGAATTTGATTCACTCTCCTCGAAAAATGTGTCCTGTGTATCCGATGGCATGTCAGTTTTTTCCGCATCGGACATGATTGTTAAACTCGTATTCTATATTAATGTCTTCAATAATCTGAAATATAAAACATTAGTTTAATGAAGGAAAACAAAATTCTCATTTATCAAAAATTAAAAATAGGACAAATAAATATTTAACATGTTTACATTATGATTGCTCTTGTCATCTAAGTCTTAATCAAATTTTAACAATAACAGACTTCGCACTCGATAAATTAATTTTAAAAAAGTAGCGAAAAATTAGACAAAAATTCCATTCGATATTTTTTATTTTCCTAACTTTTTCCAAATTTTCATCAAAAATAATTTAATTCTTGCCAAGAATATTATAAAAAAATTTAAATTATTCATTTCTTTCGACTAATTTTATGCAAATTCTAATTCAAAGAATTGAATTCCTGAGAAATTTTTATTAATTCATGAAAAAATTGAATTCTTACAAAAATTTTTGCAAAAAAATTTTTTAAATAATTGAATTCTGCTTGAAAATTTTATGAAAATAGTAGATATTAAAAATCATTAAATTGTGAAAAGTTTTTAAAAATAATTAAATTTTACAAAGAATTCTATTAAAATTTTTGACAATAATTGAATGTCTGTGAGGTATTTATTAATTTTTTTTTGAAAATAATTGAATTCCTAAAAAGCATTTTATTATTTATGAAAATAATTGAATTCTTGTAAACTATTTTATTATAATTTCTTAAAATAATTGAATTCCCAAGAAGAAATTTATTACTTTTAAAAATAATTGAATTCTTGTGATGAATATTGTTATTTATGAAAATAGTTGAATTTTACAAAGAATTTTATTAAAATGCCTCAAAATAATTGAATTCTTTCGAAGAATTATTTATCGACATAATTGAATTCTTTCGAAGAATTATTTATGTAAATAATTGAATTCTCGGGAAGAATTTTATTAAAATCTAAAAGAATAATTGAATTATTTCAAAAAAATTAAATTAAAATTGTATTTAAAATAATTAAATTCGTGTGAAAAATTCTAATATTTTTGTAAATAATTGAGTTCTTCCAAAGAATTTCAAAAAAACATTTTTTTAAATAATTGATTTTTTCGAGGAGTGGAAATTAAATTTTTAAAAATAATTACATTATTTGAGCAACTCTTGTAAAATTGTGTTAAAATTAATTGAAATCCTGCTATGAATTTTATTATATTTATGGAAGTAATCGAATAGTTGAAAAGAATTTTATTAAAATTTTCAAAAATAATTGAATTCCTGAGAAGAATTTTTATTATTTATAAAATTAATTGAATTATTGCGAAGAATTTTATTAAAATGTTTAAAAATAATTGAATTGCTGTGAAAAATTTTGTGTTTTTTTTTAAATAATTAAATTCTTCATAAGAATTTTACAAACATGGTTTTAAATAATTAATTCTTCGAAATATAATATATGAAAATTTTATTTTAAACAATTATTGAATTCTTGTGGAAAATTTTATTTGTGAAATTAATTGAATTTTTTAATTAAGTAATTTAAAATAGTATTAAAAATAATTGAATTCCTTTGGATGAATTTTATCATTTTTTTTTAAAATTGAATTATGGAAAACTTTATTTGTGAAAAAAATTGAATTCTTGCTGAGAATGTAATCAAAAATGTTTAAATAATTGAATTTCCAAGAAAAATGTTATTATTAGTGAAATTAATTGAATTATTGTGAAGATTTATATAAAAATGTTCTTAAATAATTGATTTTTTCGTAATTTTTTTGAAAATGCTATTCTAAATTGATTGAATTCCTGTGGAAATTTTATTATGGAAAATCTTAAAAAAAACATTAATTTTAGCTTTTAGTGGCTGAAATCTAAAAAAAGTACCCAAATAGTAGCAGGTAACGTAAAAATGTAGAAAATAGTATTATCTTTTCATAGATGAGTGCGAAGCCTGCAATAATGTTTACAAAAATTGTTCCATTTCACTGAATATAAAAAAATTTTAAATATTACAAAATGAGTAAAATTAACTGAAACAAATTAGTATCTGAATGTGAAAAGAATAGAATTTCTGAAAGATCTAAACTAATGAAAGCATAAAGATATTTTCCTAAATTGACAACAAATGAGAAAATAATTGATATTTTTACCCCTTCAATTGTTACGCTACTGACAACCCTGGGGCCCCGTGAGAAAAACAGCATTGTTAGCGAATTCTGCTTATGTATCATAATCTAAATGCTTAGTGAAATAGTGCTCAAAAACAATTTTTTAAGTTAAACCTTTTGTTTATAGGTAAGTTTCACTCACCTTTATTTAATCCCCGAGGATAAAACCTCGTTATTTTCCTGATTTTTGGTGGTAATTGCAGTCTAAAGTAAAAATATTGCATTGGCTACCGGCCTGAATTGCATAAAATTTACTTCAGTAATATAGTTTGTTCCATTAAATTCCACTGCTATTTTCTTATTTTACTTTAGTTCCATTAAATTTCATTGAATACACTGTTGAGCAATAATAAAGCCGGTAAACAATTGAGCGAATAGAAACAGTATACTTTTTGGAGCACAATCAAGAAAAAAGAGAGATGAGAATGATGAAGAACGCGAATATTGAATATCTGAATCGCATCGCGGTGCGTAATGTCTGATTTACAATAAACGTTGCGAACGAACCTTAAGGTCTGCAGTTTCCAGTGGGTGTGCATGATGCTTAAGTCTCGTTTCGCGCGAAAACGGGACCGGAAGCAAACAAAACCGACCACTTTGTTTTTTTGATCATTTCAATTTTGATAAAAAAGAAAATTTGTTCACTGTAAGAAAAAGAAGTATTCAGTTAATTTAACCTTAATAATAAATTTCTTGTTTTTTTGCTATTAAAGTGTTTTTAGAAGTCAAAATCCAGCTTAGAATCTAGTAGAACTTGTAGAAGTCATAGAAGCTAACAGGAAGTGACGTTTCTCGTTTACTTCCACCACTTTATTTCGACTTGTAAATTGTAACGGTCGCAAAATTATTTACTTGTTAATTATTCATAATAATCGTGTTGATTCGTTAATTGTTAATTGTTATTTGTTAAAAAAAACAGTTTTCTAAAATATTTCCTCGCTGAAGAATAAGTTAACTTACACAGGTAAGTTTGGAATTAGAAAAAAGTTTACAAAAATGAAAATAGTTATTTTTAACCTATATTTTTGCAGTAAAATCTTGAATCTTGAAAATGTCAACAAGTAGTAAGAATATAGAGACGAATGTTCAGATTTGTCAAAAAATGGTTGTATCATTAAGACAATTAATGGATGAGACAAAAAATCTAAGACGTAAGTTTTTATATTTCCAAACAATAATTTATTTCCAATGCGTAATTGAAATAAAAATTTGTCCACTCTTACAGTTCGCAAAATGAAAATATTTCACGCATTATTTCGACATGAATTTTTTTTTTCAGTTAAACTTGCACAAATGGAGTCTGATTTGATGTTACTTTATGAGCCTCCTTATTTGGATTTATTGAAGAATCTCGAAATGTATGGAGACAATGATAATGTGGATAAAAATGGAAGTTAGACAAAGTTTTCTCAACAAAAAAGACATCTTACAAAGATAAGTCTCTCTCTAAATGTATAATAAAATTTCGACCAACTAATTTCATTCATGTTAAATAATTAAAATTCAATTCTGTGATAAATTGATAATTGTATTCATAGAAAGATAAGTTAAAAGTTATTTTTGATAAAAATAAATATTTAATATCTTTAAATATATTTATTGCATTATATTCGCTTTTTTTGTATAGACTGATACATTTAAAGAGCAGTATGCAGGGCTCGAACTAGGTCCGCAAATTTGCTTCAAGTCCATAAAAGTCAGTTTTTTTTTAAAAAAAAAAGGTCCGTAATTTAGTAGAAAATGGACAAAAAGTTCCTAAATTGTACGATATAATTTGGTGAATTTTAGAGAAATTACAAATAATTGCAGAAATTAAATTATTTTCAGAAGTAATAAATTTTCTTCGCATAAATTCAATTATGTTAAATTTTTTTTAAAAATTCTCATCAAAATTTCAATTATTTTTAGAAATAATAAAATTCTTCTCCGAAATTCAATTATTTTCAAAAATTTTATTAAAATTCTTTGGCAAAATTTCAATTATTTCCAAAAATTTCCTCAATTCAATGATATTTAATATCTACTATTTTAACAACATTTTCCAAAAAAATTCAATTATTTAAAAAAAAATTTAATAAAATTCTACGCAAACCTTTAATTATTTTCATAAAATAATAAAAATTTCACAGGAATTCAATTATTTACAAATTTTTTATACATTTCTTCGCAATCATTCAATTATTTTTATAAATAGTAAAATTTTTACATGAATTCAATTACTTTAGTAAATAATAAAATTCTTTTCAGGAATTCAATTATTTTCATAAATATATAAAACTCATCGCAGTATTTCAATTATAGTTAATACAATTTTAATGGAATTCCTTGAAAAATGTAATCATTCTTAAAATTTTTATTAAAATTCGTCGAAAGAATTTAATTATTTAAAAATTTGTTGATATAATTTCTTTATGAGAATTGAATTATTCAATAAATTATTTTTTTTTTATTTAGATAATTGAATTCTAGTAGAATTTTCTAATAAAAATTGATTTAAAAATGAATTTCACTAAAATTTTAGATTATAATTGAATATTATAAAAGCATTAAAGCCTGAATTTTTAGAAATAATTGAATTTTGAAAAGGATTTATATTAAAATCTTTGAAAATTTTATTTTCTCAAACTTTTAACTAACAATTCTGTAGAAGAATTAATTTTTTTGTAGAAGTTTTGTTTCAATTTTACTTGAAATTAATTTTTTGAACTTTGTATTTTCTAATATTATATTTAATTGAGGAATTTCCGAATAATTGAAATTTTGTAAAATTGAGTTGTAAACAAATGAATTTGAAAATTCTCAAAGAACTTTTTCAAAAAATTATTAAAAATAATGGATTTATAGAAGAATTTTAGTTAAAAACACTAGAAGAAAATTCAAAAGAATTCAATTATTTAAAAATTGTTGATAAAATTCTTTATGAGAATTCAATTTTGAGAAACATTCAATTATTCAATAAATTATATAATTTTGTATTTAAATAATTGAATTCTAATAAAAATTGATTTTCATTTTATAAAAATGAATTTCAGTTAAAATTTTACGTAATAATTGAATATTAAAATCATTATAGTGGGGTTAATTTAAAAAAATAATTGAATTTTGAAATTAACTTTTTTGAAAAAGTTTAATTGAAATTTTTTATGTATATTATTTGAAGTTTTTATTTTCTAATATATTATATTTAATTCAAGAATTTACAAATTATTAAAATTTCATAAAATAAAATATTATAAACAAATATGGATTTGAAAATTGTCAAAGCATTTTTTGTTAAATTAAAAATAATCGATTTAAAGAAGAATTTTAGTTGAAAATTCTTGAAAATAAGAATTATCTTCATGTTTTATACTTATGGAAAATTTAATTTATATTTCTAATTAAAATGTTCTCTTATTTGACTCGGACTGGTTATATTTTTGTCAGTAATTGGTCCGTAATTTTTCATTTTTGGTCCGTAAAGTCCGTATTTTTAAATGCTTTCACTGGTTCGAGCCCTGAGTATGCAAGTCTATTAACATAAATGTATATAATTTCTATATAGATTTTTTTAAAATTGCATAAACAGTAACCACTTAAAGGAGCGCATATATATATTTATTTATATAATTTCTTAATTAATTATCAGTACGTTTACTTTTGTACGGCCTCTTGTCTTTCTTTTGGACGTCAATTTAGTTCATGCGCCTAAATTCTCGACCATAAAATCTATTTATTAAAACTCAAATATAAAATATATATATTTATATATATTTATATTAAAATATGTAACGAAATATATCTTCTCATATCTCGCTTTTCATTGTAGGAGACGTTTAATTATTCGTGTTTTTAAAATATATTATTATTATTATTATTCTGTTGACAACGAAAAAGAAAATTAACAAAAACCAGAAGAAATTTTCTATAATTTAAAACAAAAGGCGTGTTTTCGTTGTTTAAAAAATATAATTACAATGCGAATGACGAATTATTTGCCTTTAATTACGCGAGAGCACAAATATACGATGTTCACAACATTTATTAAGTCAACAATAGATTATACACTTATTTTTTTTCTTGCTCCTTAAATAATTAGTTACAATTATCAAAAGAATATTTATTTGATATTTATTTAAATAAATAAATATTCAATCGATAATAAAGTAAACCAATTATTTATATGAAAAACAAATTTTTATATTTTTAGTGCATCAGGCAGATTAGAATATTAGATTTTTCGCCAGATGAAAGAGAAGTTCAAATTGAATAATCGCAAAAATAAAATTAATAATTTGTTTTATTAAAGTTTTTTTTCCTCTTTCTTTCTTATTCGCGATAAAATACTTTTGGCTATTTAATCTTTTGCAAAGAAAATTGATTTGTTTCCTTTTAAATAATTAATTAATTTGTTTTCTTTGAAATAATTAATTAATTTATTTTCTTTGAAATAATTTCTAGAATATTATTTTAACGCTGAAAAATGAAAGCATTTTTCCGTATACATATAGAATTTTATTCCATTCAATAGTATATCTCGCGATTAATCAGAATTTTTGCATCAATTCGCAAGGCTCCTTCGTAGACTCGTCACAAATTTTTTTGATTCAGTTATTTTTCAGACAGATATTCAATTGATTCACAAAATAATATTTATTTGTTATAAATAATTATTTCGTTTATTTAATTTCTTTAAATTTCATTTCCTGAGAAATATTTAATTATTTATTCGATAACAGATTGTCAAGTGAATAATTATTTGAATTTTATTTTATTGCTAATAAAAAAAAATCTATGGAAAAATAACTTTGAAGTTATAAAAAATATAAAAACGTACTTTTATTATTTTTTATTCTTGAATATTATTGTCTTTCAATTAGAATCTTATTCGATAATAAATTTATTCTTTTGTAAATAAATAATTATAAATAAATAAATTAAATAATTAATAAATTAATTAATAAATAAAGAAATTAATGAATAAATAAATTAAGGAATTAATAAATAAATAAACGAATTAATGAATAAATAAATTAAGTAATTAATAAATAAATAAAATGAATTAATTAATTGTTTATCAATTGAAAAACGATTTTACTAGTCGAGTCTAGAAAAAGAATTGCCCCGCGAAAAGTGCATTACTTATAGAGTTAATTAAGCTTCTCCTTGTTTCAAGGTACTTTCAATTCAAGGTACAAACACCGAAATTACAAGAAAAAAAAAATTCTAAATCCCCGTACAAAAATCCGACTTTTATATCTAAAATCAATCTTTATCTTAATTAATGAGTAATCTAATAATTTATTATTTAAGGAATCGAATATTTATATATATTTATTTTATTTATGTAAAAAAAGGCATTAAAATTGTAAAATTATTTCGTAAAATCGGATTTTCGATCAAACATTCAGAAATTTTTTTAGTCCAAAAGTTATTGAACTACAACCATATCTTATTAAAGTAGACTCGGGACCAATAGTTTTCTGCTTTTTATTCTTTCGTCTATAATTTTATTGGTCACGTAAATCATTATCATCAGTCTCAGTGCCAGTTTTATAGGGTTTTATCCGTATATAAGTTTTATTTTCTTGTTTTTTTTTCTCTCCTTATAAATTACGGTTGTGTTGTTTCTTTTTATATAGTATTTAAAAATGATTTCTCCCTTTTTTTTTATATATTTAACAATGAAAAATAAGTTTTATTTCTTATTCCTAAAAAAAAATTTAGGTATAGCTAAAACTATTTTCAAATGTTCGAAACTATTTTTTTTTTTTAGTCGGGAGGTTTTTTTTTTGTAATTATTAATATAGAGCGATGTAAGAAGCTGGAAGAACATGACAAAGAAAATGGAGATGAAGTGCGAAAAAATTGAAGCTCTTAAATTATTTTTTTTTCTTTTCGATGAAATCTTTTTGCCGAAATTTATATATTTTTCCTTATTTGGATATTTTTTTGTATTTTTTTGTATTTTTGTATTATTTTCTGAATTACTTTTTGTATTATATTCTGAATTACCTTTTTGTATTATTTTTAGTAGCATGAAGTTGAATATTTGAAAGTTCTATTAATGTTCCTTTAAGAGATAGAAATAGAACGAGAATTTCTTTGTTTTTTTTTCTTGATGATTTTTGACGTCTCTGAACTCTTCAATCTACTTACAAATTATTTGAATCGAGAGGGAAGAGTTTTGATATGAGTCGTACGATGGGGGATTTTTTGGTTAATTTTCTTTTCTTATCGTTGCAGAGAAATAACGTTATCATATCCAAAACGATGATTTTCATGTGAATATGGATTTCTTTGACGATTATTGTGATTGTAATAATTTCGAATTAGGCATGAATCTTTTCCCTCGGAATGGCAAAGTGCTACTAGAGTTGCAGGAGGATTTATGGGCAATGATCTCGCTGCCTCGAGACATTGTTCCTTGGACCAGATATTTTGTGAAATTTCCAACGTTTCGCAAGTTTTCTCCACCTCGAATGCAAATTTATTGAGGCAATCCTGCCCTCCCTGGAAAAAAAAGAGAATTCTCTGTTAATTTCTTTTTTCTTGTCGTAATTATCGTAATATCTGTAAATTTAAATTTCTTGTTTATTAATTTCAAAAATTTTAATAAAATTCTTCGCAAGAATTCAATTATTTTCATAAATAATAAAATTCTTCGTAAGAATTCAATTATTTTCATAAATAGTAAAATTTTTTTGCAAAAATTCAATTATTTTTAAACAAAATTTTAAAAACATTTCACGAACGAATACAATTATTTTCTAAAATTTTAATAATGTTTTGAAATGATTCAATTATTTTTTTAAATAGTAAAATCTTTGCAAAAATTTAATTACTTTAACAAAGTTTCACCAAAGGATTCAATTTTTTCCTTAATTCGTTATAAAATATTTCAAAAGAATTCAATTATTTTCTAAAATTTTTATAAATCCTTCGAAACAATTCAATTTCATTTATAAATAGTAAAATTCTTTGCAAAAATTCAATTATTTTTAATACAATTTTAATAAAATTTCATGAAAGAATTCAATTTTTAAAGAAAATGTTAATAATATTTTTTGAAATAATTCATGTACTTTCTAAAATTTTAATAAATCTTTCGAAACAATTCAATTATATTTATAAATAGTAAAATTGCAAAAGTTAAATTATTTTTAAAAAAAATTTTATGAAAAAATTCAATTTTTTTACTTCGTTATAAAATTTTTCAAAACAATTTTCAATTATTTTCTAAAATTTTAATAAAATTCAACAATTAAATGTTTAATTTAAATTATTAACAAACACAATTATTTTAAAAACTTGAAAGAAATTGTTCATAAAACTCAAAAATTTAAAAAATATTTGATTAAAATTATTAAAGAAACTCCATTATTTAAAAAAAAAATTAAAAGAAATTCTTTAAAAAGAATTTAATTCGAATTTTCATAATTTTTAACAAATTTCTACACGAGAATTCAATTATTTTTCTAAATAATAAAATTCTTCGAAGGAATTATATTATTATCAAATTTTTTTGATAAAATTCTTTGCGTAAATTCAATAATTATTTTCAATCCAATTTTAATCAAATTTCTCGAAAAAATTCAATTAATTTTTTTTTTATAAGTAAGGATAGAAATTCTTTCAAAAAAATTATTTATTAACAAAAACTCTAATAAAATTGTTCAAAAGAATTGAATTTTCTATCAATAATTTTAATGAAATTTAATGGTAAAATTATTATTTACAATTATTAACAAAATCGAATGTATTCCAAAAATTAAAGAAATTTTTTGAAAGAATTCAATTCTTGTCAAAATCTTTAATCCTAATATCTATTCTTCGAAAGAATTAAATTATTTCAAAAAGGTTGTAATAAAATTCTGAGAAGAATTTAATTATTTACCAAAAATTTTAATAAAATTCTATAATCAAATGTTTAATTTCAATTGTTAACAAGCTTGAAAGAAATTCTTTATAAAATTCAATTACCTTTGAAAATTTTTAAATATAAAAGTTATTAAATAAACTCCATTATTTAAAAAAAAAATTCAAAGAAATTTTTCGCAAGAATTTAATTACGATTTTCAAAAATTTTAATAAAATTCTTCGCAAGAATTTAATTATTTTCATAAATACCTAATAAAATTCTTCGAAGGAAATCAAATATTTAAAAAATTTTAATAAAATTCGTTGCAAGAATTCAATGATTTTCTATATAAAATTATAAATTAATTAAAAATACTACAAAATTAATTTTAAAATTGAAAACATTTAGAAAGAGAAATTATTAAAAAAGTTAGGAAACAAAGATGCAAAGAGATTACAGATTACCGGAATACAACGATTATTAATATATATTTATTTTATTTTTCCTTAAAAAAAAATAATGTGACAACTTCCTGCTTGTATTAGATTTACCATCTTGATTAAATGTTCCATTTTAATTAAAGAAATCAATTTTTATTCAATATTATTTTCGTGTCACGTCTCCAAATATTGAAACAATTTAATTTCACGAAATTTTATTATTAAAATAAAATAATAATGAATTTATTTTTAGTCAGTAAACAAAAGTCCCGTTAATGACATTTCAATAATCTCAACGATATATTTTTAGAAGTACGTATTTTTTCGTCTTCTATATTTTAAGTATAATAATATTAATTTTATTGAACGAATTCCGAGATTAATTATTCAAAGGCAGATAAATTAAAATGATTACATTTGATACTGTTCATTGTATTAAATGAAGTCTCTTCTGCGCACGTGCATTTTCGAATTCACCCTCACTTCGTCGACCTAGAAATCCCCTTGTATATATCATTTTATTCACGTATTTACGAATACACCCTCAATATTCTTACGTCATCCTCCTACGTCTATCTCACCTCTATAGAAAAGCACTACCCACGTATCTTTATTTTTTACCTCCCCCTCTAAAAAAAAATTCCGTTTTACTTATTATTACGTTTTACTTTTATGGAAAATTAATTTCCTGAATTGAATCAAAAAATTCTTTTCTTTTCACAAGTCAAACAATTTTTGTTTTTTAGATTGTTAATGAAACATAAATTAAAGTTGACACGTTTGCAAGAAATAGTATGTAATTTATTTACCGAGTAAATAAATTTACCAAATAAAATTTACCATGTAAATTTATTTACGAACTAAAATTTAGTAAATTTTATTTAACAACTAAAATTTACTAAATTTTATTTAACAACTAAAATTTACTAAATTTTATTTTCCAACTAAAATTTACTAAATTTTATTTTCCAACTAAAATTTACTAAATTTTATTTTCCAACTAAAATTTACTAAATTTTATTTACCAACTAAAATTTATCAAATAAATTTTATTTACCAACTAAAATTTATCAAATAAATTTTATTTCCAACTAAAATTTATCAAATAAATTTATTTATCAACTAAAATTTATCAAATAATTAATAAATAAATTAATTTAATAAGTAAATTTATTTATTTTACGTAATTATTATTCTTCTGTTCTTCATTTATTTTCATATAAAAATTATTTTTTCCTTTTTAAGAAATGAAAAAAAGTTTGGAAAAAGTAGATATTTCGAAATTTATGAAATAGGCGTCATAAATTTTGTTCAATTTTTGTTAAAATAAAATTTGGAATAATTTCTTAATGAAATGTGAATGAGCTCGTTAATTAATTAATTATTGTTTTGCTGTAGGAATTAACAATTACTGTGGAGTATGGAAAATGGAAAATGGAAAAAATACTTACACAAGAGCGGCAGATTAAAGTTGAAACGCAAGTGTCGTGGAAGAGATTTCTGAGATCGTGGGACATGAGACCAGTCATTCTGCAGTATTTGTCAATTACATCCAATTCCGGACACGTATTTCCTTCATCGAAACCTGTCGCATCATAAAATATGAACCATTTTTCACACTGAGGCATTTTATTACTGGAAATTACTCAAAAAAAATTACTCTGAGGTACTTTATTACTCTTAAATTATTCCAAAAAAATCGAGTTATTTAGAATAATTTGTTATTTATTGCATTTTTTATTTTTTTATTATTCTTTTTATTTTTTTTACTTGTTTTATTGGCTCTTCAATTTTTTTTTATTGTTTTTTGTATTTTTTCACTGGTTTTTTTTTATTTTTTTTCTATTTTTTTCACTTTTTTCATTGGCTTTTCTATTTTACAATTGTTTTTAATTTATTTTTATTGTTTTTTTATTTTTATTCGTATTTTTTTATTTTATCTTCATTTCCTTTCTTCTATTTTGTATTTTATTTGCTCTTTTCTTTATTGAAAATTTAGAAAAATTCGAAATTACTTTTTTCATGACTCAAAAAAAATTTTTCAGGGGAAGGAAATTGTTTTGTTTTTTATTTATTTTTATTGGTATATTTTTTAGTTTCTTCTTATTTTCTTTCTTCTATTTTTTATTTTATTTGCTCTTTTCTTTATTGACAATTTAGAAAAATTCAAAATTACTTTTTTTATGACAAAAAAAAATTTTTTTCCAAGGGAAGGAAATTATTTTATTGTATTTTAAATTTTAGTTATTTTTATTGGTATATTTTTTTGGTTTGTTCTTATTTTCTTTCTTCCATTTTGTATTTTATTTACTCTTTTCTTTCTTTATGTACTCTTTTCTTTCATTTAGAAAAAATTCGAAATTACTTTTTTTATGACTCAAAAAAATTTTTTCCTCGGGAAGGAAATTTTTTGTATTGTATTTTAAATTTTATTTATTTTTATTGGTACTTTTTATTTTATTCTTATTTTTTCTTCTATTTTGTATTTTATTTGCTCTTTTCTTTAGTGATTTTCAGATAATTTAGAAAAAATTCGAAATTACTATTTTTACGACTTAAAAAAAAATTTTTTCTAGAGAAAGGAAATTATTGAAATACCTTCTTCGTTTTCGCCAAGTATTGGTCGTCGTTTCTTATCGACTTTTTCATGAGAGGCATCATCCTCCGGTGGACTGGTCGTCTGATCTTGAATTAATTTTTGACCCTCTCTCTGTGCAACAGCGTCTCTGAATTCGATCAAAGCTTTTCTCATTTTATCAAGAGAATAAGCAGCCGCCAATCGTGATAGTACTTGTTTTCTCACTTCCTCATCAGATCCTTCAGCACTTTTAGCTTCTTGTATTATCAAATCCTTGAGGTGTCTCAATCTCGACTCCATTTGCTGTAATTTGTCCTTCCTCTCGTCGTCAATTTCATTTTCGTTCTCTGATTTTAAATTGTCAGCCATTGTCTGTAAAAATTTCGAATAATTCCAAATTAGTGTGAAAAGAATTTATTTTTATGAATCACGTTCTTTGAAATTACATTTTTAATATTTGTTTTTTCGAATATTTTTTCGAAAAATTAAAAATACCTTGTAATATCGTTCCAAAAACCATTCGTCGTCCTGATTTTGAGAACCAGGCTTGGGCATGAAAGTGGATTTCTTCTTTCTTTTATCGATTCCAAAATAATCGGACCAATTGACACTTTTCTTCTTCACTTCGATCGGTCGCTCTTTGGACTGATTGATTTTCGTGATATTCTCCTGTTGTCCTTTCTGATGAGAATTAACGATTGACGCCACTGACGTTGTCTCTTGATTTTTTCCCGTCATCTCCGATTTTCCCTGCTGGTGAAGTTTATTATTTTCCTCCTGATTATGATCATGATTAGCATGTTCGTGTGTGTGATTCTTGTTCTCAGTTGTTGATTGCGTGCCGAATAAAATACCCAAATCGTGAGCGACCTTTAGTTAAAAAAAAGAAGGTTTAGAAAAAAAGTTCTAAAAAATAATAGTTAAGAAAAAATAGAATAGAAAATTTATAATCGAGTTTTTAACGTTCAAGTTTCTTGGATTAAAAATTTTTTTCTAATAAGACAAACGAAGACGAAAGTCTTATTAGAAAAAAATTTTTTAATCCAAGAAACTTGGAAAAAATTAACAGATTAAAAATGATTGTAAATATTACCTTCGGGTCTGTAACTTGTTTCATTTGGTTCACAGCTTTGGCGCTTCTCTTAGCAACTGCGAGTGGAAATCTCTTGGACATTTCGCGATAATTCCGGAAATCGCGACCAATTGGATAGCGAGCATTGACATTTCTTCTCTCCATTGGCATTAAATAGAAGTCCGAGTCTCTTTCTGGTAATTCAACGAGTTCACTTTCGTCGTGGAATCTTTCGTGTAAGGGCTTCTTTTCCAAAAGATCGCTCCAAGAAATGAGGCCATCATTTCTGAAATTTGAAAGAGTATTTTATTTCTTTTCTATATATAATAGGATTTGATGATGATGAAAAGAAAGAGCCAATTTGGAAATTAATACCCGTAATATTGATTATCCTGTTGGGGTCGGTGTAACATTCGAAGAGTATTATATTCATTTTCATCTTGGCTATAAGGTCCATACTCCAATTCGTCTAAAAATAGTCTCGCCAATTCGTCATCAGCAGTTGGTTGATCATTTCTGATTCCCCTTTTGATGCTGGCGCTTCGTTCTCTTTCTCGAAAGAGGGAAGGTACGGCTTCCTCCTGTAGTATATTTTTTTATTAATAATTATTTTACTTAATTATTATTCAACAGTGTGTCTACTAACCGGGAAATCTGAGAAATAGCCGGGAATTTAATTTGACCGAGATAAACCGGGAATAAGCCAGAAATTTTATGCCAAACCGGAAATTTTTTTACCAAATTAAAAAAAGTTTTATTATTTTAATTTGTTTTTAAAAAATCGCTTTTTATTTCAATTTTTATAGATATTTATACTGTTCTCTAAATTTGAATTAGTTTAAAATAATTGGATAGTAAAAAATCAGTCACTGATTCAAATATAGTATTTAAATAAATTTAAAAAAAATTGTCGAATTAATAGAAATTTTGTGAAATTCAACTGAAACTAATTAAAGTTGTTAAAGAATTTCATTAAAAACTTTTTAACAAATCGAATTTTCAAAGTATTTTAATCTAATAATTGATAAATAATAGAATTTTATAAAGAGTCACATTCTAATGTATTCATGTTTCTTAATGCGAAGATTAATAATTAACATTTTTATTAATTAATTTAAAAAAAGATACACACTTAAATTTTTTAAATAAAATTGAATTTTCGCAAAGTTTTTTTAAAAACTCTGAAAAATAAGGTTTTTGAAATTTTTCAATTCCATTGTTTCAAGATAATTGAATTTTTATAAACAAATTATTGAAAATTTTTAAAATAATTAAAATTTCTTTACATTCGATTCTATTAAAAATAATTTAATTCTTTTAAAAAATTTTATTTAAATTTTTCGAAAATAATCAAATGTTTTAAAATTTGTCATTAAATTCTTCGCAGTAATTCAATTATTTTCATAAATTTTAAAATTCTTTTCATGGATTTAATTATTTTCATAAATAATAAAAAAATTTGGAGGAAGTCAATATTATTTTCATAAATAACAATATTCATCACAAGAATTCAATTATTTTGAATATTAATATAAAATTCTTCGTAGAAATTCAATTATTTTCAAAAATCTAAAAAAATTGTCAACATTTCAATTATTTTTATAAATGAATAGCTAAATTCTTCGATAAAATTCAATTATTTTCATAAATTAATAATTCATTTTAATAAAATTCATTGCAAAATTAAATTATTTTCAAAAATTTTTATAAAATTCATGGCAAAATTTCAATTATTTTCAAAAATTTTTCTTAATTCAATGATTTTCAATAGTCCACTATTTTAATAAAATTTCCCAAAAGAATTCAATTATTAAACAAAATTTTTTAAAATATTCTACATAAAAATTCAATTATTTTCCAAAAAAAATAAAAATTTCACAGGAATTAGATTATTTAAAATAGAATTTGCATAAATTTTTTTGAAAAAATCAAATTTTTTAACATTTGGCATTAAATTCTTCGCAGTAATTCAATTATTTTCATAAATTTTAATAAAATTCATTGCAAAATTTCAATTATTTTCTAAAATAATGAAAATTTCACTAAAATTCAATTAGTAAAAATTTTCGAAAAAAAATAAATTGTTTGAAACTGTTTTTTATAAAATTCTTCGCAATTATTCAATTATTTTTATAAATAATAAAACTCATTGCAGAATTCTAATTATTTTTAATATAATTATAACCGAATTCATTGAGAAATGTAATTATTTTTAAAAATTTTATTAAAATTCCCCGAAAGAATTCAATTATTTCTAGAAACTGTAAAAGAAATTCTTCTCAAGAATTCAATTATTTCCATAAATAGCAAAATTCTTCAGATTTATAATTTTCTTTTGAATATTATTTTTTAAAAAAATTTTTCACAAGAATTCAATTATTTTCATAGATTTCCATAAAATTCTTCGCAGAAATTCAATTATGTTTAAAAAATTGTTGTAATTCTCTTTAAAATTTCTATTATTTTTATAAATAATTGAACTGTTCTCCAAAATTTAATTATTTTCAAAAATTTTAATAAAATTCTAAGCAAACATTTAATTATTTTATGAATACTAACATTTTTTTTGAAGGATTCAATTGCCTTTATTAATATAGTAAAATTCTTTGAAGAAATTCAATTAGTATCAATACACTTTAATAGAATTGAATTAATCAAATTTTTAATTATAATTATGAGCAGACAAGATTATTTTTATAAAAATTGAAAAAATTCTTTGTTTAATTCAATTATTTTCCAAATTTTGAATTAAAATGATTAAAAAAACATGATTTTCAAAAAATTTAAAGAAATTCGTCAAAAAAATTTAATTATTTCATAAAAACTCTAATAAAAATTTTTGAAGTAATTTGTAGATTTATTTATGTTCGAAATCAAATAAATTTAAATTTGATGAGAAATAAAAACCGGGAAAAATTAGGACAAAGCCGGGAAAAAACCAGGAAATAACCGAGAATTTTGTTGAACGAAAATAGTAGACACCCTGCTTAACTTATTTATTGTTTTATCTAGTAAAATATTATTTTGGTCAAATACTATTTTGGTAAAATAGTATTTTAGGAAAATAGTATTTTAGGAAAATAGTATTTAAGTAAAATAGTATTTAAGTAAAATAGTACTTTAGAAAAACAGTATTTAAGTAAAATAGTATTTTAGGAAAATAGTCCAACATTTTTTTTACTAAAATACCATTTTACTAAAAAAAAAAAAAGTCGTTTACTAACTTGAGCTGCTTCCGTTTTCACATAGTCTTCAAGAGCTCTCTCCAAAATTTTTTCATTCAAATTACGATATCCATCACCCATTGACTCGATTTGACCATTTTCTGTATAAATATTTAATTTTCATAATAATAATTATGATTATTATTACTTATTAAGTAATTTGTATTAGTTTTGAAAAAAAAGATTGTTTACCGAGAGGTAAAAATTCTAATTCCTCCTCATCCTCATCAAAGTCATTGTCCTCATGTTGTTGTCTATCGAATTTTCTCTCGTCGCCTCGATATTTAAATGAAGGTACATTGTAAAATTCACGTGAATTGTAATCTAGAGAACGTTGTTTTCTCGTGAGTGCATTTAAAGCACCTCTTAAAGATTCTTCGTTAGTGCGATGAGGCACAGGATTAAGGGCTGTCACAAAACCCACTATTACTAAAAGAATCCACCCTGTTGGCGACATGACCTTAATCTGCCTGAAACTCAATTATTTATTCATATTGTACTTCTTTTTCTAAACAAGCATTCTCCGGGCGCTTGTTTTTTTTATCATTTAGTTAATTAATTAAAAATATTCCAATTAAAAAATATTCCTTCTAATTAATCTTATTATATAATTATTTTTTTTAATTTTTTCGCTACTATTTTAATTACTTACTTATTAATTTGTAATGTAAATAATTTCTCATGTGCGCATTTTTGAATACTCTTTTTAAAAAAAATTCCTTTTCCGTTTTTTTAAATTATAAAATAAAAATTTTGTTTTATAAAAAATTGTAAAAGCCCCGCAATACAAAAAAATGTTGAAAAAAACTTTCGGTCACATTCGAAATGGAATTCTAGAAAAAAAATTCCTTAAACCAATTTTTTGTCGGGGAAATTTTTTCAGAATTATATTTTTAGTTTTTTTTTCTGAAGATTTAAATTTATAAGACCGAAAGTTTTATTTCACTACATTTTGTTCTTTGTAAAATGCAAAAAATGAAAATAGAAAAAGTAATTTTCATATGAGAATATGTTTTTCTTTTTTGATAAAATGAAACACATGTGAGAATTATTAATATATTAATGAAAATGATAATAATAGTAACAAAAAAATAATTTTAATAAAAATACATAATAATTGAATAGAACTGATTTTCTATTCAATCAGAAAAAATTCAATTAAGTGCGACTTTTGCAGCGCATCCATTTTTCGACGCAACAAGTACGACGCCAGAAGGCATTTATACTGATCAGATCACGTAAATTGAGTTTTTCTAAAGAATAGAGTTCATGACTTATTTTTTTTTTTTGTCTTGTCATTGAATTTATTTATTCTCAACTCAAGAAGAATTTAAGTTTATTTTCCCTTTATTTTATTTATTATAGACGAATTTTTTTTTTTTTATTGATTTGTCAATTAACCAGACACTATTTATATTGATTATCTATCCGACAATATTAATTACAATTTTAATTAATAAATTACGAAAAATTTCCTTTTCTCCAAATATTTCTCGTTATGTAGTAGAATTTAAAATAGCATTTGAATTTCTTTTTTTCGACCAAATTTTGAAACAGATGGTAAGGTGTCGGCTTAAAGTATTGAAAAGTTCAAATGTCAGGAATAATACGTATAATTAATTATAATAATTATAATTTTATAAATAATGAATAATTTGAAAAATTCTTTTTTTTTATTGACGAATTTGCAAATTTGAATTTACAATATGGAAGATAGGAAGGGGAGTTTTTTTTAAATATTCGTAACGTTTTTTTTCGTGATATGAAGAGATTGAAGTGGTGGGGAAAGAAAATAGAATTTTTGAAACTTACTTGATGTTTAATGAATCATCCGTTTGATGTTTTGCAAGAGTTGATTACTGCTTTTAATTTATGTTCTTTTTTTTTTAACTTTTTTCTTCTTTTTTAGATGGTTTTCTACGATCACACAATCTGAACTGCCCTCCACCTACACCTTTTGCCGCAATTTATATAGAGGAAGCTTTTCTAAATCGATATAATCGCGCATGGCGATTTTCTCCATTCTCAGCAACAAGTATTAAGACTCAAACATTTATTTAAGAAAAATCTCTTTGGCGAAGACTTTTATTTCTTAATACTTCAGAAAAACATTTTTTCTTATTTATCAAGATTTTTTTAAGACATAAAATACTTTTTTCAAAATTTTTAATTTTTCCTTATAAAAAAAGACCCAACTTTTTTATTTCGTTTTGTAAGAAAAATATTTTTACAATTTGTAATATATATAAAATAAATTTATTTTGTTAATTTAACAATTTTTTAATTTAAATCATTTTTTTACGTAAAAGTAAAAATTGATATTAACTAAAAAAAAGTAAATACAAAATAGTTCATTTAAAAAATACTTTAAAAAAAAATTTCTTTCTTTTCATCTGTGGAATGAACTTTGATAATTGAGCTGACCTAAGAGACGAATTTTCCAGAAAAAAATTTAATTTTAAAAACCAAAAAAATGGTATTTAAAAAAAAGATAGAGGGCAATAAATATTTACCCGCTGATAATAATTATGATTGTAAAGCGAACTTTTTAAAAATTATTGACATCAAAATGGAAAGATAATAGTTATCGTTTGAGGAAGATAAACGAATATTGTCAAAGATAGTACATTTCATAAATTTCACATATATAGTCATTTTAAAATGTCACGATTAAACGTTTCTGAAGGTGTCACAAGAACTGGATCAGAATCTGGTATATAGTGAAAAATAATAAAATTACAATTTACTTTGAAAAAAAAAATGTTTTTCTGAATACATATTATATATAGAAGAGTGTTTATTGATTAATTTATTTTTTTATTTCAGAAACACCAAATAATGAAACAAGGGAACTGGGAATAATTTCCAATGACGAAATTTATTCCGAATCAATTTTTCCCCCAGCAGTTGCTTCGACTTTAAATACTAGAGGTCAAAACATTTACTTTTGCCATTAATAATAATAGTAATAATAATAGTAACAACAAAAATAATAATAAAAAATAATATTATAATTTATTATATTATTTATTTATAATTATAAAATAATAATAATAATAATAATAACAATAAAAATTGGAAATTTACTGGAAATTAATATTTTCTACTTAATTTTTAATTGGTGGGAAATTTTTTGTTCTCCTCCCGTAGATTTTAATTGAAAAAAATTAAAAATGTTTACTCGATAATGAAGCGTTTTATGAACATTTTATTAATTTCTCCAACTATATCATTGATGAAAAGCAATTTTATTTTTTTAGATGAACGAGCTCAGAACAGACGACCCATTCCTGTAATTACTTCTGATTGGATTTCAACGCCTCGATCACAACTAAGCGCACTTTCAGGAACATATTTTTTATCCGGAGTTGAGCAATTAGAAATTCAAAGAATAATCGACTTAAGTACTCGTAAGTTACAATTTAGAGAAATATAAAGAAAACATATTAGATATTCCCGTTTCTAAATATTTTTGTAGAAAATTCTCAATTTTCATAAGGCAATAATTTGCATCAATTCTATTTATTAATTTCAATTGTTTTAATAAAATTCAAAATTTTTTTAAAATAAAGGAAAAAAATGTTTATTAATTACTAAATTATATTTGACAATTAGAAAATTTAATTGAAAATGAAACTGAAAATTTTTGAATGTTTAGAAACGAAAGAAACAAATTTTATTCAAAAAAAAGTTCTGTTAAATTTATTTACAAATATTTTTAATTGTAAAATTATTTGAAAACAATAATTTCTTTTTTAAATATTTTAAATATTTAATTCTTATTATTTTTCCATAGGAATTAAGATTTTCAAAAATTTTTAATTAAAACCTTTCTGAAATTAATCAACTTTAAAAATATTGTTATAAAACATGAAGAAATCGAGTCTTCGACTCGGAGTAATCGTTATCTTCATGTTTTATAATAATTAAAGAGGATCGAGTGTCAAAATCATTATTTTATATAATAAAAATATTGTTACTGTAACTTCTTAAAAATTATTTTTATATTCTATTATTATCTAAAATTTAAACTAAAATTTCTTTTTTAACTAAATCTTTATTAGAAAATTCTACGAGAATTCAATTATTAAATACAAAAGTAAATTATTTAAGAATTTTATTAACAAATTTTGTAAATGATTGAATTCTTTTGACGAATTTTAATAAATTTTTTTAGAATAGTTTCATTTTTCAAGGAATTCGATTAAAATTTTATTAAAAATAATTGAAATTCTGCGATGAGTTTTATTATTTTTGAAAATAATTGAATTAATTTTATTAAAATAGTAGATATGGAAAATCATTGAAATGAGGAAAATTTTTGAAAATTGAATTTTGAAAAAGAATTTTTTATTTATAAAGATAATTGAAATTTTCAAAAAAATTCTTTTAATTTTTTTAAAATACTTGAATTGTGGAGAAGAATTTTATTATTTATATAAATAATTGAAATGTGGAAGAAAATTAAAAAAATTTTTTTAAAATACTTGAATTGAAAATAATTGGAAAATAATTGAATTTTATTATTTATAAAGATAATTGAAATTTTGAAAAAAAAATTTTTATTTTTCTAAAATAATTGAATTTTGGAGCAGAATTTTATTATTTATAAAAATAATTGAAATTTTGAAGAAGAATTTTATTTTTTATAAAGAAAATTGAAATTTTTACGAGAATTTTTTTAAACTTTTGAAAATAATTGAATTTTTGCAATCATTTGTAACTTCTTCAAAATTCAATTGTTTTTAGTGTTTTTAACTAAAAATTTTCTATAAATCCAGTATTTTTAATAATTAATTAAATATATATTGACAAATTTAACTAATTTTAAAAGATTTTGAATTATTAAAATTTTTCAAAAATCTACGTTTATTAACATTTCTAATTAAATTCATTCAACATTGAAATTTTATAAAATTAAAAATTGAAACCGTTTGAAGTTCATTTATTTATCAAAACTGTAAACGCAACTCTTTTAAAATTGAATTAATTTTGAAATATTTAAGTAAAATTATTCGTTAAATAATTAATTTATTTTATGATAGTTATTCAAGATTTAAGTTATTTAAAAAGAAATTTTTATCAGAAATTGAAAGAATTAAATGTTTTGTATTAGAATTCATGGTAATTTTGAAGTTTATGAGTCAAACGAAAAAAACACAAAAATTCTGAATTTTTATATTAAAACTAAAATTCCAATTCATATTTTATTTTTATAAAGAAAAATTTGAATTAAAAATTTTTACGTTATTATTTTTAAATATAAAATATTAAAATATTTAATATAATTTATAAATATTAAATTATTTAGTAATATCAATTATTAAATATGAATTTTATTTTCAATTAAAAATATTCACACGATCTTCATTTTGATATTTATAAATCTTTTTTTTTTTTACATTATAATATAGTTTAATTAATTTTTTAAAAATCAATGAAAAAAAAATTTTTAATTATTATTGTTACAGTATTGGGAACGCATAAGAAAGGAAATCAATATAAGGTCAAAGTTCCGAAAGCCGAGACTCTTTTTTTAGCAATTGAATCATCAAATGAACATCAACGACGACTTTTAAAATCTTCGAGATCATTTACTTTGAATATTTTGGATCCTTCTGGAGAAACTGCATTTACAATTGTAAAAGATCTGAGTTGGGGATGTTTACCAGGATGGCTACATGTAAATATAGACAAATTCTTTTTTCATTTTAGATATCATTTTCGTTTCTCATTATTATAGTCAACATTTTAGATAAAATTAAAACAAGGATAAAATTTTTCTAATTTTAATTATATTTAGAAAGTAAGAGTGGAATCGTCAGAATTTCTTGGCACTATAGAGCAAAAATTTACAATTTTGGGACCATATTTTACAGTCTATGACTCGGCGAGAAATCCTCTTTGTAATATTGAAGGTCCCAATGTTTATTCATGTTGCATGTATAAAGAATCTTGTTTCCAGGTTTGATTTATTTTTATTTCGACAGTATTCAATTTTTATATAATTATTTATTATTATATTATTTTTTTAATTTAATTATTTTATTTTATTTTTTATTTTTATTATTCTTTTATAACTATAATTCAATTTTTTTTAGGTTTTGCCTATTGATGAATCTTGTCAGTTGGCTTCAATAATGCGAAAATTTGACGATCGACAAGCAGATTACATTTTATTGTTAACATTTCCGGAAAATATGAATATCAAACTGAAAAGCTTACTTTTAGGCGCTTCTTTTCTAATTGTGAGTATTAAATTCGCCAAAATAACTTATTAATTAAAATAGAATATTCGATCACATCAGGAACAAATCGGAAAAAAACTATATTAATAATCATTCTATTCTTGCTACTCCGTTCACAGTTTGAAGTTAGATTTTCTTTGCTTCTTTGTTTCTCAACTTTTTTAATAATTTTTCTTTCTAAATGTTTTCAATTTTAAAATTAATTTTTGAATATTTTTAATTACTTTATAATTTTATATTGAAAATTGAATTTTATATTGAATTCTTGCAACGAATTTTATTACAAATTTTTTAAATATTTGATTTCCTTCGAAAAATTTTATTAGGTATTTATGAAAATAATTAAATTCTTGCTAAGAATTTTATTAAAATTTTTGAAAATCCTAATTAAATTCTTGCAAAAAATTTCATGGAATTTTCTTTTAAATAACGGAATTTACTTAATGACTTTTATTTGACAATTTTATAAAGAATTTCTTTCAAGTTTGTTAATAATTGAAATTAAACATTTGATTATTGAATTTTATTCAAATTTTTTGGTAAATAATTAAATTCTTCTCAGAATTTTATTCCAATCATTTTAAAATAATTTCCATTCAAAGAATTTTATTAAAATATTGAAAATAATTGAATTCTTTAGAAGAATAGATACTAGGATTAAAGATTTTGACAAGAATTGAATTCTTTCCAAAAATTTCTTTAATTTTTTTAATACATTCGATTTTGTTAATAATTGTAAATAATAATTTTACTATTAAATTTAATTGAAATTATTGATAGAAAATTTAATTCTTTTAAACAATTCTATTAGAGTTTTTGTAAATAATTAATTTCTTCGAAAGAATTTCTTTTCTTATTTATAAAAAAAAAATTAATTGAATTTTTTCCAGAAATTTTATTAAAATTGTATTGAAAATAATTGAATTTTCGCAAAGAATTTTATTATGTATGAAAATAATCGAATTATTAACAAGAATTTATTCTATTAAAATTATTGAAAATATAATAATTGAATTGTTTTGAAAAGTTTAATTGAATTTTTTGAAAATAATTGATTTTTATGAAAAATAACTCTTAAGATTTTAAAATAATCGTGTTTATTAATAATTGTAATTAATAAGTTTATAATAATTAAATTAAAATTAAAAATTATTTAAAAATATTAAAAATTTAAAAATTATTTAATTCTCGGCAAGAAGTTCATTCAAATTATTGATAAAAATAATTGAACCGGTTCGAGAAATTTTATTAAAATTGTATTGAAAATAATTGAATTCCTGGGAAAATAAATGGAATACCGCGTTTTTGAAATAAAAGTCAAGTAATGAGTTAAGTAATTAATTTTAATTTAATGAACTATTAATTTTGCAGTTAAATAATAAATTCACATTTTTAACAATATTTTTTATATTTCAGGAATATTTATATTTTGAGGACCTTTGAAGTGAACGATGTTCTGTTAATCAATACATTATGTACTATTTACTCTATTTTATAAATTTATAGTTTGTATAAATATTGAATTTTGTATCAAATAACGTTAAATAAATAAAAATTTACTTTTTTTCACAAATTACAAGAAGTTTTATTATTCAATAAATATAATAATAAATAAATTATTTATAAATAAAAGTATAAAAAAAGATTTTTTTTTTCTACATAAAAGTCAGTAATGACTAATGACTCGAAATTACCTAATCAGCTAAAAGCAAAATAAGTCCAAATAAAGTGAAACGGTGAGTAGATTAAAAAAACAAGAAAAATATTGAAAAAAGTTATTTTTATCAACGCATATATATAGTATATATACTGAGACTTATTGCATATATAAGAACACCGAACAATTAATTCTGCGAATTCATAACTACATTTCGTGTGGGTGCAAATTAATTAATTTCAAATTGACACAAATTTTTCCAATTAATATTTGATTGATAATTAAATTACAAGTTTAAATAAATTAGATTTTTTATTTTTTTCAGCTCTAATTGTGAAAAAATCTGTGAAAGCGCGAGAAAGAGAGATAAAAAGAATGAGTTTCCTGGAAATTATTGGTGTTCTTGTACTTCTTTATAATTTATTGTATCTGATTATTCCCATGTTTTTGGATTGTGATATGAGATTATTTTTGAAAGAAAAATTGGGAAAACCGGCAGGTAATTAATTACTTATTTTCTTTCTTCTTTAAAATCTAATTTTTTTCTCTAATTTCAAATTTTTATATTTTTAAAATATTTTAATATAGACAAAAATAATTGAAAATATATTTTCAATATATATTTTCAAATTAAAAAAATATTCATAGGTATAAAAATTAAAAAGTTGAAATAATTTTTCATAATGAATATTAATTTTTTTGTAACAGATTCTTTGGCGGGTAAAGTGGTTTGGATCATTGGAGCTTCCAGCGGAATTGGAGAGAATACTGCCTACGCATTGGCAAATTCAGGTTGCAAATTGATTCTTTCAGCCAGACGAACTGATTTATTGGAAACAGTCAAGAAAAATTGTCTCGCAGGTATTTTTTTCTCGCAAAATTATTTCTTCAAATTTCAAAAATATAAATCTTTAATAATTTTTTGATTTTTTTCAGGGAGCAATAAAAAATTGACTGAAAAGGACATTTTTGTTCTTCCTTTTGATATTCTTGACTTGAATGCCCATAAAAAAATGTTCGACACGGTTCTGCAAGAATTCGGCAAGGTATATATGCATTATTAAATAATAATCACTGTTAATTTGTTCTTTTTTAGTTTCTCTTTTAAATTTTTATTATTTTAATTAAATGAAAATAAAATTTAGTTTTCGATCGCTTTTAAATTTCATTACCTTATTTCAATTAAATAATTAAATAAAATTCTTTTTTTCAGTTTCAGTTTTAAATTGTAATTGATAAGTTAATTTTGAAAATTAATATTTTCAGTTGGACATTCTTGTTCATAATACCGGACGAAGTCAACGAGCAAATTGGGAGAATATTGACATAAATGTTGACAAGGAAGCATTTGATTTGAATGTTTTTTCAATTGTCAATTTAACTCGTGTTGTTTTGAAATATTTTCTTCAACAAGGAAAGGGACATGTTGCAGTCAATTCCAGCATCGCAGGAATTATGGGCGTTCCTTTTTCTGCATCCTACACCGGCTCCAAACACGCTTTACATGTAAGCCAGCAAAAAAAAAAAAAAAAAAAAAAATGCCAACTCTTTTTAACATTCGAATAAATTTCAATTTTTCTTCAACATTTATTTTTTCAGGGCTACTTTGAATGTTTGAGAACTGAAAAATCCGTCTCGAATATTAAAGTCACCATGATAGTTCCCGGACCAATACAAACTGATTTTTTGACTGAAAGTTTTACTGACACTATCGGCGAGGTAAATATTAGAAAATTGCAATTAACTATATTAATCTCTGTGGTTTTTCATTCGTTCTGTTCGCAGTATGAAGTTGGTTGTTAGTTACTTTTTTGTTTCCCAACTTTTTTAATTATTTTCTTTTTCAATATTTTTTATTATTTCCATTAAAATTAATGTATTGAAAATCATTGAATTCTTGCAAAAAATTTCAGAATAATTCAATTCCTTCAAAAAATTTTATTATTCAGTAATTAAATTCTCGCAAAGAATTATTAAATTAAAATTAAAAAAATGTTTAAAACCCTAATTAAATTTCTTTGAAGAATTATTTTCAATTTTTTTTTTTTTTTTTTTTTTTTTTTGAATAATTGAATTTCTTTAATAATTTTAATTGGAATTTTTTAAAGTGATTAAAATTTATTAACAATTTCTTTCAAGGAATTTCATTAAAATAATTGGAAAACAATTAAAGTAATTGAATTCTAACAAAAAATTCCTTTATTTATTGAGTATAATCAATTTACAATTAAACTTTTATTAAAATTATTCATTGAAAATTAAATTCTTTTATATAATTTTATTAGAATTTTTCTAAATAATTACATTTTTTTGGAGAATCTCTATAAAATCTTTTATAAAAAAAATGTAATTTTTCTAAAATAATTTTAAATGAAAATTTTCAAAATAAATGAATTAAAGAAACAATTTTTTTCAACTTTTTAAAATTATTGTGTCAGGTAATAATTATAATTAAATATTTGATCATTCACAAGTTTACTAAAACTGTATTTTGAAAATAACTGAATTCCTGAGAAGAATTTTATTAATTTTCGAAAGTAATTGAGTTATTTGAATGAATTTTATTAAAAATTTTAAAAAATTGAATTGTTTTGAAGGATTTATTGAAATTGTAAAAAATAATTCTATTTCTTTCGAGAAATATTATAAAAGTTTTTAAAAAAATTGAATTCATTCATGAAATTATATTAAAATTTTATTAAAAAATATTGCGAACTTTTGCAAAAAAAAATTACTTTAAAATTTTAGAAAAAAATTTGATTATTTCGAAAAATTGTATGAAAACATAAAACAATTCATTTTTCTTTTTCAATATTTTTATAATTTTAAAATTAATGTATTCAAAATCATTGAATTCTTGCAAATATTTTAGAATAATTTTACAGATTTTAGAAAAATAATTGAATTTTGAGCAAATAATTTAATTCTTACGAATAATTTTACTAATTTTAGAAAATAATTGAAATATTTCGAAAAAATTTCTATAATTATTTATTTATTCATTTTTTTATTTTTACAATTAATTGAATTTCTGTGAAGATTTTACTAATTTTTTTTATTCAAGAATTCAATTACATTTTCACAAATATAATAAATTTCCTGGAAAGAATTCAATTATTTTCAACAATTAATAAAATTCCTCACAAAAATACAATTATTTTCTAAAATTAATAAAATTCTTCACAGGAATTCAATTATTTTCAAATATTAATAAAATTCTTTCCAGGAATTCAATAAACTTTGAAAATCAATAAAATTATTTACGTAAATTTAATTATTTTCAAATATTAATAAAATTCTTTAAAGGAATAGGGTCATTTGGGGTAATAATGTAAACGGAATATCTATTTTTCACAAAAAACGTTAGTTTTTTTTTGTTAAAAGGTAAAACGGACGGATTTCTTTTGCATGAACTTGTTACTTTACTTCCCTAGAAAAATTTTATGAGGTACAAAAAAATATTGATGCACCTGAATCGCCTAAAACTGAATGTTTACATTTACCCCGAGATGTTGAAATTTTCCTAAAATTCGGGGCAAATGTAAACACCTCTGTAGTTAAGCGAGGTTTAAGAAACAAGTTATTTCAAGCATACACTGTAAAAAAAATTTTGGAAATTTTCCCAAAAAAATTGAGGAAGCAAATTCACATAAAAAGTATAAAAATTTCCCACAATTTGGAAAAATTCCTTTAAAGATTTAGGAAAATTCCTAAAAATTTGTAAATATTCCTTAAAACGTTTAGAAAAATCCCTTTCCCAACAGAATTTAGAAAAATTTCAATTCGTATCGAAAAATTTCCAAACACTCAGAAAAATTACCATTTTTTTGGGAAAAAATTTTTTCTAAACACGTTTTAGGAAAATTCCCATGCAAAAGTTTGGAAAAATTTCCGAAATTTTTTACAGTGTACTACTGTCTTAAGGGATGGAAAAACTGAAAACAAATTATTCGTAGACGTATAGTAAATCAACCAGTTGACTGATAATGTATCTTATAAAAAACAATCAACCATTACGAAATTAGTAATGTAAAAACTTGAATAACTTAAACAAATTTTAATAGATTTTCATTCAACTTGGTAAAAAGTTTTTTTTATTTTTCTGAATAAGAATTCGAGTTTTCGAATTCTCGGGGTAAATGTAAACACTTAATTATTTATTAATTAAATTGACGAAAATCAAAAATCAAAGTCAATTTTTGATAGGGCATTAATAAGGAAGAATTACATATTTTTGTTAGATTTTTTAATTTATTTTTATGTTATCTTTTAATGCAAAAACGATTAAAAATCAAAGTTTTACTGTTTCAGTTTTTTTTTTCTCGCATTTGCATAAAAATAAATTAAAAAATCAAACTAAAATTTGTAATTCTTCCTTATTAATGCCTTAACAAAAATTGACTTTGATTTTCGTCAATTCAGTTAATAAATAATTAAGAGTTTACATTTAATTGAATAAATTACTATTTAAATGTATTTGAAACATTATGATGTCATAATAATTAAAATTCATTTAAAAAAATAAAATTTTAATTATTTTAAATAAAACGTTGAAATAAAAATGCACGCGCGCTCGCGCGCGTCCTTTTTTGCTATTATTCCATATAAAATGTCAAATTCGACCCCGTTGCGTTAGTTAAATATTTTGTCACCAGATGGTGTATCGCAGTTCTGCGGTTCCTTATAGCTTTTCAAAAATTAAATTATTCAAAAAAAATTCAATTTTAAATCTGTAAAGTTCATTTATTGTTAAAAATATAAATAATTAAAAAAGTGTATTATTCAACAATGCATTTAGAACATGCACGCGCGCTTGCGCGCGTATCTTATGCTAGTTAACTTTATTAAAGTCTGTGGTTTTTCATTCTGTCCGTTCGCAGTATGAAGTTAGTTGTTAGTTATCATTTGCGAATTATTATCATGATTTTTTTGTTTGTTTATATTTTTCGTGATGTTTTGACATTTCCGATGTTATGTTATGCGGTAGTGCGGGTGTTTTTAAAAAACGTTAAATTGTGACAAGAATTATTGTGTTTGAAAAATCGTGGAAAAATATCTGGTATCAGGCGAGAGGTTACCGTTTTCAGTGGAAAAAAAACTGTAGATTGGTAAATTCTAATTATTAATTAAAATTTTCTTCTTAATTAAATCATTTATATTATTTCATTTTATTTTGTTAAATAAAAATCTCAAAATAACTTAAAAACAAATTTTATTCGTATATCTTATTATTATTATTATTATTTTTTTTTTTTTATTTATAATTATAATTGATAATATTTATTGTATTTTGATTTATTATTATTATTGAAAATTTTATGCATTTTTAAAATCTAAAAAAACTGAAATATCGAATTGTCAATAAAAGTTGTATTATTTTCAATTTTCAACGATTATTAATTTTAATTAAAAAATTCAATTTTCCTGAATCAATAAAAAATATCGTTCTAAATTTTATTACATTGGTCGTTTTCGTAAATTACTGTTCAATAATATTAATTATTCAAAATAATTAATTTTTTAATATTTAATTTTTCAAAAATTTAATTAATCTTCAATTATTAACTTATACAGTGCAGGATCTAGAGTCTAAATTTTTTGGGAAGAGCGATCCCTTTAGTGTGTGCTTTTTTTGATTGCTATTATGAGTGATAATAGCTCCTGGTTCTTTTATGTTTAAAAAATTGTTCGAAATAATTAATTTTTCAAAAATGAAAAAAAAAAATTCAATTGTTTCAAATTTTAATTAATTTTAAAAAAATGATTTTACACAAAAAATTTATTTATTTTTAAAAATAATTGCAATTCAAAATCTATTTGAATTTAGTATTTTAATAAATTACTTTTTTTATTATGTTAAAAATAAATTGTTTTTTTAAATATTTTATTAATTTTTTACAATATTTGAATTTTAAATAATTCAAAAGTCAATTATTAATTATTCAAAAATAAATCAAACAATTTTAATTAATTCAAAAATAAATTATTCTGTTTTTAATAAAAATTTAATTATTTTGAAATCATTGAAAAATGTAATTGTTCAAAATAATAATTAATTATTCAAATATCAAAAATACAATTAATTCAAAATTAAATTATTTCATTTTAAATAAAAAATTGAAATTAATTTATTGGCACTTACGTAAAAAATAAACGTATTTCTGTGTGTGTTTGTGTGTAGAATTAACTTATAAGTGCTTTCTTTTGCAAGAATTAAACTTATCGTTATCTTCTGTTCAAATAAAATATAAAATGTTAACGTTTTTTTTAACACAATATTATAGAAAATAGATTTTCTAAAAAGAAAAAAAAATAATGAACTTAAAAAAAATACTTTAGGCACCGCCTTTCATTTCAACTATTTAAATACTATCAAGTCTTTTAAAGACTATATAAAGTCTTCAAATCATGAAAAATACATAATAAAAAATTGAATTATTCCGAAATAAAATTCAAAAATCAACAAAACAATCAATTTACAATTAGGGCCATTTGGGGTAATTGTAAACAAGGGATAAATGTAAACAATAGATGTTTCAACTAAATTTACAAATTTAAAAATTAGTTTTAAAAACTTGAAAAAAATTGTTCATAAATTTAAATTACTTTAAAAATATCCAATTAAAATTATTAAAGAAACACAATTATTAAACAAAAAATAAAAAATAATTCTTCAGAAAAATTTAATTAGGGTTTCCAAAATTGATTTAATGATTTTTAGCGAAAATTGAATTATTTTCATAAATAATGACATTTTTTGAAGAAATTCAATGATTCTCAAATTTTTTGCAAGAATTTAAATGAAATTCAATATATTAATTTTAATTAAAGAGGCATTTCACGTCAGAAATATCACGATTTGCAAAGGGTATGCCGATTTTCGCAAAAGTTTGTGGGATTATAGTTCTATATAAGAGACTTCTTTCCCCCAAATTTTTTCAAAAAAAATTCAAAATTGTTGAAGATACGCCATTTTGAATTTTAATATTAATTTTATAAAATTTTGAATATCTCGGAATATTGTTTATGGATTTTTATGAAATTTACACATTTTTCAGGTAAAAGTATGTACTTTAAAATGCAAATAAAGTTAATAAAAAAAAAATTAATTTTTAAATAAAAAATTAAAAAAAATTTTTTAAAACAATTTTTTGTTTATTTACTCCTCTCTGAGAAAAATGTTATTAACATATTTGGATTCCTTATGAATTCACCTTTAATTTCATAAAAAAAAATTGATGGAGACTCAACTGGTTCCAGAGATATTGAATTTTTTGTAAAAAAATAGTCATAGTTACAGCAGCAATGCACGACTGCGGTAACGTACTACGCGACTTGTGCAGTATGGTGCTATGGCGCGGCGACGCTTTTTTTTACAAAAAATTCAATATCTCCGGAACCAGTTGAGTCTCCATCAATTTTTTTTTATGAAATTAAAGGTGAATTCATAAGGAATCCAAATATGTTAATAACATTTTTCTCAGAGAGGAGTAAATAAACAAAAAATTGTTTAAAAAAATTTTTTTTAATTTTTTTATTTAAAAATTAATTTTTTTTTATTAACTTTATTTGCATTTTAAAGTACATACTTTTACCTGAAAAATGTGTAAATTTCATAAAAATCCATAAACAATATTCCGAGATATTCAAAATTTTATAAAATTAATATTAAAATTCAAAATGGCGTATCTTCAACAATTTTGAATTTTTTTTGAAAAAATTTAGGGGAAAGAAGTCTCTTATATAGAACTATAATCCCACGAAGTTTTGCGAAAATCGGCATACCCTTTGCAAATCGTGATATTTCTGACGTGAAATGCCTCTAAAATTAAAAATATTGAAACATAAAATTATTAAAGAAGATAGGAAACAAAAAAGTAAATTACAACTAAATCAAAGAAGATAGAAGAAGAAGATATTAATATAGAGAGAAGATATAAAGATAGAAGATGTTAATTGAATAATTTTATATTTCTAAAAAAAATGTATTTTTCATTCTTTCCAGCATTTCCATTTTTTAAATTTATTTAAAACATTATAACGTCATAATAATAATTAAAATACCCTTAAAAATAATAATAATCATTTTAAAGAATTGCTATTTTAATAGAAAAAATATATTTATATATATATTAAAACATAAAATTATTAAAATATTAAACAAAAAAAAAATATAAACTGCGAACAGATATTTTCAATTAATAAATAAAAATTTTAATTTATTTATATAAAAAAAGAAAATGCAAAAATATATTAATTAATAGAAGATGAAATATTTTCTTTAATGGCATTTGAACCATAATGACGTCACAATTTGTTCACAGCATTTGCTAAAAAATTGTGACATCATAATGGTTCAAATTCGCTGAAAAAATAAAGTTTTAATTATTTAAAATAAAACGTTGAAAAAAAAATGCACGCGCGCTCGCGCGCGTCAGTTTTTGCTAGTAATAGATTAATGTCTAATTACAATAATGTTTAGAGAAAATAATATTAATAATAAATTTTTAAGATATAAATTTTTTTTTTAGAAATTTGGTGAGAAGACTCCTGTATCATCGAGTAAATTATCTCCAAAACGCTGTGGAGAATTAATTGCGATCGCTTTGGCTAATGAATTAAGCGAAGTTTGGATTTCATTGTCACCGCCTTTGTTTCTCTCGTACTTGAAATTCTATCCCAACTTGGCAGGAATGTAAGTAAAAATTCCGTGTCTAAAATATGATTTCTCAATTTTTCCCTTTAAGAATTAATTAAGAATTTTCTTTTTAAAGGATCTACAAACTATTGGGTCCCAGTTTCCACCAACGAATGCGAGACAGCAAAACTACTGTTAATCAGTAAAACTCACGAATAATTATTTCTCTTAGAGAAAATGCAATACTCAAGTACATTTATTCTACTTAAGTAATTTCGTAATAAATCATTTAATGAAGTATTTTTTTGAAAAATTTTAAATTCAATTAGCTGTTGAAATTAGTTTTAATTTTACAAATTTTAAAGCAATTCTTTTGAAAGAATTCAACTATCTTAAGAAATATTATAATAATAATATAATAATTAATAAATATTAAAATTCTTTCCAAAAATTCAATTTTTTTCAAAAAAAAAAAATTCTCATGAACATTTTAATTATCTTTATAAATAGCAAAATTCTTCGCTGAAATTCAATTATATTCAGGAATTTTTATTAAATTCATTGTAAAATTCAATTATTATCATAAATCACAATATTCATTAAAAGAATTCAATTATTTTTAAAATTAATAAAATTCTTCGGAGAAATTCAATTATTTTTAAAAAATCTAATAAAATTTGTCAACATTTCAATTATTTTTATAAATGTATAGCTAAAATCTTCGACAAAATTCAATTATTTTCATAAATTTTTATAAAAATCATTGAAAAATTCAATTATTTTCAAAAATTTTTAATAAAATTCACAGCAAAATTTCAATTATTTTCAAAAATTTTTCTTATTTCAATGATTTTCAATATTCTACTATTTTAATAAAATTTCCCAAAAGAATTCAATTAAATTAAACAAACATTTTGATAATATTCTATACAAACATTCAATTATTTTCCAAAAAATTAAAAATTTCACAGGAATTCATTTATTTAAAATAGAATTTGCATAATTTTTTTCGAAAAAATCAAATTTTTTAAAATTTGGTATTAAATTCTTCGCAGTAATTTAATTATTTTCAAAAATTTTAATAAAATTCATTGCAAAAATTCAATTATTTAAAAAAACTTTTCTTAATCCAATAATTTGTATATCTATTATTTTAATAAAATTTCCCAAAAGAATTCATTTTTTTAAAAACAATTTTGACAAAGTTCCACACGAATATTTAATTAATTTCTAAAATAATGAAAATTCCACAGTAATTCAATTATTAAAAATAGAATTTGCATAAATTTTTTCGAAAAAAATCAAATGTTTGAAACTTTTTTTTATAAAATTTTTCGCAATAATTCAATTATTTTCATAAATAATAAAACTCATCGCAGAATTTTAATTATTTTTAATACAATTTTAATCGAATTCCTCGAAAAAATTCTTAAAAATTTTATAAAAATTCGTCAAAAGAATTCAGTTAATTAAAAATTTATAGTTAAAATTCTTTATGAGAATTCAATTTTAAGAAACATGCAATTTTTCAATAAATTGTTACTTTTGTATTTAAATAATTGAATTTTCTCATAAACATTGATTTAAATTTCAAATTTAATTTAATTTTTTTTATTTCAAATTTTAGATTATAATTGAATTTTAAAATCTTCAGAGTTTTATTTTTTTTTTTATTTTTATTTTTAGAAATAATTGAATTTTGAAAAGATTTCAGATTAAAATCTTTGAAAATTTGAATTTTTCATATTTTTAACTAACAATTCTGTGGAATTAATTTTTTTTTGAGAAACTTTAATTGCTGATTTTTTTAAATATTATTTTAAGTTTTTATTTTCTAATATATATTTAATTGAAGAATTTTCGAATAATTGAAATTTTGTAAAATTGAATTGCAAAAAAATGAATTTGAAAATCCTTAAAGAACTTTTTCAAAAATTATTAAAAATAATGAATTTGTTGAAGATGTTTACTTAAAAACTGGAAAAAAATTGAATTTTGTAAAAGTTACAAATTATTGCAAAAATCTAATTATTTTCAAGAGTAATAATTTTCTTCGCAAAAATTAAATATTGTTAAAAAGTAATAAAATTCTTCTAAGGGATTCAATTGTTTTCACAAATAATAAAACTCATCGCAGAATTTCAATTATTTTTAATACAATTTTAAAGGATTTTCTCGAAAAATGTAATTATTCTTAAAAATTTTATTAAAATTCGTTGATAGAATTCAATTATTTAAAAATTTGTTGATAACGACTATTTACGGGAATTAAATTTTAAGAAGCATTCAATTATTCAATAAATTATTTATTTTTGTATTTAAATAATTGAATTCTAGTAGAATTTTCTAATAAAAATTGATTTTCATTTCATAAAAATGAATTTCAGTTAAAATTTGAGATAATAATTGAATATTAAAAGAAATATAGCGTGAATTTTTAAAAAATAATTGGATTTTGAAATTAATTTTTTTGAAAAAGTTTAATTGAATTTTTTTATATTATTTAAAGTTTTTATTTTCTAATATTTATTTAAATGAAGAATTAACGAATAATTGAAATTTCGTAAAATTGAATATTGTAAACAAATAAATTTGAAAATTGTCAAAGAAGAACTTTTTCGCAAACTATTAAAAATGATCGATTTAAAGAAGAATTTTAGTTAAAAATTCCTGAACATAATAATTGAATTGGTAACAATTTTATCACTCAGTCATCTTTATTATAAAACATGAAGAAATCGATCACTCGGACTGGTTATATTTTTGTTAGTAATTGGTCCGTAAATTTTCATTTTTGGTTTGTAAAGTCCGTATTTTAATATTTTTAAATACTTTCACTATTTCGAGTCCTGAATTCAAGACAAAAAGCAAAAAGTAAAAATTTCGTCTGGAAATCAGGGAAAAACAAAATTAAATTTTTGTGGCAACTCCCTACTGTTTAGAAACGAAAAAAAAGAGTTTTCAAAGAAAAGAAGAATAGGTAATTAATTTTCAAGTATCTTATTATTAAATTCTATACATAAAATATAAAAAATTATTCCAGACCTAGAAGTCGGTTTTTCGCCTCCTTGCCACGTAAAACTGCTTCCTTGAATAATTTACAATAGAGTTGTAAAGCCGTCATTGAATCGTCATTACCAGGCACTGGATACGTTATCAAATTTGGATTACTATTCGTATCGACAATGCCAACAGTTGGAATACACATTTTCGCCGAATTAACAATCGCCGGATGATCCTTCAATACTTCATTAAATGTTGAGAAGAGAATACACAAATCAGGCAGACGTGTGAGAGCGCCGAATTCTTTTTCTGAATTTGTAAATATTCCACCGCGCCATTTGCGCGTATATGAATATTCATTGCACTCAATTGCTGTTTTGTCAACAATATAAGTCGATTGTGGCGATCGTGAAACAAAAAGAATAACGCCATCACGAAATGCAATATGCGCTGTGAAATTTAATGCCTCTCGCAGAAGTTCCGCCGTTTGATCGAGATCAATAATTAAATGTCCTAAACGATTGCCAAAAATAAAGGGTCGCATACGCTCGTCCATTGAACCTTCCTTGTGACCCAAATGAACACCGGCGTCAAATAAATCTTGTACGGTAAAAAGATTATGTACCTGGAAAAAGTCTGGATGTTTTAGTGGATTTAGACTTGGCTTTTTTACTTCTGCATCAACATCTGAAATGATACATTTTTCATTTTGTAATATTCACAGTTTTTTAATGTATACGCAAAAAAAAATTCTATGGAATTTGCTAGAAATTCGTGTCACCGAATTTCATTTAGAATTCAATCTATTTGTCAAATAGAAATTTTTTTTTGCAACTAGTGAATTGAGAAACGACCTGCGTTGGTTTTCAATTTTTGGAAATTTAATTCTGAAGGTTCAATTATTTCTTCTTCGAATTCAATTTTTCTTAAAAAGAATTCAATTTTCTATTAAAAAATTTCGTTAAAATTCTTGGCAAGAATTCAATTATTTTCAATACAATTTTATTACAATTCCTGGAAAGAATTCAATTATTTTTAAAAGTATTAAGAAACTTCTTCGAAAGAATTTAATTATTTTCAATTTTTTAAATAAAATTCTTGTCAGAAATTAAATTATTTTCATAAATAATAAAATTTTTCGAGAAAATTTAATTATTTTTAAAAGTGTATTAAAAAAATCTTCAAAGGAATTTAATTATTTTCAATTTTTTTATACAAAAATTCTTGTCAGAAATTTAATTATTTTCATAAATATTACATTTTTTTTTTGCAACAATTCAATTAATTTTATAAACAATAAAATTTTTCTCCAGAATTCAATTATTTTCCAAAAATTAAATAAATTTTCTTTAAAATTACAATTAATTCCAAAAATTGTAATAAAATTCTGAGAAGATTTCAATTATTTAAAAAAAAAAATTAATAAAATTCAGTAATCGAATTATTAATTAAAATAATTAACAGACCCGAATATTTAAAAAAATTGAAAGAAATTCTTCCATTATATTCAAAATTTTCAATTAAAATCATTAAAAAACAACAATATTTTTAAAAAATTGAAGAAATTTATCAAAAGAATTCAATTTTCTATCAAAAATTTTCATTAAATTTTTTAGCAAGAATTCAATTATTTTTAATACAATTTTATTACAATTCCTGTAAATAATTAAATTATTTTTAAAAGTTTCTCTTAAAAAATTCAATTATTTTCTAAAATTCTGATAAATTTGTTTGAAACAATTCAATTATTATCGTAAATAATAAACATTCTTTGGATGAATTCAATTAATTTTCAACGAATTTAATTATTTTCAATTTTTTTGATAAAATTCTTGTCAAAAATTCAATTATTTTCAAAAATAATAAAATTTTTCGCGAGAATTCAATTATTTTCATAAATTGTAATCAAATTCTGAGAAGAATAATTCTTCTAAATAATTGAATTATTCAATTATTTCTAAAAAAAATTTAATAAAATTCTTGTCAAAAATTCTTGAATTTTCATAAATAATAAAATTTTTCGCGTGAATTTAATTATTTTTAATACAATTTTCATAAAATTTCTGAAAAAAATTCAATTACATATATCTCAAATTTCGAAAAAAATTCTTACAATAAATTTAATTATTTTTAATACAATATTTTAATAAAATTATTAACAGAGGTGATTATTTTAAAAAATTTTTTAAATATTTGATTTATTTCAATTATTTTCAAAATTTTCAATTATAATTATTTTATAGTACTTAAATTTTTTATTTTTAAGTTTTATGAAAATTCTTTGATAGATTTTAATTATTTTTAAATTTTTGTGATGAAATTCTTGGCGGGAATTCAGTTATTTTCAATACAATTTTAATAAAATTTCAGGAATGAATTCAATTATTTGTAAAAGTTTTAAAAAATGTTTTCAAAGGAATTTAATTAATTTCAAATATTTTGATAAAATCTTTGGCAGGAATTCGATTATTTTGATAAATAATAAAAATTCTTCTGAGAAAATCAATTATTTTCAATTCCATTTTAACAAAATTTCTGTAAAAAATTCAATTATTTTCAATTTAATTTTAATTAAATTTCTGGAAAGAATTCAATTATTTTTAATTCATTTTTAATTTAATTTCTGGAAAGAATTCAATTATTTTTATATATTAATAATAAAATTCTTTATAGAAATTCAATTATTTTTAAATCAAATTTTAAAAATGAAATTTTTAATTATAATTACAGACACGATTATTTTCAAAAGTTGAAAAAATTTCGTTCTTTAATTCAATTATTTTTAAAAAATTTCAATTAAAATTATTTATAAGTATTTTGAGTTTTAAGAAAATTCTTTGATGGATTTTAAATAAATTTCCAAAATTTTTGTCAGAAATTCAATTATTTTAATAAATAATATAATTTTTCGCGAGAATTCCATTATTGTCAAAACAATTTTAATCAAATTTCTGAAAATAATTCAATTCTTTTTATAAATAATAAAATTCTTTTGAAATTCAATTATATTTATAAATAGTACAATTCTTCTGAAGAATTCAATTATTTTCAAAATTTTTTCATAAAACTCTTCTAGAATTCAATTATTTTCATAAAAAAAAATAAAATTTCAATAAAAATATTCAAATAAAAAAATATTCAATAAAAAGTGGTTTCAATTATTATAATTAAAAAAAGCATTAATGTACCCAGAGAAAAACTTTATTTTAAAATTGAAAGTTTCACAAAAAGAATTTTTTTTTATACTTAAAAAAAGCATAATACAACTATATCAGTACAAGAATAAGGAATTTTCAAGTTTTCTCCTTTCAAATACACAATATTGAATAATTCTGAATAATCAGAATATATGAAACATTAAACTGCGTTATCAAAGTGAAACTACTTGACTAAAAAAATTATTATCCAATTAAATCTAAAATCTATTATTACAAGACTTTACAATTTTTTTTTTTTACTTTTACAAACTAAAGTTCTACGTAAATTCAATGATTTACAGTGTTAATTAATTTTTCATATATTTATATATAATATATATATATAATAGTAAAAGAACTATAAAAACAAAAGGGTAAAAAGAAAATTCATTATCAACACAATGAAGCAAGTTTTCTGATGGTGCCCAAATCACGAAGTAACATTTGCACAGTTTGCTTCGTTCTCGGTTGAACTTCAATTTCAGGAATTGTATCCGGATCCATTTCCTCCAGAACTTGAACTTGTGCTTCAATGCTCGTTAATTTTGAAGCAACATAGTTTTGAAAATGATCAATATGCTCCAGGAGTCTCATTCGACATTCTGTGGGATCAATCGGTGCTTCCGGTTCGGGAATAAATGGTTTCGATTCCAATGGTGTCTTTAAATTTTCTTTTAGATCACTTTCTGTTTTATCCTCACTTTTCGTCAATGCGCTGAATAGAAAATTTTCCTTTTTCGTGTCATCGGCAAGTGCACCGTCTTCGAGTATTTTTACCAAATCGGAATCAGTTGTGATTTTAATTTCTGGTGTATTATCGTTTTCTTCCTTTTTCACTTCGGCCACTGTTTCGGTGTTTTCGATTATTTCCAAAATCGGCACAGGCGAAATGTCAGGTTTTGGAATTAGGAATTTCTCCCAATTTTTCGCCCATAGATAGAGTTTGGGATGGTCCTTTTTTTGTGCGACGTTAATTTTCACGCGGAGACTGTGAAGGAGGTGTTGGATTTGGAATAAGAAGGAGATAAGATCGTAGGAGCGTTTTAGCATTGCGGTGCGTTGCTTGAAGGCGAGGTCGTTGTTTTTGGTGCTGATCGAGAGAGTTGGTAACTTGCCTTCCTTCATCCATTCTTGATCGAGATTGTATTTCATTGATGGTCGTTGACGGTGGGGATGACGACAGATGTAGCAGACGTACTTGTCGGGAACGTCTTTTTCTTTCTCGATGGCGTTGCAGTGACCGTGCTGCCAACAGAGGCAAAGATCACATTGAATCATGAGACCGTCCTCTTCCATAAATTTACAAGTGCAGTTGATAATTTCCTCCTTGCGGAGTTGTTCGACTTTTATCAATTCGCCATTGATCAGCATCATACCCTCGTGTTTACTGTCATTGCTCTCGTCGTTCTTGGCGTCGGATTTTCGTCGACTGAAACGATAGGTGGGAGTGGCGGGGCCCTCCGTGTCCATTGTACTCTCGTCCAAATCCTCGAAATTAGAATCTTGAATACTCTGTCGTTTCTTTACGCGGGGAATATCTGGATGATAGTCCGTAAGGTTACGTTTTCTCAAACTTTTGCCCCGTTGGCCTGGTGTCATCATTTCGTCGACGGATTTTGATCTTGAGTCTGGCGCACGAACTGGGAGGAGAGTTTTGATGCCACTAGTTTTTTCCTCTCGGATCTTCAGATCGAAGAGGGATCCTGGCGACATTGCGCAATCGGTTTCTTTGCGGAGAGTCTCGCTGTTGGTTCTCAGAGGTGATCCTAATTCGATTTTCTCGTCTTTTGGAATACTCTCCTCGGTTCGATTCACTTCGAGTTCGAGGACAGGCGGCGTTGGCGATGGCGCAGTGGCGATCGGCTGCGATGGCGAAAGAGCCTGAAGAACGGGCAGTTGGGATTTTTCTTTTCTCTTCTCAAACTTGTTGATTTTCTCCAGAAAATTGTGCGTTTGCTTAGGGATGATGTCGTCGATAGACTCGCCGATTGTTCTTGCATAAGCCAAATCGGCGACATTCGGTGTTGAACCGAGAAATTTTGAGTACTCCGGATGGTAGTGTTTGATGTGCATCTGCAAAAGATTTTCTTTTCGGAAATTCTTTAGACAACCGTCCTTTGGACACTTGTAGGAGCTGTCCTCCATTTCGACACGTAGACCGCCGATGAATACTGCACTGTTTTCGAGTAAAGCTGGTGCTGGCGTGACTGGAATCGGAGTTACAGGCAGTAGAGGACTCGGAATTGCTCTCGAGGAAGATTTCGATCTTCTAGCAGGTGGTGTGTCTGAAATTACCTTCTCACCCCTCGCCTTCTTCTTTCGATGAATACAAAAGTCGAACATCTCCGGATCGAAGTCAAACTGACCCTGACTCACCATATACGCTCGGATGTCGTTTCGAGAACGGAATTTCTTGTCACTGCCCTCGTGGATGAAGAGTACGTCCCACTTGCCAGCTGACGATCCCGCCTTCCTCTGGGTGAAGTGTTTCACCCATCCGGGTGGTAGTCTTTTATCAGCGACAATAATCGATCGTCGTGGTCCCTCGATAAACGACTCAATTCCTTGTGGTTCGCCATCCTTCCATTCGGGCTGAAAACTAGGATCGATGTTCGAATCTTTTTTCTCCTTCTTCATGTAAGTCTTCACTTTTGCGGTGGGATTTTCAAAACCGTGGAGCACCTCCGTACTTGAATCGTCATGAGAGCCGGAGAACGAGCCATTATCGATCAATGGCTCCGGGACTATTTCCTCCTTACAAGGACGACCTCTTTTCGCATACTTAATCTCACCGCCTTTCTTTGGTTTACGCTGAAAGAGATCCATAACCTGATATTTTCGATTTCTATCCTTGCGCTTCTCCTTACTGCCAATGAAATCCTCACTGTCATTCTGCTCGTCGAGAGGTCCACCTAATTTTGACATTTTCGATGATCTCACAATTTTCGTGTAACCATCGTCGAATAGTACATCGTAACGATCATTTCCCAAAACAGCGTTGACTTTCGCTGGATATTTTCTGCCATCGGCCCATGTGGCGAGAATTCTTTCGCCCGCGACAAAATCCTTTGTCTTCATTTCACGTGATTGTGTTTGTAACATTCGTAATCGTGGACTATCCATAGGTATCCATTCATCAAATCTTGCACTCCATTTATCGAAATGAATCAGAACTTCTCTTTCGACCCAATCGGTTTCAACAACTTTTGCCGTATACCATTTCTCATTGAAATCCTTTGCCTCGAGTTTATCGCCAGGAAAAAAGTTTAAACCTTTTATTTGTTTACTCTTTAATTCGTCAGCTTTCTCACTTTTCTTCTCGCACTGAAATCTAATATTACCGTCCTCTGGATGAAAATTTGCAGCAACATTTTCTATTGTCATAAGAGGTTGAACATTACCCGTTGAATTATTAATTGAAATTGGTATATTTTCATTTTCAATAAATTCTGATTTTCCCGATAGATTATTTATTAAATCAATATTGTAGGCATTTTGTAGTTCGTCAATATTTAGTGGATTTAATGTATTTGAAAATTCCTCTACATTATTGTAAAATCTTTCTGTATTTATCGTCGTTTTCGGTTGATTTTGATTCTCAGATGATGATGATGATGTTGTTGGTGTGGAATAATGGAAATGAGAAATTTCTGAATTTATAAGGTCCAAGTCGTCTTGAGAATAAGTTGTAGGAGATTTCATGGACATGACCTCAGTGTTTAGATTTTATTTTAAAAAAATGTAATATCCGTTGATTAACTTATTCTTTCGCAGTTTTAAAAACTCGACGTTTTTGATAATTATTTCACAATTCCGTTTAGTGCCCTGCAAATAAAAATTCATTTAAAACAAATTCTACTTTGTTAAACTCGTAATCTTTGTTCTTTATGACTATTTGTTTTCTTTAATTACATTTTTTATCTTTTTTTAATTAAAGTTTTTAATTGCATTGACTGAATCTATTATTACATTAATTATTTATTTAAAAAAAACTAGATGATGAGATTGCGACCTGTATTGCTCATTGGACAAAAAATAGTTTCGATTTAAAGAAACACTGTCAAAAAATTTTTCTATAGATTTACAGTAGCGAATTTAAAATCCCTTTTGTAAAATTAATACTTTCAGTGTGTCAATTTTACAATTTTCTTTCAATCTCTTATTCAATTTTAATTAAATTCTTCGGAAAAATTCAATTTTTAAAAAAAATTTTAACACGTTTCGAAAAAATTCCATTTTTTTCTAAAATTTTAATAAATCCTTCAAAAAAATTCAATTATTTTTATAAATAGTAAAATTCTTTGCAAGAATTCAATTATTTTCAAAACAATTTTAATTGAATTCCTCATAAATATTCAATTTTTTTCTAAAATTTTAATAAATCCTTCAAAAAATTCAATTATTTTTATAAATAGTAAAATTCTTCGCAAGAATTCAATTATTTTCAAAACAATTTTAATTAAATTCCTCATAAAAATGCAATTATTTTCAAAACAATTTTAATTAAATTCCTCGAAAGAATTCAATTTTTAAAAAAATTGTAACACATTTTGAAAAAATTCAATGTTTTCTAAAATTTTAATAAATCCTTCAAAAAAATTCAATTATTTTTATAAATAGTAAAATTCTTTGCAAGAATTGAATTAATTTTATAAATAGTAAAATTCTTTGCAATAATTCAATTATTATCAAAACAATTTTAATTGAATTCCTCGGATGAATTTAATTATTTGTAAATATTTCCATAAATTTCAATTATTTCCTAAAATTTTAATAAATCCTTCGAAACAATTCAACTATTTTTATAAATACTAAAATTCTTTGCAGGAATTAAATAATTTTTAATTCAATTTAAATAAAATTACACGAAAGAATTTAAATATTTTCAAAAATTTCCATAAAATTCAAGTTCAACAAGAATTTAAATTTCTCTAAAAATAATTCAATTATTCTCAAAATATTTTTAAAAAATTCAATATAAAAATTAAATTACTTTCAATGCAATTTTTAAATATATTTGTCACAAAAATTGAAAGAATTCAATTATTTTCAAAAAATAATAAAATTCTTGTGATAAATTCAATTATTTTGAATATCCTTAATTTTAATAAAATTCTTTAAAGAAATTCAATTATTTTTGAAACAACTTTAATTGAATTTCTCGAAAAAATTTCATTATTTTTAAATATTTCTATAAAATTCTTCATAACAAATTAATTATTTCTTAAAATTTTAATAAATTCTTCGAAACATTTCTATTATTTTTATAAATAGTAAAAATCTTCGCAATAATTCAATTATTTTTATAAATAGTAAAGTTCGTTTGCAGAAATTCAATTTAAAAAAAAATGTAAAAAAAACAATTTTAATAGAATTCCTCGAAAGAATTAAAATTTTTAAATATTAACATAAAATTTCATTTATTTTCTTAAATTATTTGTTATAAAACATGAAGATATTGAATTTCTGCAATTATTTGTAATTTCTCAAAAATTGAATGTTTTTAGTGTTTTCAACAAAAATGTTTATAATAAAATTTTTAAATTCTATTATTTTTAAAATTGCTAATTTAAAAAAAAGGTAGGAAAAAGTTAGCCGCTAGTTAATTTTAATTATTATTATTATTATTATTATTATTATTTGTTAATTGTTGCTAGTTATAATTTTATAAAAAGGATTTTAAATTCGCTACTTTTAAAGACGTTATTTTACAAGTTTCTATAAAATTCCGTAAAAAAACTGTAAATCTACAGAAAATTTTTTTTTACACTGAACATTGAAACAATTTCAAACTAATTTTTTTAACATTGCGATAAAAACAAATAATTTTGAAAATATTTTGTTTTTTCATTACGAAAACGTACACAAGTCCTGATAATATTCAACTTGTAGAAAAAAATAAATTTAAAGGAATATAAATACAATATATTGCATTATTTATATATTAAATATATAAATAATATAGATTTATTAGTTTTAATCGATTCAACTTTCAACAACAATTGATTTTAGTGCCTGTATTTTGAGGTTATGTTTAAACGATTAACGATTCAGTCAATACGGTTTCTGAACAAGATTACGAGGTCAACAAACTGAATCTATTTAAGTGAATTTTTTTTATGGTGCGGACCTTGTGTACGTGATATTCGCACCTTTGATTAAAAAATTAAATTATGAAATAAAACCAAATATGCGCTTTGTTCTCGCCTCTCCCAAGCTTTTGTGTCTCTATAACTAAAAAATTCTTATTTAGCAGTAATTTTCACTTGTATTTATATGTTTGAGAGATAAAAAAGAGTTTTAAATAAGTTTGAAGACAGGTCGTTGTCTCATTCATCCGTTTTATATAATAATAATTTAATAAATTACCTTCTGTACGAATGTTAGGTTGGGATTGCGTCGTAAGTTTGGCGACTGAATTTGTTCCGAAAATTCGTAGCAGTCGACTTATCCCAAGCACTAGAATTTAAAAAAACACTCTGTAAATTGTACATCATCACAAATATTGATGATTTTTAAGAGAATTATTAATTTACCATGGGTATTAAATATTTGCGAAACTGATCCAGCCATCGTGTTTCCGAAATTGCATCACACACAGTCACACAAATATAATCGCGCCCCACTATTCTACGATCTTTTTCGAAAATATTGACTGCGAATGTTCGGTAGTTGTCGGTGAAAGTCGTCAATTCTCGTAAAGCAGCGAAACGCGGGAATATAAATGTCAGAAAGTTAGGTTAGGTCAGTTTAAATGTCCTGTTAAGAAGTTTGAGAGTTTGTTGCTTGCGCGTGTTTCAGCGTGCATATTTTTTAGTAAACTAGTAAAATTTGTAAAATAAGTTACTTAGTATTATTCTAAAAATGAGTCAGGAAGCAGAAGGTTGTTTCGTAACGTGTACCACAAGATTAGAATGGTTAAATAATGAAGGCTGTATAAAAAGAAAAGTTGATTACAAAACGGCGACAACGCGTCTAATCAGAAATAATATACGTGAAATGTTGATAGAAGTTAGATCAGAAAAAACGAACACTACAATAAAATTAATATTACGAGGTATTTCGGTTTTCAATCGTTTTATGTCGGAGGGAAAAGCTTCTATTAAATTTCAAGAGGAAAAATGTACACTGTATTTATCAAATGCTCCTGTCGCTCAACTAGTCAACTTTCTGAAGACGCTTTTTGTGAAAATGACCGGACAAACGGAAAAAGCAACAAAAATTTCAGCGAAGGAAAAAATGTTGTCAAACGTAATGGGAAGTGTCACAGATATTAGTCCATCGACTGTTTCCGAATTAAATAAAGCGAAAGAAAAAGCAGGTACAATCTCTCGTGCAACGTTAACAACACCCTCGCCAAAATCTGTTTTGAAACGAAAGTCAATCAGTGAAAATGCACTAAAAATTCCAAAGGCAAAAAAATTAAATTTGGCTAGTTCCAATATTGAAATGACCGAAGAACAAAAGAATGTTCTTGATGCAATTTTAGCGGGGAGAAATGTTTTCTTCACCGGCAGTGCTGGTACTGGAAAATCTTATTTATTGAAAAAAATTATTAACGCTCTTCCACCGAATGTCACGATGCCCACTGCTAGCACTGGTGTCGCAGCTTGTCACATTGGTAAGAAAATCAGGAAAAAGTCAGGGAAGTTAGGGTAAAGTCTGGGATTTTTATTAAAAGAACTGAAAAAGGGTATTAATTTGAAATTTTATAAAACTTCAATTTTGAAGGAATTTAATCAGAAATTTAAAAGAACTTTGCTTTTTGGAAAATTGTAATATTTCAAATTCTCCGGAAATTAGTTGAATTTTTTAATATATATTTAATTATTAAAAATAATAGATTTATAGAAGAATTTTAGTGCAAAACACTGAAAAAATTTGCATTTTAGAGAAGTTAGATTGCAAAAATTCAATTATGTTCAACAGTTTAAAAAAATTACAATTATTATCTTTATAAATAATAAAATTCTTCTCCAAAATTCAATTATTTTCAAAAAATTCTTAAATCTTTTTCCAAAAATCAATTCTTTTTATAAATAATAAAATTCTTCTCCAAAAATAAATTATTTTTAAAAAATTCTTAAAATTTTCATCAAAATTTCAATTACTTTCGAAAAATTAAACAAGTTTTCTTCAAAATTTCAATTATTTTTATAAATAATAAAATTCTTCTCTAAAATTCAATTATTTTTAAAAAATTAAAAAGTTTTCTTCAAAATTTAGATTATTCTTATAAGTAATAAAATTCTTCTCCAAAATTCAATTATTTTCAAAAAATTCTTAAAATTTCCATCAAAATTTCAATTATTTTTAAAAAATTAACTTCAAAATTTCAATTATCTGTATAAATATAATAATAAAATTCTGCTCCAAAATTCAATTATTTTCAAAAATTAAAAAAATTTTCTTTAAAATTTCAATTATTTTCAAAAATAATAAAATTCAATTATTTTCAAACAAAATTTTTAATTTTCTTCAAAATTTAAATTTTTCTTATAAATAATAAAATTCTTCTCCAGAATTAAATTATATTGAAAGAATTAAACAAGTTTTCTTCAAAATTTCAATTATTATTTATTTTATTCTTCTCTAAAATTCAATTATTTTTAAAAAGTTAAAAAAATTTTCTTCAAAATATGAATTATTTTTATAAATAATAAAATTCTTCTGTAAAATTCAATTATTTTCAAACAAATTTTAAATTTTTTTTCAAAATTTAAATTATTTTTGTAAATAAAAAAATTCTTCTCCAAAATTCAATTATTATAAAAAATGTTAATAGAATTCTGGACAAAATTTCAATTGTTTTCAAAAATTTTCCTCAATTCAATTATTATTTTTAATTGCTTAAAATTTTCCAAAGAAATTCAATTATTTTAAAAAAATTTTGTTACCAATCTACGTAAACATTTAATTATTTTAAATACAAATTCCAAAAAATTTCTCGGATGAATTAAATTTTTTCTTTACATTTAATAATATTCTTCGCAATAAGAATATTTCTTTGAAAATTTTTGATTTAATTCTTTAGGAGAATTGAAATATTTGCAATAAAATTTTAAATAAATTTCTCTAAAAAATTGAATTATTTTTAAAAAATTCCCTCAATTCAAGTATTTTTAATTGTTTTATTAATTTTTATAATTTAATTATTTTATTTTATTTTAAATAAATTTTCAAAAATAATTCAATATTATTTTTAAAAAATTTTGTTAAAATTCTACGATAAAATTTAATTATTTTCGTAGATAATAAAAATTTCACATGAATTCAATTATTTACAAATTGTTTATAAATATCTCAGCAATAATTCCTTTATTTGCATAAATAATAAAACTCTTGTCAGAATTTCAAATATTTTTAACTCAATTTTAAAATGGAATTTCTCAAAAAAATGTAATAATTATTGTTTAAAATTTTATGAAAATTCATCGAAAGAATTTCATGATTTAAAAATTTATTTGTAAAATTCTTTATGAGAATTAAATTTTGAGTTCAATTATTCAATAAATTATTTATTTTTGTATTTTTTGAAAAATTATTAAAAATAATTGAAAAATTTTAGTTATAAATTCTAAAAAATAATAATTGAATTGAATTGATGGAAATAATTTTGAAAAAGTTACAGTAAAAATATTCTTATAATATAAAATAATAATGTGTCATCTTTAATTATTATAAAACATGAAGATATCGATTGCTCCGAGTCGAAGACTCGGAGTGATCGTTATCTTTATGTTTTATAACAATATTTTTAAAGTTGATTAATTTCAAAAAGGTTTGAATTTATAAAATTTTTTTAAATCTCTAATTCCTATGGAAAATTAATAATGATTAAATATTTATTTAAAAAAGAAGTTATTGTTATTTTCGAAGTAATTTTACAATTAGAGAAATTCGTAAATAAATGTAAATAATAGAACATTTTTTTGAGTGTCTAATAATTTTTGGAGTGAATCAGAATATTCTTTAACGTATAAGAAAAAGGCAAAATTTTGTTTGGAAATCAGAGAAAAGTCAGAGAAATATAAAATTAAATTTTGAAAATATTTCTCAAAACTATAATTAAAAAATACAAAGTATATTAAAAAAAAATCTCTTTTTCAGGTGGAATAACTCTTCATCAATTTTGTGGCATAGGAATTGGTACCGCGAGTATCGAAAATTGTTGCAAAATAGCCTCAAAATCAACAGCCAGTTCACTTTGGCGTAAAACAAAGCATTTAATAATAGACGAAATTTCAATGATTGACGCAGATTATTTTGAAAAAATTGAAGCTGTCGCTCGTTATATACGTCGTAACGAAAAACCCTTTGGTGGTATTCAAATTATTTTATGTGGCGATTTCTTTCAATTGCCACCAGTTTCGAAGAGGGACGACAAGGCAAAATTTTGTTTTCAAAGTAAAAAATGGTCCGAATGCGTACAAGCGAATTTCGAGCTAAAAATTGTTCATCGACAAAAGGATTCAACGTTCGTCAATATTCTAAACAGTATCCGCATTGGACGTGTTACCGAGGAAATTACAACGAAACTAAAATCAACAACAACGCAAAAAATCGAGAGCAATGGTATTCTAGCAACAAGATTATGTACTCACATAAATGAAGCAAACGAACTCAATAATTCACAATTGGAGAAATTATCCGGCGAACAAAAAGTCTTTATCGCCGAAGATTCCGATAATATGATGACAAAGACGTTGGATCAACAATTACCGGTTCCTAGTAAACTTATCTTAAAAGTCGGCGCACAAGTGATGCTTTTGAAAAATATAAACGTTAGCGGTGGACTTGTTAATGGTGCAAGAGGTGTTGTGATAAAATTTCTCGACGACTATCCAGTTATTCAATTTCGATCCGGTGGATTGTATCATGCAAAAATGGAGACCTGGGGAATAAAAACGGCGAGTGGCGGTAGTGTTCAGCGAAAGCAGATTCCATGTAAACTCGCTTGGGCTTTTTCAATACACAAAAGTCAAGGTCTAACTCTCGATTGTGTTGAAATGAGTTTAACGAGAGTTTTCGACGCCGGTCAAGCTTACGTTGCACTATCAAGAGCACAAAGTTTAGAGACACTTCGCGTATTGAATTTCGATCCAAAGCAAGTCTGGGCAAATCCAATTGTTCTTGAATTTTACAAAAATTTCCGTCGACGGGTCCACGACATGCAAATCATTCGTTTGGGAAGAAAAGCCAATTCAGTATGCTGACTTTTAATTAATAGCATTTTTGTGTACAAGACTGAAAGAAAAAAACTGCAATCCAGTGGTAATATAATTTTTTTACCAGACAATAAATATCAAGATAATTTACTTTAATTTTGTATTTTTTTCCTTAATTAATTAATTAATTAATTAATTAATTAATTAACTATATTAATCTCCGTATTCTTTCATTCATCCTGCCCGCAGTTTTGTAGTTAATTTCTTTTTTCTTTAAAAAAAACGAAAAAAAATTTGAAAAATTTGAAAATGAAAACGAAAAAATTTGACGAATCGAAAATATGCAGGTATTTTTTCACTTATAATAAAATAATATATCAAATTAGAAAATTTAAAAAAGAATTATGATTAACAAATAAAAAATATACCCATTTTGTATGTTATATGCTTTTTTCTATAACAAATTTCGTTTGTCTGATCTAAATTATTATGCAAATTATTCTCCTTTTTATTTATAAAAAATACTAGAAAATTGAAAATTGTTAAAAAATTTTGACTAAAAAGTAGGAAATATACCCATTTTATGCATAATTTTTATTTCTCAATATCAATATTGTTTACAAATTCATTTTTTTCTTTTGGGAAGAAAAACATTAGATATTCCCGTTTCTTAATATTTTTTGTAGAAAATTCTCAATTTTCATAAGGAAATAATTTGCATCAATTCTATTTCTTAATTTCAATTATTTTAATAAAATTGCAAGTTTTTTTTAAAAATAAAGGGAAATTCTTTATTAGAATTCAATTTCAAGAAACATTCAATTATTCAATGAATTATTAATTTTTGTATTAAAATAATTTAAATTAAAAAAAAATTGTAAAAATTTAAATTATCTTTATAAATGATAAAATTCTTCTCCAAAGTTCAATTATTTTTAAAAATGTTAATAAAATTCTTGTCAAAATTTCTTCAATAGATTTTAATGTCTACTATTTTAATAAAACCTTCCAAAAGAATTCAATTATTTAAAAAAATTTTTGATAAAATTCTACGCAAGAATTCAATTATTTTGATAAATAATAAAAATTTCAAATTCAATTATTTAAAATGTTTTTATAAATTTCTTCTCAATAATTCAATTATTTTCATAAATAATAAAACCCATCGCTGAATTTCAATTATTCTTAACAATATTTTATTAAAATTCGTCGAAAGAATTCAATTATTTAAAAATTTGTTGATAAAATTCTTTATGAGAATTCAATTTTAAGAAAGATTTAATTATTCAATAAATTATTTATTTTAGTATTTACATAAACAATTGAATTATCGTAGATTTTTCTAACAAGAATTGACTTAAAAATTAATTTCATTTAAATTTTTAAATAATAATTGAATTTGGAAATCATTATCCTAGCGTGAATTTTTTTGAATTTTGAAAAGGTTTCAAATTAAAATTTTGTAGAATTAATTTTTTTCAAAAAGTTTAATTAAATTTTTTAAAAAACTTATTTGAAGTTTATAATTTCTAATATTTATTTAATTGAAGAATTTCCGAATAATCGATGAAATTTCGTAAAATTGAATTGTAAACAAATTAATGTGAAAATTCATTCTCAAAGAACATTTTCAAAAATTATTAAAAATAATAATTCTTATAAAGAATTTTATTAACAAATTTTTAAACAATTGAATTCTTTCGACGAATTTTAATAAAATTTTTTAGAATAGTTAAATTTTTCAAGGAATCCGATTAAAATTGTATTAAAAATAATTGAAATTCTGCGATGAGTTTTATTATTTCTGAAAATAATTAAATTGTTGACAAGAAACTTACAGAAAATTTGTAAATATTTTAATTTCTGTTTGTTTTTAAATAATGAAACTTTTTTTGGGTAATTTTATTAAAATAGTAGATATTGAAAATCATAGAAATGAGGGAAATTTTTGAAAATAATTGAAAGTCTGACAAGAATTTTTGTCAGAAATTGAAAAAGTTGAAGGTCTTTAAAGAAACAGAAAAACAATGTATTAATAATTAATTCAAATATATTATAATGTAAAAAATGTTACATTTTTTACAAATCTGACAATTATTAACAGGAGAAAATATACAATTTACAAAAGAAAATATTAAGAATCGGCGACACTAATTTCCACCGGTGGTATATAACGCCAAGTGTGACTATCAGTTGTGTCTGTACAAAGTGATGGTGAATTTGCCATTTGCTCACGACTACTGCATTGAATGTCGATTTTATATTGACCCGAAGTCAAAAATACAACACGACATTCATGAAATGCTCGTCCTGACTTTTTTAACTGTAAAGAAAAGATAATATTAATTAATACTACTATTCCATTTATTACTATTTTCTAAATTAGAAAATTTTATATTTTCAAATATAAACAACAATTTTTAAATAATTTCCAGATTCAAAATTTAAAGAATTCACTTATTAAGTACATAATAATTAAATATTTTTTTATTATTATTTTCAAAAATTATAATAATATTATTTGCAAGAATTCAATAATAATTGAATTCTCATAAATAATATTCTTTGAAGGAATTCAATTATTTTCAATACAATTTTAATACAATGTCACAAAAAAAATACAATTATTTTTAAAAATGTGAATAAAATTCGAATATTTGCAAGAATTTCGATAAAAATCTTTGGAGGAATTCAATTATTTTCATAAATAATAAAATTCTTCCAGCGAATTAAAATATTTCCATTTATTAATAATAAAATTCTTCCATAGAATTTATTTCTTTCTAATACAATTTTAGTATAATTCTTCACTAGAATTCAATTATTTTTAAAAGTTTTAAGAAAATTCTTTGAAAAAAATTATTTATTTTTATTAAAAAAAAAAATTCTTGGCATTAATTTAATTATTTTTAATAAAATTTTATTACAATTCCTGGAAAGAATTCAATTATTATTAAAACTTTTAAGTAAATTCTTTGATAAAATTCAATGACTTTATAAATAATTACATTTTTTGCGAGAATTCAATTATTTTTAAAAGTTTCAAGAAAATTATTCAAAGGAATTTATTTACTTTCAATTTTTTTTATAAAATTCTTAATAATTCAATTATTTTTAATAATTTTAATAAAATTCTTGCCAAGAATTAAATTATTTAATTAAATAAAATTCTTCTGAGAAATTCAATTATTTTAAAAAATTTTTATAAAATTCTTGGCAAGAATTCAATTATTTTCATAAAGAATAACATTTTTTGCGAGAATTTGTATTATTTTTAATACAATTTTATTACAATTTCTGGAAAGAATTCAATTATTTTTATAAATAATAACATTCTTCACAGGAATTCAATTATTTTTATAAATAATAAAATTCTTCTCACGAATTCAATTGTTTTTATAAATAATAAAATTCTTCGGAGAAATTAAATTATTTTTAATACAATTTTAATAAAATTCGATTATTTTCAAAAATTCCGATAATATTTTTAGAAACAATTCAATTATTTTTATAAATTATAAAATGCTTCGAAAAAATTCAATTATTTTTATAAATTGTAGTAAATTTTTTTTTGAAATATTCAATTATTCTCAAAACTTTTTGATACAATTTTTTTTATAAATTTCAATTATTTTCAATTTATTCAAAATTTTCAATTAAAATTATTTAAAAAAAACTTCAGTATTTTCAAATAAATTCTTCATAACAATTAAATTATGTAATTAAATTGGAATATTTACCGAAGGAAGTAGAAATTTATTGGAACCAGCAATAGATAGTTTTGTGTCCAGTCGATAATTATTAACTCCATTGTGATGATCCTGATAAAAATTTATCGACAGTGTGAGATCTCGTAGTGGATTGTCCAGTGCATTGCAAACACCAACACCGATACTGATGCATTCGCCCAAAACACATGTCAATTCATCTTGTGCTCGAATGATATTGTCATTTATTTTCACTTCTGTTGAAATTTAAAAATTTTAAATTGTCATAAAATGTTTCTTTCAATTATAATTAGATGTAGGTTTTAGTTTCTTTTAGTTATTAAAAAAAATGAAAAATATTTCATACCCCACTGCAGTGGACTCATTCGAACTAAATCCAACATATTTTGTGTTAGAGTAATTCCTGATAAATTTGCCTTTCCCGTCAAATCAGTGCCCAGTAAATGCCAACGCAAATCAACAAGCGAAGCTATGTGGTCAGCACAAATTTTCTTCAATTCCCCATTGTCAACGTCTTCTTTTATCTACAGGAAGAAAAAATACACTTAACGGACATTCTAATTATTTTCTTTTTCTTTTTTAATTTCAACCAAATTAAAATAAAATTATTATTAAATTATTATTATTATTAAATTATTATTTAATACCGTCGTTAATTTGTGAAGTGGACAACGATTTACAGGAACAGGAATTCTACACGATTCTCTTCCTTCCATATAAATACATTTACTCTCTGTGTAGTGTAATTCCATTTCATGATTTGTATTATTAATCACATCCAGAACAAGATAAAACTGCGATGCTCTGTAAAATGAAAATTATCGCTTAGAAAATAAAAAATTCCTCTGAAGTTAGCGTCAAAAAAAAAAAAAAAATAAAAACTTACGTTTCTGCCGGAAGAACGTCCCAATTTGTTATTTGAATGCTCGGTAAAATTTCAATGGTAATAAATACAGAAGAGACACGACAATAACCAGCAACTAATCCATCAGCTCCAGAATATTTTATTCTAAGTTGTCCCTCAATTGCATTTAGAGAATTTAAAGGAACTGCTAATTTCGAGAGTCGTGAACTAATCATCGAGGAATTCGTTGAATTGCTACTTAAACCCGAACGAAATGAAGATGTCAATTCCGATTGTCTTTTCGTGTGCTGAGATAATGAACTCAATCTCGATGGCAATGAATTCGAACCTGATTGAGTTAATAAACTATTTGGTTGACTCATGTAAGCGTTGCTGTTAATATCTGAAATCAAATTTTCGATTAAGTTTTTTTTCATTTTTATTTCAGTAATTTTTTTACATCCTATGATTATTTCATTCGTGAGATTAAATTTTTCTTTTTAGATTAAATTAAAATTCAGAGTAATATACCATTCGATGATGATGGCACCACAAATTCCATAACGGCATATAAATGTAGAGTCAAACAGGTACTTGCTCCTGGTTCCAGTGGTAATTGTTTTTTAAGTTCCTCCTCGTTCCAGTGAAAAACTTTCGATTCCGTTTGTGTGTCCAAGGACGATTGAATCGAAATTTCAAACATTTCTATTGGAACTTGTCCGACATTTGTTATTGTAATTGTACATTCAGAGCTGAAAATTATTTTTTAAGAATAATAGTAATATATTCAACAAATTATAAGAATATTATTACAAAACATAAAGAAATCGATCACTCCGAGTCTTCGACTCGGAAAAAAATTTGATTTTTGAATTTTATTAACATTTTATTAAAAATAATTGAATTCTTTCCAGGAATTGTAATAAAATTGTATTAAAAGTAATTGAATTCTATTGAAAAATTTGATTATTTATGAAAATAATTGAATTTCTGCCAAAAATTTTATCAAAAAATGTGAAAATAATTAAATTCCTTTGAAAATTTTTCTTAAAACTTTTCTGATTAATTGAATTCTTTCCAGAAATTGTAATAAAATTGTATTAAAATTAATTGAATTCCTGACAAAAATTTTTCCAAACAATTCTTTTAAGAATAATTGAATTCTTTTCAGAAATTGTAACAAAATTGTATTAAAAATAATTCAAATGATCGCAAAAAATATTATTCTTTATGAAAATAATTGAATTATTTCTAAGAATTTTATCAAAAAATTTAAAAGTAATTAAATTCCTTTCAATAATTTTCTTAAAATTTTTAAGAATAATTGAATTCTTTCCAGAAATTGTAATAAAATTATATTAAAAATAATATAAAATTCTCGCAAAAAATGTTATTCTTTATAAAAATAATTGAATTCTTGCCAAGAATTTAATAAAAAAAATTTGAAAATAATTGAATTTCTCAGAAGAATTTTATTAAAATTATTAAAAATAATTGAATTATTGTCAAGAATTTTATCGTAGAAATGTGAAAATAATTAAATTCCATCGAATAATTTTCTTAAAATTTTTTTAAATAATTGAATTCTTCCCAAGAATTGTAATAAAATTTTATTAAAAATAATTAAATTCTCGCAAAAAATTTTATTCTTTATGAAAATAATTGAATTCTTGATAAGAATTTTATCAAAAAATTTGAAAATAATTAAATTCCTGTGAAATTTTTATTATATATGAAAATAATTTGCTTAAAGTTAATTAATTAATTTGCGTAGAATATCATCAAACATTTTTTCCAAACAATTGAATTCCTAAGAAATTTGTATTATTTATGAGAATAATTAAATGTTTGCGTAGAATTTTATTAACATTTTTTTAAATAATTGAATTCTTTTGGAAATTTTTTGAAAATAATTGAAATTTGGTCAAGAATTTGATTACAATTATTGAAAATAATTTAATTTCGGAGAAGAATTTTATTATTTATGAAGATAATTGAAATTTTGACGAGAATTTAAAAAAAATTTTACATGTAATTGAATTTCTGCAATAATTTGTAACTTCTCCAAAATACAATTTTTGTAGTGTTTTTAACTAAAATTCTTCTACAAATCCATTATTTTTAATAACTAATTAAAAACATTTTAAAAAATTTAACTTATTTCAGAAAAATTTGAATTATTAGAATTTTTCAAAAAACTATGTTCTTTCTATTTAAATTCATTGAAAATTGAAATTTTATCAAATTTGAAATTGAAACCTCTTGAAGTTTTTTTCTTTTGTTTATTTTGAGTTTTTTATTCATGAGAACTAAACGCAACACTTTTAAAATTCAATTAATTTTGAAATTAAGTAAAATTATTAATTTAATAATTTCCAAGTAATACCTTTCACCGCCATAGAGGGAAATACTCGCACTGGTGACAATATTTTCCCCCGAACTGAAACTTGCCGTTTGAGGTAAACTTGTTGATAAATCAATTTTTGGCAATGCGGGTACAACTTCAATGGAATACTGCGGATGTGGCATTCCTTCCATATAACGCAATTTACAATTTGACTTAACACCCAAAGTGTGTGTACTGAAGCCGAGAATTTCCAAATCTCCAACTTCCTTTGGTTTCCCAGCTAAAATCACAGCAATCGGACCCGATTCGGCAGGCAGTGTTATACTCTCCGGAATTGATTCGAAAACAACTCCACTTGTTAGTAGTCTCATATTTGAGACGTGAAGTTCAAACGGCAGGGGATTTATGAGTTGCATTGTTGCCTCGCAAATATCGCCCTCCACCCAAAGATAATCTTTCCAAAAAAGGAGAAATTCGAAATAATTTAAGACCGTTTTAATTGTTTTAAATGTCAATTTGTTTTACTCACCAACTTTGCTTTTTGATGTTGCTTTTCTCTCTAACGAGCCAAAATTAATCGGTGTAAATAAGAATGGACCGTGATCCTCTTTTACTCTTTCAATTTTTTGTGGCTGCAAATGTGGTTGTAGATTTTTCAAAGCAAACGATTTTGTTTTTGGAATGTTCGTTAAATTCGCTGGCGGAATTACGGTGCCGGAATCGAGTACAAGCGGAACTGGTGCACCTTCACATTGTTGTGAAACGGCTTGTAATTGAAGTGCCGTCTCTTTTCGTTCGTTTTGACCCAAATGATTGTACATTGTCTGAAGTAAAAATGTCAAATGTCTCGTTGACAGTGCTGGATTTCCCATACGATTTGCAGCGGCAACCAATTCATTTATCACTTGAATTTGTATCGCCGGCCATCCTCTCTGTCCATCTGGGGGAGAAATTATCTTTGTGAAAAATTAAAGTGAAAAAATTGTCTGCTATAATTTAGTTCCTTTGTTCTATTCACCATAAGGCATGTCCAGTGGATCGAGGGATAATTTAAAACCACCGGTGGCTTGCAACAAAAGTTTATAGCATTGCTGCCAATCTGGATTTCGATTATGTTGCGAAACGTAACGAGTTGCTGCTAATCTTGTACAAAATGAGGCTTTTCTTATAAATCCAAAGGAAGTGAAAAGATCCGCCAAAGTAGTGAATCGTTCAATCTGAAAAATTAAATTATTTTTTGTCACTTTATTACAGGCTACGCACTCATTTACAAAAACTTACTATTTACTACTTTTTTTTACGTTATGCTACTAATTGTGTACTTTTTTTTAAGACAGCTACTAAACGCTATTATTTCTGTTTTTTTTTGAGAATTTTTACTGCTTTAAATTCGCTAATACTGAAAATCAAAAAACTATTCTCAAAAATTATAATCAAATTCTTTAAAACGATTCAATTATTTTCGAAAAATATTGGAAATTCAATTATCTTCAATCTCTACAATATTTTCATAAAATTTCGTAAAAGAATACAAGTATTTAACAAAAAAATTGATAAAATTCATCCAAAATTCAATTATTTTCGGAAATAATAAAATTTCCACAGAAATTCAATTAATGTAGAATAACATTTTCAAAAAAATGAATTATTTAACAAAAATTTCTATACAATTCTTCTCAATAATTCAAATATTTTCAGTAATAATAACTTTTTTCAAGGAAATTCAATTTTTAAAAAAAATTTTTGCCAAAATTCTAAGCAAGAATTCAATTATTTTCATAAATAATTCTTCCAAACAATTCAATTATGTCGAAAATTATAAAATTATTCCCACAAATTTAATTATTTTTATGCATTTTAATAAAATTCTTTGAAAAATTTAATTATTCTAATAAATAACAATATTTATCACAAGAATTCAATTATTTTTAAAAGTAATAAATTTCTTTTTGGAAAATCAATTATTTCAAAAAATTATAATAAAATCGTTCGCAAGAATTCAATTATTTTCATAAATACGAAAATTCTTCTCAGGAATTCAATTATTTTCGAAAATTTTATTCAATTATTTTTAGGAATTTTAATAAAAATCTTTGCAAAATTCAATTATTTTCATAAATACGAAAATTCTTCTGAGGAATTCATTTCTTTTTGAAAATTTTATTAAAATTGTTCGAATGTAATCAATTATTTTAAATAAAATTTAATTAAATTTTTTTAAAGTAATTCAATTATTCGTTTAAATTTAAACAAACTTCTTCCCCAAGAATTCAATTATTTACATAAACAATTCTTCAAAAGAATTTAATTTTGTTGAAAAATAACAAAATTATTCACGAAAATTTAATTATTTTGAGGCATTTTAATAAAATTCTTTTGAAAATTCAATTATTCTCATAAATAACAATATTCATCACAAGAATTCAATTGTTTTCAAAAATAACAGAATTTTTCACAGAAATTCAATTCGTTTAAAATATTTTAATAAAATTTTTAGCGCAATAATTTAATTATTTTTATAAATAATAAAATTCATCACAGAATTTAAATTATTTTTAATACAATTTTACAGAAATTGCTCAAAAAATGTAATTATTCTTAAAAATTTAATTTCCATTCTTCGAAAAAATTAATTACTTAAAAAAATGTTTTTAAAAATTCTTTAAAAGAATTTAATTATTTTCAAATATTTTTAAAAAACTGTTCGAAAGAAATCAATTGTCTTAAATACATTTTTAAATAATTTTTTCTAATCAATTTAATTAATTTTCAAATCTTTTGATAAAATTCTTGTCAAGAATTCAATTATTTACATAAATAATAAAAAAATTTTTCCGAGAATTCAATTATTTTCAATCCAATTTTAATAAAATTTCTGGAAAGAATTCAATCATTTTTATAAACAATAAAATTCTTCGAAGGAATTTAATTATTTTCTAATTTTTTGAAAAAATTCTTTTTAGAAATTCAATTATTTTCATAAATAACAATATTCATCACAAGAATTCAATTACTTTCAAAAGTTATAATTTTCTTCTTGGAAAAAATTAAAAAAAAATTATAATAAAATCGTTCGCAAGAATTTAATTATTTTCATAAATAATAAAATGCTTTTTAGGAATTCAATTATTTTTAAAAAAAATTGAATAAAATACCATACAGACATCCAATAATTATTGTCAAAAATTTTAATCGAATTCTTTCTAAAATTTAATTATTTTTAAAAAAATTTGTAATTCAATGATTTTTAATATTTACTATTTTCATAAAATTTCCAAACAGAATTCAATTATTTAAAATATTTTTTTGTAAAAATCTTCGTATGAATTCAATTCTTTTCATGAATAATACAAATTTCTCAGGAATTCAATTATTTAAATTAGAATTTGCATAATATTAGTCGAAAGAAATGAATTATTTAATAATTTTTATAAAATTCTTCGGGAGAATTAAATTATTTTTATAAATATTTAAATTCTTTTATGAATAATAAAATTCGTTGCAGGAATTTTTGTTCGTCCGGTTTAATTTTTCGATAGCTACTTTTTTACTACATTTTTTAGTTTAAAAGCTACTGTTTGCTACTTTTTCATGAATAATAAAGAATTTTTGTTCGTCAGGTTTAATTTTTCGATAGCTACTTTTTTACTACATTTTTTAGTTTAAAAGCTACTTTTTGCTACTTTTTTAAAATTAATTATCGAGTGCAAAATCTGTAATTATAATTATAATTATAATTATAAGTTAAAACACTAAAAATAATTATTTTTAGTGTTTTAGCTTAAAATTCTCACCTTTTCTCGTTCGGTCATTTTCAAGTTAATAAAGACAACATTGTTTAAAAATGAAGCAGCTTGAAGTGAACAATTTTGTTCAATTGATATTCGTGTTGCTTTGAAGCTCGCTTCGGTTTCGATTATTCCTGCATTTTGATATTTACTGTAGTGCACAATCGCCTCACGGTACTTTTTCGAAATATCCTCTGGCGATAAAATATTCGGCATACTGCTTTTTAATATCTCAATACTCGGTGGCGATGGTAATACATTAAAAGCCTGCGATCCTCGTCTGGAAAAAGAATTAAAAATAATAACTACCATCAATTTAATTATTTATTTGTTTTCTAATTTATTTCCTCACCTTTGTTTTCCCGGACTTCCTTCTTGGAGAGACGAATTTCTTTGTAGAGGCAAATTACGACACATGTTCGGATACAAAATAAGTGCCGAAGCAGCACACAAACCCTCGTAAGCAGCTCCGAGCCATAACCAATCGTTAACCGCTTGTAATGTGACAGCAGCCGAATTATAATGACTCAAAGCATCGGCTAATAAACCAGCCTGAAGGCAAAGATCACCCAAATGTTTTGTCATTCGACCAACACATCTTTTTTTATTATTCCTTGATTCCATATCCAAACCAATGAAATCTTTCTTCTCAAAAGGCGCAGCAAGCATTGGTACACGATCTAATTTCTCTCGTGAACGATCAACTCGTTTCGATTCTAAGATAATGAATAAATTTTTGAAACACTCCGACATTTGAACTTCTAAATCTGGACATGTGTCGTCTGGATAAAAATTTGCTATTGTTTTGAAATTCGAGGGTGTTGTAAAGTCAGGTGGCGGTTCATTGACACGATTAGAAGCGACAGGTCCCAAAAAAACGGCTGTCGAATCATAAAGTGTCTCATTGTATTTAACTTTTAGTGTTTCGTGCAATCGACAAAGTTCATTGAGTTCAATTTGATTTTCATATTTTCCAAATGTTATTAAACCAAGAAGTCGTCGATGTGTTTGAAAATCACCCCATTCAATATTCTCCACTGGATGATCCTTAACAAAACGAATTAAAATCTCTCGATTTCCTATTTTTTGATCCTCTATGGAAAATCGACTTCCTGCTTTAACAATACGTTCCCATAATTTGCCGATTGTTTTCTGTTTTATTTGTGTGCCAATTGGTTTCAAGAGAATTAATAATGCTGCATGATCGTGAGCTGTTTGCTCATAGTCGGGATATGACATTTTTATGTCGGGCACTGGACTCGACAATAGAACACTAACCGCTGCTCGCATTTATAATCATGTAACCAACATTTGGAAATATCTATCGATCACTTTTCTTTAATTAAGTTAATTAATTTATATCACTTTTTATCAATCCACTGTTCACTCTTTTATTTAAAATAAGCTAAATCTGTTTAGTTTTTTACCAAGAAAAAAAAACAAACAAACACGATTGACAGCTGACTGATTCCGCCATTTTTAAATGTCTGACGTTTCAATCTTCTGATTGGTCGCTGATCAGGGTTGCCACGGTTGCCACAAAAATTTAATTTTGTTATGAAAAAAATGTTATTATACGTTAATAAAATATAGAATGTTAAAAAATCATTATTTGTGAAAATATTTTGACTCAAAATAAATGTTTTCTTAATAGGTATTTTATAAATAAATCTTTCAAGGTATGATAACATTAATTCTCATTATATTTTTTATTGTTGTAAAAACTGTAAAAAAAATTTCGATAATATTTTAATTTTGAGGTTATGTATGGTGTCAACAACTCAAGAATATTTTATTATTTTTTTATATTTATTTATTTTTTATTATAAAACTGCTTAATAATAAAATATTATTATTAGTGAAAGTATTTGAATTATTGAGAAAATTGTATAAAATTTTCGTTAAATAATTCATTTTTTCGAATTTTTTTTTAAAATTCTATTCTAAATTAATTTGAATATTTTTTAAAATAATTGAATGTTTTCGTAGAATTTTGTCAAAAAGTTTCTTCAATAATTAAATCTGTTGATAAATTTTATGAAAATAGTAAATATTGAAAATTATCGAATTGCGAAAAACTTTTGAAAGTAATTTTACTTTTGCAAAGATTTTATTTAAATTTTTGAAAATAATTGAATTTTTAAAGAAAAATTTTGCTATTTGTAAAGAATTAGAGATAATTGAATTTTTGACGAGATATTCGTGAAAATTTTTAAAAATAATTGAATTTCTTCCAAGAATTTTATTACTTTTAAAAATAATTGAATTCCCAAGAAGAATTTTATTGCTTATAAAAATAATTGAATTTTGTAAAGAATTTTATTAAAATTCCTAAAAATTATTGTATTTCTGTGAAGGATTTTGTTATGTATCAAGATAATTGAGTTAAAGCTTTTGTAATAATGAAATAATATTAAAAAATTAATTCTTGTCAGAAATAGAAAGTTGGAATTGGTGGGAATTTTCGAAAAAAGTTAAACAGAAATGACAAATAAAATTTTTATTTAACATATCTTTCGATACAAAGGATAAAATAAAAAAAAAGATACTATTGTCGATATAAATTTGTATATATATCACATAAGAACTACCATGTGAATTATATTTTCTTTGTTTCTAACATTTTTTATAATCTTCTCATACATACACAAATACATACAATTTTATTTTTTTTCCCCTATAAAAAATTGTGGCACGTTTAGCAGAAACATTTTTTTTTTACTGCAGTTCGAGGCTATATCTATACCGAATATAATATAATGATTTTACGATTCTGAAAAATATTGACATCGTAGTTTATAATAAATGTAACAATAATATTCTCATACACTTTCAGACTCGGTGTGATAATATAAAAAAAAACAAAAAATCATTTCTTAACCAAAAAAATTAACTTCAAAAAATATAATTGTAAATATTTATAACAAAAATTTTATACGCTTTAAACTATACACCTCGAATTAATTTTTTTATTTTGAAAACTAGAACCTTAAATTGGCACTTGGAATATTTAAATTCAACTGCAAACTATTCGTGAATTTTTCTTTACCTCTAAATATATATTTATATTTTCATATATATAATCAATTCTGATAGACAAAAATCATCTCTTAAATATCTGTAGAGGAAATATTTCACTGGGATTAAACTTAGTTATAATACTGAAATAAAGTCTATTAGCAATTAATGAATTAATTGAAAGTGGAAGGCCTTTTTGGTTTTGATTTTATTTCAAAAAACTTGATTTGAAGAATAAAAAAAAGCGCACTAAATTTGAAATTTGACAAAATTTCAATTTTGGAAGTAGCTTTAACTTTATTTCAATATAGTGTGTGACAATAAGTTTTTTTTTCTTGAGCATCTTCTTTAGAGATTCAGCTCTAGTATAGTAAATACGTAAATAGGTTTAAAGAGCAAGATTCTTATTCTTATTCTTATCCCTATAGGCTACCAATTTTCTAATATTTAGTCCACATTCAATGTTTTTTTTTAAATAGTTAATATGCATTATTCTGCCGAATTGTAAAAAGAAGCCTTTTTTATTATACGTATCACTAAAACTAATTATTTTCTCTCTGTGTGTGAGTGTGAAATTTCGCAAACTTGTGCAAAAAACGACAAACTATTTTTTTTTTCGTTTTTATAATGCCTTCATCGTGCTTTGAAGTCATTTTCTTTTGGCAAGATTTTTTTTTCTTTTTAATAATTACTGTGGAAAAATGACTAAAAAATGATATTTTCTTAGACTATAAATATGCTTACCTTGAATAATAAATATTTTAGAAAAAGAATTGGAAGTAATTTTGTCATTCCTTTATCAGTCATTGTTTGTAAAAATTAAGTTTCGTGCTTTATCAAATTTGTTCGTCGTTTAAAGCATTGGATCTGAGTGGTCCATTATGTTTCTCAGGAGACTGCCAGACATTCTGAAATCAGAAAATTGTCAAAATTGTCCTAATTTTTCTATTTTTTTTTTTTTTTTTTTTTGATAAAAATAATTTCCTTACTTTTTAATCATGTGATCGTAGATAAAGGAAGGAATTACTGTCACTGTTATGATGTCACCAGCACTTTCTATTTCAATCGTTATATCCTTATCCTTTAAACCAATCACGTTCTGCAATAAGAGAAAAAAAGGATAAATTCAAAAATTAAATTTTTTCCCACTTGAAAAAATTTTGTCACTAAACAAAATAGATTTCTTTTTTTTCTGTTTCTTACTTTGCCATTAATCTCGAGAATTTGATGATCAGTGAGGAGTCCATTTCGAGAGGCCGATGAATCCTTAACTAATGCAGTGACTTTTCCGTTTTTAAATTGAAAGCCAATATGTCCAGTGCTGTCTTTGTGCATTGTGACTGTTCTCTCAAATGGTCTGTAAATAAATTCATTATTTCATGAAAAAAACAAATTTTTTAGTTAAATAAAACTAATTTTGTAAAAATTATATGTTCCCAAGAATTTTTTGCTTTTTAGGCACTTTTTCTTGGATACAAATTTTACCTGTCTCTCACGACAACTTTTATTCCATTCACCGGTGAATTACGAAAGATTTTATGAACTTGATCCATAGAATATCCAGCTACCGATACACCATTAATATCCAAAATTTGATCACCGAATCTTAAACCAACCAATGCAGCGGGAGATCCTTTTGTCACTAAACAAATAAAAACACCATTGTTCACCGAGTGAACTCGAATTCCAATTTTTCCGTTCTGATCCTTACAAAGTGTCAACTAAAATAGAAATAAAATTTGGTATATTAAATATTAAAGTATCAAATAATACAGGGTTGCCACAAAAAATTAATTTTGTTTTTCCCTTACTTTTCCCTGAATTCCAGACAAAATTTTGACTTTTTCCTTGACCCTGAAGAATATTTTGATTCACTCTAAAAATGATAACATACTCAAAAAAAAAACTGTTCTAATACTTTTATTTGCAAATTTCTCTAAAAGTAAAATTATTCGAAAACATAAATAACTTCTTTTTAAAAAAAAAAAAATTATTCATTATTATTTCTTCTATTAGGAATTAAAATTTTCAAAAAATTCAAAACTTTTTAAAATTCAATAATTTAAAAAAATTATCTGAAATTTTAACTGAAATTAATTTTTAAATTAATTTTTATTAGAAACTTCTACGAGAATTCAATTATTAAAATTCAAAAATAGATCCTGCAATAAGGCTTATTATTTATGAAAATAATTAAATTCGGAACGTAGAATTTTATAAACATTTTTTTAATTCTTTGAAATATTTTAATAATTGAATTCCTGTGAAAATTTTATTATTTATGAAAACAATTGAATTTCTGAGAAGAATTTTTGCAAAAAATTTGAAAAAATTCCGTCGAAGAATTTTACTATTTATGAAATAATTGAATTCTTTACAAGAATTGTAATAAAATTGTATAGAAAATAATTGAATTCCTACAAAGAATGTAAGAATGAGAAAAACTTGTAGAATGAGAAAAATTAAATTCTTGTCAAGAATTTTAATTAAATATAGAAAATTGAATTCCTTTGAAGAATATTTTTTTAAACTATCAAAAATAATTGAATTTTTTTCAGAAATTTAATTAAGATTGTATTGAAAATGATTGAATTCTTTCGAAAAATTTTATTAAAATATTTGAAAATAATTGAATTCTCACGAAAAATTTTATTATTTATATGACAATAATTGAATTTCTGAGAAGAATTTTGTCAAAAAATTTGAATTTAATTATATTCCTTATAAAATGATATGAAAATTAAATAAATTCCTTCGAAGAATTCTATTAACATTTTTAAAAATAATTGAATTCTTTTCAGGAATTGTATAATAAAATTGTAAGGAAAATAGTTGAATTCTCACGAAAAATTTTATAATAAATTTTATAATAAATTCCTTCCAAGAATTTTATTAAAATTTTTAAAAATAATTGAATTCTTTCCAGAAATTTAATTAAAATTGTATTGAAAATAATTAATTTCTCGGGAAAAATATTATTTTATAAAAATAATTGAATTCTTGCCAAGAATTTTATGAAAAGATTTGAAAATGAATGAAATTCCTTTGAAGAATTTTATTAAAATTGTTAAAAATAATTTAATTCATTATAGGAATTTTAATAAAATTGTACGGAAAATAATTGAATTCTTTTCTGAAATTTTATAAAAATTGCATTGAATATAATTGAAATTCTAAGAATTATATTATTTCTAAAGATAATTGAGAATTTTCTTATGAATTCTAAAAACTAAATTTTTTCCAGTACTTTTATTAAAAATTCCTGACTTTTTCCTGATCAATTCTACTTTCCCTGACTTGTGGTAACCCTGAATAATTTAAAGAGTTCTTTAATTAAATTACTTCTCTGATTCCATTGGTGACAATTGCTTTTTGTAGTGAAAGTGATTGACTCGAAACTGGAGCAGTCAATCCGGCAAGAGGACCACTTTGAGCAGGAATAGCCATTTCAAACTAAAATTGTGAATAAAAATATGAAAAATGCAGATTTCAAATAATTTTAGATTTATAATAAATTTTCTAAATAGAATTCTAACTAATAAATGTAATAATTCACAAATAATTCTAACTAGTAAATAAAATTCATTTTTTTTTAAATTGACTCACACTTTCACGATTGATGATAGCATATTCCGGTAAACTTTGAGCAATCGCATCTTCATTTATTTCCAGTCCCATATATTCACCCAATAATGGATAAAGTGCACCAGGACCACCAACTTGAGAGGGTGATAATAATGGTGGAGCCGAAGGAGCAGCAGGTTGAGCTATTGAATTAGGTGAAATTGATGGATATTGAGTTTCAGCTTGTAATTGAGCCTGTAACAAGTTAAGAGGAAAATTAATAAAACTACGATAATTAAATGAAAAATTTTACACAATTTTTCTGTCACTTACCTTCATAAGCTGATCAACCTTCATATCTTCCAAGGATGGATAAAGTGCCATTTTTAAATTCCTTTGAAAAAAAGTCAAAATTAGAAGAAAATCGAATTTTTACTAGAAAGTGAATCATAAGTATAGGTAAATGTTTAAAATAATTATACTTTTATCTACTTAATTATATACTGCGTGCTAATTTAGAAAACAACAATTTAGACCAAAGTATTTAATAGAAAATATTTTCTTCTTTAACTATTTTTTTTGGTTAGTGGAAATGTGAATATTTCCTTCTACAGATACTCGTAGATAAGAAAATATAATTCTCAATTCATCTAAAGATACTCTTTTATCATAATGACGTCTATGGCTCATGTGCTTGGATTATTTCAAATTGATTATCACGCATACATTTCCTTTGTACAGATAGAATATTTCACAGACAGCTATTATAATTGTATAGAAATACAATTTTAATTAAACTAATTTATTTTCTAATAATTTAAACTCATAATTATTATAATTATAAGTATAATATAATAACCATTAGTGTAATTTAATAACCATTGTCAATGGTTATTGTAATGTAATATAATTATTAGAAATATTACTACACTTTAGAAAAATAAACACAACAAATAGAAAAAAGACACTCACCGAATTGACAACCTTTTTACGCTATTGACAGGTTATTAATGTAGAAAGTTTCTTGACCTGGAGTACTTTCGTGAATGTATGATTCACTTGAAACCGAGAGCAACTTGATGCAATTGGAATTGATGATGACAAATATATGTAACCTTTGGAAATCCCAATAAACAACAAAAACGTCAAACACAGAGAGCACCCAAGCACGATGCGCAAATGTGTATGTGTCTTCTATTCTCTTGTCATACAATTAAATAATTTATTCCCAATTTTCTTGGAATGCTAATAAATTTGTTCACTTTTCGCACACTGGAATTTTTTCAAATAACTTGAATAGTCGAAAAATGGCAATTTTTTTTAAAAATTAAATTGAATTTTTCTATTTTGACATTTTATGCATTTTATACAATTTATAATAATTTATAATTGAACTAGATGGCGCTGCGATGTGTCCGCCATTTTGAATTTACTTGGAAAAATATGAAATTTCCAAAAATGTTTAAAATCGATTGAAAGAAAGTTCTCAATTTAGAAAATAAAGAAATATCCTATTAAGAAAGAAGAAAATTAACAATGCAGGGTATTATTTTATCAAGTAGAATTTCTAATAAATTATCATAATTGCAGAAATGTTAATCAAATTGAAAATTTTTAAACATCCCGCGCGAAATATGAGAAATTTCCCCTAGAATTTTTTTGAAAAGTTCCCCTGGTTCGCCTGGAAATTTCCAAAAATCATAAATTCCCTTGGCAATGATTTTTGATAAGGTTATGTTACATAATATGTGCAAATTGCAATATCAGATTTCAAATAATTTTCTATAGAAAAATCTGATATTCAGAATAAATAATTACAATCTTGCTCTCTTAAATCGTGACTTAAAAACTTTGTCAATCGAATTTATGGTTGATATTCCCCTTTGTTGATTTTGAGTATATTTTACAAAATTTCGATCAATATTGCACGCACTGCAGCAGGCACAATTGGAGGTCACGCCTGTAGGCCACAGTTTAGTCTGCTTCGATCGTTCATAGTGGTCTGTCACGCATTTAGGTGAGTCGAATTTTTTATTAGAAAATTTACATATGAAATAATAATTTAAAGAATTTCAAATATTATTTATAAAAGCCTATTAAATATTATTTATTCTTCTGTTTAATGCTGATTAATTTAACAATGTCAATGTCAAATTATTTTTTGCTCAAAACTTGAAAAATGTCGGCATCAAATGGAAAGATTTTTATTCTTTTTCGTTTCTCTAATATGATAATTAATATTTTTAAGATAATGAATATATTTGTTGGATTTTTTCATTCTTTGGGAATACGGTCAAGGAAATGTTTGCAATTACTTTTTTTTGAAGGGCGTCAATTAGTTGGAGATACTTTAACCTTGACAAGGTCACGTGTAACATTATTTTTGAATTCGTATCAGAAGTTTCCCTGCCGAAGAAATAAATCGATATGAGATAAAAATAATTTTTTTCTTTGTTATTTAATATCTATTTAATAGAATTATATAATTTTTTCGCTATTGAATATTCGAAAAGTGACGCAACTTTTTTTTTGTATTCTTAGTATTATTATAACTATTATTATTAGTATAATAATAATAATAATAATAATTTCTACTATTATCATTATTGTTACTACTATTATTATTATTATTATTATTAAATTTTGATACTGAAGGGAAATAATTTTTATTACAGAAATTCGAACTTGAAATACAGCACAAGCATCATGCCGATCCAAAGTATTAAAGCTCGTCAAATTTATGACTCTCGTGGAAATCCCACTGTTGAGGTAAGTTTTGAATTTCAATTGATAATTTTATCTCGAAATATTATATAGAAAAATTGAAATACATATAATGATAATTATTTACTTATGTGGTCTTTCCAGAAAGAATGAACAAAATATTCGCAAAATTGAGAAAAATCAATTATTTTTAGAAATTTTCATAAAAATCTTTGCAAAATTCAATTATTTTCATAAATAACAATATTCATCACAAGAATTCAATTATTTTCAAAAGTATGTAATAAAATTCTTCGAAGAAATTCAATTATTTTTAAAAATTTTAACGAATATCTCGTCAAGAATTCAATTATCTTTATAAATAGCAAAATTTTTCGTCAAAAATTCAATTATTTTGAAAAATTTAAATAAAATTCTTTGCAAAATTTTAATTAGTTTCAATAGTTATTCGCAATTCAATAATTTTCAATATTTACTATTTTCATAAAACTTATTACAAAAATTTAATTATTGAAAAAAATTTTTAATGTACAATTCTACGAAAATATTTAATTATTTTAATAAATAATATAGTAATGGAAAAGAATTCAATTATCTTGATAAACAACAAAATTCTTCTCAAAAAATCAATTTTTTTAAGGAATTTTAATAAAATTCTTTTCCAAAATTCAATTATTTTGATAAATAACAAAATTCATCACGAGAATTCAATTCTTTTGAAAAGTAATAAAATACTTTGCAGAAATTAAATTATTATCAAAATTTTTGAAAAATTCTAAGAATCAAGTTATTTTTATAAATATATAAAATATATAAAATTCTTTAAAAGTCTTCAATTATTTTTAAAAATTTGTAATAAAATTCTTTAATTCAATTAATTTCTGTAAAATTTTAATTAAATTCCTTGAAAGAAATTAATTATTTTGAAAAGTTGTTAATAAAATTCTTCATAAAAATTCAATTTTAAGAAACATTCAAACAATAAATTACTTATTTTTGTATTTAAATAATTGAATTCAATTGAATTCAATTGAATTCAATTTAATTATTTTTAAAACTAATAAAATTCTTCACAGAAATTCAATTACGTTCAAAAATTTTTAAAAAATTCTCTTCAAAATTTCAATTATCTTTGGAAATATTACAATTCTTTTCCGAAATTCAATTATTTTCAAAAATTTTAATACAAATTCTTGGCAAAATTTCAATTATTTTCATAAATATTTCCTCAATTAAATGATTTTCAATATTTGTTATTTTAATGAAATTCTTCAAATAAATTTAATTAATTTTCAAATTTTTTTGATAAATTTCTTCGCAATAATTCAATTATTTTCATAAATAATAAAACTTTTACAGAAGTTCAATTATTTTCGTAAATACTAAAATTCTTTATAGGAAAATTAATTTCATTTAAAATTTTAGATTATAATTGAATATTAAAAGCATTATAGCATCAATGTTTTTTTAAATAGTAAAATCTTTACAAAAATTCAATTATTTTAAAATCAATGTTAATTAAATTCCTCGGAAGAATTCATTTTTTAAAAATTTTAACACATTTCGAAAAAATTCAATTTTTTTTTTAAATTTTAATAAATCCTTCGAAAAAATTCAATTATTTTTATAAATAGTAAAATTCATCCCAAGAATTCAATTATTTGTTAATAAAATTTTTCATAAAAATTCAATTTTAAAAAACATTTAAACAATAAATTATTTAGTTTTGTATTTAAATAATTGAATTCTCATAGAATTTTCTAATAAAAATTTATTTCAAAATGAATTTCGGTAAAAATTTTGAATAATAATTTTAATATTAAATTCATTAAAGAATTAATTTTTAGAAATAATTGATTTTTGAAAAGGTTTCAAATTAAAATCTTTGGAATTATAAATTTTTCGTACTTTTAACTAATAATTAATTTAAAGAAAAATTGTAGTTAAAAATTTTAGAAAATATTAATTAAATTGAAATAATGAAAATAATTTCGAAGAAGTTAGAGTAACAATATATTTTTATATATATAAAATAATAATTTTATCACTGGGTAATCTTTAATATTTAATTATTATAAAAACATGACTTCTTCATATTTTATAATAATATTCTTATTATTGAATTTCAAAAAGATTTAAATTTGATATTTTTGAAAATCTTAGTTCCCAAGGAAAAATATTAATCAGGAATATTCTTTAGGGTCAGGGAAAATGTTAAAAATTCTCTCTGGAAATCAGGGAAAAACAAAATTAAATTTTTGTGGCAACTCTGAAAATCGCATATAAATAAACCCAATTAATAATCAATTTTCAATATTTGAAAAAACTATAATTTTTCCAGGTTGATCTTGTGACGGAACAAGGATTGTTCAGAGCCGCTGTTCCTTCTGGTGCTTCCACTGGTGTTCATGAGGCACTCGAACTTCGTGATAATGACAAATCTAAATATCACGGAAAATCTGTATTCAAGGCTGTTGATAATATCAACAGTATTATCACTCCAGAATTATTAAAGGTATAATTTTATTTTATTTAATTTTATTTTACAAATTATAAAATTTTATAAGTAAAAAACAATTTCCAATAAGAAAATTTAATCTTTTTGTTTTTTTTTTTGTCGTCTGTAGGCTAATATTGACGTCACTCAACAAACTGAAATTGACAATTTACTTTTGAAAATCGATGGCACTCCAAATAAAGCAAAATTAGGTGCCAATGCAATTTTGGGTGTTTCTCTAGCCGTTTGTAAAGCTGGAGCAGCTAAGAAAGGAGTTCCACTATACAAGTAATGATGATTTTTTTCTTCGATTTATTTAATTTAGTTTTATTGGCAAAGTAGGTCAATGTAGTTTTATTGTCAATTTATTGTTTATTCAGAGATTGGAAATATAATTTTCTTTTTGAATTGACAGATATATTGCTGAATTGGCTGGAAATAGTGAAATTATTCTTCCAACACCGGCTTTCAATGTCATCAATGGCGGTTCTCATGCAGGAAATAAACTCGCCATGCAGGAGTTCATGATTCTCCCTACTGGCGCAGCTAACTTCACCGAAGCAATGAAAATGGGAAGTGAAGTTTACCATCACTTGAAGGCTGGAATCAAGAAGAAGTTTGGTCTTGACGCCACCGCTGTTGGTGATGAGGGTGGTTTCGCTCCCAACATTTTGGAAAATAAGGAAGCTCTTCTTCTAATTACAGATGCCATTAAGGTTCTTTTCTAGTTTCTATTTTTATTATTATATTATTAATCTCTTAGCAAATGATTTGCGCGCGAAACGCGGTATTCCATTTATTATTATTCAGTAAATTAAAAAAAATTTTATATTTTCCAGAATAAAAGTCAATTTTTGAATGATTACAAATTAAAAAATTATAAAATTCACTTATTAAGTACATAATATTAAATATTCTTTTCTATTTTCATAAATAATAAAATTCTTTAGAGCAATAAAATTATTATTCAATACAATTTTAATAAAATTTGTCGAAAGAATACAATTATTTTTAAAAATATTAATTAAATTCAATTATTTTAAAGAATTTTAATATAAATTCAACTATTTTCAACCATTTTTTATGGGATTCTTTTTAAAAAATCATTATTTTCAAAATTTTTGATAAAATTACTCCAAAAAATTCAATTATTTTCAAAAATTGAAATAAAATTCTTTGAAACAATTCAATTATTTTTTGAATTGTAAAATTTCTTCACAAGAATTCTATTATTTTTATAAATAAGAAAATTCTTCGCAAGAGTAAAAAAAATATTTTTTAAAAATAATAAAATTCTTCAAAGGAATTCAATTATTTTACGTACAATTTTATTTTATACAATTCCTGGAAAAAATTCAATTATTTTTCACAATTTTAATAAAACTCTTCGAAGGAGTTTAATTAATTATCAAATTTATTGATAAAATTCTTGACAAGAATTCAATTATTTTCATAAATAATCAAATTTTTCTCGAGAATTCAATTATTTTTATAAATAATAAAATTCTTTGAAGGAATTTAATTATTTTCAAGTTTTTTTGACAAAATTCTTCTCAGAAATTCAATTATTTTCATAAATAATAAAATTTTTCGTGAGAATTCAATTATTTTCCGTACAATTTTATTAAATACAATTCCTAGAAAGAATTTAATTATTTTTCAATTTTTTTGATAAACTTCTTGGCTAGAATTAAATTATTTTCAAAAAATAATAAAATTTTTTAGAGAGATTTCTGGATAAAATTCAATTATTTTTGAAAGTTTTAAAAAAAATTTCTTCAAAAGAATTCAATTTTCTATATTTTATTAAAATTCTTGTCAAGAATTCAATTTTTCTCATAAATAATAACATTCTTTGTAGGAATTCAATTATTTTCAAAATTTTCAATTAAAATTATTGTAAAAAATTACATTATTTTTACGAAATTTAATGAAATTCTTTTTTAAAAAATTGTAATTATTTACAAAAACTATATTAAAATTGTTTAAAAGAATTTAATTTTCTATCAATAATTTTAATATTATTTAATAAAAAAATTATTAATTGCAATTAATAGTAGACATGATTATTATAAAAACTTAAAAAAATGTTGATAAAATTCTTGAAATAAATTCAATTGTTTTCAAATTTTTTGATAAATACTTTGCAAGAATTTAATGATTCTCAGTAAATTAAAAATTTAATTATTTCTGAAAATAATTGAATTCTTGAATCGAATTTCATTAAAACTTTTTTAAATAATTGAATCCCTGCGAAAAAATTTATTATTTCTACAAAATAATTGAATTTTTGCAAAATTTAAAAAAATATGTGAATTTTTGAGAAGAATTTTATTGAAATTGTATTTAAAATAATTGAATTCCTGTGAAAAATTTACTATTTATTGATATTATTAAATTCTTTCGAAGAATTTAAAAAAAAAGGTTTAAAAATAATTTAATTTAAAATATTATTGAACTCCTGTGAAAAATTGAATTGCTTTTTAAAATAATTGAATTTTCTCGAATAATTTTTACAAGATTTTAAAAAATAATTGAAATTTTCGATGAAATTAATTAAAATTGTATTGAAAATAAGTGAAATCCTCATAAGAATTTTATTATTTATAAATTGACTAAAGAATTTTATTACAATTATTGAAAATAATTGAATTCTTCATAAAATTCAATAAATTGTCTTCAAATTTTTTAATAAATACTTTACAAGAATTGAATAATTTTCAGTACATTAATTTAAAAATTTAAACGTTTGAAAAGAAAAATGATTCAAAAAGTTAGGAATACAACGTATTCTATATTATTTTAATAATTCTATATATTCTATTATTAAAATAATAAGAAGAATTGTATTCTATATTATTTTAATAATTCTATACATTCTATTTTTGAATTTACTTTTTCGTTTATATTTATTTACTTATTTATTTTCAGGTTGCCGGTTACGAAGGCAAGATCAAGATCGGTATGGACGTTGCCGCTTCAGAATTCTTCAAGAATGGCAAATACGATTTGGACTTTAAAAACGAAAAGTCCGATCCAAACACTTACCTCGAACCGGAGGCATTGAAAAATCTTTATTTAGATTTCGTCAAAGAATTCCCAATTGTGTCAATTGAGGATCCCTTCGATCAGGACGATTGGAGTTCCTGGACATCAATGACAGCTGCCACTCCAATTCAAATTGTCGGCGACGATCTCACCGTCACCAATCCCGAAAGGTTCGTAATTATTCAACTTTGAATTTTAATTAATCAATCAAAGTTTGAAAAGAAATTTTTTTTCCAAAATAACTTTTACTTGATTTTACCAAAAAAATAATAGGTAATAAAATAAAGAAATCATACATTCCTTTTTTCCACAGAATTAAGACCGCAATTGAAAAGAAGGCTTGCAATTGCCTCTTGTTGAAGGTGAATCAAATTGGAAGTGTAACGGAATCAATAAACGCTCATAAACTTGCAAAGAGCAATGGCTGGGGTACAATGGTCTCTCATCGTTCGGGAGAAACTGAGGACACATTCATTGCCGATTTGGTCGTTGGTCTTTCGACCGGTCAAATTAAAACCGGTGCTCCATGTCGTTCCGAGCGATTGGCCAAATACAATCAAATTCTTCGCATTGAAGAGGAACTTGGAAGTGGTGCCAAATACGCCGGTGAAAAATTCCGAAATCCACAAGCTTAAATTTTTGTTGATCACTCAACAATTTGCATTGTTATGAAATTTTAGCTGGTCCCGTTTCACTGTAATTTTTAAATGAGTCTTCATTGCAAAAACCAAAGGCAACTTTTTTTTAATTTAAACTCAGGTATTTGAATTATATATATTTGAATTTGAATATTCTTTCCTTCTTTAAAAATGAGAAATTTGAGTTTTCGTTACAATTTGAATATTGTTCTTTCTATTTTGAAAAGAAATGTAAGTTTTTAGATCTTGTTAACGGAGAACGTTTTATTTCTGTGTTGATTTTTTTTCTATATTCTTTTTTTAATTTCGAATCTATTTTAAGTGTTAACGCCTTTGCATAATAAGAGAAAGAACGTATCATATTTTGTGACGTTAAACTTGAAGAGAATTTAAATTTTTGCGAAATATTTTAGAATTGTAGACAAAAAGGAAAATTAAAGCACTCTTATCAATTATTGGACAATATCTGTGAGAGAATAGTTTGTTATTCTTGCGATCGAATGTATGTAAGCCAAATAAAAAGTAATGTATGAACTTGTAACAAAAGTTTTTTGTCTTTTTCGTACCTATTACATTTTTATTTAATTTTAATTATTCTTTTCATAACAAAATTCAAATTTTAATTTACATTTTATGGGCAAAATCAGGGCTCGAACTATTTACTAAGTTCGTAAATTTGCTTGAACTCCTTAATTTGATAGAAAAAAGACGAGAAAAGTTGTTAAATTGTACGATATAATTTGTAGAATTTTACGGAAATTATAAATGACGGCAGAAATTCAATTATTTTCAAAACTAATAAAATTCTTTGCAGAAATTCAATTACGTTCAAAAATTTTTTTAAACAATTCTCTTCAAAATTTCAATTATCTTTAGAAATATTACAATTCTTTTCTGAAATTCAATTATTTTCAAAAATTGTAATACAATTCTTGGCAAAATTTTAATTATTTTCAAAAATATTTCCTCAATTCAATTATTTTCAAAACTAATAAAATTCTTCACAAAAATTCAATTACGTTCAAAAATTTTTTAAAAATTCTCTTCAAAATTTCAATTATCTTTAGAAATATTACAATTCTTTTCCGAAATTAAATTATTTTCAAAAATTTTAGTACAATTCTTGGCAAAATTTCAATTATTTTCAAAAATATTTCCTGAATTGAATGATTTTTAATATTTATTATTTTAATAAAATATTCCAAAAGAATTCAATTATTTACAAATTTTTTATAAATTTCTTCGCAATAATTCAATTATTTTCATAAATAATAAAACTTTTACAAAAAGTTCATTTATTTTCGTAGATACTAAAATTCTTTATAAAAAAATGAATTTCATTCAAAATTTTAGATTATAATTGAATATTAAAAGCATTATAGCATCAATTCTTCTTTAAATAGTAAAATCTTTACAAAAATTCAATTATTTTAAAATCAATTTTAATTAAATTCGTCGAAAGAATTCAATTTTTAAAAAAAATTTTAACACATTTCGAAAAAATTCAATTATTTTTATAAATAGTAAAATTCTTTGCAAGAATTCAACTAATTTTATAAATAGTAAAATTCTTTGGAGGAATTTAATTATTTTTAATCCAATTTAAATAAAATTACAGGAAAGAATTTAATTATTTTCAAAAATTTCCATAAAATTCAATTTCAACAAAAATTTAAAATTCTCTAAAAATAATTGAATTATTATCAAAATATTTTAAAAAAATTTTTAACAACATTTAAAAATTTCAATTATATTTATAAATAGTAAAATTCTTCGCAAATAATTCAATTATTTTTATAAATAGTAAAATTCTTTGCAGAAATTCAATTCTTTTCAAAATAATTTTAATTCTCTAAAAATAATTCAATTATTCTCAAAATATTTTAAAAAAATACTTACTATATAAAAATTAAATTACTTTCAATGCAATTTTTAAATGTTTTTAAAAAATTTTCAACAACATTTAAACATTTCAATTATATTTATAAATTAGTAAAATTTTTCACAAAAATTCAATTATTTTTATAAATAGTAAAATTCTTTGCAGAAATTCAATTCTTTTTAAAATAATTTTAATAGAATTCCTCGAATGAATTTAAATTTTCAAGTTTTTACATAAAATTAATTTATTTTCTAAAATTAGTTTAAAAAAAATTCAAAGAAATTCTTCAAAAGAATTTAATGAGGATTTTAAAAAAATTTTATGACGTGCATTATTATTATTAATAAAATGGATTTATAGAAGAATTTTAGACACTAACAAAATTTAATTTTGGAGAAGTTACAAATTATTGCAGAAATTCAATTACTTTCACAAATAATAAAACTCATCATAGAATTTCAATTATTTTTAATACAATTTTAATCAAATTTCTCGAAAAATGTAATTATTCTTAAAAATTTTTATTAAAATTCTTCCAAAGAATTTAATTATTTAAAAATTTATTGATAAAATTCATTATGAGAATTGAATTTTAAGAATCATTCAATTATTTATTTTTGTATTTAAATAATTGAATACTAGTAGAATTTTCTAATAAAAATTGATTTAAAAATTAATTTCAGTAAAAATTTAGATAATAATTGAATATTAAAAGCAATATAGCGTGAATTTTAAAAAAATAATTGAATTTTTGAAATTAATTTTTTTGAAAAAGTTTAATTGAATTTTTTATAGGTATTATTTGAAGTTATTATTTTCTAAAATATGAAGAATTTACGAATAATTTAAATTTCGTAAAATTGAATATTGTAAACAAATGGATTTGAAAATTGTCAAAGAACTTTTTTGAAAATTATTAAAAATAATTGATTGAAAGAAGAATTTTAGTTAAAAATTCTTGAAAATAATAATTGAATTGAAATGATGGAAATAATTTTGAAAAAGTTACATTAACAATATTCTTATAATATATTATATATATTATTATATATATAACACGAAGAATTTATTTAAAGTCCGTATTTTTAAATACTTTCAATGGTTCGTGCCCTACGAAATGTAAAAATAGATAAGATACATTCGTGCAACATTATTTTTTTTTATTAAAAAACTGTAACATTAGAGACAATATGGATTCAATTATTTGCATTTTCAATATTTAGTAATAATTAGATAATTTATTCTTCTGTATATTACATAACATTAAGTGAAATACTGCGTACAAATACAATTAACTACAGTGTGTCTCTATATGGGCTAACTATTCCTCTTTTTTACGAAACGAAAATTACATGAGTCTGAATTCTTATAGATTCACAATCTACACTTTCAGATATATTTGGGGTTTTAAAATCACTGTAAATTTTGCACAAAGCTTTTAAATTAATTTTCATTACAACTTTAGTTTTTTTTTTTTTTCAAAAAGGAAAGAAAAAAGTCTTTTTTTTTCTTGTTTTATTACAAATATTTTAAAACCCCTTGTATATCACGACAAACATACGAATTCTATTACGAAAATTTTTATTCTGAACAATAAATACTTAGAAAACAATTTGTTTTTTTTACCAATCTTACTTTCAAACATTTTCCGTTGAATATCTACATACATTGTTATTTAAATTGTGTCACGTGTATAAATATTGTTAATAAGTAAAGTAGAATTTTTCTACTACTCAAATAATTTGCAAAATTACAATAAAATTTCTCTCTTGTTACTATACAAAAAATTATTTCAAAATTTCGTAATGTAAACATTAAAAATAATTTTTAACAATATGAGATGAGGCAACGATGAAATTTACCAAAAATATTCATTTACCAAAATATTCAATTTTATTAAAAAAAAAGTATCAAAAATTAAACAAAAATATTTTCAATATAAAAATTTGTTTAAAAGTGTAAAAAAAAAGTTCATAGATGCCTTCTCTACAAAATGGAAATTAATCAAATGTTGTACACAATAAGAATATCGACTTCATTTTTCCATAAATAATAGAGTATGATACAAAAATAAGCGACTGTTAAGTACATTAAGGGATTTTTTTTTTTATTGAGTCAAGTATAATGAAAAATGAAAAATGAAAAAAAAGATGATTATAGAAAGAGGAGAAAAATGGATTTTTTTTTTTTTTGCCTCATATTGAAATACTGTGACTATAAATCTTACTACAATTATTAAATCTCAGAGAATCTATTGAGATACTTTGAAAATAAATTTACATACATGTAGTTAACTTATAAATCGAGTTCGCTGTCTTATTAATTAAAATTATTTAAACTAATTTCGCACCATTTGTACGAATATGTTTTTTTTTCGTTCTTCCATCTTATTTTATTTTTTTCAATAGTGAAATATATTTTCCAAAAAGAAAAAAAAATTGAATTACGTTATTAATATAATGTAAATTAACATTTATTAACAATCAACAATATTAATAATGTAATTAAATTATTTCCTTTTGAAGAAAACAATTTTTTAAATTTTTCAAAAAGAATGTCAATAATTACAAAATAAATAAAAAAAAAAAAGTTTGCAAAATATTTTTAATATTTTTAATTTTTGCAATTTAAATTATCTTAAATAATTATTATTATCATTATAATAAATAACTTATGATTTGCAATTATTATAATTTAAATTTTAGAAAAAAATATTCTTTTAGTACTTTTCAAGAAAAGAACGAAAAAAAGAAAGTCTAATTTCAATTGCACTCAAAAAAATAAATAATGCTTTAATAGTAAAAATCATACCTAAGTTAAATAGTGATTTTTTGTGATAAAATCCCCTTGTACTTGGAGGACAATTATAATTTATTAACTAATTACTACTGTACTAGTTTTCTAAATCTAAGGACTGGTTTTTTTTAAATATAAGTCAGTACCCGATTTTTTTTTATTACAATAAATGAAAAAACCGTTTTTTGTTCCAGAATAAGGACTGTTTTCTTCAGTCTCGAGAATTTTTATATCATTTGAAAGATAAATTAAAAATATTTTTTTTTTGTTTTCTTTTTTTAATCCAGAGAGTGGCAGTAAGTATCTAAGATAACGTACGTGAGCAATTTACAATAATAAAACCTACTTAAAGACTACGGATTTTGTGGCACATAAATTTGAGACTCATTTGTTCACAATTTACCAACTCGGGGAATTTTATTCCCTTAACATTGGTCCGCAGTCGCTTTTCACTCAAAATAAAAAAAAATAAATAAATAAAAAAAAAAATTGAAAAGAAAAGAAATTACTCCTCTGGCAATCATTCAAAATATATAATTTTTATAATGTCCCACAATTTCAATCTCTTTTAAAAAATAAAGTGGTTTGCTTTTTAAAAGCATATTTTTAGAATTATTTTCAAAATAATCTGAAAAAAATTTTATAAATATAAAATGTATCATTATACATTTTTATCAAATATAAATATAAATAATATAAATATATAAAAATATTATATAATAGGTATATTAAAAATATATTTTATATAATATCGTTTATATATTATTAAAAAAAAAAATTAATTTTTAATTAAATACAATAAAAACAATTTTTAAATTATGAAAATCTTTGGAAAGATTAAAATTCAATGTTGGCTGTGTTGGATATTGTAGAGTGAAAATTGAAGTAATTGAAGTATTTGAAGTATTTGAAGTATTGCCAAATTTTTTGCCATGGAACAATATTTACATTCGGTAAAAAAAAATGAATGAATTCTATTTTAATGGTTTCTAACTAATACACGTATAAAAAAGAGTTAAGTAACCAATATTTTTTTTTTCGTGGGGAGGGAAAACTGTCATTTGAGAGCATATAGGAATTTAAAAAAGAATTACATTCTGAAAGCGACTTTGCCAAACCATTATCTACTTTCTTGCGACGTCCCTTTAGGCGTCGTGTGTCATGCGAGAATGTAAGAAAACCTTTTTTAATTTTACCATTTTTCTATATCTCAATTATTAATAATTAATAAATACGTTATTGAAAATAATTATCAAAATAATTATTCGGAATGAAGAAAAATCTTTGGCCTTATTTCTTCCTTATTTAAAAAAAAAAAAAAAACAATTTAGAATTTCTTATTTTGCCAAAGAAATTCTTGAATATTTTCTTCCTTTTTTTTCTTGTTTTTTTAAAAACAGAAATAAAAAGTTTGCAGTGTACCTTCTTTTCTTCGTAAAAAAAAATCACTGAATATGTATAGAAAGCAGTAATTGCGATTTCTTACAATCCTCGATAATGAGCAGGGTTGCATTCAAGCGTGCCTAGCTTCTTTGTGTTGTTTTTCTTTCTTCAATTAGCGTCTTCTGGTGATTCGATGTCGTCCGATGTGGTATTTTGGCGACAGCGATATACATATGCGCTCACTGATAAATCATCATCAGTGCGTACGCATTTGTAAGTGTCATTTTCACACTCGCACCTAAAAATAGAAACAAATATCTCATAACGCTTCTGCAGTTTTAAACAAAAAAAGAACGAAATAAAATTATTCTTTTATTTCACGTATTTTTTTGATATTTTATTTAAAAAAATATTTTTAATTTCGATTCATTTAATTTTTAACATAATTTTTCAGTTTGTTAATTATATTTCAACTAGCAAATGATACGCGCGCCAGCGCGCGGAACGCGTTATTCCATTTCTTATTATTTTGTAAATTAAAATATTTTTTACAAAATTGTAACATCAATGAAATAAATTCTATTTCTAATCAAAATTAAAAAATTTTATTTTTTCAAGAATAAACATCAATATTTTTGAATAATTACAGATTTGAAATTTTTAAAATTCACTTATTAAGAACATAATATTAAATATGCTTGTTTATTATTATTCGAAAATTTTAATAAAATTTGTCGCAAGAATTTCATTATTCTCATATGAATAATAAATTTCTTTAGAGCAATTAAATTATTTTCAATACAATTTTTCATAAATTTAAATTAATAAATTCAATTATTTTTAAGAATTTTAATATAAATTCAATTATTTTCAACAATTTTGATAAAATGCTTTTTAAAAAATCATTATTTTCAAAATTTTTAATAAATTTCCTTGAAAAAATTCAATTATTATTTTTATAAACTGTAAAATTCTTGTAAAGAATTCAATTATGTTCAAACAAATAAAATTCTTCGAAACAATTCAATTATATTTATAAATTGTAAAATTTCTTCATAAAAATTCAATTATTTTTATAAATAAAATAATTCTTCAAAGGAATTCAATTATTTTTATAAATAATAAAATGTTTCGGAGGAAATCAATTATTTTAAATACGATTTGAATTAAATTTCTTTTGAAATAATTGAATTCTTCTTTCAGATTTAAATAAAATACTTTCCAAGAAATCAATTATTTTCAAAATTAACAAAATTTTTCACAGAAATTCAATTATTCTTTTAAACATTTTAATAAAATTCTTCCACACTATTCAATTATTTTTATAAATTGTAATAATTATTAAAAAAAACTTCATTATTTCCAAGAAAATTGAAATCAATTCTTCAAAACAATTCAATCAATTTAAAGAATTTTAATATAAATCATGCCAAGAATTAAATTATTGAAAAAAATGTTGATAAAATTCTTGAAATGAATTGAATTATTTTCAAAATTTTTTTAATAAATACTTTACAAGAATTTTATTAAAACTTTTTTAAATAATTGAATGCATGCGAAAAAATTTATTTATTTCTACAAATGATTGAATATTTGTAAAATTTTAAAAATTATTGTAAATTTTTTACAAGAATTTTATTAAAATTGTATTTAAAATAATTGAATTCTAGCGAAATCCCTTCAAAAAAATTTATTATTTCTACAAATAATTGAATTTTTTCATAATTTAAAAAAATAAGTGAATTTTTGAGAAGAGTTTTATTAAAATTGTATTTAAAATAATTGGATTCCTGTGCAAAAATTAACTATTTATTGATATTATTGAATTCTTTCGAAGAATCATAAATTGATTTTTTGCGAAGAATTTTATTACAATTATTAAAAATAATTAAATTCTTGAATTGGATTTTATTAAAAGTTTTTTAAATAATTGAAAATTTAATTATTTCTTAAAATAATTGAACTCCTGTAAAAAATTCAATTATTTTTAATAATAAAACTAAATTTCTGTGAAAAATTTAATAATTTTTTTAAATAATTGAAATTTTCGAAGAAATTAATTAAAATTGTATTAAAAATAAGTGAAATCCTCATAAGAATTTTATTTATTTAATATAAAAATAATTGAATTTTTTAAGAAGATTTTTATTATTTATACATTGACTAAAGAATTTTATTATACAATTATTGAAAATAATCAAATTCTTTATAAAATTCAATTGTTTTCAAATTTTTTTAATAAATACTTTATAAGAATTCAATGATTTTCAGTACATTAATTTAAAAATTTAGAACATTTAAAGACAATTATTATTAATATAGATTCATTGAGTTGAATGAGTGAATTTTAATGAAATTTTTCAGTTCTGTAATTATACATGTTTCATTGAGTTCAATCGTGCTTTTAATGATAGCATTTTAAATGCGATAACGAATCGGAAAAAATAATGAATTGAAAAATTGATTGATTGATATTGAAAATAAACTCACGTATTTTTCATGAAATACTCGACGGTGCGAGTGAATGGAACGTAGACTGCCCAACCACATGGTGTGTTGTAACAGAATCTTATCTCTTTGCTCGAATTATCCGTATCTCTTTGAATCCTCAACTTGTGCGTATCTTGTGCCATCTTCAAAAGACTCTCCGGCAAATCCTGAAAACAAAACGTTTTATTAGCGATTTGGTTTATTAATAGTATACCGGAAATGCTTTTTTATAGCAAGAATATAATTTTCCCATTTTCTCTAAATCGATCTTTTTTTAATTTTCAATTTCCAAACGAAAAACAGTTTTTTTTTCGAAACTATGTTTTTATCGAATATTTCGGCTTTAATACAAACTTGAACCAATAATTTATAATAGTAATTTCATTCTGTATTTCCGTATTTCTCTCAGTTCTCTCCAAAAATTATAAACCATAGCCTCAAATATTTCGGAACTTTTCTTGCGCGAGAGCGCGTCACATTCAGAAATTAATTACGAAATATTCATAAAAATAAATTAGAATTCACCAAAATAATTTCCAACGTTTATACAATAATTTTTCTCCAATTAAGCGAATTAAGCACATAATTTGGTTAATTATTATTATATCCCATCATTGATTGTTTATATATAGCGAGAGAGATAAATCATTATGTGACACCAATTACTCTTTCCTTTATGATTATATACATATATTAAATATAGTTATGTTATATATCTCTTTTTGCACAGATGAAAACGCAGTTTTCAATCGAAAGTAATCTACGCAGAGATTAATTATTAAGAATATATATTATGAAGATTAATTATAATGTATATATGAAAATTTTCTGTTTCGGACAGTTCTGAGAAAAATTGTGAAAGGCAAATCGGTTCATTGAGAAAGCGAAAGAGATGAAGTTTATCATTTTGCGGCTTATCATTGGCAGTTTGCGTCAGGCCAGGGTCAAAGTCGGTGATCTCGGGCAATAAATCATATTTTATCGTACGAAAACGTAAATTATTCGCGCGCTTATTTTCCTGCAATGACCTGCGCAATCGTTCAATGATTGCTGAACTTTTTTTTTTGTAATTTTAAAAACTCCATTATTATATATAAAATCACACTAAAGTAAATAAAATAGACAATTTTTTCACTATGCAATTAATGTCAATTGTTTTCATACCGTGATTCAAAAATCATTTTTAGATAAACTTTCTTACCGCAATCACTTTTAATTTTGGATTTCTGCTTTAAATATTCTTCTCTATTTATTTTATTTATATTTTTTTTCATTCTTTGTAACTTTTGAGATGTTTCAAGATGTTTTTTTAACTGTTTTGTGTTTGTTTGTGTGGTTTGTGTTTTTAACACTGCATTGCTCTGAAATTTCCCCTTTTCAGAAGCAGGTAACCAGGTGTACCAAATTATCAACATGGAGATATTAACATTTTTACACGGAGATCTAGTGACTTTTTATTTTCTACAGTTTTAGCATAATTGATCCGAAGACAACTTCAGACATTTCCAAAATGGACTCCCACAAGTGCAGTCGTGCGTCGTTTGTAAGTATTCTACTTTTTTACTTTTATTTACCAATTTTCGGATAAATAAGTACGGGACTGATAAAAGTTACTATTAAAATATTGCCATACTTGTGTGGTAATGATTATTTTCTTTCATAATGAAAATTTCTCTCTAACTCCTTGCAAAAAGATTGCACTGTAAAAAAGCCCAATGTAAATTTACAACGTGTAACGTTGGAAACTTTTCGCTTCACGTATGACGTAGTACTATTACAGCCCGAATGTTAACTTACTTACCGTTCGTAACATAACCTCTCTTATGTGATTTCGCATCAAATTGTAAATCGACCACTCGTCGGTAATTTTACATAATAATTTCGCTGCATTTTAAAATTATTCTTTTTTTTATATTTATTTTGTATTACATAAAGGTTAAATTATAAAAAGGAAATAAAGGAAAAACGTAAGAAATAAATAAATATATTAAATATTTATAATATACAAATCACATTTGTAGCTTTTTTGTCATTTGTACAAAGTTAACGAATTCTCCAACAGAACAGGAAAAACAAATACTTTTTCCACTTTAATTTTAAAAAAATACGAGCTGCTTAAGCAATAGAGTCCATGAAGATATTCTGAAAAAATTTTTTATGTTTGAAAATTATTTTCATACAGAAAATTCACACAGTTGAATAAAATTTTTTAAGTATAAAAAATCATTAAAAACGTGTCTCTTTTTAGGTTAAAAGACATTACCTTATTAACTTTGATATATATGAAAAATTAAAAAGAAATCTTTCAAATTTAAGAAATGAAAAATGTTAAGAATTTGAACTTACCTTTACAAATTTCCTTTAATCTTTAAATTCTTAAAATTGTCGAAATTTTAATAAATTAAAATTAAAATATTAACGTTTGCCTATGCGCATAGTTTCTTATATGCCACTTCATCGTCACGCAGTGTAGAAAAACATTCGGGCAAAAAATATCATATTCGAATGTATACTTACAGACAGCTACATAATTCTACATACTGTCGGTAAAACTATCAGCTGTAAGTTACTTAACACACGAAAATATTTTTACGGTTGGGTTGCTAACATACAACGTTATACGTGAAGCGAAAAGTTTCCAATGTATCACGAAATGATTAAACATTCGGGATGTACATTTACTAACGCGTGACACATTTACAACGATAAGCGTAATAATTTTACTTTTTAATTGTGAAAATACTATATGGGTGTTAAATTATTACGTGTACCGTAGTAAAATTACAAACTGGAAAATTTAAAATTAACGACCCGATTGTAATTCAACATTGGTCTTTTTTACAGTGTGGTCGTTGCGAAAGAGGTTATGTTCGTCTGACAAATGACAATTCCGATGAGTTTCTCAGAATTTGTCAATTTCGTCAATTTATTCTCTTTATTACGCTTTATTATAAATATATACGTACTTTTATCATCACCGAAGTGGAATTTAAGTTTTTTTCACATCGAATAAGATAATTTTACTGTTTAAAATAGAAAATGAATCCATATAATGAAAATTGTTGGATTCAAGTAAAATCGTATAGCATTGATATTTTCAACCATTTTTTGCGCTGAATATGGTATAATAATTGAATAATTAAATAAATATTGAATAATTATAAACAATTATAAAATACCGGAAGTATACAAGCACCTTTAAGTAGTTTTTTTTTTTTATAAAATTGGTGCATACATACTTGATATATAGACAACTTCAGAGCAAATCGGTCTGATCGCAATTCGCATTTCGCAAGAAGAAAAAGTCATCTAGGACTACAGGTTTTTTTTGTAAGTTTTCGTTTTTCTTTATCAACTTTTGAATAGAAAATATTAAATCTGTTTTCTATTATTAAATACTAGTAGTAATTCTGTAAATTACGGTTTCATTTCTTCCACGATGAGAATTATCGTGTCTTAATCTATGTGAAAGAAATCTGCTGCTACAAAGAGGTTATACTCAACTGTCAAAATTTGATACTTCGATATTACAAAATTTTTTTTAATTTTATTATTTTTAATGCGGAAAAAAATTAATTATATTCTAAAATTTTGACAAAATTTGTTTATAATAGTTAAATTATTATTTTCATAAATAATAAAATTCATCGTAAAAATTCAAATATTTGAATCCAATTTTAATTAAGTTATTCGAAAAAAAGAATTCAATTATTTTTTTACAAATTCTAAAATTTTTCCCAGAAATTCAATTATTTTTATAAGTAATAAAATTCGTTGCTAGAATTTAATTATTTTTATAAATAATAAAATTCTTTACTGAATTTGAAACATTTTGAATACAGTTTGAAATTAATTCCTGGAAAAAAGTAATTATTTTCTAAAGTTTTATTAATATTCTTCGAAAGAAATTAATTATTTTCAAAAATTTTGATAAAAATCTGTCTTTGGAAAAATTTTAATTAAAATTAAAAAAAACATTTTTGATAGAAATCAGGAAAATGTCAGAGAAATACAGACTGAAATTTTTATGAATTTTGTGAATCGTCTAAAATAAATTTTTAGTTAAAGGTACTTTTTGCCACTTTTTTAAAACAAATTATTGAGTGATTTGATAACAAAATTGTTCAATTCTAGTTAATTTTGAGATTTAGAGAATTGCTTTCTATTAAAATTGTGAATAATTTCCTGTTCGCTTTCGCAATTACATTTTGTCGATTGAACGAAATATTATTAAGTTTTTTTTATTTTTTTTTTTTGTAGAATAATATTTTGCAAAAAACAAATTCGAAAAATTTTTTTTCTTTTTTAATCATTTTTTTTTTTTTTTGTAGAATAATACTTTGCACGTGCAAGTATTTGAGAAATGTAGCACGTTTGATTAATGTAAACAATCAGACAATTGTTAAAGCAAACTATATATGCGCACAGATATAGTGAATGAGAATGAAATTAATGCCTCTGATCTGATATATCATGTGACTCGCAAGCCCAGGATCCATCAAAACAAACTCCAATTATTAAACAGAAGGTCAATCGTGAATGAAATTACAAATCATTTTCGTTAACTCAAATCTTAAAAGCAAATTGAATTAAATATTCAAATTGAATGATCTCGAAAAAAATTGCGACGAAAAAATTCTACTTATGAATTAAAATGACATAGTAATTGTAAAGTTTTATACATTCGTGTCAAAAGAATGACAAAGTAATAATAATTTATGTAAAGATATTTTATATATTCCAAAAAATGTATTTTTTTTTTTTGTATATTTTCAAACGGTGAAAGAAAATTATATAGTAATTATAATAATTTCTGTTTCAGAGAAAGGTTTTCCTTACAATGTGAACATGGAGATATGCTATTTTGTTTGAATCATTTGTACGATTCCGAGTATCAATCAAGGACTATTAATGTTTTTTATGGCAATTGTATCTTCACCTGTAAAAGAAGTACATCCTGCTTATTTTTACAACTGTTAACCGGATTGACCACTGAAAAAGGGTTTTTTTTTCTGATGAAAGTCTCTCTCTTGTCGAGTGAAGAGTGTGACGAGCGTGAACTAAAGACTGCAAGTTTGCGTTTCATTGAAGAACATCAGACTAAACGGTGAGTATGTCAGTAGTAAGAGCAAGAGAGAGAAAGAGAGAAGGAGCACTTAATAAGATTGAAGCATGAATGTAACTCGAGTTCATGAATGAAAAGTTCCAGTAGCTTGCATGTTGCAAATGGCCGGGCCTATATCTAGTTCTCTCCGATGATGATCACCGTCATCATCGTCATCATCGTCTTCCCTCAACTTTATTGTCTCGAATTTTTGTCGATTTTTAATTTTTTATCAAATTTCAATGAAATTATCATTCAATGAATGTCGCGGAACATTTTTTTAGTAAAAGACTCATTTTTCTCTCTCTAAATTTGAATTAGTAAAAAAAAAGTAGTAGTGAACGAATCGGCCCTATTTTAATTAGTAATTAATAACTAATTAGAAGAAAACAATTCAACAGTTAAATACTAAATGTTTGTAAGAAAATTACTAAATTTTGTAGATATATAAATTCACTAATTTTTTATTCATTTAATATTAACATGACGTAAAAATTGAATTAACGAATTAGTCATTTTTGATTTGAAATTAATTGCTGTTACTAATTCGTTTAATAAACGATTCGGTGCTGTCGAATTATAGTCAAAAGTGATTAATTGAAAATTAGAGAAGCTAATTACAATAAATTAATTTGACAAAAATTATCCCATTCTCGTATTAATATAATATTTTTATAATGATGAGTATTAATATAATTACAAAGTAAGTTTAATTTTTCCAGAATTATTTTCAGACACTAAAATATATATTAAATTGTGTAAAAGTATTTTACAATTTGGGAAAAAGTGCAACCAACCGAAATTTTGAAACTAGAAAATATTAAACAATTTTCAACAAATCGTCATATATATGTTAAAGTAATTTTTGAATTATTAAGATAAAAATTTCGAATTGTTAGAAAGAGAAAAAAAATTTTATTTTAACAAAATTTTAAATGTAATTTGACTGAAGAGGACACTGACGTCGGTGTTGAAACGTCTCAATTTAATAAAAATAAGAATAATCCAGGAAATCTTGAGTTTAATTATAAATTATAATATAAAACTAAATGACTCCAAAAAAATAATTTTGGAAAAAGTTTAAAATTCTTATATTTATAATTATACTAAATTTCACACAAGTTTTTTTTTAAAGTTAAGTATTTTTTATATCAAAATTTCGCTTTGTCGCATTTTCTTCCCGAAAATTGTGAAAAACTTTTATAAAATTTAATAGAATTTTCTCCCCGTGGAAAAAACGTATATAAGAGGTTTGTATATTTTTTCTTTTACTAAGAATGGAAACGTTATCTAAAAAGTATTACAAGCGTTAAACCTTGCCTATGTAGCAAAAAATAATTTATGCTAAATAGTAAAAAAATTGTTTCTTTTCTAATTTCGCGGAAATCTTTGAATAAGTAAATTAATGATTCTTATTTAAATTAAATGTCGGGGAAATTATTTTCCTGAATTATGATTAATATAATGTACTTATGATTTTTTTTATTCCACAGAACTGACCAGATTTTGTGAAGAAATTTCAAAAATACCGCATACGGAAAAAGGCTGAATCAAAATCATAATCGTTTATTCAGAGGAGTTAAACTAAAAGAAAAGGACATTTTTAAAGAAACAAAGGAAGATGGTATGTGCATAAACATTGTCCTTTTGGAAATTATTCCCCAAATATAAGGTAGACGTCTAATTACTCTAATTAAGTCAAACAATTGTATTTATTGCGATTTTTATCACAATTATTATTTTTATTATTAATATTTTTAATATTAATTTTATTAATATTATTATTAGTATTATTATTAGTATTATTATTAATATTTTTAATATTAATATTATTATTAATAATAAATAGTTGATTTTTTCTTCCGTTGTTGAATTTTGTTGATATTCTTTTAATTGATTATCGGAAGAGTAATAAATGAAACACTAATAATAAATTAAAAAAACAATAATAATGAAATTATTATTAATAATATTTTTGATATTAATATTATCAATATTTTTAATATTATTATTATTGTTGACAATTTTAAATATTTGAAAAATTGAGAATATTGGCGATGAGCTGTGAATTCAAGATCATTGAAACGAGAAAATTCTTTTGAAAAAAACGAAATGAAAGGTTATAATATTAGAAAAGACAGGAGTAGACAAGTCTGATCTTGTTCTGACTTCCGGTGTGACTATTGAAAATTAATTAGATTCAAACTAATTTGATAATTATCTGACAAATTTTAAAATTAGACAGAGGTCGAATATTAAAATTTTAATTTAACAATTATTTTGTCAAAAAAATTCATCTTTTCGCTATAGAAAATTAATTTTCTGAATAATTGCAATTAAATGGCAAATATACGTTTTAATCAAAATTTTTCAAAATAATTTTGGAATGTTTTTGTATTAATTTAATATATATAATTAATTATTTTAATTAATTGATCCAATACAGTCGAAGTTGTCGGAATGCAAATCTATTTAAAATTTTTTTTGTATTCAAGTGTCCAACGAGAATTATTTTCACTTAGTTCTGGAATATTGTAAAAATATTACAAAATTAAATTCTAAAACAATTGTTTACTGTAATAAAATTTAATCGACTTGCAGTTTGACAGGTTTCACTGTATGGAACTTAAACTTTTTTTTACTTTTCAATTTGCAACAAGGAACAACAAAATTCGAACAGATTTTAAAAATTTGAAGGTGATAACATTTTGTTACTTTTCGTGAAGAAAAAGCAAATTTGCAATATTTGAAAAGAAATTTTGACAGAATTTAGGAAAAATTTAATATTCTACCACAAAAATTAATTATTTAATTAAATTATAAATATTTCTGACTTAAATTCAATTTGAATAAGTATTTAATCACTGATTGATTTAAAAAAATAATAATTTAACAATTCTGATGAAATAAAAAAGTACAAACTGTCACTATAACTTCAGGACAAGATTACAAATTTAAAATCACCGTTGAGTGCAATTCGATTTCACGTAGTTCGAGAATTGTAAAATTCAAATTTAAAAAACGGGTCAAGTTTTATTTCGTCTTCAATTTTAATACACAATAATTCCGGATAAAAGAGAAAAATCTTTTTTTGATAATTTTGGAAAAACTTGAAATTGAATAGATAGAAAAAGATTTTTTTGACAAAAAATTAGATTTGTTGAGAAGCTGAAAGATTGAAATATAAAGTTGTCTGATGAAATACATCTCCAACTTACAACAAATTTCACATATCGTCCGATGTGAGCGACGGTTGATTCAAGGCACGTGGGAAGATTAAACGCGTGCATTCTCATCACAATATTAGGTAACCATTTTTCTTCTATTTTTTTTTCAAACTAAACATTTGAGTAGTAAACATTGAATTTTTAAATTTTTAATTTAGAGAAAATAGGATACATTTGTTTTGGCGAATAATTTTTAAGACGGAAAAAAATTTTTTTTCTTTCGTTGCAAAAATTTGAAAAATTGAAATTTGAAAATAAAAAGAGAGTGAATGATGAAATAGAACTTACCTGAGTCCTAAGGACAGCCGTGTCAATTAGAGAGGCGTACCAGCAGGTAGCGACAAAAGCGACAATAATTAGCCTGAAGTGTGACATTTTAATTTGTTTTAAATTGCAATTGACCCTTTTCTTCGTGCGGGACACGAAGAAATCCAAATTGGGGATAAAACTTTGAAACGTTGAGAAGCCGCACAAGAAGGCCGGTTCGCACAAAAAATATTGTCGATATCAATATCAACGTTGATTTTTGTATTTTATTTATTTTTTTTTTTGCGAAAAAAAAATCAGTCTTAAACACTTCAAAGTGTATTATATATCTATATATAAAGTCAGTCACGTTTTTTCTTTTTGCGAAACAATAAAAAGATGATTTATCGAAAATGATGATATAGACCAGACGATAATTGTTGATCACGATACTTTTTAATTGTTGCAAAACAAACTTGAAAAAAAATGTTTTTCGAGATTCGCGGGTTTAACCGGTATGGACTTTAAACGAACAGCAGCTGCAAGTATTGAGTGAGGACGCTTTCGAGGCGTCGAGGGTTTATATAGTCTGTGGGCTAGCCGGTGCCGTTAGTGGGGGTAAGACTAAGCTAGAAGTTATAATAATATATAATAAGATGAATCTAAGTTGCGATTTGAACAACGATATCACGGGGGTGGGATAATTCCTAAGTGGGGATCCATACGAGAAATTTCTTTCATTCTTGTTCAAAAAAGAAAAATATAGTTGTCTTCTCTCCTTTTTTTTTCTCCCTCTCAAAAATTATCATGCCTTTAATGTGATTTCTCGAAATAGATATTTGAAATTAGTGTGCTATAAAAATTAACAGTGGGATCATTATAATGGAATTAAAAATTACTTAATTCTTTTGGGATTTTCCCTCTTTGCATATATCATGAATTGAATATCGCTACAGAGAGCTAATTTCCTAGTATATAACGTTTCTTCAATAATGAAAATGCGTTTTATTTTATTTTCATTTGTTTTCATAATAACGGGCTCTTTCGTATAATCTACTAAAATCTACTATTTAGTGCTTCTTCTGGATTTGATACTGTTTAGACGGTTTTTAAATTTCTGACACTAAAAGTTATTTTTTTCTGTGTTTGAGAATTTGCACTACTTTAAATTCGCTAATAGTTGAAATAAACAAATTATTATCATAGAAATTTAAATAAAATTCTTAGAAAAAATTCAACAAATTTTAATAAACTTCTATCAAACGATTCAATTATTTTCAAAAAAATTTTCAAATTTAATTATTTTCCTAAATAAGACAATTTTCACAGGATTTTAGTTATTTAGAACACAATTTTCATAAAAGTTTTCGTAAACAAATCAAATATTTAAAAATGATTTTTATCAGATTCTTCGCAAGAATTCAATTATTTAAAAAAAAAATTGAATAAAGTTCTTCTAAGGAATTCAATTAATTTTATAAATATTAAAATTCTTCGCAAGAATTCAATTATTAAAAAAAAAATTTAATAAAGTTCTTTACCAGAATTCAATTATTTTTATAAATAATAAAATTTTTCGCGACAATTCAATTATTTTTAATACAAATTTATTACAATTCCTGGAAAGAATTCAATTATTTCTAACAGTTTTATTAAAATTCTTTGAAAAAATTTAATTATTTTCAGAATTGAAAATAAATTTCGTAAAGAAATGGGAGACTAAATTTTTTTTTTTTAATTTTTTGATAAAATTCTTGGAAATGAATTGAATTCTTAAATTTCTATAAATAATAAAATTCTTCTCAGGAATTCAATTATTTTTGACGTTTTTAAATAAATTTGCAAGAATTCAATTATTTAAAAAAAATTTAATAAAGTTCTTCTCAGGAATTCAATTAATTTTATAAATAATAAAATTATTCTTGAATTCAATTATTTTTATAAATATTAACATTCTTCGCAAGAATTCAATTATTTTTAATACAATTTTATTACAATTCCTGGAGGGAATTCAATTATTTCTAACAGTTTTATTAAATTTCTTTGAATGAATTTAATTATTTTCAGAATTGAGAATAAATTCATGTGAAAAAATGGGGGACTAATTTTTTTTCAAATTTTTCGATAAAATTCTTGGCAAGAATTATTGAATTTTCATAAATTACAAAATTTTTCACAGAAATTTAATTATTTTTAAACATTTTAATAAAATTTTTCGCAATAATTCAATTATTTTCATAAATAATAAAAATCTTTTCCGAAATTCAATTATTTTTAAAGATTTTTATTAAATTCGCAAGAATTCAATTATCTGAAAAGAAATTTAATAAAGTTCTCAGAAATTCAATTAATTTTATAAATAATAAAAATATTCTTGAATTCAATTATTATTATAAATATTAACATTCTTCGCAAAAATACAATTATTTAAAAAAAATTGAATAAAGTTCTTCTCAGGAAATCAATTATTTTTATAAATAATAAAATTTTACGCGAGAATTCAATTATATTTTTAATAGTTCGAAGAAGATTCTTCCAAGAAATTTAATTATTTTCAATACAATTTTAATAAAATTTTTAATTATAATTATTAACAGGCACGATTATTTGAAAAAGTTAAAAAAATTCTTCGTTTAATTCAATTAGTTTCAATATTTTCAATTATAATTATTTTAAAGTATAGTTTTTATTTTTAAATTTAAAGAAAATTCTTGTCAGGAATTCAATTATTTTTAAAAATTGTAATGTAATCCTTCGTAAGAATTCAATTATTTAAAAAAATTTCGATAAAGTTTCTTATAAGAATTGAAGTTTTAGAACTATTAAATTATTCAATTAATTATTTATTTTTATATTTAAATACATAATTTGAATTCTATAGTAGAATTTTTTGTTAAGAATTGAATTTTTAAATTGAATACTTTGCCAATTTTAATTGATGTTAAACTGTAATAATATTCAAATTTTTATTTTGAAATAAAAAGATTAAAGTTTTGAAGAATTTTAATCAAAAATTCTAAAAAATAATTCAATTTTGGAAGAATTACAGTAATTTTTAGAAATATAGTTAAATTTCAAAAAGGCTTTAAATTGAAATCATTTTAAATATATTTTAATTCCTGTGGAAAAATAAATAGGTATATTTAAATATTTATTTTTGAAAACAATTATTCTATTTTTGAGTGTAACACAGTTTTTCTAAGGATATCAAATTGAGACCAAAAAAAAGTATCACATTTTTTTTTGTCCTAATTTTGATAATTTTGAAAAACTCTGATTTTAGAAAATTATGAAAAGATTGAGTCGCCAAGTTTAATTTTTTGATAGCTACTTTTTTACTACTATTTTTCAGTCTCAATGATACTTTTTGCTACTTAAAAATTAATTATCGAGTATGAAGCCTGTTATAATAATAATAAAACGGAAAAAAAATTTAGTTTTTTCTAGATTGACAATAAAAATTAAATAATCGATTATACTTGTCTATTATCAAATAAATATTTACTTCAATCAAATAATTTTGATTTAAATCATATTTCATTTGAAATAAATTCTATTTGAACCAATGATTTCAGTATTTAAAATAATTTATTTGATTTTAATAAAAAGTACTTGATTCAAGTAAATATTTATTTAATCGGTTATTTGAATAAAAAAAATTTTTTTAGCGTTTACATTTAAAATTATTTATTTATTCTTATTTTTAGAATGAGAGGAAGGGGGGAAAAGACACTAAATTTGCAAAAATATTTTACAAAAATTTAGTAATCATCTACATTATAGGGAATGCCGCATCACACAGACCATTCGTTAAAGTTGTGTTGACATAGAAATCAAGGCGAAGAAATTTTTTTGTGACCGTGGTTAGGTCTATTTCTTAAAATTAGAATGTTGCGATATTTAATAAATAGAAAAAAAAACTCTTCTAATTTTTATTACCTAAACTGTATAGAAATATATGGTATGAAAAAAAAGAAATCTTTCCAGATTAGACAAGTATTATTTGAAATTGGTCAATTCTCATCCAATCAGGCTTAAACTAGATCATTGGTTATCATCAAAGGGGGAATAAAAAAAATTAGTCTTTCTTTTTTTTTTGGATTTTTTTACTCGAATCATTTATTATTATACTAGTTTAAATATCAACTCAATTTAAAATAGAATAAAAAAATTTTAATTATACAGTTTATCTTTGTCAGGAAATCAGTGAAAGATTTTTTGAGTATATTTTATGAAGAAGTTTATGAAGAACAGTTTTATTTTAGACACAAATTTTAAGTATAATTTTTTGAGAAAATTTTTCAAAATATATTAATTGAATTGAATTTTTTTTTATCTATAAGTTTGGTTCATAAATCGACTAAATTTTAATTTGTGAGAAATTGGCTAGTTTTAAGCTCTTTAAATTAGAGTTAGTTAAAAATAACTAATTTCACACTTCTTTGAAAATGTCGAGCCAAAATTGTTTCAAAGAATTTTAGTTTTAAATAAATTTTAAGATTTACACTGCGAAGAAAATTTTAATTTGTTTATTGTTATTAAATTGACTTGAATTAAATAATTTTTATTAAAATAAAAAATAAATTGCTTCGAAATTGTCTACAAGCTTTTAATGTTCAAATAAATATTAGATTAATTAATTAATTAATTTTTTTTAGTCGTAATTATTTTCATAAATTGCTGAATGTAATGAAAATTGAAAACCCAAATTTAATATTTAGAAACGTTATGAATCATTTTTTTATACGTTCCGCAAAAATAATGTAGCAAAATTTTAATTTGAAGATGAAATCAATCAATTTCGTTAAGATTTAAACGATCGGAACTTTAAGAACCTCTTTAAATACATACTGAAATATTTAGTAAATATTTAGTTTTTCTAAGGGTATCAATTTAAGACAAAAAAAGTGAATCGCAAGAATTTGATACATTTTTTTTTGTCTCAATTTGATATCCTTAGAAAAACTGTGTTACACTAAAAAATAGATTAATTGTTTTCAAAAATAAATATTTAAATACCTATTTATTTTTCCACAGGAATTAAAATTTCTGACAAGAATTTTATCAAACAATTTGAAAATAATTAAATTCCTTCGATCAATTTTCTTAAATTTTAAAAATAAAAACTTTACTTTAAAATAATTTTAATTGAAAATCTTGAAACTAATTGAATTTGACAAAAGAAGTTTTTTTTAACTTTTTAAAACAAGCGTGTCTGTTAATAATTATAGTTAAAAATTTTATTATTGAATTTTATTAAAATTTTATTGAAAATAATTAAATTTCTTGAAAGAATTTTCTTCGAACTTTTGAATATATAATTGAATTCTTTCCAGAAATTTTATTAAAATTTTATATTGAAAATAATTGAATTTTTGCGAAAAATTTTATTATTTATGAAAACTCAAGAAATCTCGCTAAGAATTTTATCGAAAAATTTGAAAAAAATTAGTCCCCCATTTTTTCACATGAATTTATTTTCAATTCTGAAAATAATTAAATTTATTCAAAGAAATTTAATAAAACTGTTAGAAATAATTGAA